TGCGACGTCGCAGACTTCCTGTCATACTTTATTGTTTAAATGGAAAACTACTCAACGGCAATTCTTTAAAACTGTCATTATTTTTTTTCTCAATGCGAAGAAAATTCTGCAAAAACTTCAAGAAATAATATCAATTTGTTCTCCTTTAAAAAAATGACGTAGAGGCGGAGATTTTCAGACACCGCAAACGAGTTATATGATTGCCAACTTTCACCGTCGATTTACTAGTTAATGAATAGAACGGGCGGTTTTGGTTAAAGTATGCAATGGTATTTTTATTTCATACTTTAACTAGTTATTAACGGAGGCCCATTAATGAAAGCGTTTAATGGTATGAATTTAAGTTTGTCACATAATGAGGAAACCAGCGACATATTAAACCGCGACCTTCTCTTTTTCTCTCGAATTTCGTAAACCTTCTCTGTGTGGACAAGGCTTTCCATTCATAAGAAATGAACGAAAAAATTATGAAAGAACAAACAAAAATGCGGTTTAATGCTTTTAACTTCCACCGCCGCGTCGCGCAGACCGCACCGTGTTTGGCGCAACGCGTGAAGTATTCTTGCAGTCTTGTAGGCGCTAATATGTGTTACATGCCGACCGCCGCGCCGAGGGCTTCTCCTTTTCATATGGAGTCCTCGTTATCATTTCTCTATTAGCCGCGCCGTACCGGGCCAAATTGCGTGTTTGGTTTCTCTCTTAACTCTACTAATTAATGGGACTGTCTCTTGTATCACTGAAAGACGACAATATTAGAAATGACTATACTCTCAGAAAATGAGAGATTTTGCTTTTCTAGTTTGTAATTTTTTTTAAATCCAATTTTTTAATACCTACCTGCATTTAAAAAAATTGAAAAATTTGCCGCCCCCTAGATTTGCCACCGTGGGCCGCGGCCCATGTGGCCACCCCCTTAATCTGGCCCTGTTTCCCTATAGATTGAAGCAATTTAAGCAAAATTCATACGAGACATATTTCTTCTTTATATCGGAAAAATTGAGGACGCTCTTGGTTTCTCGAAGAGAACGTCTGGATACGATACTCGTGTTCAAGGGATGTCCGTGTTGCATATACTATCAGTTGAGGGCGCTACAGCTTCTTAATCACAGTGCCAAATTACGATTGCAGTACGTCAAAACCTAAACCGAATCTACACGCGGAAATTCGCCTACCCAGGTAAAAATTGGCAGCAGAATCTGTGTTTCAAAATACCATAGACCTACAGCCGGCTGTAAGATTTCCAATAGCTTCTATAGCCGGCAACACAATTTCTTATAGCCTTTTATAGCCGATGGCGATTAAGCAACAGCCTGGCGATAAAGTGTATGCTAAACGTTACTAATTACGGATGCTAGGACTTAGTGAGTTTTTGGACTACCGCTCTCTTTTTGGGTCGCAGTATCTTGATTTAATTTGCGAGGAAAGCCCCGTACATTTGAAGGATGCGTGCCACTCCTAAAATGTTGGAGCGCCTTCAATTTCGTATGATACTGTGCAATACCTCTGGTGTGAAATAGTTGCTTCAAGCGCCGCGGTACGCTGCGGCGCGGCGCGGCGCGGCGGGCGGGCAGCCAGCGCTGAACGCGCATTGGCGCCTACAGACCTAAAAGGGATACTTCACGCATTGTGCAATGCGTGAAGTATTCCTGTTAGGTTTGTAGGCGCCGGTGCGCCGCCGCTCCGCTTTGTGTTAGGTTCTAATATTTAATCTCGCGGATTCAGCGTTTTTCAACTCATGACTTTGAAATTTTTGCACACTCTGTATGGATTATTCTCATTTTAATTGATGAAAAAAAATATGTTGTAAATGAAAATATAAAGCGCGTTTTGTAAATATTAAGGTGATTCCGTACAAACTTAAGGATTTACAAAGCACACGAATTTCTACACAATTTCTTATAGCCTTTTATAGCCGATGGCGAAAAAACAACAGCCAGGCGATAAAGTGTAAAGCTCGGCGATAGGAACTATAGCCCGGCTGTATAATTTTTTATCGCTTCGTGTAGCCCGGCCGTATGATTTTTTCCACTTTCTACAGCCAGCTATATGACTTTCTATCGCCCTCTTCAGTCGGCTATAAGAACTCCTATGGTATTTTGAAACGCAACTCAGCCTATCGCCAATTTTTACCAGGGTAATTAGGAACCAGGAATCTGGATTTTGGTTTTCAAAAAGTCACGTCCCGCACTAGGTAGGTTTTTTATTGCATATCGTCAACCCAGAATTATGTCGAATACGTCTTTGCATAATTATGAAGAATATTAATGAAAATGAACCACCAACCAAGTTGCAAATTCTTAGTAGTATAGAAAAATGGCAACGTCCATCTCGGTACTTTGGCTCAGCTGCTGCACGTTGTTTACACTTTGAACAGCACAGGGTAAGAAAGAGCATAGAGAAAAAAAAGGAGGTGTTTGCATTTCGGGCATCTTGGAATTTTTTGATGACTGGATGACGTAGGTGGGTACAGCTGGGTACAGCGACGTCCCCTTCACGCTGTACCCACCTACGTCATCAAGTCATCAAAAAATTCCAAGATGCCCGAAATGCAAACACCTCCTTTTTTTTCTCTATGAAGAAAGAGACACTGTTTAATCGAGAGGCCTTTCGAAAAGGATGTGGTGCGAGGTTTGATTCGAAAACACTCCTGTTTTTCTTGTAAGCAGGGAATTCCAATTTTTCGTAACCAAAGCTAAATAAAAACGTTATTATCTTGGTATAGAATAAATATCGGTTATTTTCGTTGTGCGAGTCGCGTTTCACCAGAAATTTCGAAGCGGACACATGTTTCAGAATGCTTGAATTCGTGCCTTATCTGGTAATCAATTCCGCAAATCATTGCCACAAACTGCAACGCTGCGGAGACGTTATACGGCTAACCCAAATTTCGAGTATCGTTTTGCAAGATATCCCAGATCACCCACCCCAGGTTTTTTCCTCGGTTACTTTGGGTCGGGAGACGAGGAACTCGGGGTCGAATTCTGCCGTACTAAGGAAAAACGCCGTATGAGTCTTCAGGCGTTGCCAAGTTTCCTCTGTCAAATCACTAATTTTCAGAAAAAAATTTCGAATATTTTTCTGCTAATTTCTCAGATAATTTTGTTTGTAATTTGATCTGAAGAGTCTGAAAATTTCAAGGAAAAATATTCATTATTGTCCTCGAAAATGAATATTTTATCGAAGGAAATTTGACAACAGCAGAATGCTCATACGGCGTTGTTCCTTAGCACGGCAGAATTGGGAATCGACCTCAAGGATCGGTACAGTGAGAATACGTATCTTTCAACTTTACCCATCGACGTAGAACACACATCAATCCCTTGAACACGCGTTGTTGCATTTAGGCATTGTCATTAAGAAATACAGAGCTCCTTCAATTTTTGTGATACAACACGCACTTCCGACAAGTGTGTCATTAAGAAAGCAAGAGCTCCTTCAATTTGTGTGATACAACACGCACTTCCGACAAGTGTGAATAGTTGCATTCAGGCGTTGGACACCTCCAATTTCTTTGTCTGTTCGAAACAAGTTCGCCACCCCATGAAAACCATCGTGACGTCTTCTCGACGTCTCTTCATATAAATCAGAGAGGTTAACCTCTTGGGAGGCTCATTGGCTTGGTCCTCATACAAAATGGAAGTTTGACAAGACGACTTCAAGCTTCCTATCACTCGCTGCAAAGAGTTGCGCAAACGGACTTCAGCGACAGAACCCTCAGGGAGAAACATAACGAAATAAATATGTAAACACAGCGCAAAACACTCGAGAGCTACTCTACCATGCTTGGAAAATGCAACGTATGAACATTCCTTAGTTGCCGGATTTACTCAGATAAGTCTTTTCTGGGTATCTGGGGAGTCTTGCGCCTTACATTTTTCACAGAAGTTCCCTTCTTTTCAATTTGATACTTCTGAAAATCTCACGGAAATATATTCATAGTATTACCCTAGAATCGAAGTGTTTTTTTTTTCGGAGGAAATGTAAGAGCATCCGAATGTTTATATCCGGCGTATTTCGGTAGCAAACCAGTGCTGCTATACTTACAGCAACTGGTTGCAACAATTACTTAATGGTGCAAAAACGCCTCTTGAAGATTAAACTATCGTACCAACTCGGGTTGAACCAAGTTTTATTCGATAAATTCATGCGAAAGGGAACTATAAATGACTTAAGTCAAAAGAACTTTATGCATCAGATTTGCGTGTACCATAGTTTCTCTTGATTTAATTTATTTTCACCTGGTTCCCTTTGGCATAGATACGTGTGCTCCATTCGTTTTTGAATACATACTTATTTACGTTGCATTTACCCGTTTTTCTGAAGCAGTCATAATTTGCTAAATAATGCTGGGTTTCTTCACAACTTTTATTCTCACTAACCTACGTTGTGTAATACACAATTTTAAATATCTGGTTCTCAACAAGTTCAACTTCATTCTGTGTCGTTGGTGACAGCGGCAAAATTCAACAGTTGAGCTATCCCTTAAACTGCAAGCCAAGGTGCTCTTGCCTCACTCGTCAGATAAAGACATCTCCATCGTTTCATGGCCTACAGGTGAATAGCATGAAACGTCTGTTCAAAAATAATAATTGCGAACGCTCTTAACGCGGCGTATCACACAAATTTGTCAACTTTTGTTATGACTGAGGTGAGTAAAGCAAAATCTGGCTTAAAGCATTGAAGAGCAGGTAGGATTGAACGGTGCCTGGGTAATCATTATTTTACAAATTATAGCTAATCCATTGTGAGGAGTTCGACGAAACGAAGTGGAAAATTTTTCCAGTGTCGAAGTCGAGATTAACTTGGTTTCTTTACAAACCCTTGAAAAAGGTGTGTCCGCTTATTTCCAGTATACCTACCTGTCCGATCATTTAAGATAGGAGTTGATGATAAGAGCGAGTATGAGAACACAAATGGTGCATCCCCTAATTGACTATGCCTGCATGGGTTACGCTACAACCCTTGCGACGGGGGGCGGGCAAAAATGGGAGGTCACGTACCTCTCTAGCCATTCCAAGTCATATTGGTGGTAGGCTATAGCAGGAAGTCCCGGCTAAGAACCTCTGCTGCCGAGTCCAGGGATGGGATCCTCTCGCACGGCGGGCTATCCATGGCAAACACTAAAGCGGTGCAGGTTGGGGGGATTGATTTTTCGCGGGGGCTGAGTCAGTGGGGCTCGAAGCAACTGGAAGTCAACTGGCGGAGCGGTAAATTCAAATGGCAATCTAAGGGGATGGCCATTTTGGACTAGCTTTTCATGGGGGCTCGGGGGTTCTCGGGGTCGCGCTGGGGAAGAGGGCGTAGCGGGTTGGGGTTGGGGCCGAGCGTGGCGAGTTGGAGCTGGGTTACGGAACTTGCGGATCCGAGCGAGACGCGGCGCTACAGCGAAGCGAGGACCGAGCGGTAACTGGGGTTGTCCAACCGGTGCAGGCCACCTCCGCTATGTTTCAGTGCGGCGTTGCTCCTCTCATTTGACGCATGCCCCGTACACTCGCCATCGATTCGCCCTCCCCCACAAAACTCCGTCACCGTTGCCAGATCCTCGACTTCCATCCACCACAACTCCCGAATCTGAAAATTTCAACACAACATTTCCTTCGCACTAGTGACCCGAGTCTCCTGTAACTGCATTGAGGAGTCACTCCCAAGTCCTTTGCCGCCGATAACGCTCGCCAATCCCAGGAACCGGATACAGATGAGTGAAAACACCCGACTCGATTACGGCCCTTAAAAATTACCCTTTCTATTCTATTCGTTTCGAGCAAAACTAACGGATCGATGAGCACAGTGCGAAACCACGTATCTCCGTTGCGGTGCTTCAGGATTTCCGCTCTGATTTCACTTTTTCGAGGAGGAGCAAGTCGTGTGTATGGTTTGGAATCCATGCAAAATATTTTGCTAACGGTGAAGAAAAGTCACGAAGATTTATAATGAATTACGAGTATTAGTTTTCCGAAGAAAAAATAAAGTCTGACGGGAAGTCCACTGGAAAAAAAACACATTGGATCTAGAGTCCAGACTCTTGGAAACATTGACATGAAAAAATACTCTTGATTCAATCAGATTTTTGCTTAAATCAAAAGGAAATCCGCTCAAATTAAGAGATATTCTTGATTTAAGCTAAAAGCCGATTGAATGAAGAGTATTTTTTCTTGTCGATTTTCCCAAGAGTCCGGACTCTAGATCCAATGTGTTTTGTTGTTGTTTTTTTTTTTTTTTCAGTGTCTGCTACGTCGCAAACAGAGATACGCGGTTTTGCACTCCGGCCATCGAAATACTATGGCTTCAAATTTTGACAGCATAATCGTGGCAATGTGGAGGAAAATTGAAGAAAAGTTCAAAAGATGAAAATGAGTCGTTTATTTAATTTTCAAAAATTAAATACCAGATAAAATTTGCAACGTTGTCGCATTTGGAGATACCTACGTATTTTCACATTTTAGTGACTGATACGTAGCAGCGATCAAAATTTTCAGATCGGGAGACGCTCTGCTTATTTTGCGAACATCCGAAAGGGCCACCCATTCTTAGTTCATACGGACTAATTGGACTGCATTTTGCAATTTGGAGCTATGAATTCTAACTCATCTGGGAAAAAAACACTTACGTGCATAGGGAAACTAATGGCACACACGTTGTTCTTAACCCGGGCCGAAATTTATAGTTCTTAATTGCAAAATGTAATCCAATTCATCATCAATTGATATATCGACGTTGAATCGTCACCTGCTTCAGAGCAGCGCGGCAAAATGAACGATACAGACATAATCCATTTGTCTCGAGTGGAACCATCGAATATCGAAGGTCGTAACAGCTATATCAGTTTATTTCAGGGGACGTGACGGATGCAAACGTTACAACACGACACGTTAAGCGTTTATTATGAGTAAGGCGTTAATGCAACTATTCCAGCTTTATGGGTATCCGTGTTGCATCTACTCAGAATTGAAGGCGCCCCAGGTTTCTTTGCATACACAGCGATTCATCGTGCCGACTAAGTCAAATGGGTGAGAGGGGTGGTATCTATTTGAATGGATGACCTGAAAAAAGGCACATGCGTCACTTTTAGCGAAAGTGAGTTATTGGTGGGGACTATTTTGTTAGAGTGGAAGAACCCCGTAAATTTTACATCCTCGTTATTTTCAACTTTCAAGGAGTGAGGATATAATTATAGTCATCAATGTTCCAGTTAATTTAAAGAGGGGCGCATACCAAAGGCGGCATTTACCCCATTTTCAAGTCGTGAAAATAGCAAGAAAAAAATCGAAGTACACTTCAAATTTTAGAGAGAGCACAAATTTAATTGATATGGCATTATACAGGGTGCCCGGAAGTCAACGTACCTACTTAACTTTCAGGATCGATTTTTCGGCTCAAAATGTTATTTTTTTTTCCTATACACATATGCCCGAAAACGCCTCATAAGTGCATAGCAAGGAGCATCGAAGAGCCGTTGCGTCGCGGCAGCTTCGGGATTTTTGAAGCCCCTTGCTCCGCAGGCAATTTTCTCACACTCCCTGCAGTAAAAATTGCCTATCTAGCTAGGAGTTTCGAAATCAGGAAATTTTCCAAAGCTCTGTTGCGTCGAAATGACGCGTTGTTGGAAAATGTTGTGCAATACTTGGTGGCCCTAATTTTTTGCGGTCTTTCACGTGCCGCAATCCGTGTTTCCAAATATCACCTACCCAGAAGTTATCGTAATTTTAAAATTTGGGAACGCTCATAACGTCATTTTCCGAAGATCTATGTCCTTGAAAACACAAAAAATTAACAGTGCGCTAAAAAGTACCCCTCTACACAAAGTTTCAGCTCCTCACAACTAAATAACGAGGAGATGCATCAATTTGAAATAAAAAAAATGGCAACTTTGGAAGCGCATAACTCACTTATGAAGCGTTTTCAGGCATATGGATAGGGGAAAAGACTCATATTTTGAGCCCAAAAATCGATCCTGAAAGGTAAATTCGTTAACTTTCGGACACCCTGTATTTTTCAATTCGTATCGTGGTATTTAAAATCATAATTTTACATGCTCGATTCTTCATGTGCATAGCATTACTCGTGCCATTTTGAGACTCGTGTACCTTAGTATAAGTGGAAAAAGCGTTTTTACAATGATCGGTAGAAAAATTGGAGAATTGATGCGTAAAAGTAACCAAGACAACGAGCTGGAAGGACATAATCCTTTTAAGCTTGAAATACAATTAATTGTCCTTGAAAAATTGCGATGTACCTTCCGAAATTTTCAGACAGAGAATTTTAGTTATAAAGTAATGCTACCTGACACATGGACAATTTAGTGGAACACATAAGTACCTATCTGATTCCCCGAGATGGTGAATGTGGGTTTACCGTTTTACACCTTAAAACACGCTGTACATTCGGTAGCCGGCCGATTATTGAAATTGATAGACAAAGCTATAGACAAAGAAGACAAAAGGGATACGGAGGGATTCTGCGTTCATGAAAGCGGGTGGTTGCAATGGACAAAGGAGGTAGGTAATAGACTAACTAACGGCAACTGACTAGAGCCCCGACAGTTATAGCTTCTAGCATTTTCCCTCTTCGTCTGTAAAGATCACCAGTTTCAACCAATGGGATTGCTCCATACTCTCTATGTCTTTTTTGTCTATAGCTTTGTATATCAATTTCAATAATCAGCCCGGTGGGGAATTAAATCGATAACCAAAGTGAGATACCACATATCTCCGTTGCGCGCTGTTTCGAAATCTTCACTTCAATTTTTTTTTTTTTTTTTTTCCAAGAGGAAAAGAGCAAACTTTATAGCTTGATTTTTAAGCAGAGTATTCTGCTGACGGAGAAGAAAAATAAATTACGTTTTTAAGAAATTACGTTGATTGGTTTCCGAAGGAAAAAATGAAATAAAACAGGAAGTTTGCAACATCGGAAATGGAGATGCGTGCGGTCTCGCACTTTGGCCATCGGTATGTAGGTAATTCACACATCACACGCCGCGTCGCGTCGGAGCTTATGCGTAAACTAGGGGGCTACGCCCCCTGGCCGCTACGCGGCCCAACCCCCTGAAGGCGCTCCGCGCCATCAATGGGCCGCTTCGCGGCCCTATTTTCACCCTCCTATCGGTGTTAGTTTTATTTATTTTTCCCCTAAAAAATTACGATATGAGGTATACTTTACTTTTAGAATGACATAATTTTTGGTTTCGATGAATAAAGAAACAAACATTTTTTTTTTTTTAGTCTAAAGGGCGCGATTTGCAATGCCTGCTTGATGAAATATTGCAGTAAAACAACGAATATTGATAATCAGGTAATAATTAAGTGTATCGGGAGACGGGAATCGAACCCACACCCTGAACTGAATGGATGCTTCCGACGTCTTTAACGACTCGGCCACCGTTCGGCTTGAGGAAATTGGTGCGAATCTTGTGTAGATAAGTGTAGAGCTGATGCGCAGGCTACACAGCTACTGCGCAACCTCCTCGACCACTGCGCATCCTCCCGCGCATAGCGGTAGCAGTCTCGGAGCATTCTGAAAATTCACTCACTTTTATAACGTGATTGTAAAAAAACCTGGGTCTTATTTCCAAATTCTGAATAGAGCGGGCTCATCTAGGGCCAATTACCCGTCGATTACCGCAAAAAACTTGGAAATCGGCCCGGTAGAACGCTCAAACGAACTATGACAAAAAATATAAATTTACATTGTTTAAATGGGAGAATTCGCAACTTTACCATTTAATATAAAAAAACCTGGGACATATTTTGAAAATCTGAAAAGAGTTGGCTTATCTAGAGACAATTGCCCGTCGATAGCCGCAAAAATCATGAAAATCGGCCCGGTAGAACGCTGGAACTAAGCGTCACCAGTTTCGCAAAATTAGGAGGTCTCGGAGCTTATAGTATAGATGGTGTAAGGTTTGAAGTATCTGCCCAACGTTGAAGGCACTGTAAACGCTGCTTTCCGTTGCGAAAAAATCGGAAATTGAGTTTTGCTCAGGCATAGATGCATCTGTAAAGTGACAAGCAGAAAACTGATTGTTAAGGCCTAAAAAACATCGTAAACGTTTAGTCATGCTCGTAAAGATCGAAAGCTAAAGCACTGTATGACACTCGTTTATCTTACTTTAATCCGATTTGAATCCCTCGCACGTGGATATATCGAATTTTCAAGAATACGGGAGGGGGAGGGGTTGTTGTTTCAGGCTAAACGTGTCTCTGTTTTCGAAATTTTAGCACGTTTCTGCACTTGTAAGCGATCATCAGTAACGTTATCAGCGATTAATAAGTCATATTCATGTACTATGCATAATGTGCCTATCAAGGTGACATACATGCATACCATACCATGCATAGCACAGAAGTTTGGGTGATTTTTTTTTTCGGTTAAAAAATTAATTTAATAATTGATTAGAATATGTTTCTGTGAGTAGGTATTCCAGATCAAATTCTGAGCAAAATATTAAATTGTCCGTAAAGTTTTAAACAAAAATGGTTTTTCAACTTTTCAAAAAATGCATAAATTCTTTGAGAAACTTTGGCAACGTGTAGATGTAGTTCTACTCACACGGAGTGGCATCGCAATAGACATCTAATGCAAGAAGGTCATTGCAAAAGAAACAGTTTCAAAAGAGAACCTGCTCTTCACCAAGATAGTTCATGGGAATTTAGCGTGATGCGACGGAAAAGAAAAACGCCTTCAATAAGTTGAGTAGGCACGATGAGCTCCCAGGAGGTCGAATAGTGGTATCACAGCCTACAGCGCCCGTATGATTCTTTTTTATACATAGTATTTTGCTGCCGTGCTATGGAAAAACGCCGTGTAAGCCCTCAGGCGTTGCCATATTGCCTTCGATAAAAAAAATTTTTCTTGGAAAATTGCGAATTTTATTTTTCTTCGAGTTTTTCGGACAATTTTGTTCGCAATTTAATTTAAAATATCTGACAAGTCCAAGGAAGTATATAGGTGCACAACATTTTTACCAAAAACGGACGTTTTAGAGAGGGACATTTTGCAACCCTTGAATATTTTTAGGTAAGGCGTTTTTCTTTGACACGGCAGTTTTGGTCATTTTCATGGTGGTAACAAAAATAATCAACCCTTGGTGAATGATTGATTTGGACCAGTAGTTTGAAGCTGACCAGATCAAATTATTGGTAAAATTGTCCGTAAAATTTACAAGAAAAAAAAACCCATTAGATTTCCGGAAATGCGTAAATTCTTCGAGGAAATGTGGCAACGTATAGATGTAGTAATTCTACGCACGCAGAGCAGCATCGCATCTTATACGAAAAGACCACGGAAGAAAAAACAGTTTCAAATGGGAACCTGCTTGTTACCACGGACGTTCATGGGGATTCAACGTGAAGCGACGGAAAATTAAAACACCTTCAATAAACTGAATTGGCACGATGAGCCCCCAAGAGGTCAAATAGCGGTATCACGGTCAACAGCAATTTTCTTGAAAGTGTGTATCGTGTATCATAAACCGTGTAGTTTTTCGGAGTGATAGTTTTGGTAGTAGAAAAATTAATTAACTATGAAGAATTAGGTTCAATACTTTTCCTGGTGTTACTGAAATCAAATCATGAGTAAAATTTTTCGTAAAGTTTAGAAAAGAGAGAGAGAGGGAAAAAACATTAGTTTTCCAAGAAATGCGTACGTACTTTGAGAAATTTTATTAGCAAGTAGCTGTAGTTATACACAAACAGAGCGGCATCGCAATACTTCTGTCGTTAGGAAGCGTGAGCCTTCAGACATTGCCAAATTTCCTTTGACAAATCGCACATTTTTAGGATAATTTAGAATTATTTTTCTCCCGATTTTTTAGAGAAATTTGTTTGTAATTTTGGACGTAATTAAGCTAAAAGGAACCAGAGACGGAGACGGGTGGGAAAGAATATGAGGTGTGCTTGTTGGTTGAGGGCCGTAAGAATGAATGCTATACGGCGAAAGTTGCATAAAGCTGCCCACAGTCATTATCACACGAGAGGGTTCATTTTGGACGTCAACTTGAATACTTTTTTTCCCCACATAGTTTAGGTTTTTGATTTATTAAAAAATCCTGCGACTCCGAGATATTATCTAATTGGGTTATGGTAGGGGGATTGTAAAAAAATTTATGAGAGGAACTTAAATACATGACAGGGCGAATACGTAATATCTTGGCTGCTTGATGAAAAAATTGTAATGGGAATAAAAAACACAAAATTAATATGAGAAAATGTATAAAAATTTTACTCAAATCAGAGTCACAACTTACAAACTATATCACAGCACATAGAACAAAAAATTCAACCTAAAAGGAACACATTAAATAAAGAGAGGAACTCTTTAAAACACAATGAATTAGCTAGCATTAAATGAGCAATACACAATGACGGTTGATGAATGTGATCACAGCTAGATACACATTGTTTTCATATCAAGCAGGTTTGACTCCTTTTCTGGAAGGTCTAAAAGAAAGAAAGAAATGGGAAGACTGCGGACCATTTAATTTTCTCCAAACAGCTGCTCATGAGGTTCATTTCAACTTAAGAGAGGGTGCAAGCAGTGGCGTTGCATGCTTTGCGATACATCCAATTATCTGCCATTTAAACCTACGGAAAAGGTTCGATAAACAAGGTGTTTGCAATGAACACCTTCATAATCGATCTTTTACCATAGCTTCAAATGCGGAAACATAGATAATCGATCATTGACGCCTCACTGCTGAGTGCATGACTTGAAGGAGTTCAAAGAGAGCACCAATTCTGGGGAATAAGTTCACGATGATTAGCGTACTACTAGTGCTTGCAATTAAAGAGTGACTGAGGACGGACAGAAGTTTTCAGGAGAAATTGAAACCTAAATTTTGGACGCACATACAATTAAGCGTCAATGCATCTGTTACATTTGTAAAATATGAATGGAGGTGATTGGTGGTTTAGTGGTCTTGGGATCTCTCCCATTCAGCTGCCAATGCAAAGTCTTCCGATGAATTAATTTTGAAGATCCTACGACCAAAAAGCAAATAATCAAGTTCTGTTTGAGGTGATTGTCAAAATATTCAAAGGCTAAATTATAAAATACATTATATTTGAATTTTACTTAGTAGTTGTCAGTTTAGAGGTTGATGCTTCATTCAACTTTGAACTTGACGAGGAAAATTCTTGAAGCCCTTGGAGGAGACAGAAAACTAGACAAATTTTGTATCTCCACATTGAATTGCTGATCAGTTATTGTTTGCATCTTATTTTCCTCTTATTAAGCTCGCACTTGAGGCACACTGAAAACGTGATGCTTACACTGAATTTTTCATCTTACAATTTCAATTTAAGGTCCTTAAACCAACTTTGATCTTTAGGTTTCTACCTTCAATATTTGTGGGATACTGCCCTTTGAGAAGCATGATGATTGAAGTCATCCATGAGATGAGAACACCATGGCTCCCACCTTAGTTCTAACGAAGGTAAAATTGAAATATTTAGTGCAAATATGTGTATCACTAATTGCTGAATGCATCGTAAGAAAACTCATCGAAAAATAATTGCAGATGATGATGTCGCATACAGTTTTATTTCAAGACGCAATATCTCCATTGATATAAGATGTAGAAACTTAGCTATTAAATACATGTTATTACTGATGCCTAAACTGTGAAGTTCAAAAATCAAATCACGATTCCATGAGAAGCACAACAGATCCATTGATATGTTCTACACTGCTTTGGTCTCTGAGATCAGACACCACCAAATTGACATCAAACAAAGAAAACTGACATCAACTGTATGCAAACTTAGAGCTAAACATTTTTTGGGCCCTAATTTAAAAGATTTTCAATTATTCTGAGTCTTTTTTAAGGTACATAATTTTCTGGCGCCACAGGAACAGATGCCTAAAAGCATGTTGGGATGCAAATATCAGGGTTGCCATAATTTCTTCATCATCAAATTCCCTGAATTTTCCTTGACCATTTTCGCTTTTCCCTGACAACAAATTTTTTGGATTCTCTCACTTTTCCTGACAATCAAGTAAGACTTTCACTTTGATTTTTTTCCTTTAAATTACACTCACTTCTGCTAAACGCTAACTTATTACATTCCCTGACTTTTTGTGTGAATTCCTGACTTTCCTCGTTTTCCAGACCGCTGGCAGCCGTGAAATATACAGAGTTTTTTAAAAAGAAGGGACAAAACCTTCAATAACTTTGACTTACTTTACATTCAACTTTCTGTTCCATCGAGAACTCCATATTGTCAGCACTTTCATTCATTAATGCAAGTTCGGATTCCTCCTTATTTGTAAGTTTAGAGTCGTTTTGACTTTCGTCATCTTTGTGCTCCATCATGTGAGACATTAAATTCTCCTTCTTTACAGACACAAAGGAACACAGATGACAACAAAACATGAGTCCTTCATCCAGTCCTGAAAAAAAAAATAGATAGTATTATTAGTCAACTAAACTGCCTGAGTTGCTAGAAAAGATGTTCGGCATGATCCTTCCCAAATTTCATTTGATCAAAATTGAATTTTACTTGAATTTGAATTTGAACTTGAGAATATATTCTGTCCAATTTTGTAGAAAATGTTCTTCATAATGTGATTATATCCCATCCAGTTTTTCAGAATTTTTTTTTTTTTTTTTGTGATGTGATCTAAAGTATCCGAAAATTTCAAGGAGAAATATTCATAATTTGTTCTCAAAAATTAATATTTGAAGAGGGGAAATTTGACACCATTCTAATGTTCGTACGACATTCTTTCTTGGAACAGCAAAACTTTACCTGGATGCTTTCTCTGCAGATGTGACTTGTAGGTGTTCGATTGAATGCATGCGTATGAACAATGAGGACAGCTATAACGTTTTGCTCCCGAGTGCCTCATTTTATGGCGCCGCATTGAGTTGTGGTCACCAGTCACATAATCACACTCATTGCAGCTGAAAGGTTTCTCACCTGCAATTCACAAAAATTTATGTGAGCAACACTAAAAATCATACTAAAACGAAATTAAACAAAAACACGGTTTCTTACAACGATAAATAAAAAAAAAACGATTCAACTGAGGTTTTGAGCTTAAAGGGAATAGAGACAGGAGTATCAGGAATCATTGTTGAATCCAGATTGCCAGGAGGCCAATTTTATTTTAAATTCTTGAAGAACTTCTTTAGAGGCTCTGTCTGGTTCTAAAACTTCAATTATCAACCAAGATTTAGCACTCAATTTGATGAAATCCAATGATCATTGATTGAGCATATAACTTTTTTTGAATCACCTTGCAAGATGGATCCAGAATAATCCTGATCAGGAGCTTGAAACATTGCACTTACACATCACTAAAAAATATTTGGAACTCGAAGAGGATGTGCAGCCATAAGGTTAGAGTGTTGAAACTAATTTCAAACTTCAAAGTAAAATTCCCCCTCAATACACGAGAAACGTTATTCCACGAACCTATGATAATATACCTTCTTTCCTTCAAAGCAAAGCTTCATGAACCCTTTATTTAAAAGGATTTTAGTTTTCTGGTGATGAAGGAAAAAAAATTCACATACGCCTCAGCAAACCTTTGACAATGGGTCAATTGCGTTGGTCACAAGAAACCAAGGGTGTCACTACCGTGGTGGATGATGTCATAAACCAAATTTTTCAAAGCATGATATCTCGAATAATATTGAACATGGAAAGTTACTGTTTGGACGGATCTCATTATTTTTAGTTGATCTACAAGAATCAAGCATCAAAACATGCTTTTGTAACCAGCACAACTGACCCATTATTATCCATTCCTCCGCTTCTTTTTTTAACAATAGAATGAATGTTTTGGCAGGTTCAGGAATTGTGGAAAATAAAGTAAATAGATACATGAGAGAATTTTATAAGTACTCCGAAGAACCATTAATTTAATAACCTAATTCATAGGTCATTTACTCATTGCTAGATGTTGAGAGTCTTGATCATTAAGGGGTGACATATATTATATTAATTGATGAAATAGTTCATACCAGTATGCTGACGGATATGCATTCGTAAAGAACTCCTAGATGATGCCTTGTGTCCACAGTAATTGCACAGATACGGTCTCAGTTTTTTATGGATGTTATTTTCATGCAGTTGAAGTTTTCTCAAGTTGGAAAAACTGCAGCCACAGATGTTGCACAAGATTTCTTTAGTTTCGGCCACCGAAATTGCTTTGAGTCGATGAACTGCCTAAAATTGCACATAAAATGAAGTGAGAGAGAGCTTAGAGAGAGAGAAAAGATTGGTAAAATTTGAATCTGCATAATTTTCTTAAAAGCTGGAGAAATACGCAAAAAAGACAAAAATCCAAAAGAAAATTCTGAAAAAATGTGACAAAAAACACTGATTTACAGAGCTTAACCAATACCAGGATGCTCACAGAATGTGTCTGCCTCATTGCACTATTTCGAATGTTAGGATTGAGAATAATAGTGATAGCAAAAAAAATCTAAGGAGTAGTAGATGATTAGGGCATTTCTTAAAAATAGCGGGGAAACTATAATTCATTTACCTTGTGATTGCGTAACTGCTTTGTTGTTTTGAATCCTTTTCCACACAGATCGCAAAGAAAGGGTCGCTCTTCACCATGGATGCGGTAATGAAGATTGAGCAAAATACTCCGACTGGAAAGAAAATAGATTGAAATTACTTTTCTTTAGAAGAAATATAATAGAAAATCCAATTAGGTGGATAATTACGATTTTTGAAGTTGTCACGGTATAAAATTTTGGTGGTATCTAGCTCTTTGTAAATTTTTGGTTTAGATGTAGCCAGTGCTATGTGAAGCCAAAACTTACAAAGAAACTGGTTTATCAGTTGAATAAGACTAGCCTTATCAGTTTTTGCCATCCTCAGGATTTTAGCAGAGCAAAATACATAATTAACATTTAATTTTATAGGAACCGTAGGGGTAACATTTGTGGTGTTCATTCTACCTCTCAAAATTTTTAAACTATTTAGTAAAGATCATCACAAGACTTCAATGTAGCAAAAGCGAAAATGTAAAAGCTGATGGTAACAATTTTCAACGATTTGCATCACTTGGAAAAAAGTTTAAACAAATATTGGGGTCGTTTGGAACAGTTCGTGAACTTGTGTATTATTTGAAAATATATCAAAGTTTTAAAGTACTCATATTCATATTTGCAGAGAAGATAATTGAACCATTCCCTTCATACGTAATGATGATCTCCTTACCTGCTAGTTTTGTAGTTGCACAATGCACAGGAATAGAGATCCACATTAATACTGTGAGAGCGCCAAAGATGGAGAGAAAAGCGATTCCAATCCGGGTTTTTGTGATCACAGTCAAGACATTTGAAGGTTGAGTTCTCGAGATCATGATATTGATGATGAAGCTGAAGATTTTTAGAATCAGAAAATCGAGTTGTACACCCATCAAGACCACACCTGCAACAATACATTCATTTGAAGTTAAGAATAATTTCTTTTGCCATACATCTTTCAGATTGATACAAATAGTTAATCAGCTTAGAATCTAATGTCCTCGTGCTTCATTTTGAAAACTACAAACAAATCAGTGAAGAAAATATTCTTTGCTACTATGGAATTTGATCACTTGATGAGTGAATTCAAAAAATTAAATAGAATAAAATAATTGGAGAAAAAAGTAAGATTACTCCTCCAAAAGATACACCCTCTTCAGTAAACGCTGTTTCCATACATTCTGCACCTTTGGCTCTCATATCGTTCCATGCTTACAATGGTGAAAGTTGAGGTGGGTGAAACCACAAAATTATTATCAAGGTGTTAAGCCCCATGTTAAAATTGAATGTTGATATAATTTTTCACTTTCTCAAAGTTGCGATCATTGCATTAATTTTGAGAGAACCTGTGTATTGACATTTACCTATAATAACTGATTAAAGGCACTGATTAATTTTGTTTCAGGTTCAACATTATGCAATGATAAACCAATATTATTGAAAATTCCAGCAATACAAAATATTATCAGACATGTGCAAATTTACTAAAAAATATTAATCTATCCTTGAAAATGAAAAATTATGGAATATACTTACTTCAAACCGTTGTTCGAATTTTTCTTGAACTTGGGAGGAATCGGAGGGATACCAGGTATAAGGAGACCAGAGGAGGCACTACTCTCTTCCTGATTCAGAAGTTTTTTTATTGCCACAGGTCTCACTTTTGTTTTCTTGGCTTTCTTTTTCTCTGTGTCAGGTTTTACCTGACACAGAGAATTCACCAGAGTAATTTCCTCCCCTTCAACTTTACCGTGGCCGTTGATATTCGAGGTAATATTGTTGCTGATTTCCATTCCTTCAATGCTCATAGATCCTTCTGCAAAGAGAAATGGGGAGATCTATGAAATGTATTATGCATTTGCCAAATATTTTAATTTGCTAGCCATACTTTTGTCTACACTGAGTTTCCCTAGCGAATAATTTCCTAAGTACAAGAATGCCTAGATATGCAATCCATGGATTATGGCAAGCAAAAACAAGTCTTAAGAAAAAAAATGAGCGTGGAGCCATGAAAGACTACATATATAATATCAAGCCTCTTTTCTTTGATTCAATCTGAATGTAACTTAAGTTTCTTTCTGTTGAATGGGGTCTAGTTATTATATGGGTACAAAAAACAACAGAATCTTACTTGCAAAGAAGTATAAATGTTAATTAAAAAATAAATTACCGGAGCAACGATGGATTTTGCCAACAAAAAAAACCATAAAATCGTAACTGCAATTACTTCAATTATTGATGAACAGGAAAAAGCTAAAATTTTAAGGGTTGAATTTGCAAATTTTCAATGTATCCATTATATTTGGGGTGAGATTTTGATGGGAGCGCATGTATTATGATGTTCGCTTTCCGATCGTTGTCTACTGTACTTGTAAAGTATCAATCTATTATCAAATTAGAAACTACGTTACCTGGGTGTGGTATTGAAAGAGGATGCGGTTCAACAATGGGCTCCGTCCACGAGGTGATGGTTGCTATAGGTTCCTCAACTACAGAGTCACTTGGGTGAAGAGGCTGAATGGGTTGCGACGGCTGGAGCGGTTCCAGTGGTTCTAGAGGTTTGACAGGTTCTAGAGGTTCCATCATCGGCTGACTGGTGAGGATATCCATGCTGACAAGATCCGATGGGGTAGCAATCATGTCGGATTCTAGATTGACTGATGAACTAATTGTCACTGGTTGAGGGACGGTTGTTGATGTAGTTGCCAATGGTATATTAATTTCTGGCTCTTTGGGGATAATGGACTCTACAACAGAGTAGAAAATACATAATTAATAAGTGCAAATAAAATATGTGTAATATAAGATTTTTAAAAGAATATATGATTAGAAATTGTTGGAGAGATGAAGCTCTTTTACAAAAGAGCCATTGAGTGAAGATAATTCTTCGTATGCACAACATTACTTGTTGGAACTGGTCTGCAGAAAAGTCAAAATAGAGGTTCAGTCTTTTTTAATTTGTGGACTAAAGTCCTGATTTCAAGCTGTAGGGGCAGGAAAGTAGATTCTGCATCTACTTCTTAATTTTTCTTTTGATAGTAAACCATAATGATGGCTGATTATAGACTAGTTACATGAAACAAACCTGCTATCAGAGAAAACTTGCTTTGCTTGCGCCTTGCTGTGACTGCTTGAGGTTTGTTAGCAGCAATAACAGCATCCAAAATCGGGTGAAGCTCATCCACTAACACCTCATGGTCTTGCAGTAAATGGGCCTGATAACACAGATGTTAAATTCACAATTAATCATTTTTCTTTATGTATAATTGTTAAAATAACTTTAGACTGATAAAACCTCTATTTCACAGAAATTTAGGGGCTAGTCTTTGATAACGTCTTTTTTGTAACTAAATACCATGTTGACTAGTACAATAGCCCCATATGGTGGCTTTATGTATGTTATGTAAAAAATAAAAAATAAAAATAAAATAAAATAAAAATAAAAAAAAATAGTGGGAGACTTCATACAGAAATAGGATAAAATACTTCCTCCCGCATTACGATAGGACCCACATGCAAAATTTAAACATTCGTTCTGTTATTGTTTGTTTTTTCTTTTCTTTTTTTAGTACCTGACGATGATATAAGCTAAAATGGCTACAGTATGATAGAGTATAAGTTTTTTGTAATTTCTCCTTTCATTATTGTTATGGTAACAAGAGATATAGCAAATGAATATGAAACCTGCTCAAGAAAGCTCCAGCCTTAGGGCAAATTTCTTCTAAATGCTTTTATTCCCTTCGTAATGAGAATTTTTGTTTCATAGAAACAAGCATCAATAGCAATGAATTCATGCCATTATCTTTGGCTTGTATCAATAGACGGTTTTTTTTTTTTTTTTTTTTTTTTACCAGTCAATCAAATGAAATGGGTTGAGATCTAGATGAGAGCAGCATATAAGGGTTGTTACTTTGGTCAGAAGGTGACAGCCAATTGAATGCAATTTTAAAAACTTAAAATTCAAGAGAAACTATAAACATACCTTTAATAAAAATTTGGAATAGAATTGATTTTTACACCCAATACACCGAATGGCTCTTCTTAACAGCTTACTTTGATGTTGCTGGAAATGCGTAATGACACTTTGCTGGGTCATACTTAGATAGGGACACAGCCCACATTTGTAACATGCATAACCATTCAATTCACACTTGACTAGCTGAAACCTGAAACGCAAAAATCATTTTGTGCAGAAGCTCTAACACATATTTTTCATGATTAGCACTTTTATGGGTTAGATGTTCTTTGACAAAAACTGCAATGACGTAATCTAAGATCAGACTTATTTAAGGGGCTTCCGGTTTTAACGGAATAAACGTTCACAATTATATGCAACATAGGATCAGGACGTGGAAATTGATTTTTTATTGCCTCGGTGATTTTTTTTCCTTTTTAAGAGAAATTTTCCCAGGTTTAGTACAGAAGTTGCCACTGAGGTTAGGCAACGTAAATATGATAAAGGTCCTCTCTACAGAAAAGCAGAATTATGTCATAAAAGTTTTTCCCATTGCAAATTCAAAAAATGATTTGCAAGATATTATACTATACTTACAAAGTAAAGTAGGCATATTTTGTTTAAGTATCACCAAAAAGTTAAATAGAGGGGCCTATTTGGCAGCATGGATCTTGTGCAGAATCTGGTAACAATGTCATTATATTTTTATTTAAGATGACTATGACAAGCTAGGAAGGATGTTCTAGGATCGCTATACGCAGTATTCCAAGATTTCTGATCCTATCCCATTTTTCTCAACTTTTATGGGACATGAATAAGTGACATAGATGCCCATTAACCATGACAACTGGCAAATTTTACAGAGGATGAAATTCATGTAGGTAGAATCAAAGGGTGACACTCACTTTTGTGGCGGCGCCTTGGTTTTGGTTTTCAGCTTGTAATCCAAAATTTCATCGGGCCCATCAACAACTTTAACATCTTCATCTTCATTTTCTTGAATATTCTCTGCTTTGATTGGCTGGTTATTGCTCATGCTCTCCATCTACAAGAAGAGGAAAAGCAAAAAACTAATCACCGAGTTTGAAACTTTATGAACTTCTAACAGAATGAGGAAAAGGAGAGAAGATTAATTGTAGTAGATTCCTTTTGTTCTGTCAAAACTTGCTGGATGAATAGTTAGTTACTTATTATTGTTCATAGACATGTGGCTGCTGAGGCTATTATTGTCTACAGAATCTCTAGAAGTTTGGTATCGTAGGATACATGTAAAAATTTGAATATCAGCTAACAGGCATGCAAGAATCAAAATAATCGAGAAATATAAATAAGCATATCAATGAGGACATAATCATACTAAAAATAGAGGAGGGAAAGTCACGTCTTAATTGGCAAACTCCAAAATTTGGGTATGTTGCTCATTGTTTTGGATACAAAATAGCAAAAGGTACGATCCGTGAAAACTGATCGAAAGCATATCAAATGCATCACAAAAAGTACCCAATTTCACATAGAATTCTCAGGTTCTTACAAGTCCTAGTGGCTTAAAAGTGATTGAATCTCTTTACCCATCTGAGATACGTATATTGATGGCTAAAATCGAAAAATGCTCATCTCCGATGGCGACGTTGCAATTCTCCACTCATGCTTCATTTCTTATGAAAAAATTATGGGACGTTTTCCCTGAAATTTTTCTTCACTCTTTTCTCAGAGAGTTTTACACCATGAGATATAACCATAGATGTTAGATTTAGGAAAATAAAATATAACATAATTTCAACCATGATTCCACGATTCCATGATTTCAAACCATTGCAATAGAGATTTGCATTCTTCAATTTTAGCCATCAATATCTATCTTCCCAAAATACTTGATGTTTCTAAAGAGCTTTCCCCTTATTTATGTGCACTTTGAAAATTAAGAATGAGAAGAACACCGAAAATCTATTAATTACCAAAGTCTGTTATACAATAGGTGATTTTAAAATAGTTTCCTTCTTATTACTAATATTTGTATACCCTTTGACCTATGCAATAACAATGGTTATTGTTTGTTTGCACCAATGTATGCTAAATAAAATAAAATAAACAGACAATGAACGTTACCTGTGACAATACTAGATCTCCAGCTGCAATGTGTTTCTCACTGTGCTCAAGCGCAGAGAAAACTGAGGAAACTTGGCTACTCGAGATTGATGGGAGACTGTGGGCATGAGACAATTGGGATAGGAGCTGGGCTGTGTAACCAGGTGGACTTGAGCCCAAATGGAGCGCATTTAACTCCATGTTCTCTATTTCTGGTTCTACTGTGTTAGTTTTCAATTTGACTGAGGCCCCTGGTATGCTAAGACCGGAGTCTGACTGAATTTTATCATCGAATAAATCAATTGATTTTAGACTTGAGCCCAAATTTAAAGATGTTAAAAAATTATCTGTGGACTCAAGAATAGGATCTGAGTCCGCACTAATGAACATTTTATCGCTGGCTAACGTCTCCTTCTGTTTCAACTTAATATCCCAGGCATTTGTTTTTGAGGTGACGGAAGGCGATTTAATGAGACCAGATTTAATGCAATTATCGACACATTCCGAGTTTGAATTCATGTAGATATTGAGACCTGGAGTGGAGTAATGCGTTTTGGATTTTGCTAAACTTGCAGCTAACAGGGTATCATCGTTTGGAAAATTGGCTGCACCCATCAAGGTTGCATCACAATCCAGTGGCTTGTAAACAAATTTTTTTCCATCAATTTTAGAGGGATCAAATGTCTGTATGCTGAGGCCCGCATTTGAGAGATCAATTTGGTTAGAGCTTGATAGGTCTGAAGTTTGTAGTGACGAAGGATTCGGGAAAAGGCTCGATAAGTTGTCACCATTTAAAAGTAATGAATTCATTATTTCGTTACTATGATTCAAGACACTTGCATCTGAAACAGATGACAGACAGTCATCCGGATTTGAAGACTCCTCCTTCATTTTTAATGACTTTTTCATTTCCATCACTTTGCTTGAATTTTTCCTCTTGGACGATTTTTCTTTCATAGATTTTGAGCTGAGACTCGTCCTACTGACACTGCTTGTCACTTTCGGGACACTATTCGGCTGAGATATGGTAGCCGTGATTAAAATTAATGGCTGCATTGAATCAGGAGTCACTGAGTCTTGCTCAAGGATTTTTGTTTTTACACAATCAGACATGATGTCTAGAGACAGCGATGTCTCACCATTGAGAGAACGTTCATTTTGTACAATTTTCTGGCCATTGATTAAGTGTGAGTAGAGACCTGGCTGCGCTGAAGGTAGAGGTAGGACAGAGTCATTGCACCATGTGACAGATGTTGTATTATCGTTCAAGAATGAGACTGGGTTGAATCCGACAGAAACAGAGTTCAAATGATGGACGTCACCAAGTAAAATGGGGGACTGAATAAAGTCTGAGACCATTATGACTTCATTATCTGGAGGTTCGTTCAACAACTGTGGGCTTTGCACTGCGGCCACATTTTCCAGGATGAGTGATGGGCTTGAGGAAATCCTGCAGTCTCCAGCTGCAGACTCCAGCAAAATCTCCGTCTTGATTTTGTTTTTTCTGCTATCCATTATTGTCTGAAACAAATCAAGAGAAATTTTTCACTTATATGATCTGCTTACTAGAAAATGAACAGTATCAATTTTCTTAGACCACATTAATATTGATGGACTTTGGCAACTGGATAGTATCTATTTGAGAACTTTCCTTTGCCTTTTAAATTTGACTTGACTTTGGTAGATAATGAAGGGATCTAAAAAATTTAGCTAAGTATTTCAAACACATATTGACACATCAATAATACAAAAATGTTCAAATGTAAAATAATCCACAGTACAAAAGGTATCATTACACTGAGTTCACATCATAAAGTTATTTAAAATATTCAAACTACAGAAGTATTAGACCTCGAATTAGATGGGTTAGCAGTTTTTTACTCATGACTATCTGGCAAAGTCAACAAAGGACCCCGGACTCCTCTTGTGGGAAGCTGCACCATGACGGATTGCCTTCTGACTTATGTCATTCGATTCTCCTCAAGATGCTGATCAAAAGTAATAATTGCGCCAACTTTCTACGATGCACCGTTTTCGCAAAAAACCCAGGAGAAGATTCAATTATTCCGCGATAAAAAGCCAGAAAGATTCCTCCTTTCAGTACTCGAGTGAACAAATCAGGGGAACTCCCGCACTGAGCGGCAGTCTTATCTCGGATTCCGCTCGCCGTTTTGCTCGACCATCCAAATCAGATTCTTGAGGAGCATAAGAACAGGAAAGTCTGAACGTCTACCGGGCGAGTACGGGAGGGAGATAGCCCCTGAGTCGGCAGGTACAGATAAGAAGACGGACACGCGCTACATTTTTTCTTTATTTACATCGGGCCTGTCCTCAAATGCTTTGTTCTTTTTCATTCATAGTTGCCGAATTATTGAATCTTCTCTTAGGTTTTTTGCGAAAACAGTACATCGTAGAAAGTTGGCGCAATTAAAACTTTTGATCAGCATCTTGAGGAGAATCGAATGACATAAGTCAGAAGGCATTCCGTCATGGTGCAGCTTCCCATAAGAGGTGTGCGGGGTCCTTTTCGCATCCCTACCTGATCACAGCACCTCCATGCAAATGGAAACTAGACAACTACCAACTTCGAATACAATAATGATATGGTTGATTTCTTCTTCTCTTTTTTTCTCTCATCACTTTTAAGTAGCCCTGGGACACTAAGCCCTTGCGTAATCCCTTAGTTCTTGTATCTTGAACGCCGCCGCAGTGACCCTTGCTTGAGACCATCAAACTCAGGGCTCCTAGTTGAGAATCAAACTAAGGACCTTCTGGTCACAAGACCAGCATATCACTACAACACAGAAGGCCAACTTATCTCCGCTCCCTGGCAATATCTAGACAGGCGGCGCTATCACAGATATTTCAAACTATTCCATGGTCAAATTCTGGGTATTTTTCAAATCGTATTCTGATACAAGTTTGAGTCACACTTAAAATCATGTGAACATGAGCTGCAATAGAGTAATGACTAAAAGAATGAGTATTACTATATCTCATAATTAAGATAGTAAGTATAGTCTGTTTTAGAAAACTCGTTTTTTCTTTTAATGTATGCGCAGGATATGAATTTTCTGTTTTGCACATATATACAGCAAAAGAGGACAATTTATTTGACACAAGCTCTATTAGGATTCAAATAGGACAAAATATACAGGAAAGTACATCTTGAAACGGATAAAAAGATTGCAATTCAGCTCTGTTATGCACGGATAAATTTGATACAAATGTTTGAATAAAAAGTGCATTTATAGGGTGGGCTGTTTGGATCATCGAGAAACAGAGTTACATCGCTGTCTGGAAATGGCCCAGTTCTGTTCAGACCGACCAGTGAAATAGCTATTTTGACCAAGGTAGGTCTATCAATATAGGTTTTATCACCAGACAAAATGTATCGAAATAGCAGTGGGTGGTTTTTCCATGATTAATGACTACTTAAATGGGCACAAGGGGCCGACAACTCATACAGCAAGTACTGCGATGGGAGGAGTCGAAAGGCTGCATGGATGTTCCGAGAATTGATTATAAAAATGGCAAAGTGTTCAACTTATCATACATACATTTTTTGGATGTAGGTACGTGGAATCAGCTTGGAGAAAGAAAAGTACTATAACTGCTTGTAGTTTGTAGGTTGATTTGTTCCAACATTTGATGGTTGGGCATTCACTTCGGTCCTCGGAACCACGACGCTACTACGGCCGCTACCGAGCCTAGCATACGCGCACTACAGGATTATGATAGCACAATTCAAGAAATCAACCATAAAGTTAGCGAAACATGGATAAAAGTAATTGATAACAATAGTATATGACAATTTGCTGGTTTACACTGGTTTACACACAAAAATTCTGCACCAGCGTCAGGCTCATAGGTTAGGTGTGATCGATGCCTGCTGATGATCGTTTGTTTTTGTTTATTTGATGAACTGATGATAAGAAGTAGTGATAAGCCGACTCCTCCAGTTTGTTTTTAATTATCTGTTGTACTGATAAGACTTATGGTTTAACTGTGATTAGTATAATTTATTATAATAATTAAGTCCCTTTAAAATCCTCGGAACAACATAAATGACAGAAAGCTGCATCAAAAGACATCAGTTCTTCTGTCCACCATCATGGTAAAATGCTCGAAGGATAAGAGAGATATTTATTATCGGCTGGCCAAGGACGAAGGTTGGAGGGCCAGAAGTGCGTTTAAGTTGATTCAAATAGATGAGAGGTTCAATTTATTTGCAGGTACCTGATATTTTTTGCCTTTTCTCCTGAGAATTAATGTTAGATTTTCTCGTAAACTCAAAGGAAATACTGAGGGTGCGGAAGCTGCGGAAAACGGAATCTTTTTTGTTTTCACAAGAATATCACATGTCACCAAGTGATTAAATCAAAAACATCTGCCGCCAAAGAGGCATTCCTTCCAAACTGAACGAATGAAGTATTTCAACAGATTTCATGTAACTCGCTACGGAATTTTTGGGCGGCAGGTGTGCAAATATTAAAAGCCAAAGAAGACAGTATATCGACAGTGTAAGCCGGCAATCATATAACTCGGTTTGCGACATCGCAGACTTTCTGTCATTCTTTATTTTTTAAACGGAAAACTACTCAACGGCAATTCTTTTCAACTGCTGTAATTTTCCTTCTCTGTGGGAAGAAAATTCTGCTAAAACTTCAAGGAATGATGTCAATTTGTTCTCCTGTAAAAAAATAACATAGAGGCAGAGATTTTCAGACACCATAAAGGAGATATATAATTGCTGGCTTACACCGTCAATATGTATGTTTTCTTATACCTAGCTCCTTATGGTGGGAAGAAAATTCAAACTGACTTTTTGATATTTAAAAATTGGAATTTGGGAGCAAATTTTTCACAGAATACAGGTATATTAAGACTAGTTTTACTTGAAATCATTAATATCTCAATTTTTTTTTAAAACTGCACGTATGCAGCTTGTCCTGCAAGCCCCTCAATTCTAATATGTGGGTGGGTCTGCCTTTTTAGGAACATTTGTCACATAGCATGCAATAAAGTTAGAACACTGCTCCCGCACCCATCAAAATTGTTTTTTTTTTTGTTTTTTAAACTTTGAGATGTTCTAACTGTATTTAAGTGACAGAATTTAATTCTAGGGAATAATACCTACTTATAATTAATTCTGTCCTCTCGTCTCAGGTGTTCAAAAGGTTGTTGACTTATGTGCAGCCCCTGGAAGCTGGAGCCAAGTTCTTGCAGCTCGTCTGAAGTAAGGAATATTTCTCACTGTTTATCTGCTGATTTCTTCATTTTTTTTCTCAGTATAGTGTTTCAACATAGTACTAGTTCCCTTAATATTATATAACTAGCCTGTCTATTTAAATCAAATGTCATATCTTGATGAAACTGCAAAAACATGGATTTCAATTGCAGTGTCCCAAAAGTTCCACTCTCTCTTCATTTACATTAAAAAAATCATTTGTTTACATGACATTTGCAGAGAAAATTCTTTGGAGGACAAAAAAAATCGCGCAACATTTTCTTCAGTGACAATGGTCCGTTTTCCTTCGAAAAAATCACTTTTGACAGAAATACTGTAGATTAGATAAGATACTGTGATAGATCTAAAATTTAAATCCTTGTATAACATCCATATTTTTGTTGCGCAACCTGGCAACCTTAACCATTAATGATGAATGAGGTCCAACGCTCAAATCCACATCATTTTTCCTTTGCTTCCAGTAAAAACAAAGAAAAAAATGACTGTGCCAAAATCGTGGCTGTTGATTTGCAAGCTATGGCTCCAATACCAGGAGTGATACAAATTCAGGGAGACATAACTCAGGCGAAAACTATCTCTGATATAATATTTCAGTTCAATGGTGAGAGGGCTGACCTGATTGTTTGTGATGGAGCACCTGATGGTAAGTTCTGTTTGCTCTCCATCTCTCATGTTATATTTGCAGAAATTTAGTAATAATCTCAAGAAATAAATGTAGTTCCCTAATCGAAACTGAAAATTTGACTTTCTGATTTTAAAATCTAAGTTCAGTAGGGATGAAGGAAGCCTAGGTATGCTCTCAAGTTATAACTTACCTGATTCATCTCAATAAGCAATAGTCTTTAGGTTGCTCAGAAATGACATGAAATTATGTGTCCCTCTATTGCTAAAGCCCTATTTCCTAGGGCTTGCATGTAAAGATTGATAATGCTCAGAGAATGAACAACACAATGGAACACACAGTTACATAAAAACATAAAAGAAAAAGACCGAGTCAAAATTAGCCAATTGCTAATAGCATTGACGAAAAATTTTTGGATGGACCTAATGCACCCATTCTTTGTGACAATGAATGCGCTCATTTAAGTTTCTAGGCAATACTTAAGTCACTTTGATATTGAAGTCTCACAACTTTGCTTGGTATTTTATTTTTAGTGACAGGGATCCATGATCTGGATGTTTATTCTCAAAGTCAACTGCTTGCTTCTGCTCTGAATATCACAAGGCACCTGCTCAAACAAGGTGGCAATTTTGTTGCAAAAATGTTCCACGGTGCTGATACGTCCTTAATTCGATCACAATTCAATCTATTCTTTCAGACAGTTGTCATCCATAAGCCTCCAAGTTCAAGAGCGTCCAGTATAGGTCAGTATTCCAACACCAATCGATTCTTTTAAAGTGAAAATAGTAACACATAGGAATTAAGTATATTAACACAATGTATGAAGCTGGCTAATCGTTTCTTTCCACCAAAGCTGCAAGTATTCAGGATAAATAGTTGTAAATAAAAAATCTGTTTTATTCCTCAGCACTGCACCGTCGAATAATGTCTTTTCCATTGTTACTGTACTGAAGAAAAAAATCATTCTTTTTTTACCATCAAAATGCTTTCCTTAAATCAATTTTCTCTTGCCATAACTGTACTAAAGGAAAAAAATGAAAGCATCTTACATTCATCACTATAAAATCAACAGATTTTTATGTTAATTTCATCAGTGTAAAATGTATTTTTTATCTTCTTTTTTCAGAGGCATTTGCCATTTGCTTTAACTTTAAAGGCACAGGAAGCAATAGTGAATCAGAAATTTTGGATAGTTCAAGCCTAGTCACGCCAGTTGCTGATCAGCAGCTAGCACGATATTTACAGTGCGGCGATCTTAATGCACTTCTCGCCTCAAGCACAACATAATTTACCATCAAGATATCAACGCTAACTCCTTGCTGCAAGCACTATCTCTCCTACGATCAAATGGCAAAGTTAATCCAGCAATTTATCATCAGTTTAGCTTTCTTGAGGTCAACTTAATCTTGAATCAGATACCAATATGCACAGAAGCGTAAGCATGAATGAATAAAATAACCTTTTAAAAATGTTACAATGATCAATGAGCAAAATAGAAAACTCATTTGGTACGATTCTGTGAGAATTTGAACTTGCTAAATATACTTGATTGCCACATAGGGTTAAAGAATCAAGGAATCCTATCTTTGAATACTACCCTATTCCATTGAAAAGAAAACTTTCTAATTGCGCTCAGTCTTTCAAATTTTTTTCTTACTTTTTCTCTTTTTTTAACTTGTTCATTTTGTATTGCCAGTAAAATTTTTGTTTCTCAACACAACTAGTATGTTTTTCTATATTTGTCTTTTCACTGCCAGTATCTTCTATATTCTTTCTACTTCCTTAGCCTGCAGAGTGCAATACAAAAAGGACCAAAAGCCTGCATTTTTTTTACCTGCAGCTGGATTTATAGTAAAGCAAGTGAGGCTGCAGTTTATTTAAAGGATAGGAACAGAGAACAGATTTGCGATCAAAGAGCAGTGCTTTTGAGATTAATTAATAAATTTTTTCTTAAAATGTCAGTCGCCCAGGGGCATTTTCATGGAAAATAGGTCACACATGCTTTAGAGCAGCATCTTTTATCGAAAATTCTCCAGGAGAGGCCTTTTTCACTCTGATTTTACTTTTCATCAATTTTATAAAATTAATAAGCATCAAAAAATGTAAAATTTTGCAGCATATTATTAAAATAAATAAGTTTTATTTATACATAATACAAAATGTAGGTTCATACAAAAGCTAGGAGCTAACTTGTAAGCCTAATAGGAATAAAAACAAGGTACTGAAAGTATTTAAATTACGAAATAACAGTGACTATCACATCAAAAGAAACTGGAGGGGAGGGCAAAAACAAACTGGTCATTTCAGGACAATCCCTGAGATTCACAGAGATAGGTAACGGTGCCATTTTTAATTATTCTCAAGCAAAACCTCCTCAGTGTCACAAGTTGTGGGGAAGTAATGGACCACTTGATATGGATCGAATTGAAGCATTCTAATACAGTAAAACCTTGAATTATCGGATCGCGATTTAAAGGATTCCGCGATTTAACGGATCGATCCTTCAATCCCTTCAGCGGGACCGACTAGCGCGATTCAGCGGATTCCGCGATTTAACGGATTCGGCCTCCAGTCCTGTGAAATCCGATAAATCGAGGTCTCACTGTATTTATTTCCTCTTCAAAATGTCTCAAAAAATACAATTTGCGCAACAATATTACTGAAATCACCTCCTAACCAAGATATTAACATTTTCATTTGGCACTGGTTACTAAAAATTTGAATTTCCCACTAGCAAGAAAAACCGAAGTCTACATGAATCAAATCGTGCCCTATAATGGTTTTGGCAAGCTCCTTAATCAAGCAGTGTTCTTTTCCTGCCTTATGTAGTCCAAAGCGTAAATGTGAAACAGCTGAGCCGAAGCGCAGAGATGAGTTTGTCATATTTACATACCACGAAGACTGTAACAACATAGTGTTAAGGGTGATTCCACTCAAATAGATTATGGTTTTTTCATGAGTAGAAAGTCTGAATTTATGCATCAAAAAACGTTGCTGTTTTGGCTTGGAGTTACTTTCATCATTGTCGTTGCACTAATCATGTTCTACATGAAATTTTGATGATGAAACATATAATGTAATACTTCAATAAGAACCCTGTCTAGTGGTCTATTATGAAAGAGACCTCATTTGTGACTTGCGGGTCGAAGTTTACAAATACTTCTTGAATTTTGCCAAACGAAAAAAGGAAAAAGTAATAAACCAAAGTATCTCTTAAAAATACACTTAAAAATTGATAACGTAAAAAAACAATAAGTAACAAGGATAGATACCTATGTACCTCTTTGATTAACTATGGCACAAAAACAATGATGTTGATAAACAAATATATTTTCCGGAAGAAAATAACTAATATCTGATTATAAACAAAAACATTTTATGATTCATCAACCTATGATATATTTTTTCATGATTATGTTATCAAAGAAACAAACAAGAAAGGTAAACAAAAAGGATTATAAAAGAGAGATAAAAAGACAGTATCTTGTAAAGAAGTTAAGACACTTTTGCACGGGTGTTCTTACATTTTGCTACACTTGTATCAAAGTGCCATTCTATCGTAAGACTTACTGACCCATTCATTCGTAATGGGTGAAATATTGACAGAAGCAAAATCTGCATTTTCTTATTAATGGAGAAAGATGAAGTGTACTGAAAAGTGAGAATGAATGTTTCATCAAAACATTCTTAGGACTGGTAATCATGGTCTCGATAGTGTTTGCTCCCCGCATTATGAGCTGGAAGCAAGGAAAAATTACTGATAAAATCTAAATATTACAAACAGACAAAAGTTTGAAAGTATTTGTGGTCGTACTTGGCGGCAAAATTGATCAAATTTAATGTCTAGACAAAGCATAGAGGACTTCCGTAATTTTTAATCCCCTTTCCAATTATTAAGGACAGACACCATCCTGAATATCCTGTTCGTGTTGTAACATCATATTAATGGTTAAAGTCTCAGAAAACGCACCACAATATTGGATATTGCAGATCTGAAACATTTCATTTTTTCAAGGGAAGATTAAAGAGCAATGTTTGTTCTGATTTTTCCTCGTCCTCTGTGGAATATTCTAAACAATTCTATTAGAATCCCAAGCGACAATTTTCATTGGTTTTTCTACTTAAAAAAGTAGACTAATGGTATAAGTTTTGAAAAAAGCAATAAATATGTATGTTCCGTAATGAAATATGGGATAAGGGAACTTAGAGTAAAAGTGGGTGCTTTTCAACAGGCAAAAAACCGCGTCTCAAGTAAAAAATGTCACTTTCCTATTTTTTATCCTGCTTCCTCTCTCATACATTTAAGAACACTAGATTAAAATTTCAAGCCATAATGTGCATAATAAAATATGCACGGAGGGTTTGACATGAACCCTGTCTAAGGCTGGCAAAAGCAAAATCATATCCTGATGTTTTTTTTCCAATAAGCACTGAATTAGAAGGTATATAATTTAAGTTCAAGATAGAATTTTTTTGGACTTAAGAACAGAATTTTCTCTTATTTAACACAGCAGCAGACTTTTTTCAGTGAATTTGTTAATTCCGAAACTCACAAAATGTTTATTCCTTTCATTCTCAAACTTTGAAACGCTCTAAAAGAGACAATTATTATTTCCAGTCAGAGGTATAATTCCTTCATTCTGTGAACAAAATTATCCGAAAGTCTCCTCTTGCTTTGACTCCCATCACGTAGTAAGGTCATCTTATACTAGCCTCAATTAAGGAAAGAGGTAAAAGCAGATAAATCATATTAGGTACTCAAGGCTCTGATCTCTTTAATTTTTTAGAGAAGCATTTACTGCTGGTGCATTCCTCTTGACCCTGGCTGCGGGCAAAAGAGAGACAACATGCAAAATAAAAGTCTGCCGAAGTTGTTTTAATCGGTATACCAACTGAGTCTAGGTAGATTCATAAGTTACCTGTCACTGTCGTTCCCTGGCTCTGAGAAGAAATTAATTCCTTCCATTCCTTCAGGCATGTACTCCAAACCAGACTCATCTTTGTGCTTCATGTTGTATCCTTTCCCCCAATCTATGAAAAGATGCAGGTATTAATTATACAGTATTCATGGCAAATAACCTTTTGAAACCTTTTGCTAGGTCAATTTTCAACTCGGAAGTTCGGCAAGAAAAAGTACAATTTTGACAAACTTATACGAAAGGAAAAAAAAACATACAACAGAAGATTTTGATCGTAAGGCAATCAAGCGTAACCTTAGATAACATTTTCATATTTATCGACAGCCTGGACTTTTTCAAAACATAGGCCTTCAATTTACTCATCCATTCCACTCCTATTTTGTTCTTTCGATGAAAAATGGTTGGACTGGCCCTTGAAGGGAATGTTTGTGAATATGCATTACTTTGATGAACAGAAATAATTTGGACATAAAAATTGTGAATATATTTATAACTAAAAAATTTTCTGACATTAATATGTCTCAGACAGTATCATATGTGATCCCAGAACCACATAAAAATGCGACAAAATTCGGCCCACAAAATGCCTGAGAACCAGTGATTAGTGAATAAATGCAGAAGTAGGTTGGATGCTACTCAAAGATTGCATCTTTTGTACTTGGCAAAAGGATAATGAGTACAGTTGGTACAGGAAAAAGTATGCAACCCTAGGGGCTACCCATTAGAGGTGGATTGTGCAACTTCCTTTCACAACTTCTAGCACTGGTGTATAATATCTTCCAGCAGGGACACACCAAATTGCTTGGACTTGAAAGTATGTACTACAATTCTCTACCTACAGGTTACCCTCATGCTGCCGTGCTAAGGAATAACGCCATATGAACCTTTAGGCATTGCCAAATTTCCTTTGGTAAATCACGAATTATCGGGAGAATTTGTAAATCTTTTTCTTTCAATTTTTCAGATAATTTTGTTTGCAATTTTACCTAGAGTTTTTGAAAATTTATTGGAAAAATATTCATAACGTTCCTCAAAAATAAGCATTTTATTGAAGGGAATTGAGCAACTCTTGAATTTTCATGCAGCGTTTTTCCTTAGCACAGCAGCATGGACTCATAAACAGGGTAAGCATTGAAGTACATATTACATAACACCTTCCTTCGTCAAAAAATTGAGCAGAGAACATAAAAGATTAACAAATTGCCAAAAGCCGACTGCACACGCAGCAAATGAGGACCTGCAAATGGCACATCGATGCCGCTGTGTTGAGTGTTGATCACTGCAAACTGCGCGGGCCATGCAGTTTGCATGATCAGCGATGTAACCGATGAGCCACTTGCAGTTACTTGCAGGTCCCATTGGCTGTGTGTGCAGTCGGCTAAAGGCAACCCATAAAAATACACTGAGATTAACAGAAACACAACGTCACATCACGTTTTAACTGAGAAAATGAGATTTGAAGTTTCAAACCTCCATGAGGCTCAAGGTTAAGGACCAAGTTGAACGGTCATTTTCAAAATCAAAATATTTTTTCAACTTTGAATATTAGACAAGAGGAAATTTATGACTACGTAGGTTAACTCAAAACTACTCCTGACTCATTTTTTTTGCCAAAATTGGACTTTGTGCGTTTCTCTTTGACTCGGTCCAAATAACAGTATTCCTTGTAGACATAAAAAAGTAGTCAATCCAAATTTCCCCTTTCTTGAGAGATAAAAAAGGTGGTCCAATCAGCAATTATTGGAATTCAAATTATCATTGTTGAAAAAATCTATGAGTTGAGCTTCAAATAATTTTTTGATACCAGGTGTTGTTACCAACTGGGAAAAAATTCAGCACAAAAACAAAATTAATACAACACATAATACACTACAAAATTAATTAATAGGAGACCACATTTAATTAAAATTGCCCACCTAATTCAGTGTGGCAAATTAAAATTTAATTTGAGATTTTGGTATTTTTTGGAGGATATACAATTTCTCATAAAATTTGAGTTCATCAATTTCCTTGACTCTTTACTTAGAGTTCTCAGTGCATTCCTTGCTTTAAGAGGAGGTAGAGGATTTCAGCTCTCAAAAGTCCAGAATGAGGACCACTCTGGAATAAGAGAAAAAGTGTAGGTATACAGATTGCATACTTACTCAAATCTCTTGTCAGCTTTGAGACTCGATTGCGAAGGGCCAAAGGCACTGGAGGTAAAGCTCCTTTGCAACTGACAATAGATTTTTTTGCATTAGAATAAGCATCATCTATTTCTCTGGATTTGGGAGCTCTGCGTCGGTAAAAGAAAAAATCAATAAATTATTTCAAAAATTAAAAGAAAATCGATTATTTAAACATGACATCAAAACTACAAAAAAAAGTAAGCACTTACAGCCATACACTTCCAGCACTGCAGGGTGCTGTTCAGAGAACACGAAATATTAATGGATCCATCATCATCGGTTAGGTCCAATTCCTTGCCTCTGTGGACTTCTGGATGCATTAAAGCTTCATTTTTTCAGGTTTGAAAAATTGAAGTGAAATACAAAAAAATAATAATATAATGCACATGCTGTAAAGTGAAAAATTGAGTTTTTTTAGTTGATATGACATACAATGACCTTGGTTCACACTCATTTGCCGCTTCAGCGTGAGGCTCTCTCGTTTTGTATTACTTTAAAGGATGTGTCCGTGTCCCATTAAGGTATTTTGGTCCTAACTTTGGTAAAAAATTGAAACAGCTTAGAATAATGTTATGTATGGTCAAATCGACTCTTAATCATCTATCCTGTGAGAACTTGTTCTTATTTGAGGTGTTTTTGAAAGGTTTTTACCTGATTTACCAGCGCAAAGTTTTGCAGTTTTCTCGAATAATTGCTCATTTTTGGTCCTAAATTAGATTTTTTATGTATGAGCACAAGCGACTACCCCTTTCTTCTTTAAATATGTTAATCTATAGTACACCCATTACAACATATTTAAAGGAGAAAGTGGTAGTCGTTTGTGCTCATGCACAAACAATCTGATTTAGGACCAAAAATGAGCAATTATTCGAGAAAACTGCAAAACTTCACTACTTTGCGCTGGTGAATCAGGCAAAAACCTTTCAAAAACATCTCAAATAAGGACAAGTTCTTACAAGGTAGATGACTAAGAATCGATTTGACCATACATGACATTATTCTAAGCTGTTTCAATTTCAGACCAAAGTTAGGGCCAAAATACCCTCCTTAATGGGACATATCCGTCATGTCCGAAATTTTGCATTGCTAAGTACAGTATTTGACTACTTCAACAAGGATAAATCGCAATTCAATTGAGTTCTACTAAAGTTGCAAATGCAAAATGTTTTACCTTGCTAAATAGACAGCCACCTGGGCTAACAGTACATTGCATTCAGGCATTCCAATTTTTTCACAACCGTGCAAGGCAGATACTGCCAAAACTAAAGCATTTGAATCAGCTAGACCTGAAAAACAGAGATGTTAAACATTAACAATGATAAATTGCTGCACATTTGTCGGTAATGTTTTTTTTAAATTCTTATTTCAAACAATTGTATGATTGACTCATTTTTTTTTACATTGATTGACAATCAGACAAGATATTTTAAATCATTTATCATCAATTTATCAATTATACCATTACTTGATAAAAATCACTTATACTATGAGGAGCTAGAGAGAAGAGCATAGTTTGAAAAAAAAAATTATAAAAGGACACACCTATATCCTCAGATGCTGCTCGCACTAATCTCCGAGCAACATACATTGGATCTTCGCCACCTTCCAACATTCGAGCTAACCAGTAGAGAGAGGCATTATCATCTGATGCTCTGATCGACTTGTGAAGAGCTGAGATAATAGTATAGTGCTCGTCACCTTTTTTGTCATACAGTAGATGGGATTTCTGCAATAGAAAATGTGGAGAGGCAAAATAAATCTAAAACAGAACTGCAAAACAACTTTGGGAGCAATAATTATCACACAACAGGTCTACTTAATGTACACAGTAAACGACTGATCCATTGATGAACATTTGCACATTCATGCTTCTAGAATTAGAATTAAATTCTGTGAATTGAATCTAATCCCTGATGTACTTTAACTGCTTTGATGCTTCAGATGGTAAAAAATCAAATGACTGATTGCAATTCACAATCCACAATATTAGATACAGGTAACATCATTACTTCACGCATCGCCTCACACTTTCAAGGTATTTCAATTTAAATGCAACTGAGATGCAGGTAACAAATGAAAGCAGATAGACATAATCAGAAAAATGCCTGTATAAATAATCTAGAATGAGTAAAACATAAATCCATCGTGCAAGAGAGAACTGAATGCCACAATTCACTCCAAGTTAATTTGTCTGCAAAATAATTTGGACCTACACCGCGCATAGGTGCGCCTTAAAGAAACACAATTTCTCTGCACTTAGTTGGCTAATTTCAAATTATTTTGACTTGTTGAAAACTTTAAGATATGACCTATTAGCTTTTTTTACAGATTTACTCCAGCTCTGAGAGTTACGAAGGAATAAAAGAGGGAAACTTACTTTTAAGAACACCCTTGTATAAAGTTCAAGTTTGATTTTTGAACATGATAGGATCACCATTTTCTCTTCCATTTTACAATGATCAACTTTACTAGATACTTGGATGTATTTTTGGTGGTGCCATTTTTGTGAGGTTCGCTGTAGTTATCACTGGATTTTGTGTCACATTCAATACTGGCCTTAGACACATTTATAAGTAAATAAAGATAGATAAGAAAGAAAAATATAGTTACTTTTACACCATTTTTCACATCCTCCAGTGAAAGAAAGGAAGCCGGTTTAGACTGATGTACTATTTGCAAACTATTTAAAGCAATCCTTGCATCTCCGTCAGACATTTCCGCTAACCATTCTAGAGTCGATTCCTCAATTTGACTCCTAGGGTACAAACATAAGTTCAAAATAAGAACAAGGCGATGCAAGGAAAATAAATAAGCAAACGAATATAGAAAACACATAGGAATCTACTCATATTATGGGATAAAAATGAGTTCAGATAAGTTCTGTTTCCAAATAAATGGATATTTTCTCTTGTCAAAAATTCGAGAAGACAATCCATTTTCACATCGTGAAACTAGGAGTGAAAATCTATCTTTAATTTTTTATGGAGACATCAAACTTCAACCTTTAAACCTCTTTCTCTCAGTTTCAACTTAATATGGGTTGATTCTTTTCTGCTGAACCTATCCAATTTTCTTCAAAGAAGAGAACCTCTGGTGAGGATAGTCTCAGAGCGATGACAATTTTTCTTTTCTTCCTTTGAAAAGTTCTTTTCGAGGATCCTAACTTAATTTTTACAATCTTTGCAAAACACATATCCGTACAGAGATGAGGTAATAGATGGTTAAATGCACAATGCACAGTTGTTTTTTTTTTTTTTAATATCATATTTGGCAAGTACGTAAAAATGAAGAAGCCTGCATTTTTCTGTTTTTCATTTCTTCAAATCTTAGCTGAGGAAAAAACTTGCAAAGCCCCCAAAAACAATCCCAACTAAAGTTATATTATGAACCAATCCTACATATTGTAGCTAAAAATTAGTTGAAATAGCTCATGAGATCAGAGACGAGGAATTATAATATTCACCTGCCAATTGTTTGATGGCTTGGATTCGTAATCATTTCAATACCGAGACGGTTGATTCCTTTTCTCAAAAGGGTCATGAGAACATTGGTTGATAATTTCTCCAGGACGATCACACGGCATCGGCTCAATAAAGCTGAATTGAGACTGAACGAAGGATTTTCTGTTGTTGCTCCAATCAATGTGATCGTTCCATTTTCCACATGTGGCAGAAAAATGTCCTGAGAAAATATTGATTGAATGATAGTGATGAAATTAAATAATGACTGATATTCATAATTATCATCATTTAAAATTACAACCGTTTTTTTTTAATATTGATAATATTACAATCAAAACTGATGAGAAAATTAGGCAACGTCAAATGGATTACATTTTGCGATTCGGAACTACGATATCTGGCACATCTGTAAAAATGCTTACATACATGAGGAAACCAATGATACATACGTCATTTCTAAACTGAGCCAGACATTGCGGTATCAAATGCAGTTGGGCTGATTCCGGTAAAATCCGTCCTTCTGATGATCATTGGACTCTCATTGATTTGACAATTTTGGTACTCTTATGAAACCTTTGTAATTCGAAACTTACCTGTTGCAATTTGTTGAATCTATGAATTTCATCCATGAACAAAATTGTTTTTCTTTTGAAATTGGTCCATTCATTCTTGGCGACCTTTGCCACTTCCTTTACATCATTTATACCAGCCATGGTTGCTGACAGCTTGACAAATCTAAAGTTCTGGCCTGAGGCAATGCATGTTTTATTAATAACATGAGCGAGAGATGTCTGCAATAGAAAACAAAATTGTGAAACCTTTAATAAAATACAAATACAATAAACTGAATCAGATAGACTTCCTCTTTTCAAAACTTCATTCTAAATGATGACCCAATGGGCCTGTTGCATGCGAGAGATACAGCCGCGCGAATAGTCTTTGTAGAGGTTAAATGACACGAAAATTACGATGGTCACATTAAAAAAGTCTGAAATGCACTCCTTACTGCGCAATTTGCGTTGTTAGGAACGCGCTTTTTCAAATTTCCCGCGTCTGGGGGCAGTTTTCTAATCACCGGAAACGAGCAAACGGCGGGCTCGGTGATTTCCGGAAGAAGCCGAGTCGTTGTTGTTGTTGTTATTTTTTCCTTCAGTTTGTTTACAAACCCAACGTGATCTCCTANAAACCAAAATGGGTGGATCAAGCGCTTCTGTATTTTGTTTTGACGCGATCATAATTTTTTGAAACATCATTGGGACTCACCAGACGGATAGGAGGTGAAATTCTTGCAAACGTTGGAGCCAAAATATAATCCTACAAAAGTAGGGTTTAGAAATGACCTGATGAAGATGATGGCATCCGACCAGCATCAATTATGAAAGTCTAACCTTAAATGTTTCCCAGCCCGATTATGATCTTGCCGCCATTATCGCAGCATTTTGGCTCAACCCATCATCACTGAAATTACGCTTATGGGCGGAATTAGAGGAGCAGGGAGGAGCGCCTGCAGAAAAGTACTTAGCCCCCTCCAGAGAATTGGAAGGATTTTCCCATATGAGAGCATGAGGGAGCTTTCATTTGAGATATTTTATTTCAATCAAATATTCAATAAAAATATCTCAGAATTACTCCTAACTTGACTAAATTTTTCATAATTTTCCTACAAGGTTTCTTATACCCTCCTCTTTGAAGCCCCCTGGGACCCTAGGATGATGTGAAAAAACTTTTTTTTTTTTTTTTGATTGCTTGACACTTTTAATTGCTTACGTTGTCCTCATGCCCTGTGGACAAAGTAAATTATGAAAAAGTTGCAACACTAGGAACTGCTGACCTAGGGGCAGACTGATTATAAAAGCACCTTGCTATTCTGCAAGCATTTGAAAAAAAAAAAAAACATAATAAAAAACATATTAGACTGACCTTTCCGCAACCAGGAGGACCCCAAAGAATTAAACTGGGTATCTCATTTTGATTCATGAGTAATCGCAGCATTTTATCTTCTCCTAGAACATGTTCTTGTCCCACATATTCTTCAAATGAAACAGGGCGTAAAATTTCTGCCAAAGGGCTCTTGATGTCAGGTTTTTTCAGACTGCTTGAGCTTGCTGAGCTGTTCTGCAAGAAAGAATCAAATCAAATATATATTGAGATATATTCGTAAAATAGTATTATTTCATCGAAAATCAACCTCTCTGAAGGAATCTTCAAGCTTCCCTTTACAACTGATTTGGTATTCACGGGTCTGCAAAAAAAAAATTAATTAGGAAAAATGCTGGAAATGGGTAATAACTGTGCAATTTTCAGCGTTGGATCCAAAAATGACCTTGATTTTTTTTTCGAATCAACTAATTTTTCGGAGAAGGGAGATTTCCTTGAAAGCAGGCTATTCCAGAGCAAAATCACTTTCCTAGGTAATTAGTGCATGTTGAAGAAAAAGGACGGTCACATTTGAATTGGGCAGACAGTAATACATCGGAAATTATTGATTCCATGCCTGAACAATATTTTCCCTAGGTATCTGACGACATGGTTTTTCCTGTCAAATGTCTAATCTGCCCGTGCGCAACTATGTTTCCCACCATCTTTTCAATGTTTCTCTCTAAAAATCCTTCTATGTTAACATAGCTCAGGAAACAGTCAGCTCAAAAAAACTGGCAAAATTTTACGAATTACAGAATTAGTATGTGAATGATATGAAATGTTAAAGAGCAAAATTTGAAATCTCTGAATAATTCCTGGATTGAATATCATTTACTTATTCCTAAAGCTGAAAAAAACAGCTGGAAGCCAGAGATCTTGAGCAATACTCACAGAGGGAATAACTTTTGGAGTTGGAGGGCTATTAAGTGTATCTAATTTCATTTTCTTCGGCGCAGACTCGCTATCCCCGCGTTGGTTGACTGTCCGCTTGGGTGACTTTTCCTCTCCATCTTCAAGGTTCAAAAAGATGCATTTGTTCACATGATTTTGAATTAAACTTGATTCAAAAGTCTTTCCACAAACTGGGCATTCCATTGAGCTCATGATCCTGAAAGTGAAAAATTTCAACCAAGATTTAGGATATCTGAGAAAAAATAGGGGTGACGTTGAAATAGTACTTTGCAAAGTGGGCCCATCCCCATTTTCATTCTTTGCACTTTTGGAGGTATGAACTTTTGCTGTTATGTAATTTTTCACCTATGTATGTCCGCCACTAAGGTGAGAACGAGATTACGATGCCAATGCCTAGATCTGTTCCTACCTGAAAAATATCAGGGAAATATTTCAGATTGCTGAGCGACCGTGGAGGAGTGAAGATGCTATACATCTTCTTCTACCATTTACCTACTTGCCTAATATCTCCTCTGTGTGTCAGCCTTTTATTTTTCAGGGTTTCTATTCTGATTACAGCAAGCTCTTGAGTAGCATGAGCGCGGTACGCAACACAGAGACACATAAAGCACGGTGCCCCTGAACTCACTTTAAATGCGACTTTGTTATACATCAAAAATTCAAGTTGGAGGTTGTAGTGGGGTACTCCCTGATGGTTTTTTGGGCAATTTCGAAATAGGTTGTCGGAGCTCCTCGAAAAATAATCGCATTTTTGTGGTTTTTTAGGGGTAAAATAGCAAAATTGGCCTCCGGGCGACAAATTAAACCCCCTCTCCCTCATCCTTGCCTTGACCGATCTGAATTTTTAGTATGTTTTTACCTGGTATAAGATGGGACTTTTCTGAAATTTTCATGACCATACAAATTTTTTTGCTCCCGCGGCAGCGTTGCCAAGTTGCGGACTCCAAAATATCGAATTTAATGATAAAATGAAGGTTTCGGAGTGTGATTTCCATTCAAAATCAAAAATTCAAATTGTAAGTTGTAGTAGGGTACTGCCTGATGGGGTTTTGGCCAATTTCGAAGTAGAGTGTTTGAGATTTTTGAAAAATAATCGAATTTTTGCGGTTTTTAAGGGTAAAATAGCACACTGAGCACGGGGCGGCAAGTTGAACCTTTTCTCTCTCATCCTTGCCGTGACCGATCTGAACTTTTAGTATGTATTAACCTGGTATAAGATGTGACTTTTCTGAAATTTTCATGCCCATACAAAATTTTTTGCCCCCCGCGGCAGCGTTGCCAATTTGCGGACTCAAAAATATCGAATTTGATGATAAAATGAAGGTTTCGAGGTGTGATTTCCTCCAAAATTTCACGAAAAATGTGCAATCTGAGAGTTTTCGTTAAGAAAAGGCATATTTGAACAATTTAGAGTTGCAGTGTTGCCAGCTTTTGATTTAAAATTCGTCAAAATGACCCAAATCGCGTTGCAACCTCGAGCGCTGGATTTTTATTTCGTTCAGAATTGGTTATTACGGTTCTTCTGTACTCTATGCATTTAGGTACCATGAAAATTATGCCATTACTTACTTGATGGGTGCAGTTAACTCAAAAAGAGAGGCCGGATAAAGCGATGAGTCGGGGGAAAACGAGCGGTTCGGGTTGACAGAAAGTTCTTAAATCTACTCCATCACCAGAAAGTAGAATTTGAGAACTTTCTCCCACCCCCCAAACCTTATCCCTGTTGCAGTTAATCCTTTGAACATCTGATCTGAAATTTTGCCCCCGAATTTTTACCAAAAACATGAAAAATAAAAACACGTTTTTGTGCAAAAACACATCATGTTTTTGGTAAAAATTCGGAGGCAAAATTTCAGATCAGATGTTCAAAGGATTAACTGCAACAGGGATAAGGTTTGGGGGGTGGGAGAAAGTTCTCAAATTCTACTTTCTGGTGATGGAGTAGATTTAAGAACTTCCTGTCAACCCGAACCCGAAAAGCTGGCAACACTGCAACTCTAAATTGTTCAAATATGCCTTTTCTTAACGAAAACTCTCAGATTGCACATTTTTCGTGAAATTTTGGAGGAAATCACACCTCGAAACCTTCATTTTATCATCAAATTCGATATTTTTGAGTCCGCAAATTGGCAACGCTGCCGCGGGGGGCAAAAAATTTTGTATGGGCATGAAAATTTCAGAAAAGTCACATCTTATACCAGGTTAATACATACTAAAAGTTCAGATCGGTCACGGCAAGGATGAGAGAGAAAAGGTTCAACTTGCCGCCCCGTGCTCAGTGTGCTATTTTACCCTTAAAAACCGCAAAAATTCGATTATTTTTCAAAAATCTCAAACACTCTACTTCGAAATTGGCCAAAACCCCATCAGGCAGTACCTAGGGTAACCTCGAGCTCTAGTGCTTATTGCCTCGCTGATCGCTCCTAGAGCGAGGGAGCGAGAAGCAAAGCAATAAGCACTGGAGTTCGAGGTTACCCTAGCAGTACCCTACTACAACTTACAATTTGAATTTTTGATTTTGAATGGAAATCACACTCCGAAACCTTCATTTTATCATTAAATTCGATATTTTGGAGTCCGCAACTTGGCAACGCTGCCGCGGGAGCAAAAAAATTTGTATGGTCATGAAAATTTCAGAAAAGTCCCATCTTATACCAGGTAAAAACATACTAAAAATTCAGATCGGTCAAGGCAAGGATGAGGGAGAGGGGGTTTAATTTGTCGCCCGGAGGCCAATTTTGCTATTTTACCCCTAAAAAACCACAAAAATGCGATTATTTCTCGAGGAGCTCCGACAACCTATTTCGAAATTGCCCAAAAAACCATCAGGGAGTACCCCACTACAACCTCCAACTTGAATTTTTGATGTACAACAAAGTCGCATTTAAAGTGAGTTCAGGGGCACCGTGAAAGGAGTATCACTGAACGAATGATAAAATCAGAACAGTTTTGAAAGTTCCAAATTTCTATTCAGATTAAGAGCCACATAATGTCTAGTAAGTTGATCATTCTAAAACTGAAAAGTAAATCCCAATGCTGATTCGAAAAAACAGTGTACAGAGACTGCGGGAAAAGATAAAACAATAATATTGCTGCATCAAAAAGATTGTAATTTGAACATACCCTGATTAGTACTTGGGAAATATTCTGCGAAACTACGACGGGAGCAGATATTAAGCACGTTTAGAAATAGAAAAGGTGATTTCCGTCACAATTACTTTTACACCATTTACCATGCATGTACGCAGGAGTACCGCGGTTTTTGCTGTTTGTTTACATTTTTTTCAATGTAACTGGACTCTAAATGTAACAAACGGCAAACCAGCGTGAAGTTGTGACTTTTGTCCTCTAGGTAGCGTTGAGTGTTACCAAAAAAATACACGTAAAAACCAGTAGCGCTCTCAAACGGTAAAAAAAAACGTAATTTTTGTAAAATTTACAATGTTGTCGTTTTGCATTCAAAACTTGACTAAAATAAACAAATATTTGTCGCTAACCCTGTAACATGGCAACAGTGACATCCCATTCAAGTTCGTGTTTACGATAAGTTAGATAAACATTTACAGTGAATTTTCAACAGCAATTCTGCCTTCTTCCTCATCAACTAGTGGTATTTTATAGTTTCCCTCTCCCTTTGTAATCATGTCCAGCGATTCAGTGAAAACGGTAAGTACTATCGTTATTAATTATTTATTGTATCCTCAGCCGAAGTTATTCCTCACTTTGAGGTTAATTGTCCAAAGAAATAACTCTATTCTTTATCACCATAGCATACATATTAGAGCAGCCGTCAAAGCCACAGTGCAGATTGCGCCTTCACAAACAAACAAGAAGTGTACATCACCAAATTATATCCCTACTGTACCAAACTGCCTGCAGTAAATACTCTAACCTGTGTGAGCTCAGGTTAACAAATAGTTTCTTCAGTTCAATCACCATTCTCTGCCACCGGAATTAAAGGGTTCAACAAGGACTTAAATTCTGGTTTATTACACTTGGCCAACTGTCAAGTTCTTGAGCTGCAATCTTACTGATACATAACAGCAGCACGATTATGACGGCTTTAGTCTCTTTTCAAAAGAATGAATGCTGGTGCGTGCATATACACCCATGTCATGGCTCCGCACGGCTTGGTCTGTAAGCAGCAATGGATACTGGGCAGGGAACAGCTTTGCTCAAAAAAAATGACATACCTAATGAAAACTAATGGGAGTTTGTTGGTTTTGCAGTTTTCCAGTCTTGAAACACCTGGGTATGTCGGATTTGCAAATCTTCCCAATCAAGTCCACCGAAAGTCTGTTAAGAAAGGTTTTGAGTTTACGCTCATGGTAGTCGGTGAATCTGGCTTGGGCAAATCAACCTTGGTGAATAGTCTATTTCTGACTGATTTGTATCCAGAAAGAGTCATTCCCAATGCAAATGGTAAGTTTTGAACAATCTATTTACCTTTGTTCCGTAGCCTTGTGATTAGACATTTCAACCACTCCCATTCTGAGGGTTTGGCAATAACCTTCATAGAATACACTCGGATTCCTCTTGCTCAGAGGGTTCCCTTGAGCACTGCCTATTTTTTTTCTTCTTCGAATTCCTCCGAGGGGGTAATCCCTTGTAATTCTGCGAGCATTGAATGTTAATGCTTCAAGTGACCAAGGTCTTTTATACAGGCTCTATCAGAGCCTCATTATCATGTTTGAAAAACACATCTCAATGTGTGTGTGTGAGTTCTCCAAGAGTCAAAAATTGTCTGAATTTGAAGGAGACATTTTGTTAGCTCAACTTTGATTTTACTGTAAATAGCCAGTATGAGACGATCAAAGTAGAGGCTTCAAAGAGGTTCATCGATGTCTTTCCTGGCCCTCTCATTGGCCAGTGGTTTAAGTCGGGGCAATCTATGAGTCTCTTTAAAGCCTCTACTTTGACCGTCTGATACAGGCTAATCCCCAAGAGCAATTGAGGACACCGCACCAAGAACAACCTATAGGCGTATAGGTCGTTATTACGCCAATCTGCTTTTCGGATTCTACGTACCCTGGACTATGCTGTGGTAGCGATAGAATATAGATAGGTAACGTCTCGAGGTCGAAAAACCTTTTTTTTTCCGAGGCAAGTCAGGCCTCTGGATCGATGGGTGCAAGAACGACCTATACGCGCGGCCTTATCATTCTCGGTTAGCGGACATCGGCGCGGCGATAGTGATGGCTCGATTTTTTGATCTCATTTTATAAAGATTTGTTTTTATTTCAGAAAAACGAGCTATTGAAATAATTTATTCTCCTCTCAAACTATCCTTTCCTCCAAAAATGTATACTTCGCATTTTGCCACCAAAATTTCTGTTGGGCGTAATACGGGCCTATAAATTTAAGGGCCTATAATGTGCTAGTTACCCCTCTCTATACTCACCATCGATATTCTTTTATTTTGCGTTAATCATGCGTGATTAAAATGATTTATACTGCATATTGCCACCAAAATGACTGTTGGACGTAATAACGACCTATAAACCGCTTTTTTAAATTAACTATATTAGAGTGTAAACCCAAAATGTATCGCAAAATCTACCCGGCATCCTTCAGTAGAAGGGTTAGGTCACCCAAAAACACCAAAACAGGGTACCTGCATAGAAAAGTCTGCGCAGTACATCAAAAACAAAACTTTAAATGCGTTTTTCTCAAAACGCGGTTTCCAGTTATAGGTTGTTCTTGGTGCAATGTCCTCAATTGAAGGATTGCCTTTCCAACTTTCAAGCACTAGTTTTTAAAACCTAACTTGGTTTAATTTTTGCAGAAAAGACCAATCAAACAGTAAAATTGGATGCTTCAACAGTAGAGATCGAAGAAAGAGGCGTTAAGTTAAGGTTAACGGTTGTTGACACACCAGGTTTTGGAGATTCTATCAACAATACAGACAGGTAAAATTTTCCTTTCAATAATTACTGCTTTGTCTATTTACTTTTGAGTGGCATATCCTTGAAAAGTGGTGGCTAAAGAGCAGAATCAAGTAAGCTGGCTCAGTCCAAGGCAGATAAAGAATGATGGTCACATATCGATTTTGGCTGCCGTCTTGAAGCGTTGTGACGTCAGAAGGGCACGAGTTTTGCTGTGCAATCCGAGGTTGAACCACCATCCCTGCGGCTTCGGCCAGCCCATGTACCCGATACCATGTGATGTCCAGAGGGTACGAAATGCGACCATCATTCTTTATCTGCCTTGGGCTCAGTCTGTTATTGAAGGCCTTGATTTGCTCTTTCAACCCTGGGTCGTCTAAATAAGCCAATAAACCTGCCATCAAAATCTGAAGGCAAAAATCAACCTTTTCAGCTCACTTCATTCTGCAGGCCCTTTTTTTGGCAATGTCTATTGTAGATATTATTTAAATATTAGTTCAAAGGTTTGAAAAGAATTCATCCACTCATAATAGATAAAAGATTGAATCACTGATTGAAATAAACAGAACAATGAAAAAAAGAAGGCGCTGAAAAGATGTGTTCTATCTGTGTGTTTTACTGAGTTGTTTCTGATGCAAATCCAATGATCATTTTTTTCTTTCATGAAAAATGACATGCTATTGAAAATAAACACATCAAACCTAAATATGTCAATCAATCTTAGATGTATCAATCAATTTTAGATACAGTGGGGACTTATTTTTTTTCCTTTTTCAAATTTATCACATGAAAACTCATGTGTAATAAAGAGAAATTCGGCTGCAGGGAAACATTGTGATTTTTAAGAATCAGAGCGTATCCCTAACATCCTTCTGTCATCATGAGAAGAAAAGGATTAGACGTTCAGTGCCTTATATTTAAGTTTTTCTGTATTTCAGTTTCCGAGCAATAATTCAGTACATAGATGATCAGTTTGAAAGATTTTTACGAGATGAAAGTGGTCTAAATAGAAGAAACATTGTGGACAATCGGATACACTGTTGTTTCTATTTCATCTCTCCTTTTGGACATGGGTAAGTCATGAATTGTAAACATGAATAGCCACACAAAACCTAGATTTACTGTATCTACAACAAAATTCGAATATTCAGGAATGACAACTCTGTCTGTCAGTTTTTGGTCCAATTTTGATTAGCTTTTTCTCCCCTTAGAAATACTCTGTTGAACTTATTAATGATCTATTTGGTTTTTTCACACAATTTTACAGAAGAAAAACTGTACTACAACCCTACAAAAGTTCCTCTCCACTGCCCCATTCTTCAAATTATCATTTTCTTTTATCTTGCTGAAGGACATTGGACTATCCTTTGCCTGATCCATTATTGAACGTGGCTAGATCGTTGCTCATGAAAACAGACCTATAGCTCCAATTTGTTTTTCCATTGTTTGGATGTTATACAGCAAGTGTTTGTTTTGATTTGCAACTAAGTTCATAGGGATATCTTTGTTTTGATTTGCAACTAAGTTCATAGGGATATCTTTGTTTTGATTTGCAACTAAGTTCATAGGTATATCTTGGTAACTATCGTTGTTTTTTTTTTTTTTTTTTTTTTTCTTTTTCTTTTTAAACTGGGAAATATCTAAGTTTGCACAGGTGAATCTTCCATCAAGCCAAACTGACCCATCGAGACAATGCTATTTTTTCTATCACTATTTTGCTGTAAATGTGTTGTGATTTTTCAAGCTTGTAACAAGTGTCTGATATGTATGTAATGAAGATTCTTTTTATTTGTTGCAGTTTGAAGCCTTTGGATGTTGAGTTCATGAAACAGCTGCACAACAAGGTTAATATTGTTCCCGTGATCGCCAAAGCAGACGTTCTCACTAGGAAAGAGATGCTCCACCTGAAAAAGAAGGTTTGTTTGTTTTCAAACTACATTAAGTGGAATAAATACATACTCTGAATGAATGAATGAATGAATGAGGTTTTACCCTGAAGTTTTATCATCATTTCATAAAAGCAGATTCTTTATTCAAAATTTTCATGCTAAACAGACCACCAGCAGAACTACTAGACAACAGACTATTCTCTGTTCAGCATCCTACCAAGGCTCAAAGTATCACATTTGGCAAAAAGTACTCGTGTTTGTAATCCGTAGATCTTAACTGATTAGTGTCGAGGCTGTCTGAAATTTTCTAATTGTCCTCCTTGTTGTTCTAAGACTTAATCAGTTTTGGTATCATTGATTGGACTTTTCTCATTTTTAATCAGATTATTGATAATTTTGGTAGTATATTTGGAAACTTTGCAATTGAGATATTTTTTCTAAGTCTTACGTAGGTAGTTTAAGATGTTTCAACCAGAGCGGACGTTTTCAACGTCACATGCTTGTGAATGGTAGCCGTTTTTTGAGTCAGTATCGTCAATACTTTAAGACGACACATTGGTTTCTCTAAACTTACATTTTTTCGTATTTAATACAGGTCATGGAAGAAATAGAAGCGCACAAAATCAAAATTTACCCTCTCCCTGATTGTGATAGTGATGAAGATGAAGACTACAAAGAACAAGTCCGTCAGTTGAAAGAAGCAGTGCCGTTTGCTGTTTGTGGTGCTAATACGCTCCTTGAAGTTCGCGGGAAGAAAGTGAGAGGGCGTCTTTATCCTTGGGGAGTCGTTGAAGTTGAAAACCCAGAACACTGTGATTTTATCAAGTTACGCACAATGTTGATGTAAGCACACTATTTTAAATACATATTTTTTTGCCTTTTTGCTGAATGCTACCTCTTGCAGTTAAATCTGTCTCTTTAAAGGCATTTCAAAGAAGTTTATTTTTTTGCCCAGTGCAGAGTGTCTTTGTGTACAGAAATTTCAGAAAATTCCAAAAAAGTGGAAAAAGAAAGAAAAATTCAAAAGAGAGTTTTCGGTACTGAAAAACTACGTAAAATATTTGAATGATTTGGGAATTTTCCTAAATTTCCTGCCTTACCATAAATAAATATCGAATTCATCAGGACTGCCATTTTTTTAAGTATTGCAGCAAGGAACTCAGATAATAGTTGCAAGAAAGCACTCAGTTCTTAATTTCTATCCAAAACAAGGTATCTACTTAATATCCATTGATGAAGGAAAAGTACTAAATAGTTCTTAGATTTTTCTGAAAATTTCATTTTGCACTTACAGCTCTCTTTGCTATCACAGCAGAATTGACGCCATAGAAACAGTTCTGCCTATATGACAATTCTGACAAAAAAAAAAAAGAACTACTAATCACAATCTACAGTGTGAAATACAAACCTGATAAATGTTTTTTCTCCTCATTCGGCATGTGAGCGTTGCAGTTGCTTACAGAACATTAACTGCCCACCTGATTTTTAAAGGAAAACTGCAAGAAACATGGAGTCTATTATTTACGGTGTAAAATTGTTGAGTTACCAGTTGGGCGGAACTGTTCATACAGTGTTGAAATACACATGCCCCTGTGACCGATGAGGTTCCTGCCATTATTAGCTCCCACCATCAAGAGGAACCTGTCACATCAGTAGAAGGGATTGTTTACTGATGGTACTAAGTATGAGAGGTGTTCAAAATAGAAAAGATGAAATATCTGTGGGAGAGCTTGAAAATGCCAAAAGAACGAATTTAAGGACCAAAGAATTGAGTGCACTGAAACTCTAGGTTTTACACCAAATTTACAAGGTGAATGTCACACTTGGAAATTATAAGCCAAAAGGAGTTAAAAGGCTTTAGAAGCACTGGGGGCCAAAGATGGCAAAAGACCTCAAAAAATAAGTAGCCCAAGCTGATACAGGCCTGCTGACATCACCGGTGATGAGACAAGACTACATATACTAGATTGGGCTATAATCAGTGGAGCTATCAGTTGCAAGTCTGGTCATTAGTTTTATAGGATGATAAGTGAACAAGTTGAAGTTGAAATGGAAAGAGGGACGAAATCCAGCCAACACTAATGACTAGATTGAATATGCATTTAAAATAGGGAAATGAAAGAAAAGCGAGTTGCGGTGCTTAAGGCACACCCAACAACCTTTCCTCCCGTTTTGGCAGTTCAGTCTGATTTTTTTATATTTTATTTCTTTCCAGCACTCACATGCAAGACTTACAGGAAGTCACCCAAGAAGTTCATTATGAAAATTATCGTTCAGAGCGCCTTGCCAAGGGTGCCCCTGTTCCCAAACGAACCACGTAAGCAGCTTTTTTTTTATTTCCATTCATTGGCTTATTCAGCCTTTTAAATTCTATATTATACAGTGTCCACGAAGTATATGATTCAGATCTTAAATCCCACTTGATTTGTTACCATTTTGTGAGAAAAAAAAAACATGTTCGAAGGATCTCAATTTTTTAAGGGTACTTCAAGGTGTTCAATTCAAAGTTTCAATTAGCTGTTTTGCTCCTTTTATATTAATGAAGAACTGCTAAAAACTGGTGCTTCAGGTATCAGAATAGTTTTATAGAATGATTAATTGATTTTCATACATAGACAAGTATACTAGTCAGCACCATCCTGGTACAACTATGCATAGATGAGTTTTCTTGTGCGGTTTATAGGCGCTTGTTTTAGTCATGTCTGTCCGATCTCTCAATGAATCGCATCATGGATATTGTTCTAAAGTTCATTCAAGATTTTTCTGCTGCCCTCCTGTTTGCTAGTACTGCTAGGCGCAGCGGGTAAAAAATGTTAATCTGCAAATGGATTAAAAGCTTGCATGTAAAAAAGTGGATACTCTGGAATCTGCATCTACTTTTCTCTCAATTGTTTTTTTGTCCAGTATGATTTGCTAATTTTTTTGTAAATTTCTCTTGCCTTAATGTGATGTTTTTGTACTTATCAACAGCTCTCTTCCGGACCACGAGAAGACACCAGTATCTGAGAAGGATAAAATTCTCCAAGAAAAAGAAGCAGAACTGAAGCGCATGCAGAAAATTTTAGCTGAAATGCAAGCTCAAATGCAGCAGAAAGCAACTTAAACAGGTTTTATCCTCTTCAATTATTTTCTTTCTATCGTCTCATTATACATAAGCCATATAAATAGTTTTTATACAAGTTTTTTACCATAGCAAAAACTTACTTTAGTTTTGTATATTATGACCACTCAACACTTATTTTTTTAGTGTTGGGAAGAAAGTTTTATCTACTAAATCCCTTAATTCTCAAATATTGAGTCTAAAAAGATTTTAAGTCTTCTATTCTTTACTATTTTATAAGATATGTAATGAAAAGAATATACGTTTTTCTCTCAGTAAATATCGTATGATCGTAATGCCATGAATTTATGATCGCAATGGAAACTTGAGACAACTGAGATTTATGTGCTACCCGGAACCAAATGACAATGTATCTTGTTTTCAAGGTACATTTTAGATTAGGCATCAGCTGAGCAGAATTTTCCGCTCTTGATTCTCACATTTTGTCCTGTTAATCTGAGTCAAGAGTTTTTGACACACTCCGAATGGACGGATTTACACAGAAAAAGGTCAATCTACGTAAGGAATCCATTGCACATAGACCTGTTTTGCGTAAATTCGTCCAAATATAAGATTTCATAATTTCTCTATGTAAGACTTGCGAATAATTCGTATTCATTAGAGGAATAAAATATATTTTTTTGTAAAATCTATTTTATTTCCGTGGTAGTTTTAAAATCAGATTCTTCATCATTCTCCAGAATTTGTTTCTATACATTTTATTTTGTAGTATTTGACAAAATTACATATAGTTTGTCTTGTATCCCCCTATAAGATCTAGGGCAGAAAATTTGCGAATTAAGAGAGTTGCAACAAGTGCATTTTTCTCTTTAATTTGAGGTGTATCCAGACACTCTGACTTTCCAACGTATCAGCAGAAGTTGATCTCCTCATCTTTTTCCCACCAATTAGATCTGTATGACGAAGTACCATGTCAACATACCTCTTGTTACAGAAATTACTTCTGATAAGGCCAGGCAAAGAGCGATTTTGACGATTGGCAAGGTACCAAGTGCCATAAAGTTTACAGAAATGCACAAAAGCACAAGGGGTCAAATTGTTGGGGGAAAAACACCGGGAAACACAGAGAATCTAATGAACTGATAGGATAAAAATGGGTTCCTTGTGCACATAATTCCCATCAACCAGAGTCATCTATCATAAGTTTCTGTCCACACCTGTGGAATTTTGGCCAACTGGCTGAAAAATTACTGAATTTGGTTAAATCCTGGCTCAGCAAATTTATGGCGCTATGTCATCAGGAAACTTCTTTTTAGTCCTTCGCATTCATTGTTTTCGTTTGATTTTTCCCCTAGTTTATTCTCACTGTAACAATGCCAGTGCGACCAACAGCATCGGCCTTATTAGATTTTATCTGTCTAAACAAAACTCAGTGTATCAATATCTCTCTGGCAGGGATTTGTTTGCACAGCTCAAATGGCCCAGCGAGACCAAGGAAAAAACATGGCTTACATGTCATGGAACCACAAGTCAGAATAATTTTTTTGTTCTGAAAAATGAAGCACATCTTTTCCGCAAAACCTGAGAATGAAGATTTAGGCTATAATTCTGCGCATAAATTGATCTGTTCACGTTGTGTAAACAAATTCTATCTAGTCAAGTTCTGCCTCAAAACATATTGCCTACATGAACAAAATGTGTTCAAAGCCTTTTTTAATGTTTGGAGGCATCTGGTCATGTAGCGACTGATAAAATTTTATGTAAAATTCCCTCTTTATGTGAAGTTTTTATGACTGATTGTTGTCAATCAACTCATCTGTATTTACTTGCCATTTTGAAATTTTTGCCATGTATCCAATGAGTCAGAACACAATCTTTGGGTAGATTCAATTTTCTGTGTGATTTTTTTTGCAAAAGCTTCACCATGATGCTGATCTCTTCTGTAACTGATGAAATACTTCCTGAAAATTTTACTTTTTTTAGCTAATAGATCTGAAGAACCACTAACTTTACTTTATCAATTTACATACCTAGGTATCTATGCTAACCCCCACAAATACGCTTAGAATATTATTTTTGTATTTGCATTTTGGAGAATATTTTATAAGTCTTATCTTTGACTTTTTTATTTTAAGTACCTACATACCGAGCCTGATTTTTAATGTTTAATTGTGGAAAAGTCTTCTCAGGGTTTATATTGTTGCCTCTTTCACGTAAGGGCGTATCTTTTTTTCCAAGTAAGACCTGATAAGTATGAAGTGATATAAATAACAGGGCTCACATGGAAAGTGAGATACGTCCTAATGTCAGAGGAGCAACAATATGAGGTTTTTCCAATATCTCTGATCAGAACTATAAAATGAAGAGGGGGCGTTAATATCTACAGAGGTTGTCCCAAAAGTACTGCACGTTTTTTTTTTTTTTTGGACGAACGGTAGCAGATATCAAAAAGCAGTTTGTGTAGTCTTACCGAGCAATTACCGATAAAACAAGACAAATCCGAGCTCTCTAAGTCAAAAAATGATCAAGTTACAGTGTTTTGAAAATGACTTGTAGAGGTGACCCCTCCAGGATTTTTAGCCTCTTTTCTGGAAAAAAAACAAAGATTTGATTGATCAAACATTCCACAGAGAAACCATCGCGATCGATTGAAGTTGGCAACATGGTATCAGCCCGGAACTCGCACCTTGCGATTTTTGGTCATTCCCTACGTTAAAAAAGGGCTTAAGAGGCAGGAAGTTTAACTCCATCAACGAGATAAAAAGAGCTATTGAAACTTTCTTAAAGAACATCAGGCAAGAAGAATTCGATAAAACATGTTTGAAGAAGTGGGAAGAACGGTTGCGGCGCTGTGTGGCAAGTGATGGAAGGTATTTTGAGAAGGAAACTAGTGTCCAGTTGTCCAGTGAAGAAGAGGAAATGCTAGTAATCTTGGTAAGATTCTGTAAAATTGATTTAATGAAACCACTTGAATCTTTAATTCTTTGTTTTTTTTTCCAGAAAAGAAGCTAAAAATCCTGTAGGGGTCACCTCTACAAGTCTTTTTCAAAACACTGTAACTTGGTCATTTTTTGACTTAGAGAGCTCGGATTTGTCTTGTTTTATTGTAATTGCTCGGTCTTTAAGACTACACAAACCGCATTTTTATATCTGCTACCGTTCGTCCAAAAAAAAAAAAAAAAAAAAAAAAAAAAAAAAAAACGTGCAGTACTTTAGGGACAACCTATGTAAAAATAACACAATAAGTTTACATACTCACATATTTATCGTGCAATCCGTCCAGCCATTTTCTTTCTTCAAGTCGCTACACTTCAATACAAAATTATTTTTTTATAATATTGTCATTCCTCATCAGGATTTTTCTGCTACCTACATCTTTAGTTTTCGTTCCAATGACTGGCTAAATAGAGTAACGGATATGATCATAAGACACAATGACATGCATGTGTACTTGCACATTTATACGTAGACTTTCTGTACAACACTTTCTCTAGCACCTCAACATGTTTTTTTAGAATGAAAAAATGAAACTGCCAAGAAAAATACTTACTCATAGTTAGTGCAATAAAGGAGTGTTAATTATTATTTACAGCCGACTGAGTTATAACATTTTTGCTATCTATGAAAATTCGGTAGTCATCGAATTTGTAGAATCTTTTACACTCATGAATTTCACCATTTTGGCTAGTGCTGATGCATTCTTGCACTACTCGCTCTTGTATTAAGTCAGTAAATTTAGTTCGGAGGGAGTATACATTTAATATGAAGCAGAACCTCAGCTGAAGAAGAAATATTGAAATCACTAAATTTAAAGTCCTATCATTTTCCCTGCTTAAGCAATGATTTTTTTTAAGGGCACCCCTCAACGTCTACAGTATAGGAAAAATTGCATTTATAATGATTAGAAACAATATAAGTACTGAGAATCCTAATTTACAAGTTCAGCCTTTAATCAGAAAATTTAAATTTTCATGGATATTTTTGGAGATGTTTTGAAAACTTATTGTAAGCTTCATTATTTTTTTAGTGCAAGCTATTTAATATTCCTTGTATCAATTATTGATAAAAGAATAAAATATTTTCCAATGATAATGAGTTTTTTTTTTGTTTTTTTTTTCAGCTTCAACTTAGTAATAAGCAACTATTATCTTTTTATGGTCAAAATTTTTTGATAACAAACTATTGTATTTTTTGAGAACACCAATTTTTATTAGGGACTCCCTGATATTGGGAGAGTGATACTTTCATGTTTGGCCCTCTTTAACTGGTGTCCTAGAACGAACCCAACTAACTAATATTTTTACATTCAGAATGGCTAAGACAATTTGCAGGCCTGAAGAGAGGCTTTTCCGAAGATCATTCTGTTAAGTTAAAAGTTACGCCCCTGTAGAGAAACTTGCAGTCAGTAATATGCTGACTAATTGTGGCTTTTCAACTGATTTTCAAACAAAGCCTCCATCGGTTTTTTATTTTACTTGTGAATGTAAATGTAGAGAGAATAAATATTAAAAAAGGTTTACAGGACTAATAATTGAGGTATGATCCCACTACATCTTGGGCTAGTTACTAGTCCATTCATTTCTTAACTGAAAACAAGAGTTAAAAAAAAAAAAAAATACTTTTTTTAACCGGGGAAGGTTACATAAATGAGTATCTTCACCTGCCTTTCTGCATAGTTTCAAGGAAGGATGAGGCAAAATTGTTAAGACAACATTAAAAATGGTACTTTTTATTAAAATATATAACAAAAATCAACTAAGTATTAGTCATGATTAGATACTTGAACAAGGTATCTAGTGATATGTAATAACAAATGCTTACCTTAAAAATAATGAATAGCATAAGAAACAAGGCAAACAGTATGAGAGAATTCCAAAGACAGGCAGGCAAGCTGAGTCATTACACAATTACTACTCTTAGTGCAGGAATTCTTGAAAAATGATAATCATCCTACAACTTTCAAAGCTGAAGAATTTTAAGTTAAAAAATTGAGGCAAGGAATTAAAATTCTTTACCTGAATTGAATTCAGCAAAGAGAAAATCGACAGCGCAAGTCCGCAATCACATATCTCGTTTGCGGTGTCTGAAAATCTCCGCCTCTGTTATTTTTTTAAAGGAAAACACATTGGCATTATTCCTTGAAGACTTTGCAGAATTTTCTTCGCACAGAGAAGAAAAGTCACGACAGTTTTAAAGAATTGCTATTGAGTCGTTTTCCGTTTAAAAAATTAAGTATGACAGAAAGTCTGCAATGTTGCAAACCGAGTTGTGTGATTGCAGACTTACATCGCCAAAATGTCCCCTGTTTGAAAGAGAAAAAAGAAAAACAATTGAGTACGTAATTTTACAATAATTACCATGAGCTGAGGTTGTAAGGGCACAGCTAAGACAGCCTTGTGATTTTATTTTGAAGTATGAGACAAAAGTCACTTAATAATTTTCAAATGAAGGCCTCATTGTCTAGAGTTAAGTCCTTTCTAAAATTATGATCGATTTATCAACACGTATACATATTTCTGGAAAAAATATCATCCTGGACATTATTAGGATTCTTTTTATTGACGACAATAACTAAATGATGGCAGGAATATCTATACCGCCTTGCCCAATATAAATATCATAATTTCTCTTTGGCCTTGGCTGAGCCACAGAAAAGTGCGAAGGCTGTTAATGTAAGGAATCACTAAGTACCATATTTTTCTGCGCAGCGCCCATAACGACGATAATCTCTCTGTGGCGAAAAAAAGTACGATTCTTTGATATTTTACTGTATAGAAAATTCAACCATCATACTTAGCCGCACAAAACGTAAACGGCAGATATGAATTACATGAATATGGAAGTTTTCTATCACTGTCACACATTATTGGAGGTATGTCGGACGAGCCTCATAATACTCATATCACTTAGACACCATTGACAAAACTTAAAGTAAATTTTAGGATTTTTGGTCCGCAAAACACCACCACTTCAATAGGTGACTTAATTGTAAGTTTCATCCAGATTTTTTTTTTTTTTTTAAAAAAAATCGGATTCGCAGGAGTTGAAACTTATTTCATGAGTATATTATCAAATTTTGAGATCAAAATGACCTAAAATGAGAGTCACAGTATAGCCGTTAAAGGCTCCACTTATTGTCTCATTGAGGGTAAAGGTTAGCGATATTACATTTGATTCAGCCTTTACCTTTGGGCACTCTGCTTAGAAGTTTGATCACATCATATTCGAGACCCTTCTTCACTTCCTCTGGATCAGATTCTTGGAAAGCAGTCAAGGCAAGACTCAATGATTGTCATATATCTAAGGAAGCTAAATACATATAGGTAGGACAAATGTTCATACTCTCCTTAACATTTCTTCATAAAAGAAAGCATGATTGATTCTTTCCTTACAGCAAGATAAATTATAAATGTTTTCGTGTTCATTGTGATTTGATGAGAGCCAATGAAGAGGTATGACATTCCTGACAAATCTCTTCGGAAGAAATTTAGAAAAAAAAATGTTTATTTCTAAATAAATAATGACTTAATCTCATACTCATACTGCTAAAAAGAAGGATACATAAAAGGGGAGAAGAACATGAAATGAAAGCTTGATAACAGAAATGGAAGCTTGAACTAAATCCTGATATCGCTAAAGCATTTTTATGTTTCGATAAAAATATGTAAGAATTCAGGAAGCCATCAAACCTTTTACAAAATAATTTTACTGAATCATATTATATTGAAAAAAATTATGTAACTATTAATACTAGAGAATCAATAATAAATCAGTGCAGAAAAATTAAGAAATTAGACGGAAAAACTGCCCAGGTAAGGCTCGATCGGATTTCATGGGTTTACTCTTTAGGGTGCACGCATCTTTAAACTCAGACATACATAATTTCACGATTTAGCAACATAAGAAAAGGAAAGTATTTTGTAAAGTGGAAGACTAGTTTATAGACTAGTAATAATGAAAAAACTTTCAACACCCTCTTTGTAAAACCCGATTGTGCCACTCAGGCCGTTCTCCTACCTTAACTCCACAATTTAGACCGTTGCCTTACGTTTAGACTGCATAATGGACCACCGAACAAGGAACGAACTTGAGCATCTTGATATAAGCTTTATTTTAAAAATTTCACACAGAACACGTTTTGAACATTTTAAATTACCTCCTAACCAGAATATTTAAGTTTTCATTCAGCACTGATTACAGAACCGACTGATTGGGAGTTAATTTCAGTAACTTTCTTCGCACAAGTTGTGTTCTCCGTGAAATTTTGATGGGAAAACATAATGCTTGAATTCGCACTTTGATTGGTGGTCCATTCAGAAGTACTTCATGGACTGAGATACAGAAATCTTTGAAATTTTCTCTGTTAACAACACCACAACGAAGATTTCACTACAAAGTAAAGGGAAAGAAGTGTTACCTAAAATAAGGTATGACTGCATACCCCTCTTGATCTAACATTAACATTTTGATCGCGGCAGATTCTGGAATTAATTGTACAAGAGAAATTATTACAAGATTTAGTTGAAGATTTGAGATGATTTAGTAGATTATATTGCTGTGAAATAGCAAAACAGCAAAATATTTGGAGTGCTGAAAAACTTCACAGTACAAAAATTATGAACTTGTGGAGCTCTGGGCAAAGGTTAGAGCATTCAGAAAAAAACATTCACACCCAACGGCAACATGATTCCCTTTTTTCATCTGAAGTGATGTTACAGAGAAAGTTTTTTATGAGCTTGCATCTAAGTCAATTAAAAAAATAAGGGATGATAAAACCTCCACACGCACACATTTTTGATGCGAGGATTGACATTTTCATACAAAATTTAGCTTTCCTCAATGTAATATAAAATTTTTTAAGTGCATGAAGTTCATTCATACATTAATACAATTCACAAATAAATCTAAATCATTAATTTTTATTTTTTTAAAAAAAAAACCTGGTTTCTGCAGAACCCTTCATCAACTCAGCTGACTTTATAAAATAGTTCTTAACTCGATAAAATCTAAAAATTTACTTCTGAACATATTCAAATGGCAAAACATAATTACATGATCTAGAAATTAAACAATATCACAGTTGAGTGTTCATAACAAAAATTTAAATACAATTAAAAAACCACACATTTACAAAAAAGTTGGAAAATTGCCTCTTAAAAGAGCCTCTTAATGTTTGAGAAAACGACCACTAATGGTTAAGTGAATTTAATACACATAAAAAAGTATCATTTTCTAAAATACCATACCCACTATCTGAGTATTTCGGAGATTTCTTTCTTTCATACAATTAGCCTAAATCTCAAACAGAACAAAAAATATCCCGCTTTAAAAGAAGCCTATAACAGTTAGGACTGAACAAAATTAGGGGCAACAGAAAATAAGATGTGGGGGGGGGGAGTGGGGATTGAATGAGGTATTGAGAACGATATTTTTTTTGGAAGTTAAAGAAAGCTTTATCCTCCAAATCTAAAGCATTTTAATAACCTCTAATAGGCTCTTACATTTTTTCTGTTGATTAGATCTTGAGAGGCATATTGGACATTTCTTGAGAAAAAAAGCAACAGCTTTAAAAACATGAACTTATCTAAAAATAAAAAGGGTTTGGGTGTGTCCAAAAATATAAAATTTTATAAAAAAATAAATCATTTTTGGTAAAATTTGATCTAGATTTTTTAAATTTTTATCATACATAAAATCCATTTAAAGAAAAACAACTAACTACAAAAACTGGTAAAATTTTAGAACAAAGCAGTGAGGATACAAGTTAGGTAAAATCCGATTTTAGGAAAATATCAAAAGATGATTCACTTCAATAAAATTCTTGAAAATACTGGAAGAAAATATTCATTCGAATAAAGAGGCACAATAAAATTTAAAATTGAGCAAACAATGAAGATAAACTTTTCAGATTTAAAAGTCTTATGGAAGATAGAAATAGAGTTAAGAGCTAAAGAATCTTTAACTTCGTCCGAAAAATTTTCTTTTGAGGTTCAGAATTAGTTTTTACACCCAACTCTTACTGTTGTGCATCTTATTTGAGTTCTGAACCTCTTGTTCGATAAAACAAAAGGCATTGCTTTGAGTTCTAGCAGATTAATTTGGACCTGCCTCCAGCGATGGTTCAAAAGTAGTTCTGTTCTATCGAAAATAATTTATTTCCTTCATCTGATTGCTAAAAATGTTGACAGCTGATGAGACAGCGCTTACAGGTTTCAAGCCTCAAAATAAACTTTACTCATTTTTTATCAATTTGAGGTATCACAGGAAAACTGTGCAACAATCTCTCTGGTGGAAATGCAATCTATAACGGGTTAGTTGCGCTAATGATAGAATTGAGTTTTGATGATTTAAGCTTACAGATTAGCAACAATCAATGAGATATGTATAAAACGCTGAACTGTATCCAATATTTACTGAGATATCGCCCATCAAAAAACATGGCGTATGGCATCATCCACCGCAATGGTGCATATGATAGTCTCTTTTACCTTGATTAAATCAACCACTGGTACACATTTTTGGTGTGGTTGAGCAGTGAAAAACACAAATGAAATCAAGGTGAAAAAAACAACAGTATGCTTTACCACGGTGGATGACGTCATATGGCATGTTTTTTGATAAATAATATCTTCATGGATATTTGACACAGAAATTTGGAGTTTAAATATATTATCATTTATATTTTTCATTGTTGCTAATCTATATACTGAAACCATCAAAACAAGATTCTATGAACAGCCCAACTGATCCATTCTTTGAGTTCTGTACCTCATACTTGACATTAAATATGGCTATGAACTTTTTTATACATATAGAGGCCTTTAAAATACATGCCTATAAAAAATACAAAGAGCTCAATTTTTCCAAAAATGTGGCTGCAATTCTTTAACTCTTAACCAATTACAAGATGATGGAGGAGAACATTGCAGCATTATTTCTCCTTCAGTTAAAATTTATTCAGAACTGCACGGAGAAATAATGATAACAAACAAGTGAAACAAGTTTCATACGTTCAATAATAAAACTCAAGAGATATTATGATTCACTGTGCTATATTGAATCTAGTGTCATTAATCTATCATGCATTACGCTTCATCTGCGTAGCCAATTTTCATTTGAGTGTTTCCATTAACCGGTGCCGGTGGCTAACTTGAAACCAAAGCCTCACTTCATGCTTTGCCACATGAATCTCAGTGGAGCTAAAACTAGTTCTTCCAGCTGGTAATACGCATCAAATATTTTCATGGTGAAGGTAAAGAAGTTATTTGAGAACATTGTCCTTAAAAGGATATTGATCACTGAACTCAAAAGGCACGAACCAATATATTTCTGAGGTCCCAAGCCCCAAAATCCAACATAATTGAAAAAAGTTTACCAATTCAATATAACAGAGCTATTAATTGAAAAGAAAACTTTTGATTGCTGACAGCGAATTTGGTGACAAATGTTTACCTCGTAAAAACTCTTATGCTGCATTGCTCTGTGTTCCAAGTTTCCTTACATTATTTAATGAGCTTATACAGTGGTCGTTTCACATTTTTCTCCTGCAAAAATATGCAGTTGCAAAAGCGAAATTTAGTTGATCAGAAGCTAGCCATTTTAAGCTGTTTAAGAGTTGTATGTTGAATTTAGATTTAGAGTTGAGTAACCGCTTAAAAAGTATATTTTTTCACACATTTTTGCACAGGAAAATTGATTTTGAATGATTTGGCCTTTCAATTGTCATCAGCTTACTGACTAAAAAAAATCCTTTAAAATTAAAAAATTATGCATTTTGTTCCTTTTAAAGTATCTCAAACATAAAAACAGCAAAATTCCCATAAAAAACATAAAAACTTAAGCTAAAACTTTCAATTTTTTGATACAGAACATTATTGAAGTTCCCTTTGAATTTTTGTCACAGTGACCTTTGCAAGGCATGAAAAAAATAGTGCAAAACTAGAGACTTTCTTTCAATAGGATTTCAAAATTAAATTATTTTACCTCGTTTTCGATAAAAAGGAGACAAAAGCTTCGATTCCACTTGTTCTTTAGCCCAATTGGAAATTAGGGGCACAACTTTGAAAGACTTGAAAGATATGACTGTTAACAGGAGTGTAGTCTCATTCTACCTCAGCACGGTTGCTTCGTGTAATTCCTTCATCCACCTGAAAAATAATTGTGGTGATTACATTTAACGGGAAGATGTAATTTCAAATTGTTTTTATAAAAACCAATGAATTTAGGAGAGAAAATTTAAGGAAATGAATTCAAAATGGCAAAATGAAACTTATCTTTCATAAACCTGAGTGTGCAGACAGAATGTTCTTAAGCTTGCAACATATTTTTCCTCAATAAAAACCTTCTTGTTTGGAATAGAATAGAAAATTTGTAAGGTATGCGGTGCAAGAGTTCCTGTGTGCTTTTGGTTGCTGAATCCAAAAATGCACTTGGTTTATCTCTGTTATGCATAGATTCTACGGGAAATATAATTTTTTCCTTGATAAGATCGATTTTTGGAGGACACTCCGTTTTTTCAAGCAAACAGCGAACTGACAAAAAATCAATTCCAAAATTTTTGGCCAAAAAATGATGGCTTTCCTCGGCAGATTTTACTATGAAATACAATGCAGTGTTTGAATAATCTGAAAACTGTATCAGAAAGTGAAGCGGCAAAGAAGAGTGAGCAACCATTGTGATTACAAAACTTTTAATTAAATATTTTTCAAGACTCATTCACACGAATTCGTTAAGACTTCTGCCTTTGAATCTAGCTGAACAGTGGGTATGCAGTTACAAGAGACTATGGATAGTAAGATTTTGCTGACCGTCAACTAACCTCTTGGCAGCATCTCTGTTATCGGCACAGAATGTCATTGGTTTTCGACCAGGATGAACTAGTTGAAAGACACGCTTGGAATCAGATACTTCCATGAGATCCTGCTAATAAAGACCACACTCTTTTTATGTCTCAAAGTAAGTAGAGTAAGTATTGAAAGTAATTGGTGAGTAATTAGTAATTGGTACCTCTGGACACAATTAGAATTACAGCACCATAGAAGCTTGAATGGATAGAGTTAAGCTAAACAATATCATCTACATGGTGGTGTTTCAAAACTTCATCTACTAATTCAATTTTTTGTAAGGAAACCGACCAACATTTGGACGTATTTATGCTAAAAGGAACTATATGGAAGTGGAAAGATGGGGTGTGCTTGTGGAAGCTGCATAAGAAACAATGTAAAAGTGGATATAGTTCCTTTTGATAAAATGGAAAAAAGGGATTTGATATTAAATCAAAGAAAACTGAACTCTAGCTCGTGAGTCTTGGGCATGTGACAAGAGCATTATGCACAGGGCTCATGAGTTAAAGACTGACGACCTAGCCGTTGTTGCGCCCGGTCCTCACAGCTAATGTCACTGGCGCTTTAAAGTCCCGTTCATTCTTGTGGCCCAAGCACTGAGTTCACCCTATCTGTCCACTTGCACACAGTTCCATTTCGCATAAATACGTCCATTTTTACTTGTTTTAAGGAAATAACCTCCATGTGGAATTTTCGAGTAGGGATTTTGGTTGGATCCTTCCTAAAAATGAAAATAGGAGATAAGATTTTGAAACACCGTAATGTACACCTGACTGTTTAGCCTCACTCTATCCAAGAGTTTCTTCATTCAAATTCATGCAGAACAAATAGAATATATTTGAAAACTTCTGAAATCAACGTATTAATAGCATCATTAACATCATTCATTTGAAACTTCTTGTTTGCTAATACAACTGAAACTTGCATGGTTAGATTGTGGGGAAAAAATTCATTGTTGAGCAACAAGAGTAAGATTTCATACAAAAATCCTCCATCTCCTGAAGCAGATAGCTTGTCAATTAGTCAAGAATGACTCCGCACTTGGAGAAATTTATTTCTTCATTAAGCATACTAAAATTGGTTCAGTGCCAGGATTTTGGTTCTTTTGCTCCTTCTAGGACGAAATTGCTGGTTAGCGGAGAAGTTATCACTTTGTTGCAGAAAGACCAGAAACAGACTTTGGCATGAAGCAAATATCGAGTAGCAAATTTGACATGACAATTACTGACCTTCTAAGTCTTTTTGTAAGTTTACTAGGGGGTCTTACTGTTGATGAGGTTATTCAAACAAATCTTTGACAGGAAGCTATCAATAACGCTTAGTTCCGAAATGCGAATTTACTTCCATAAAGACCCTGTTGTCGGAAACAGCCGGCTCTAGCGAAACTGCATTAACCTATAGTTAAAGTGTGGTTGCCAGAAAAATATGTCTGTTGGGTTGATTGGCCCTTAAAACTGATAAACGAGGCAACAGCTCATTTTAATCAGCTCTGAAAACTTTGATTGCTTTTGGTAAGAGTCTCCTCATCGTTACTACTTCTTAACAGAACTATTTTGAGGCTTCCTGAAAAGCGATAAGACACCTCTATCAACCGATCTTAGGAATAATCTTTTTGAGTGAATCTTAAAGTGACCTAATATGTTCAATGGATACTTTTTCTGAAATATCTACATACCATTTGGTAATAGTCAAAACTTAGAGGAGTACTGCTCCTAAAATGTATTAAATATTGAGTGGTAGAGTGAAAATATACCTCTTGAGAGTCTTCCACTTTAAAACCGAGAACAGCAATGCTACCAAGGGCAACGACGTCCTCAGAGGCTTTGTAAAAGTACAGAGCTTGGTCCTTCAACACAAACCAGAATCGTTTCCAAGAGCGTTTTTCTTTCCGATATAACAGCCAACCACTCATCTGAGAGCCTGAATCGTTTGCTGTCACCTGTTGAAAAATGCAATATTTGAAGATTTAGATCTGGTAAACCCCAAGAAACATCAAAATAATGCTCAGCTGAAAGCATAAACACTGAAATAACCAAATACCGTCCTATCTTTGGGACAACAAGGTCACTTGTGCCTTTTATTAAACCGATAAAAAGTATGAAATAATACAAAAAGACTACAAACTTTAAACACCTGGTTTTTGGGCAGGTAAGAAGCTGAACGTTTTTACCTGGTCCACTCATGGGAATTTACTCACATAGTGACAATGCTTTAATACAATTTTGAAAGATTTCTCGCAGCTGATCTTACATACTAGGTATTTGGAATCTTCTTGGCAAGAATGAAACATCAACTTCTCATTTCATGCGATAAATGAGGGGTCAATATTGCAATGTTCCTGTTCCTGTGCACAGGAACTTTCTCAGGAAACTTTGATGCAGAAACACATACATATGCACACATTTAAAAAAAAAACCTTTTTACCTCGTTACTTGCACGGACACATAGAGAGTTATAATCAATCACATTTTGAAGACCCATCCGTAAATTCCCAGTAACTTATCTAGGAACGTTCCGGGGAATTCCGATTCTCTTTCCAACTATCCTGAGAAACTTGTTATTTATGATGGGTAAAACTGAACCATTAAAAGTAGCTAATACTTGCAATGTACAATTAACAACTGACAGTAGTCAAAAACCTTGAATTTTTGAGACGCCTACAACAAAGTTTTAAACTGGGCAGCGATGTCTAGAAAACTTCTAGAAAATTTGATAACTTGCAAAATTCAATTCGATGTGGGCACGATTATTCAATGGCACCAATCTAATCATCTTCCATATCTTGGAAAAAGGTTTTCTATGCAGGAAATGCAGCGCAGGTTGCACAGGGAAATTCTGGTATGCAATTTTCTGTACCACACAATGTTGCGGTACAACTTCACATGTGAATTCGAAAATTATATTACACAATACCTACCTCTCTTAATCTTTGAGGAATCTCTTGAATTTTTTTGAATTTTTTGGAGCCACCTAGCGTTGCTCTCTTGAATAAGTTAAATATGTCTTCTAAAGCAGAATCTACAGATTCAGAACTCTTCAAATTGAAATCTTTTTTGATTGCTTCACGAAGTTGACTAGACGGATTCACAAACTCTACAAAAATACGCAAAAAAAAAGAGACAGTGATTAAACCCAAACAAGTTACCACAGAAGAAAAAACCTTTGAGAGTTTTTCCAAAAATTTCTATGCTAGGCCTTCAAAGTTACTGCGTAAGAATAAAGCTGAATAAACTTGAATGAAATCATCTAAGAATGGTCCATTAAAATGATAGCAGTCGTTTTTCGTTGACTTTAGTAATATTAGGGCAAACTTATAATTTCAATTTGAAAGCACAACAAAGAGCCTTTCCCCTAATTTTTCAATTCAACAGAGGACTTTTGCTTCATCTTTTCAGCAAATATAGGCAAAAATAATAGCGGCGCTATTGATGACTTTTCACGATGAATCTTTGACTTCTCAGACTAAGCAACTGCTCTAAATATTTCTTTTTTCTTCCTACGGTGGAATTTATGTACATTAAGTTGCAAATGTAATTTAAAATACAAATAAAGAAAATTATGATCCTACCTTTAATCAGTATATTGAAACAATCTTCACAAACTCTTTCAGCTTGGAATTTCATATACTGTAAGGGTGCTTTGTAATCAGAGCAGTTTCCACAAACAACCTAAAATTATACAAAAATCAGAGATAGGAACTTAAAAACAGAAAATAAAAGAGACATAAAAATGAAGGGGGAACTGTTGAAACTTAAAAGGAAAGATGTCAAGTAAAAACATTTTCAAACTGTACACAGGGTGCACTGATCTTTTTTGAAGAGGCTTCAAGTAATTTATAATATCTCAAAATAACGCAAAAGTTGAATGGGTTCGTGTAAGCTACAGATACAGTAGCGGCTCCCATTTTTGTCGTCGGAGATCTCTATAGGCTTGACGGGGTCGCTATTGCCCTTAGTAACTGTAATTGAGAGTAGCCTGTGCTGAGCTAAACTTTTAGAAATTAACAACATAAAATCTTAAAGTGTACTTAAAATTCGTTCTTGGTAATCTGTCAGATTTTTTCTGCAACAAATCCCTAAGTCAAACCCTTTTTGTCTTGAGAACATTAAAAACCACTACATTTACAACTTAAAATGCGCTTTTCTCAAAACTTAAAAATTTGACATCTGTTCTTGTTATAGATACAGGGTGATCCAAAAGTCCCTTCCACCCCCTCTAACTTTTTACCTAATTGAGATAAAGATTTGAAACTTGGGAGATATTCCTACTTCAAAGGGAGCTACTTTTTGGCACCCCTAAAATTTTCAGGGGGGCCCCCCTTGGGGGGGCAACGGCCCCCAACTTTGAATTTTCAAATGGGAAGACCCCCTTTGTGATAGCTCGTTCGAAAGAGCATAAAAAAAGAAAACTTTTCGCGCAAACCCGAAGTCAATATCTCAAACCCTTTCAAAATGGCGGCCGGTTAAAGTTCAAAATGGCCGAAATTTCACACCGGTTATTTTTCGATGGATTTGCGCGAAAATCGGTATGTAGGGGTATTTTGACACGAGAAAAACGAATTTGACGTTAGATTATCAAAAAAAACAAAATTTTCAAAATGGCCGCCGGTTAAAGTTCAAAATGACCAAAAATTTATTTTTCATAAATCTAAGTTCAAATGTGTTTATCTTATGCCAAATTACTCTCAAATTCCAAGTTTTAGGCAAATCCATCAGGAAAAACCCAAGGTGACAATTTTCGGCCATTTTAAACTTTAACCGGCGGCCATTTGGGAAATTTCGGTTTTTTTGAAAATCTAACGTCAAATTCGTTTTTCTCGTGTCAAAATACCCCTCCATACCGATTTTCGCGCAAATCCATCGAAAAATAACCGGTATGAAATTTCGGCCATTTTGAACTTTAACCGGCCGCCATTTTGAAACGGTTTGAGATATTGACTTCGGGTTTGCGCGAAAAGTTTTCTTTTTTTATGCTCTTTCGAACGAGCTATCACAAAGGGGGTCTTCCCATTTGAAAATTCAAAGTTGGGGGCCGTTGCCTCCCCAAGGGGGGCCCCCCTGAAAATTTTAGGGGTGCCAAAAAGTAGCTCCCTTTGACCTAGGAATATCCTCCAAGTTTCAAATTTTTATCTCAATTAGGTAAAAAGTTAGAGGGGGTGGAAGGGACTTTTGGATCACCCTGTATAACCTCATATTCTAATTTCACCTTGAGACCCCTCAGGATCTGCGGCCCACAGATTGAGAATCACTACACTAATTCAAGAGATATCCTAAGTGAAAATCCCGAACCACATATCAAGGTTTGCGACGTTGTAGACTTCCTATCATACTTTATTTTTTATCTGGAAAACCGCTCAACGACACTTTTTAAAAATTGCAATAATTTTTCTCCTCTTTGCAAAGAAACACTATGAAAAATGTTAATTTTTTCTTCTTTAAATGAATAAAATAGAAGTGGAGATTTTAAAACACAGGAAACGAGATACGCTGTTTAAAGGTTTCATTGTCAAAGTGCAAAATTAAATAATAGTGCATACTTTTCCACATGCTCTGCAATGATGCCTCCGGAATGTCACTGTGAATTCAGCTGTGCATGATTGACACATGGTTACTCTTCCATCCTGGATCCAAACAGGCGCCTTCGTAAAACAGAAACGAAAGATTATTATTATCATTAGAAACAGAAGAACAGAAGATTAAGTGAAAAAGTTCAATCAACCAAAGAATGGAACACCTACTCACTGTCTCGAGAGGGAAGAGGGCATTCTTTATTAATCCGGAAATTATTTTCTAAAATTAGATAGATTTCTATTGTGGATGATAGAAGCTTTAAGAAAAATATTTCATCGTATAGAGGTTACTGAGATGATAAAAGTTTTAATCAATTTCGCAGGAAATTCCACAGGGATGATAGATGTATTATACATGTTGCTAGTTTGGGTAATATTTGCTCTGCTTTTAACCATACAATGGAAAAAATCACTTGCAAAGAATAATTATTCTTTTAAAATTCATTAGTGTATAATGTATATAATTTTTTAGAGCAACTTTTCGACATTTGCAGTGATTTAAGGGTTAATAAAAAAAAAAAAAAAAAAAAAAAAAAAAAAAAAAAAACACTTTAACAGAATCATTCATCATTTGTGGTGGATGAAGTAATTTCTTTCATTCAAGTTTTACGTGATCCAGTACACAGTGCAGGTGACATTCATTAAGCCCACAGCAAATATAGGAGCAAGGATAAGTTAGGACAAAATCTATAAATCTAACCTCCTTGCCAATTTTGAATTCACCACCATTTTGCGTGACACTGGTGGGTGCTGCTTTCAAATTCAGAAAACTTAGTTGCCGTTGGATGTTGTCCCTGATTGCACTTTCTAATGCTTCCACCCACTCTTGACGCTCTATTTGTGTCCTGGAACAATTATTTATGACTATTAAACACAGTTTCAAATTAGTAATTGTAGGTAGGAGTGCAGAAACTTCCTGATAATGATAATGATCATGTGGCCGCTTGCATGAAAAAATGGAGAGGCTGTGAAAATTGGGAGGGCTAGCTTGTAATATCATTAAAATTGTGTTTTTTGTAGAATCGCATAATCTCACGCTTACGGCCCCAAAAGTCCCATCCCCCTCAGTTCCTAACCAAGTCAGTCCCAGGTAACCGTTGTTTGTGAGACCTTCAAATTTTGGTCACCTGGCCGAGATGAAACCTAGGACCTCCCGATCATAGAGCAAGCGCTACAACCACTACACCACCGGAGACCAACAACTGGTCGGCAGCGTATCCGGGCAAAAAATTTTTTGCATGATTTGGCGACTTATTAGAGTGAATTTTTCAAAAGAAAGTTGAAATTCGGATTCAGTGTAAAAAAAGTGAGGGGAACACTCTTCAATGAGAGCTCCATAGATTTCTCTAGAGGACCCTAATTTCTTTTGGCCTTTATTAACTGCTGAGTGAAGACGCACAAAAAATTGCTGCAACTAGTAAAGAAATCAAGTTCTGATGGTGAAATGAAAAATGGTGATTTCAAAATTTCATGGAGTATCAACGAAATGAATGATTGTTTAGGCAGCAAAAATCCCCATTAGCAGAAAGTACAAAAAACAAAAAGTCAATCGGTAAAAATCGAATTATAACTGCAATGAATATTATAACCATAAATTGAGAAATTAGAAGTTAAAAAAAAACTGCTTACCTGGCTCTAAGAGAGAAACTGCGGGTGGTTGTGATGATGCTAAATTCGTTGTGATAATCTTCAGTTTGAGGAACATAAACCTTCATACCACTTAGAGGTAATTCATAATTCACCTTTAGACCAGTCATTGAACCATAGTATGAGGTGAGAATAAGTGTATCACTCAACTGTGTAAATAAAATGAAAAAGTTCATTAAAGTGACAGAATGTTCCCAGTTTGGAGTTTTGACACTGACCCATCGATGTCTTCAGTCAAAAATGTAAATCTCCATTACATCATTTAAAAATTGTCTGTTGTTTTATTTTCTTCAGAGAAAATTAACCGCAGTATCTCCTTAAAATTTTCTGTTAATATTATTGAATGAATAATGAAAATTTACAAAAGATTTCAAGAAGGACTTATTGCAAGAAACTTGGTTACTTTACTTCAAGAAAGGTATAACTTGACTGGAGACTTGAAACATTACAATTGGAGATATGCAGCTTTTGACTTCGGCTATCTACAGGGAAATTTATGCTCAGCATGCATAAAAAGAAAAGATCTTAATCTTATAGACTAATGTGATATCTTAAACGGGGTAAGACAAATGTTACAGGAATTAGAAAAATGGCCATTTCAAGTGAAAAATTGACCAAAGCTCAAAGAATTTGAGTTACAATAAAGTGGAAACATGGTTACCTACATTTCATGTTTTATACAAAACTATGGCCAACATAAATTCTTTGTACGAGGGGCGTTCAATAAGTAAGTATCCCCCCTCTCTAAAATCCATAAGAATGGACAAATTTTAAAAAACTTGGGCTCAAAATCTTCCTTAGGATATTTTGAGTTCAACGAAACAAACCGCAACAAAATCGGACCATGTGCGGCCGAACGCGAGCCGTTTGAACGCGCCGAGGTGCTCGACGCTCCCGCCGAATCCGCGAGGATTTAAAGTCCGCTACAGGAGAAGAGCTTCTCTGCCAAAGCCTTAGTCGTTCATCACTGATGAAAAATCAAAGAAATTTTTGTAGAATAAGGGGCTTACCTCACTTCTCCACATAACCAGCTCGATCCAAGCAAGTCTGATACTGAGACTAAAACCAAGAGAACAGCTTTTGGATGCCTCGTGCGTGGAAGTCTTTCAGCTGACCGCGGATGAAAGAGTGGACGGCTTGTTTGACCTCTTCCACTGACTCAAAATTCACTCCTCCAAGTTCAGATTTCAGGAACGGGAATAAATGGTGGTCTGGTTTGCTATTTATTATCGTATCTGAAATCTGAACTCGGAGGAGTTAATTTTGAATCAGTGGAAGAGGTCAAACAAGCCGTCCACTCTTTAATCCGCGGTCAGCTGAAAGACTTCCACGCACGAGGCATCCAAAAGCTGTTCTCTTGGTCTTAGTCTCAGTATCAGACTTGCTTGGATCGAGCTGGTTATGTGGAGAAGTGAGGTAAGCCTCTTATTCTACAAAAATTTCTTTGATTTTTCGTCAGTGATGAACGACTAAGGCTTTGGCAGAGAAGCTCTTCTCCTGTAGCGGACTTCAAATCCTCGCGGATTCGGCGGGAGCGTCGAGCATCTCGGCGCGTTCAAACGGCTCGCGTTCGGCCGCACATGGTCCGATTTTGTTGCGGTTTGTTTCGTTGAACTCAAAATATCCTAAGGAAGATTTTGAACCCAAGTTTTTTAAAATTGGTCCATTTCAATGGATTTTAGAGAGGGGGGAATACTTACTTATTGAACGCCCCTCGTATTAATCATACATTTAAAGTCTACAAACATTCCCTTTCTCTGGCTGTTGACCAATTTTCAGGATGTCAATCTTTCGAATCCTTTGTATACAAGGATCATCTAAAAAAAACCGAAATTATGATGCTATTTGACGGCTGGTCATACTGCTGGCTTTCATCGCCAAGGGCTCCACTAGGAGCTATTTTGAGCATGTCTGCCCAGAGGCAAAGTTGTGACAGGTTCATCCTGTTTGGATGAAACTGTTCCTCGGCATTGTTTGAAGGCTTTTACTCAATCGTTTGGTTTTTGCCACCCTGGAGTGATAAAATGTTCAACTTTTTATTTTTTTGATGCACATTTAATTCCACCTGGGGTGCCAAAAATGCTCAATTGAGTAACTAAAGAGAAATGTTTTCTCTAAGATGAAGGAATATAAATCTGAATCTATAAAAAAAAATTATGATCAAGATAAATAATCAACAGTCTCCTTGACGATTTCCAGGGCTTCTAGAGCGCTCTAAATTGCATATTTAGGAAAATCAGAACAATTTTCCACAGTGATGGAAAAAAATTAGTGATAAAAATTATTCGAAACACAGAAAAAGGTGCTGAAATCTGAAACATACCAGTATTAAAAATCGAAGTTGCAGACTTTTTCGAGACAGTTTATACAGGTCTCCCTCTTTGACGAATTCTCTTCCTGGTTTCACTATTTCGTAATTGCCAAGCTGAGCTTGAATTTGAAGCAACTTACTCAAGTGATCCTAAAAGCAAAAGTACATATAGGTAAATTACACATTAGACATGAAAAGATAAGAATTTTGGAGTTTCAAAAATATTACAATTTTAAAGACCCCCGATACTTACTAATCAGCTACCAGGTCACAAGTTAATTACCTATGAAAAATGAAAATGCACAATATTTCACGCAAGTATGAGGGCAGTGAATAGAGCTCATTCTTCCATCTCTATCTACATTTCCATTTTTTAGCATCGTTTAGTCAGTCAGTGAAAAAGATTCAAAACAGTTTCAAACAAAATTTCAAAAGAAAGGTCCATAAAATTGTGACTACATATAAAGATGATTCATTAGTATAAATTAGTAAAATCAGTGTACGTCAATTACTTTCAAATTTGCTAGACAACAATAGGTTAACCAGCAACCTTGCTACAAAACACCCAGCCACTAGATTGCACCTTAAATTTTTGGATATATATTTGAGCTAGTAGAAGCAAATTTTTCCTTTTAAGGTCTTTTTTATACTATTTTTTGATAAGTCTCAAAATTAATATTGTAACATTGATAAGAGCACACCATTGGAGCAAAAGAAAATTTAGATCAGAAAAATGTGATAGGATTCAGTATTACTTAGATCCTTAAATTTCTCCAGATCAAGACATTCTTTCAGTAAGAATAAATATTCGATTAAGACGGTCATTGATCGATATGCAAACCTTGAGTTTAAAAAAGGATAAGTGTGTGACCTAGGGAGTACTTACCCCTTGCTTCATACTTTTATTTGCATGATTCGCAACATCGCAGACGACATGGAGAGCTTGTTGAGTATCTAGGTAGTCCTCCGACTCAGGATCCAAATTAGAAAGATAATCTTCAAGAAGCAATCGGTACTGGGGAATCCGCTGAACTGGTTTCAACATATAATGCTTCAGAGTTAACTTCTTACAGATATCAGAGCACTCAAAGTCTCTCAGAGCTTTATCGAACCGAGAATACTTTTGACAACACTCATCTAAAAATTCGCATTGAGACTGGAAATCCTTGATATATGAAGTATATAATTTTAAGAATGGACCTTTTTTTACTATAACATCTGCAATTTTAGGTTGACTCTCCCATGTTTTGATTCGATTTTCGAAGTCTTGCAGAAGAACTTGGTTGAAAAGCAGTAATTGCGGTAGAGATCCAATGACTTTCTGAAGATCAGGTTGTGGGAGAACAGGATTTGAAGGGTCTGGGGAGGCTTTGTTTATGAACGCTGTAAAATCATGACAAATTAGACTCAAAGCATTGATGAAGACTTTTTCTGATGTTGTAAGCTCCTTGGCTACTAAAAATGCTTTCTTACACTTTTTCTCCTTTGTATTTTCTTCTATAACTTTCTCATGATTGTTTTCAGTGACTCTGGATGCATTCAAGACTACGTTTTCCAGGCTTTCATCTGACATGGAACTTCTGTTTCCTCCTGAATCAGCACTCAGTTTTTCAATGGTCGGGAGCTTAGAAACTTCTCCGGTGCTGGATGAATCACTTGCTTTGACAGATGTATCATTGCTACGATCCGCAAAAGAGTCATCAATTTGACTTGCAGATGAATCACCATCTTCGTTACCATCATCGCTATAAAATGTAAAACTTTGACGTTTTTTCTTGCGATCTTTGACCCCTTTACCAAATGAGCCAAACCACATGGTAAGCCGCCGTCTTACAGAATATGATCCACTAGTATCACTTCCAACAGACTCAACATCTGACTGATTTCCTTTCGAGTACTTCGACACTTCAAGATCAGAGATGCTCCCTCTGCCATTTGGACCCGAAATAACAGAGCACACAGCATTTTCAGTTTCAGTCAATCCTTCTCCTAAATCTTGCTCAGCTGAGACAACAGTTGAATTTAAATTTGATTCACTTGATAATCCTTCAATTTGATTTTCTACAACATCCGTCAACACAATTTGAAAGGATTTTAAATCGTTAGGGGCATCTGATGGCGGAGAAATGCAATAAATTCCATCCGCACAAGCTTCCTTATTTTGCTCATCAGAATGAATATTGCTCTTTTCTATTACTCTGTTCGATGTTTCTTCATTTCTTTCTGTTGATTCATCACTTTCTACTTTAATGTTTTTTGAGAATGTACTCCAAGTTTCGGAATGGAAAATTTCACGATGAGAGGTGACTGTAGTTTCATTTTTTTCAAGATTTGCATCATTTGTGATGCTTTTAATGGATGAATGCACATAGTTGAGTTCATTTTCATTTAATATTGATGCTTGTTTGATGAAGCTACTGTCTTCGTTTGATATTGATGATTGTTGGATGAAAGTATTGTTTGTAAGTGTTTCCGAAATACTGAGTTTCAAGGTATTTTGTTCAATTGGCGACTGATTGAAATCTAATTCATCAGAAATTTTGTAAACTTTGTCAAAAGAATCACTGGCAGCTGTTTCTACAATAGATTCTACATTGGAGGCTTTCTTGATTGATTCAGCTATATCATGGAGAGACTTTTCAATAGACAGAATTTTTAATGTTTCACATACATCTGTGGAGATCACAGTTTCATCATCATCATTTATGCTACACTCTGTACTGCCTTTGGACTTTAGACGAAAAGGCTTTTTTGGTATTTCTGGACTAGTTGAGTTGCAAGGAACAGGACTTCTGAAGTTTTTTAAATGAGCTGGCTTGGGCAATATTGGTGGCTTCGGAGAGATATTGACATTTTTTGACGGCTCACAGTTACTCAGCTTGGCCAAGAAGGATGAGGTCTGACAGCAGTGATTTTGAGAGATGCCAACCTTGCTACTCCTGAAACAAAAATTTTTTTATTCATTTATGTGCATTAAAGCCAGCTCTTAGATCTAATAGGTCACTAACAATAAGCCAGGTGAGAAATTAAGCACTAAAATAAACATTTCCTCCTTAAATATTCATTTCTATTATGGACAGATTGAAAATTTTCGCTTTCAACTCACTGCAGAATTAGCGTTTTTCGTAAGTGTCAATTCAAACGTAGCATTCCTCCAAATATCATAAAGTATAACCAAAACTATAAATAGGTACTTATTTTTCATTTATGAACCAATTTTTAACATTTCCAATACCTAAAATGCCTGCTTCATAAAGGACTCCCTATATTCCAAGGCCGTCATGATTTGACCCAAAAAAAACCCGCCATTTTTATACTTACATGAGTTGGTCATCATATTTTTGCACGGCACTAAGAGCGACGAGCTGCTTGCGGGGTCAAGACGTTTCTACAGTCCTGCTTTTGGAGACAACAGGTTCCTACAATTCTTCAACCAAATCCATTTGGATAATAGTGTTTAATAACAACAACAACAAAGATAATAAAAACCTCAGACAAAATAGGTATTTACCTTGAGGCTCCTGTGAGAACATTACTTGAATTTGATAGAGACAGGGCAGCTGGCTTTGGAGGTACAGTTGGTTTGCTCCTCTCTGTTAAAAACACATAAGATGTAAAGAACTAATGCATGGCTGAACTGTAAAATCACTAATCTCAATTGCAGTGTTTCAAAAATTTTAAGGAGCTAAAAAACTGGAATTAATCATGCACTAATTGTAAGAAAATTAGGGCTGAAAATCGGTAGCATGCGCTGAAATTTTGCTTTATTTTCATACTTCATCTTTCCTAGCTGCATCCTCAATACTCTTTACCTAGAGCCCAGTATGTTGTCTACTTTCATATTTCATTCCTTTTTCTTTATTTTAGCCACAGGGAAAGAGCTCCGGAAAGGAGTCTGGTAATGAGCACACAGCTCATTGTCTCAGGGTCAAGTTCCTTCAGCTAGCTAGGAAGGCTCGCTGATTGTCTCAGGATCGAATCCCCTTTGTCAGTTGTGAAGGCTCGCTAAAACGAGCTTGGAAAAACAGGTATGCGACATGTAATTATAGAGCTAACACTTGGTAAAAATCATAGAGTACAATAGAGTCGCGATGTACTGGAGCGCCAATGAAGTCAATCCATGAACGGGCCTTTCCGAGCCGCTTGTGCTCCGAAAAGTGTGAACCAAGTGTGAACCCAACGGCACTTATTATCATGGTGGCTTATGGAGAAATCAACGACTGCTTGTGTTTTTTCAAATTTTTTTAATTCCATCGATATTAATCTGTGCAAATTTTGCTTGAAATAGATATTCAAAGCCATAATGAATCCATTAATGTATGTTACTCCTGGATAATATTCATAAATGGACTCAATTTCAGACTCATTACCGGCCTACTTAGCTGGTTCAATGTGTGTGGACCTGACAGAGACGTTCTGCTGTAGCGGAGCCGAGTCGGGAGTGGGAAGCGCTGAGCGCGAGTCTCAGCGCATGCGTCATCGCTAGTCGCCGCACACTAGTCTCCGGAGTACTGGACAAAACAGCCTCCAAAAGTGGCTTCATCGGCGCTCCAGTACATTGCGACTCTATTGTACTCTATGGTAAAAATAAAGCCATTTAATGACCAAGAAAAAATAAGTACTTGAAATAATAATTACCAGGAGACTGGGGAGAATGCATTTTTGTTGAAAATGAGACCCTTCACTTCAAGATCCTTTCATCATGATGGACATCAGTTAACAGAACTCTTCCTCAAACCTGCAAAATAAGGGAAACAAATTTGATTAGCACTTAACAGAAAATGAAAATAAGTTAGCTAGGAGGGATTCAAAACATCTAAAGCCTAAGAAATTCACAATGCAAGTCATACAAAACAATTTTTAGAGACCATTAGAATTCATCATCTATTTCATCAAACCATGATGTTGATTCACTTTCCTTCAAAAAGATAAAATATCAACAGAGGTTTTGAAACACTGCAACCGAGATATCTACGCATTTTGCAGTTTTAGCATCAATATGTAGATGCACAGGACAGATGTTAGTATTTAACCACTTCAAGCATTTGTAAAAATTGACCATTATTTAGTGGATTTACTGCAGAATTCCAGGTACAGCAACAGTCAATTGAAAATGGTCAGTGACTACCACAGAATCCACCGGATAGACCAACAAAATCGCCTATTCGTATCTGACTACTAAATCCGACAGAAAGGTGTTTAGTCAGTGACCGTTAATTCATGATTAGCAGTTGCTTGTCCAGCAAAATCTCCAAAATAATTCCACCAATTAAGCTCTGATCAATTTACAAAAACAATTTTGAGTAATAAGTGCCACTCACTAAGTATGTAAAGTACTCGCTTCCCCCGGTTGACAAAGGGTGAGTAAAGATAGTAAATTCCACAAATGATGATTCAGTACATATTTAAAAAAATTCTGCAGTTGCTTTCCTGAATGAGCTGCTTACAGTCTTGTTTAGCAGCCTGGGAACCTCATGCAAAATATGTACTGATCGCCAGCTGAAGTACTTCCTTGAAAACAAGATCGGGCTCTCTCATTCCTCGGTAATCTTTGTGGACTATAACCATGTACATGAAAGCTTTTCAAACTTTACTTACTGTTGAGTACTTTCATGAAATAACTCAAGACTTGCAGGAAAGCATTGAACATAAGCAAAAATTAATGAACTGAGGGCTGATTTAAAAAATGAAAGTAAGTAACTAATTTTGTACCTCTCAGTGTTTCACGATAAACAGATGGCATTGAGGCTTGGATCCTTTAAGCTTCTTAGAACCAAACACTTTGAAATTATTGGAGAAAATTAAACCAGAGTTAAGAGAGAAAATTAAATGTGAACTAGAAGAAAAATGAAAGTTCTGGGCGATGGAAAAAAGAAATCATTTTAGTTTTGGAATAGGTCCTTGTTATCAATCGCTTGCAAACACACTCACACACTCTCACACAGGGAGACTGATAGTTTTGATTCGTCAACGTCCGGTTACGTCATTTCCCCAATTAACCAATTGATTTCTCGCGATGTGGTTTTTTGATGACGTAAACAACATGGCCACAATGGAATGAACAGCCTCAACCGTCTATTGTTCTATGACGTCGAAGAGTTTTGTTTTGTTTTTTGTTTTTACTTCTTTTCCCTTCCAGTTGTTCTTCGTGGATGCAGGTTTCAGTACTTTCAGTTTCCATAATTTATCAATTTTATGTTAGTATTGGTATTGTCAAAGATCTTGTGTTCTAAAGTTATTTTCAAATACCGCAGTTTATTCTCTTTGTGATAATCGTCATCAAGGGACAACCGAGGAATTTTTCTAAAAATTCTTCTCCGCAGCAAGATAATTTGTTGGTAGGTTTACCTTTCATCCGTTCTTCACCCAAGAAGGTTTACTCTTCTTAATTTTAAGAGGGTAGCAAATGGAAAGTCCAGAATTCCCTGAAATTTGTTGAGTTCTCCACAATGGTCCCTTTAATAATTGTTTCATCTATATCTCTCTCCAGAGACTAGGCTGCTAAATTTTCAAGACTCGATCAAGAGGGCATCAGTCCAAGTCAATTTGCTTTATTTTGTCATCGTTCACCTGTCCGCTCCTCCTTGTCAAGTAGAACAACACTCTCAATACTTGGTTGGAACCAAGGTAAACGGTAACAATGCCACTGACTGTGCTCAAGTCATGCACAGGTATTTTGGGACTAGGAAGTAAACAAGCATATGATATCGAATGCGTTAAGAATACAGTTGTCTGTGGATCGTTGGACCTCATTTTGCAATTACAACTAAAATTTCAGGATCAGTTTAGCAGCAATGCATGTACCAATACTTTCCCTATGCACATGTGTGTTTTCATGGATGAGTCAGAAATTGTAGTTACTAATTGCAAACTGAAGTCCAGTTGATATTCCATTTTTATTTTATATTTGGCCGCCAAAACTTCCATCCGATTATTTTGTCTTAGATCCTCTAGATTCCACAATTATTACATTCAACTGCAAGAGTCAATTTGGTAACTATGTAATCAATTAGGTAATATGTTTTCTTTGAGTAGTTAGCAGGTGTTAGGTTCCTATATGGTACTTTTTTATCACATTATTTTAGATTTAGCTTATCATTATTCGGTGTGTTGCTAAAGTCTCCGGTCTGTTCTCTGGGATCGTCAAGCGGAGAGCTCAGGGGATTATCTGATGTCTAGCTGCTTTGTTGCGTTGTCATCCGCTAGATTCTTCATTGTTCATCTACATTTTATTTCGAAAGTGTAAAGTGCACAAAATCTGTCTAAATGTATCAACTTTCAAGACTATTATAAAATTAAAAGAATAGCACGCCGAGAACCTGAAGATTCTGCCTAAGAGAAAGACATAGAAGTGAAGAATTAAAGCTAACCTCACTTCTTCATCACCCTCAATTCTACTCTCCTGCTCTTCTACCTCCAGAGATCGGAAACTTACAGCATCTGAATTATTTAACAGCACTGGAAAATGTCATAAGATATTATGCATTGAGCACACTTCTAAAAATGTGTTGTCAAATTAAATCTTTGACCAAAGAGAAAGCAAGAGCTGCAGATTAAATTGCAGGCTGAGTGGCACCCCCTACTTTTAGGAGTCATCTCTGATTAACTTATCCGCCTATTGCCCACTTCCTGGGGCCCTTATGGGAAATAACTTGGAGTTCATTTTTCATCAAAAATATCTTGAAAACAAGGAAAAATTTTTGCGTTAAAGATTTCAGAAATCAACTCTCCTGATTTTTCTGAAGAGATTGATGGGTAATATATGACGCATTTTTCTCAAACACAGGGGACAGTTTGACTTGGAATTTTGTTCTCTCATGACACCAAGTGTCATTTTTCCAGTTGAAGTAACAAAATTCTAGGTCGTACTGTTTGGTGTCTTTGAGAAGAAAATGTTATGTTTTACCCATCAATCTCTGCAGAAAAATCTGGAAAATTGATCATTGTAATCTCCGACGTATAAATTTTTCCATGTTTTTTAGATACTTTTGATGTAAATAACCTCAAGTTATTTGCTATGAGGGCCCCAGAAAGTGGGCACCAGATAGATCAGCTAATCAGAGACGACTCGTAGAAGTAGGAGGTGCAACTCGGCCCGCACTTTAAATTGCAGCTCTTGTTTTCTCTTAGTCCTGAAGCCTTCCCCTTACAAAATTTATCATTTTGTAAATGTCCGTCTATTAATTGTCCTCTCTTTCTTTTTTCTCCTATTCTTAAAGGTTTTGTTTTTAAGAACATAAGATTTAAGTTTTTGGTCTCGCAATCTCAAGATGGATGACAAAACTAGAGAGTGGCAGATGGAAATGGTCATGGAAAAGCTTCGCTCCAAGTCACCGAAAGGCAAATCATTTTTCGATCTTGCCAAATCGCACAGAATGGCTCTCTTGGTAAGATCTACCTCCTCTTGTTATATCTACATGAACAACTACATAAAACTTCCAACAATCAGATCAAAATGGACTGGACCGATTCAGTCAATGAAAAGAAGAATAATGGAAAAAGAAACCAACAATTGGATACATACATATTAATAAATTAGGACATTGTATGTTCAAAAAAATGGTCCTTTATATAAAAGAGGACATTTCTCAATCTTACTCATTAGCAAATTTCTAATATGTCAGAATATATAGAAAATTTCAATCAGATTTGGCACTAAAAAGTCTAAAATTGACCTGCCTTGGTCAATTTTATTACGCCTACTTTCTGAATCAATCGATATAGTCTGGAAACTAGGTAACACTATATCCAGGTAACTGTAAGTTGGTGTACCATATACAATACCCAAGAATGAATGTTAGAATAACCGGTAGTAGTAAAACTTGTAAGTAAAGAAGACCCATGCTAAAAGAAAGACATGATAAACTTGTAAAAAAATTTGACAAGCACCATTTATTACAAGGTTTCATAAAAAGCTTGTTGTAATTTTGCAGATCGAGTAAAGCTAGTCAAAATCTTAGTGTAATTTCCAAGGGAAATACACTTTTTTTTCTGTTGTTTTCTTCTTTCTTATTAATTTTTTACTTTTTAATTTTTTTTAAGTTATTAATTTATTTAGCCTGTAAAGAATGCTTAAGTAATATTGCAATATGCTGACCAATATGTGTCACTAACTTTTAAGACTGACTTTGCAAGGCCGAGTATGAAAAAATTAAGTTGTTGAATTGCTCTGTCATCATTTTAGAAAACAGTAAAAGAGCCTCTGGCAGGCTGCAAAGCAGATCACCACCTAAGCTGTGCTTTCTTTTGTTCTTAACATTTTTTGCTTGCCACTCTGTCTCTAGGAAAAACGCTATCCGTTAGACAGTGTTGAGAAAAATTTGCTGCAAAAATGTCTCGATATCTTACAACACTCAGTGAAAGTCAACACTCTTCAAGCAATGATAGAGCGTTTAGAAAGTATCAGTCGACAGCTAGGGTAAGTACCATGAATAAAATTAAATCATTAAGTATGTAGGAATTTTAAGTACCTCTCTCTCCTGATAGTATCAAAAAGCATGCCTTTTTCAAATTTTCCTTCAGCTTTAACAATTTTTGGTAAGCATCAAAATGCACCCGCACATCTTACATCTTTAAAAAAGCAATGAATGTGTCAATACAACATCCCTTTTATTCTTTTCAACTTCAGAGGGATCAAGTTAAGAGGCTGGAAAGGGGGGGAGAGAGAGTTGTTATGTAATTTAACCAGTAAAAAATTTGTCTGCAGCCTATCAAAAACAAAAAAATATAAACCTCAATTCTCAAGTTATCATTAAATAATACCTTTTTTTTCTCAGCTGTCCTTCGTACTTTTGGTACCTATTTGCAGTATAAAATCTGCAAAACTTATGCTTATCACTTCTGAAACACTACTGCTTGCTGTATTTTAACCAAATATGGAATAGTGTATAAAGATTCCACTGCGGAGCTTTTATCCCTTTAAGTAACATCCGTTTCTGCATTCTGTTCTCATCATTCAACTTTAAAAAAGTTCAGTGAACAACCTTGATGATTAAACAAAATTTTTTGATTTTAGGTTGAAGTTTATGGCTGGGCAAACGAACTTCGATTGGTTTATCTCTTCGGATATGTTTTATCTGGAAGTTGTGCTGGAAGGAAATGGAGGAGTGCGTGATGTTAAAATTCATCATGAAGGAAAAGTAGAGCAGCAGGTAAAAATAGTCAAGATGGATTCTTGAACTAACTTTTTGATTGCGGTCAGATTTTTTCAAGAAAAACAATTGCATGCTTTAATATAGTACAAGATGTAAAGTTAAGACAATTTAAGTAAAGGAAGATTAATTTAAAGGAAGAAAATCGAAGTATGTACTTGTATAGCTGTTAAAGCCAATTTTTTTCACTCAGAATCCATATAATCTAGAACGAATCGGTTTTTGCTAATTCAACAATTATGCAGAATCTTAAATATTTTGTGGTTGACTTTTTTATCTTTTTATCCAAGCAGTATATAGTGGACAGGGTTCCAAGGGTCAGGGAAAACCTGGAAAAGTCCAGGAATTTGAAAAGAACCTGGAAAAGTCAGGGAATTTAGCGTTGAATCTGGATATTCTCAAGGTTGCGGCTAAGCAGCTAAAACTTCCATTTCGCTCTGGCTCTACGCACTAGCATTGATGAGTTTTCAGGGATTTTTTCCTGCAAAGCGAGGGCCTAGAGCACTGAATCCGAGATGTTTATTGTTTGATTGCATTAATATTTTAAAATTAACCTTTTTATTTTTCTTTTTTTGTAAGAAGTCCAAGAACTGCAGCACCAGTGGTCAGGGGATTTTTCCAAAAAATCCGGGAATAGTAAGGGAATTTTGAAATGTAATTTAACTTGAAACCCTGATAGAGGCACCAGGCTTTTCGAGCATCTTAATAATACATGTAAATGGACCACGTTCAATTAGCTATACATAATCGTTGCTCGATCCCAAATGACCTTATTCATTCATCTATAAAATACGCACCCATATTTCTATTTTTTCTTCTTTATGAGGATCTATCATAATACAAAGAAGGGTTGAAAGGAATGCTGGTTGAAAGGGTGCTCAGTAAATCCCTTACAATAGAAAACGTTTTCAGCTATATGCTGACCACTCATGTCAGGTACCTTAATTTTATCATCTTCATCATAATAGCCACTTTTTTTTAGCAATTTTAGCAAGAGCTATGAGAAAAGTGTAATTTTCTTAATGAAAATGCAATTCAGAAAATTTAATTTAAAATGCGCAAGGTACCTCTTTTTTTTCAATATGAAATTTACAAAAATGTTTTCTGTAAGTTTAATTTTTTAGGGGCTGAACTAACATAAATTCAATCTCCATTTTTCAGAGTTGTGCTGAGTTGGTCGATTGCTTATCAAAAAGAGATTTTGCAGATTTTACAACTCAGCTTGAAGGTCTCGTTTCAATTTATCAAGTAAACGCGGAGAAAAAAATAAAATGCAAAGCTTTCAGTGCCCTCCAGTCTTTGGAAACAGACCTAGCCACCTTAGCAAGTTTGCAGACTTTCATAAAAGAGCCATTCAACCTCGTCCACAAGTCACCGGTAGGAGCTTTAGAAAAGAGGAAAGGAGGTGAGTTTTGCAGCCGTCCCAGCCTTTTTTGCTTTATTTTATTCTTAAAATTCGGCCCTTAGTTGACAATGCAGCCTGAAAAAGATGTTTTACACCGAACTGAAACTTGAATATTCTCTTCATGCTAATTATAAGAGTCCTTGTTCAGTCTACATCATACTCTATAATGTAGAATCATCAGACTAATGCATAACAGCTGAGAAGTTGAGCACCTCAGGAGGTTGGACCTATGTCAAGGGATGTAGCCTCCTTGTTGCAATGAATTGCAGGAGTATCAAAAGTTTTGGATTGCCCAACTGGCGGATCATGTTCATTCAAACGATGAAATTGAAGAGCTGCAAAAACAGGTTTTTATAGCGACAAAACCACTTTAAAGGGTCTCGAAGTGGCAAAAACAGCATATGCAAGTGTGGTTATGGGGTGTTCTTTGCAGTATCATGGCTGTTTATAATTGAAAAACGAAAGGAGAGAAAATTCTTAACTTTGAAAATTTAGGGGAAAAGGAGGTTCTTGAAGAAGCATGAATAATTCGGAGAAGAAAGGGAAGACTACAAATTTTCTGCATCCTTATTACACAGAGTTAGAATTTGCCTTTAGGAGGGTGCCCCAAATGCATTTGAACTAAATTTCTCAAGACCAGAGCCCAAATTAAGTAACTTTAAGTTCAGTTTTCTGGGTGATATCGTGCAAAAAAATTGACGTAAATTCTTGTAAACTAGAACCCTCTCGAGTTTTCAAAAATACAAGAATTAAAAATCACTGAACAATCCTATTTGCAACAACATAATTCTGAATCATTTTTTCCCAAAGAAGTAATTCTGAGTTTTCCCATGAATTTTGTCACCGAATAATACATAATATAATATAATTTTATTTTAATCAGGTCATCCGATGAAGTTGACATACTTTGTGTCTCCTTATGATTTGCTGGATGTTGAAAACAAAACTTGCCGTGCTCTGCGCACAGATGCCCTTGGCTCAACAGGGCTTAGCGCAACCGTTACAATGGAAAGTTCCTCTGCACACAAGCTTCAAATTTCTACACTGATCTCAATCAATAAAAACTTGACAGGAAAAAGGTTTGGTCTTTTACGCATTATTTCCCAATCCATTTACAACTTAGTATCTTCTTATTAGCATCTTTATTATTATGATGATCATATCTTAAATGTGGCAGCACAACGTAGGGATGGATCTTGTCCCTTGATCACTTAGAATCACCTTGAAAAACTCTGACCCAAAATTTTTCAGGGTGTCTAGCATCAGGATTTCCCCGATTTTTCTGATTCTATGAGAATTTACATCAGGATTTGAGGACTAATCGGTGGTAAAATCAGGATTTGAGAAAAGTCAGCTGTCCGCTTATTTTCCATTAATTATCCGCCATCCGTCTGATAATTTTTCTCCGGATTTGGAAAAATTATGAAATCAGGATTTAGCAGTAAAAAATCAGGAAAAATCAGGATTTTCCAAAATGAAAACAAACTAGACACCCTCTTTTTGAGACTCACCTTTAAACTTCTTTGCCTTGAAATATCTTTGAGTGCTCCTCATACACATTGAAATCTATATTTTTAGATACATTTTTATTAGCGAGGAACACTATTGAAAGAATACTGAACTTTTTCTAAAATCTGCAAATAAGCACTCTGAGCATTAAGGCAAACAGAGGTAATAGATTTGTGGTTTTCCTCTTTGTATGATTTGCTAATGCACTGGCATTTTACAAATTTCCGCTTACATCTCTGGTTCTTATTTTATATTTCTATCTGGATTGCAGCACACCTGTTTATGCGCCATTGACCGTCATGAACAGCAACTCGTTGCCAGCTGTATTTGTTTTGAAACTGAGTGAGCCCTTGCCAATGTGCATTTCTCTTGTTAAGAAAATCATGGAAGTAACGGATATTGAAGTTGCAGATCTGTCCTCTCCACAACCTCTCGTTTCTCTCATCACGCAACATTCCTCTGCAGGCCAACTAAACTGTGGAGTGAATCGAGGATTATTTGTTGTAAGCTAATCAATTTTTACAAATCTGTGATAAATGGAATTGACTTGTTTTATATCTCTGTGTTCATTCTTAGCAATTCCTCTCCAACAGCTAAATAATCTGCTAGGAGAAAAATCTGAGTATTTATTTGCAAAAATGAATAGAGCTAAGCAAAACAGTCATATCTACATTGCAGTGTTTCAGAATCTCATCTCCTATTTTAATTTTTCGGAAGGAAACCAACCTATATCTGTACGCAAAAATGATTGCAATTTTTCTTGCCCTTATGAAGGTTAATCCTACGAAAATGAGAGCTTAGATTTTGAAACCTTGCAATGTAGGTGTAACTGTGTTGCTTGGCTCATTCCAAATTTCATGTATATCAATGGCTACAGTGCGAAACCGCATACCTCCATTGCGGCGTATTATAATCTCTGCTCCTATTTTATCTTTTCGAAAAGAAACAAGTCGCCTGTACAGTTTGAAATTTCTACAGAATATGTACTTAAATAATAGGGAAGAAAAATCAAGGAAGTTTGCAAGAAATTAAGGTTGACTTTTTCTCCAAAGAAGTAGTAAAGTATGACCGTCAATCTGCAATTTTGCAAACGGAGATACAAGATTTTGCACATTAATCAGCGATATTGTAAAGACTAAGAACAGCCCTAGAAAATTGAAAGTGATTTATCGATGATTAATGTTCTACTGGCTGTCTTAGGCACATCTGCCAGTTACATTGTATCTCTGTAAAAATTAAGTAAGTTATGACCAAAATAAATTGAAACTATGGCCTTTTTTCTCTAGCTCATTTTACATAAACCAACTAACTTAACTCTGCTTTGAATTAGAATTGAATTGACAGTGAACGTTTTTCCTTTATGTAATATAATTAGGTATACTCAAGTATACGCTTTGGCAGCACCTGTCAAATATGTTGGTTGCTCGTCAAATTGATGTGTTGTTATCTCAATGTTTTCAGACTTTGCCAGAACAACAACATTGTTACTTTGTTACGGAGAATCGGAATCTTGATGGAGTAGTTGTATCTTCAATTCCATTCACCCACCCGGCTCATGTTGCTCAAATTCTCAACTATCTACGTCAACAAGCCCTCTTCAATACACTTATAATGTCATGTATTCGGCCCAATAGTAAGCAAGGTAAGAGATGTGTCAAATGTGATTCATGTGGAAGTTTGATAAGAAAACGTCTTTCACTGCTTAATACCCTACCCTGTGTTCCGTTTCATTGATTGATATCATAAGTCAAACAAAGACATTTTATCTACTGTAATTTTACTTTTTTTTATCTCATTCTAGTATTCTGGTGTTATAAACTCAAAATTAGATAGAATACTCTTAGACAAAAGTTCACACTCGATGAACCTGATTTTTTTTTTTTTTTTTTTTTTTTTTTTTTTGAAAAAACACTCAAAAACAAATTAATTCTTTACACATTAATGTGGTAGCAATGTGTAGAAACAAAATTACTAAATCCATCTTGAGATGCCCAACACATCGGACAAAAAATCCTATTACTCAAAGAGTTCATTGCTGTAGAAAATGATTATTTTTCCTTATTATCATGATTTCTTATTTTTTTAAATAATAACGTAAGCTTATTTCCTCTGATCATCCAGATGTGGAGAAAACCATAATTTTCGAATTGATGCCATGGTCGTGGCAGCACATCACTGTAAGTTTTATTCATCCGTATGATGAAAACATGACAACTGCAGAACTTGATTTAACAGACATAGCAAATCTGAAGTGCTCTGTAAACTCGACGCTTGGCGATGGACATGCTGCTATTATTGCCTCCGAGTATCCTTCTAAAGTATTACAAAGGTTTGTTATCTTTCTTCTAATTTTTATTTTAGAAAAGATTTGTTTTAATTGCCATTTTGCATTAATTTTGAATATTTCCCCCTAAACAAAAGGCACATCCTGCACCCATATTCTTACAGTCCTGGGGACTGAGGCAATCTAAGAGGTCATCTATACTATAAGCTCCGAGACCTCCTAATTTTGCGAAACTGGTAACGCTTAGTTCCAGCGTTCTACCGGGCCGATTTTCATGATTTTTGCGGCTATCGACGAGCAATTGTCTCTAGATAAGCCAACTCCTTTCGGATTTTCAAAATATGGTCCAGGTTTTTTTATATTACGTGGTAAAGTTGCGAATTCTCCCATTTAAACAATGTAAATTTATACTTTTTGTCATAGTTCGTTTGAGCGTTCTACCGGGCCGATTTCCATGGTTTTTGCGTAAATCGACAGGTAATAGGCCCTAAATGAGCCCGCTGTAATCAGATTTTGGAAAAAGGACCCAGGTTTTTTTAAAATCACGTTATAAAAGTGAGTGAGTTTACAGAATGCTCCGGTACTGCTACCGCTATGCGCGGGAGGATGCGCAGTGGTCGAGGAGGTTGCGCAGTAGCTGTGTAGCCTGCGCATCAGCTCTACACTTATCTACACAAGATTCGTGCTAGCGATCTCATGTAGAGCGGTGGCCGAATCGTCCAAGACGTCTGATGTGTCCACTTTGATCTCGGTGTGGGTTCGATCCCCGAGTCATAGATGCTTAATTAATACCTATCAATGTTCATTGTTTTACTGCAATATTTCATCAAGCAGTCATTCCAAAACGCGTCCTTTTAATTTTAAAGTAATTTTAAGTAAAGTTTAAAATTAAAGTATACCTCATATCGTAATTTTTTAGGGGAAAAATAAAACTAACACTGATAGGAGGGTAAAAATAGGGCCGCTTAGCGGCCCATCGATGGCGCGGAGCGCCTTCAGGGGGTTGGGCCGCGTAGCGGCCAGGGGGCGTAGCCCCCTAGTAAGAAGTATAGAGTCCCTCATTTCTTTTACGAATCAAAAAATCTTTCTTAATGAAAGTCTTTTCCTTGAGCTTTTCAGGAATTTTGAACCCGAAAACCACAACTCTTCTCACATGAGAAACTTTTAACTCTCAGCGCCCCTTTCCTCCTCCCTTGTAATATTTCTGGCTATGGCACTACACGAGGAGCTTAGTTTTATTTTTATTAGAGAAAGGGGATAGGAAATACTTTTTGTGCATATTGTGTGTATCGTCTATTGAGTGGATAAGTGTGGTAATAACACTCATTAATTAAAGAGGTCTTTTTTTAATGCTGTTTTGTCCCAAACTCTTGAGACCAGAAAGCAGCAACTGGTAATGATGTGTTGAGTTCTGTATCTCTCTGCTAAAATGTCTGAACGGTACGTGTGAACTGGAGACAATGAATGTAAATCATATGGATTAAGAGCTCCAAATATTTTTGGACCCATTATCACACAGGGAGTAATTATCAGGAGTGCAAAAACTTCCTGGCTACATAGCTACAATTGCATGGAAAATTGAAAGGCCAACTCCCATTACGGAAAAATTGTTTGTATTTTTTACAAAATCAAGACAATTTGTTACTACGGAGTTTGTAATTATCACCCTGAGAATTTAGGGGGGAAATGGCTTCTAAAATGGAAAGGTTAGAAACTTCCTGCATCCGTAGTTACTATGCATTAAAATATGGGATAGAATAATTATGATGACTTTGTCAATTAAATTCGTTCTCTCTTTTTTTTCAGGAGCTTTTCCATACCAATCACGATGAGAGCATTATTAAAATGTTGGGAGATGGAAACGCGTCTAGTGAATGGAATGGACATTTCGGGCCTCGGTGGCTCAAACAGTGGCAACATCGGTGGCAACCCAAATAACAACAAAAACCAGCAACCTCCAATCAATGAATTCGACCCGGATGTCAAAATCAAGCTGGAACCAAATTTGGATTATCCTAGTCTCAATGGGTCACACAATTCGGATTTTAATAACCCAGGGTTTCAAAGCTTCTCAACAAGTCCAATAACTCCTCGGCATAACTTGGCGGAAACCAATAATCCCGATTTAGTCACTATTTCAAAAAACTTGGATAGTGGGACTAAAAAGTTTCGGAAAAGAAAATCAGCTGATAGTTTGCCGAAGAAAAGTCCAAAAAGTAAGGACGAATCAGAGGCTAAATTGGGAAGCACAGATGACGCAAGTGTTAGCGATACCACCCCAAAAAGCACCAATCCAGTGCTCAAAGCATCTTGCAGTTCTACTCCAGAGATAGCACCACCGGGGGGTAATGTTGACTCGAATAAAAGTATCGGTGAAAAACTTGGGGATTTTCAGACTGATTCATTTATGGAAGCAACTGAGGCAGAAGACGATGGTGTAGAGGAGTTCTTAAAAAGTGGTGCTAAGAAAAATAAGAAAAGTATGGTAGAAATAACAACAATTCGACCAAATGATAAGAAGTCACCAACTCAACATGTCACCGAGTTTAGTAATAAGAATTTAGTCTCTCCATCCTTGAGTATTTCTCCAGTTTCAGTGAAACCTAACATGAGCGCTCTCCCAAGCATGGTGCTTGAAAGGAGACCAGGAATTGAGATTTTTCCAGTAGTCTCCTCACCCATTCCGCAATCTCCTGTCTCCAGTTCTATCACAATTACTGCAATATCAGCAAAAACAGTGTCGGACGAAAAGCTAAGGGAAAAGAAGAAATTAAAATCAGAACTGGACAAATCGAAATTAGAAAAGAAACGTAAGCGAAAACGAGATGATAGTCCAATGGGACCGCCAGACAAAGTGCCTTCCAAACAAGACTCAAAAGCAGTCTTAAGCGTCAAACCTTCTGAATCAGCTTCACCTCAACCTTCCTCGCCAGCAGGAACTGTACGCAAGTATAATTGCTCTCCAACGCATACCTCATTGTCAGGTAAATCAAGTCCTGCCTCAAATTGCTCATCCAAGTCCAGTAAACCTGTTCTGGTATCTCATACGAGTAAATCAACCTCCCCCTCTACTAGCAGTCCCAAAAGCAGCCCTATATCTGCCAGTGCTAGTCCTAAACACAGTCTTCTAGTGTCTAAACAAGTTGGTTCATCTGGTTCCGGAAAACCAAGCATGTCAACTCTAAAATCAGCAGTTTCATCTCCCTCTTCCGCTGCTAAAAGTGATCCAAAGAAGTCCTCTAGCAAGGAGTCGAGAGATAAAGACAGAAAAAGTTCAAATTTTTCAAGCAGTGGACGCTCGAGCCCAAAGATTAAATCTGCAAGTGTAAAACTAAAGGCATTGCCAGTAGATCTACCAGTAGATAGCACGATTTTAGTAACTGACGGTAGCTTAGCAAGTTGTTTGGACCCCAAACAAGCAGTTATGCGAAACCGAAAAGGGTCATTATCAGCTGTGATTGATAAGTTAAAATCCGCTCAAGGTGGAACTGGTGATCCTGGAGGAGAAGGAAATGATGGGGGAGGAGGGGGCGGTAGTAATAAATCAACAACGCCAACTAAAGATTCTCGATCTAGTAGCTCCTATAGTGGCAAGGTTAGTGATAAATTAACGGGAAATAAAGTTGACAGTGGGAAGAATCCAGGTGAATATATGGTAAAACCAAGTTTAGATGGTATGAAAATAACAATAAACAAAAAGAAAGACTCAAAAAGTGGCGGTAAAACTGTTGCATCCTCAGGAACAAATTCACCAAAAGGACACACAGGTTTGAAACCTGGGGTTCAGAGTGGGCCTGCATCTAAGAAACCACAGGTCATCACAAAAACGAACTCAAGTAGCAGTATTAGTAGCAAAAGTCCGAGTTCCAAGCCTTTCCAAAGATCAAACTCATCCGGAAACCTAACAAAATCTGTCAAATCAACTAATTCCTCAAAACCAGGATCAGATGTCAATCGCAACAAGGCTAAATTTGCAAGTAAGTTAGATCCAGGCAAAAGCATATTTAGTTCTAAAACAGGGAAAGCTAGCCCCACAATGATAAAAGATGATAGTGAGTCTAAATCAAGTAAAATCGATTCCGGTCATCCTGCTCAAATTCTCGAGAGCTTCAAACTCCTTGACACAAAATTTCAAATTCCAAAATTATCAGCGAGGGTAAACAACACCTCAGCGGATAGTGAAGGATCAAAAAAATCTGCTGGTCTCAGTGAAAAGTCTTATCACAATAGTAGCGAAAGCACTCGGTCAGACACTAAAGTAAACGAAGTTGGGAGCAAACCAGATCATAGTGTATCAAAGCATCCTGTCGTCAGCTTGAATTTAGTGAAAAATGTGGATGAAAACACTAGTAATAATGACTCCAGTAAAAAGAGTAGTAGTAGTAAAATCCCAGATACACCAGACACAGAAGCACCACCTCTCGAAAATGTTAGTAGTTCATCTGTCTCCAGCTCTGAGGTATCTCAAAGCACTGTGTCTACGTCTGTAAGTTTACCAAAGAGTAAATCTGACACGAATTTAAAGCTGTCTAGCCTAACTTCAAATTTATCTGCATCCAAAGATGATAGTTTAAGTAGTCTAAAAATGGACCTTCCAATCTCTAATTTGTCTTTTAAAGATAATGGAAACAGTTCATTTAAAAAAGTAGTCGATTCCAGCACATCAAAAACCAGTGAAACTTCATCAAAAGCGAATGAAGCTCCCAAAGGAGGGGCAGGTGCTCAGTCGCAAGAAGTCGCTGAGATACTCATGGATTTTTCTTCCTCATCGTTCCCGAATAATAACAAAACCCTCGATACCCAAAAATTAGCGCCAGCCCCAGAGCGAATGGTCTCTTCCTTTCCTGCACGCAGGAACAACTCACCTTCAGTATTCCCTCACTCACCCTCGGTTCAAATTCACATCGTCAAGTCGCCAGCCTCAATTCTTCCATCACCGCACTCTGCATCTCCTTGTATAACTGATGATGAGCTAATGGATGAAGCCCTTGTTGGGATTGGAAAATAAGAGCCATTTTTTGAATGGTTTTTCCGAAATATCTCCTTTGTAAAATTGATTTCACCATTTCCTTCAAACAGTATTATGCTAAGACATGTGTGCTTTTATGATGTCCGAATCTGGACTACTTGAGTTAAGACTCATTATTCACGACTATAGTTGCTAGTAATTAAATTTTAACAGCTTATTTTTTTATGAGTTTTTTTTTCTCAACATTACATAGAATATTATGGAAGCGGCGTACTTTTGCATGCTGTGACAGTTAAATTATTAAACGAGGTCTATTTTTATCATTATTTAGTGCTTGCTGAGTTGAAACTAGCATTGCTCTTTTCAATAGTTTTTTAATTTGTTATAGACCGATGCAATCATGTTTAGAGACTTCTGTGCGCCTTTTCACACACCAAAGAAACAATTTTTTCCTTTATTTGACAGACTATTTTAGCCTATTTTCCATCCTTCCTTTTGATGGAGGATTTTTATGTGTCTGAAAGTCAATCAATGTTATTCATCAATGAAAACTCCTCAAAGAGCAGAGTCAGGGAATCTCCTTGGTTTACAAATGAGATAAATATTGAAGGAAATAAAACAGCGTAATCAAATGAGTCAAAGAGACAAGTTTGATCAAGAAATTCCGCTCCATTGCATACTTTGGCAATTTATGTCTCCCTTTTTAAACTTATTCACCTTCATTTTCTGATGTCAGAAAATAATTGTAAAAAATACCTTGAACGTAGGTCACTGAGTATGTACCTCTAATTCAAGCAAATTCTCCATCAAATCAGACACGGACAGAAATAATTGAAACCAGTATTGATTTACCTATTAACCATATTATTAAGATGACTGAGTAAATTTATCTTTTTATACTTTAAATTATTGTATGAACTATAGAATATTGTTTTCCAGGAAGATTTTGAAGGAACAGTATTGATCAGGATTATGAAAGAAATTATGATAATGATCAAAAAAAAATTCTGCCCTCTTTTTATTGATACCTAAGATATGAATCGATAATTTTTTCTATCACTGAAGTCGGATGCATTATCTCATGATCCGTCAAAAGCCTCAATGGCACTAAGTGAAGAATCCATCACACACCATATATTTTGCTTTTTATCTTCATACGAGTTTTACGATCATTTCAAGTTTACACTTTATAAAGTACTATTTCATTATGTTTTGTTCCGTTAATTGATAGAATTTTGTTTCAGGATTACTGAAAATCCACCCCCCCCCCTTTTTTTTGTCCTTATCTAGTCTGGATTGTAAAAATAATGTAATTGAAGATAATTTTTGCTGGCTCCAGAACATATCATGCCATTTCAAATTTGTTTCAGTTCTAAATGTATCAACCTCACTTTTTTTTTTATAACTCAACCGTATCAAAGTTTAGCCGTTAGTCCCTGTATTAAGCTTAGACTTTTCTTTTGAATCAAAATAAGCAAAGCTGCTTTTCCGCATCTTGTAACATTATACTCTATTAGTCAGTGACAGTAATAGTGTCTAAAAATTTTGTGTGCAATAAATAAATTAATCAAACTTTTCATCATTAGGATACATCTAGTCTTGTCTTCGTGAAATAATTATCATGATTTTTCAAAGGTTAAAGGAAGTAATTTCTGAAAATGCAACAATTTTCTCCCTCAGTCATTATTGATGATTAGCATATTCCACCAATCATTTCGAATCTGGTGCGATGAATGAGTGTAAATTTCATAATAAACATAAAAATGAACCGTGTTTTATTCTTTTAGGGGAGTATTTTAAATTCTCTCTTTGTAATACTTCTCTCCTAGTGTGGTACGTGCGTTTGAATCCAATGTAGAAAACCAAGTTATGTATTGTCATTAAAAACTTAAGATTTTGTCTTACCTAGAATCAATAATCGTCTTCATTAAATGGGTTATAAGTATCCCTTAAAACTGGTTCAACCATGCTAAAATTTTACCAAGATCAATTTTAGCTCATTCTCCAAAAATTTTACTGCTTCTGTCATTTGAATTGTATGACCTCTTAATGAAAATTTTAATTTTAACAACATACCTCTCGTCACTGTTTCACAAACACTGACCATCGAGAGGTTGATTTTTCAGGAGCCACAAAATCAATGCTATCCTCAGAACTATCCAAGATAACTATTTCGATAGAGTCGAATACTCAAAATGAATAAAGTGGAGAACTTTGTGACCAGTTGGAAAAATATACTTTGAGCAGAATTCTTCTCATACATCATGGTAGATTTCAAATACCCAGTGATGAATAGGGAGAAAAGAACCTGAACATCGTCTTAACAAGGTGTGTATTCATAATGAATGTCTTAACCTGGTATGTAAGAGACGATGGTGCTTAACCAGCATAACTAAATTTCCTGTATTCACTAGTTTTTTGTGAGGTCAACTTGTTCTTTTCTTTTTCTTTCTATCTCCATTTTCCTCTTTTTTGTACAATGAGGAAAATAGAATTTTGGCATAACGCAGTTTGGAACCTTGTAATTCTTCCTTTTATTTGAGCACCAAACTTCGGGTTCAGTGACTTCGAAAAACATCAATGGCTAAGGTGCAAAACCACTTTTCTTTCTATCATACTTAATTTTTTCTTTGTGTAACTAAGCCATGTAATTTCTTGTAAATTTCCTTGATTTTTCATCTCGGTTAGCAGAATATTCTGTATGAATTCCAAGCTATGAAGTTAGCTTGTTTTTCTTCGAAGAAATGAAATGGGAGCTGACATTTCGAAACACGGTAATAGAGATAAACTTTCGCCATCGATGCATTTCAAGTTCCTGATGGGTTGCATTAAACCCACGACTGAAGATGGTTGAAAATGTTCTGTCAGATTGATAATAATGAAATTCATCAATCTGACTACTGAAAGTTGGTGATAGTAAAGACATGGCAGAACAGAACCTCCTGAAAGGCTCCAAACTTCGTAACGAAATTCGCTTTTATTTTTCAATTCACTTGCAGCTCCTAGTGCAGAAGTTTTAATTAACCCTGAGCTTATGAATCCTTCATGTAAAAGCCCGGGGCTATTGTTGTCAAGTTGACTTAATTAATTAATGCATGAATTTAAATGTATATTTTATTAGAAACTTTGTACCTATGACTTACTTATCCTAATGACAATTTATTTTACTTAGCATTCAATTTGAATAGCTGAAAAAATACAAATCCGTAAAATGGGACTGTATTTAATTAATGTACATATACTGGCAGTGTAAAAATATTCGTTTGAATTCTATGCTCTAAGCATCCATGAACTTCAGGTGTCAAGGTTAGTTCCAGAAGAGAAGCAACTTTTTTCCTCTTTTACCTCTGAAAGTTTAAAAGTAATTATATTTCTAGTATCTTAACCCGTGTCACAGTTATCTACAAACAGAAAAATATCATTCAAAGTTCTTTCTTTTTCTTTTAGTGTTCTACTTTTCAGAAATCCTCCCTTGCGGTGTGTTACTATTTGACGTTTTCCCAACACTAGGATGTAATAACTTTATATTTCAAAGCTGCATATTTTCGCTCACAAGTTATACTTTTGCTGGGGAACTAGAGAAATTCCAATTGAAAATTTCTCTGGTTTTACTGCTGACAAAAAAAAACAACTGCAAAAATTAGCACAATTCTAGAGAGAAACTGCAAGGTTATATTCTTGTAACAAATTGAACTGTTGGAATCAATTTTGCAACGTTGGAATGGAGTTATGTCCCTTTGCCCTGGATACGACAAATTGTAGTTTCATGCTTAAATCAGTGTCAAAATGCAAAAATCAAGCCCATTGGTAATGATAGAATTTTGTGCTTTGATCAGCCACTGAGTTTTAAAAACCATTTAATCATTGCTTTGATTCTTTTAAGTGGCGCAAACCTAAACTCTCATCATCGTGAAAAAAGTGCAGATTTTTATACCACTAGAGTCCACACCACATAAGTTTGCGCACTCTCAGACTGCGACAGAAGATAAAAGAGATCTTGATTCTTGCATGTACTTTCAGTGCTAAACTGATGTCACACGATCTTCTGTTGCACTCTAAAGGTGCATAAATTTACTTGGCGAGGACTCTACCATTGTGAGAGTTCTCGAATTAAAAATAATGTTGCAGTAAACAAGTTTTCATTTTCATCAGCCTGAAGCTTTCAATTAACAAATGTACAATGATGTTATCGTATCTCTACCTGTCTTTTATTATTATTCTTTTAGTGATGAAAATAAAACTAATTACTGAACTATGCCCACATACCCTGTATCAGTTAATAAGCTTTACTGAACTCACTTGCCTGAATTCTTTGGAACCTTTCCGAAGTTTACCTGCTCTGATGATTGTAAATTTTGTTATGTATCATTGTTCAAAATGAATTTTAGTTCTTATGTTTCTGTAAATTACTTCTCAAAGTGTATTGGCTGATTTAAATGCATACAAAGTCTGAGATCATTGTTATCAGACTTTTATGTACGCATTATTCTTATTATCTGTAATCAAGATAGTTCAGTACCTGAATTATAAATATTTTTCTTTTTTTATACTCTGAGTCACATTTATTTAAGTATTTCTTCACCTTATTCTGGCGTTGATCATGAGAATTTGTTCAAAATCCAAGATTTACTTAGGTTAAGAAGATAATTCAATAAAAGTCAATCAACATTCAAAAACAAAAACTTTTATTAGGTACTTAAAATGAACATTCAAAACCAAATATTTCTATTACTTCAGCCCAATTTCAGAAATGTCCGTAGTTGGAGGACAGGTATATCTCACGTTACATAAATTGGCTGTTTTTTACTTTCCGTTTTCAAGTGACTACGCTGCTGTAGTCCAATAGTGATTGAGGATTGACAGAGTGCTACAACGACATTAGCTGCTTTTGAGGACAGATACCGGAAATCAATACCTTCCTCTGTGGGAATTTTGCTATATTTGTCTATTACGGGTGACTGTCAGAAGTAAACAACTGCCATCTTATCTGTTGCAAGTTCTGCTTTTTATAATTTTTCACCCCTCCCGTTCAAAGGAAAATAAAATTGAGTGCTATAAATATTAATCCAGCCGAATGGTTTGATTCTATTTATTGCACAGCATACCGTTTGAATCAGAGGAAGATGATGAGTTTTTCTTCTTTTTTTTTTCTTAATATTTTTCTGTTAAGGCTGATAGGTAACAGTTTTGATTCATTTTTTTTTTTTTTTTTCTTTTTTTGCCACTGCCCCCAATGTAGTTACTCTATCCGCAAGAATACAATATTAAAATAGGAATGTGGTCCTACGCTGAACATTTACGAGGACAATGAAAATTGTGTGCGTTAAAAATACTCTTCTTGGAACCATACAATTTATTTCAGTCCTGATAAACTGAGAGAGCATTATCGCAGTTATCAAAGGTAACACTCTGCTCAGAGGACAATAAACCGTCACCATTGATACTATTTCCAATTTTAAATATATCGTTGATGTAAAACTGTAGACATTAATATAAGTAATACGCTTAAAAAAGATGATCCTTCGAACGAAACAAAAAATGTCCGCCTACCATTCTTTCCTGTTAGACCACTTGACCAAAATGGTAAGGAAGAGTGACTGTTGCACACCCCTTTTCAGGCAGGAGAGAGATTATAAAGGACGTGGGTATCTCTTTCAAAGGATGAAGATCATTTAATCTTTACTAGAAACCAAATTCCAACCGAGAATGAGTCTGTCGAATCCACAAGAGAAGAAATTACAAGAAAGGCCGTCATCTGCCCACGCTGAGCTGCAAACCATTCTTTGATGACCCTGCAATCAATAACAGGGGTTAGTTTTACACTAAAATTGTTAAAAGAAGCGAAATTGTTATTCATTGCTACTGTCCTCTTCGGCAGCACTGATACTGGCTGCAAGGATCATAAATCGCAGCTGAGAAGTGGCAAGGTCAAAAGTGCACCTGCAGCAGGAAGGATATTTTTGGGCGCAATCTTGACTACTCAGCAATGCGCATTTGAAACAGGGCTTAAAATATACAACTTTTTAAACCTATTTTTTGTGGTTTGATATTATTCAGGAAATCGGAGAAAAATCTTGTGAGTTGTGTGCACTCTTTACTTTCCAAAAATGCAAAAACCAAAAATTACTGAACGAGTTCATTGTAATTTTTTGTTACTAGCGCTTGAAAATGTCAACAGGTAGCAACTTCTTGTCAAAGATAAGTAAAAAGAAGACTCAATTGGCAGAGGTGGCATAATAAGGGCTGGATCTAAAGAAAGTAAAGTTTTATAGATGACTTCCCTGGAAACTTGGTGCATATTACCTACCAAATGATAGAAAAATCAGGTGCTTTCATACGTACAATCACCTGCTTTGTTGGGTGTGTCTGCTCACTGCCAAAGCACAGAATAAACTGGAGAAAATGTGATAATATGGCTTCAGACGTACCTGCCGACTGGATCGAGGTAAACGTCCAATTCGATGGCCAGACAAATCATAAAAGCGCACTTGTCGGTTATCATGCGGTATGGCAATAATGTTTGAAGAAGATACAGACATTCGATTGACGGCCGAGTCAGAGTGGATTGTTGCTAGCGGTGACCGCATATTGCGCAAATCCCAAACTTTGATGCTATGATCATCACTTCCTGATATCACTTTATCTTCACAAAGAATGGCACTAGTTACGGCTCTGCAAAATATTGAAAATGGTCAGTAAAACGTTCGATTTTTTACCGTTGATTCAACTCACAAGAGCAGCTACTTTACTATCTTGAGTAACAGATTGCAAGCTATGAAGTTGACTTTTGAGCCAGTAAATAGTGTAAAGTTGCATTAGGATCCAACAATTTCTAGTTTTCAGTAAAGCAGATCAAAACTTCTGATAATTTTTCCTTGAAACTACATTCATTGGACTGCAAATTAAAAAACGTTATTACTCAAGTTTGGTTTTGGCATTTTTTTGTGCCAAAATGCTAATAAAACATTTTTATATGCAATGAAATCATCATTTCAATTGGAGCTTTTGAGAGGTTCAACCGAGAAATAGAGCTCTTGGGTAATAATCCTTTTTTCTCAACAGTCACATACACACACCCACACTCCAACTTTAATATACACTAAAACTTGTAACTTTTTTGAACTTACTGGGTGTGACCTTGAAAAACAGACACAGAATGAATGGGTTCTCTGAAATCCCACAGTCTAAAAGTTGTATCATATGAAGCTGTTACTGCCAACCTCTGATGCGGATGAGTTGTGATGTGAGTTAGCTCGTGGTCATGACCTGAAAATAGCGAAACAAAAGTTTTAAATCAAATGATGAGAACTTGGAAAATATCAAGTTTAGGATATCTTCAGAGTAATATATATTTATTCATCTTAATCAGAAAAACAACTGAGAGGAATCCAGCTGTGCAACGCAAAAACGCTGTAAACGCCATTTTAAATTTTTTGAAAACAAAAGTTCATAGCAGAAGAACTTGTGTATCTAGGGACAATATTTTTAAAAATTTTTTGCAAATACTATCAAAAACTTGACCTGAAAATTTGAGGTGCATGGGTGGAACAGTTTTTATTTCATAAAGTGTTAAGTTCCAAAAAACGAGGGAAAATCTTGATGGATTTACGGCGTTCTCACTTAGCACAGCAGTATCATAGAAAGGAAAGTTGGGAGACATTTTTGTGATTTTGAAAAACTGATGATTGTACTTAATACTATTGCATTTTCATCAATACAAAACTTCCAAATGAACCTTTTACTCCTTGAAGGAATTTAAGGAAAACCCCATTTGAATACAACCAAAATTTTTACGAGTCATTGATTGCAATAGTGATACTGCAATTTTTCTTTTATTGTAAAAAATTTCGTTGGCCATCTATGTAATTTAATTACGATGCCAATGTAAAGATAGACTTGTATCAGGGCTGATATGTTGGCTGATGTATACCAAAGAATTGAATGAAAAAGCAAATAAATAAATAAATAAAAAAAAAAAAAAAAAAAAAAAAAAAAAAAAAAAAAAAAAAAAAAAAAAAAACTACCAAAATGTAAAATAGAATCTTATAATACAAATTAATTTTGAACTTGAACACATAATAATATGACATAAGATCTAGTATTCGACTAATTCATAAAGATTTTGCCCAGTCATGGTCTAGTCACTTGAAAAGATGAGAAGGCTGTTAAAAATGTAAAAACAATGAGATCCTTACTTTTAAGTCATGCCAAGCGGTAGGTAATATTTTGCATACATTTTTGGGGTGTGGGGGGGGGGGGGGGGGAGGGTTGTGCTGTTATGAATGAAGGAGAGAGTAAAATGTCCTGAGGAAATGCTAAAAATTGTTAAGGCAAAGAACATTCTGCGCTCCTACTCACAAGGCATGTGCGTCATCATTCGACTGTGTGCTTTAAGATAGGTGAAAAACCTAAGATCACCAACTCAATGGCTGAAGGAAAGATGCATTAAAGAAGAATTAGAGGAATTATAAGAAAAACAACAGAAAACTGGTCATGAAACTGACTTGATAGAAATACCAGAGAGTAACTATGAGAGTCAATAGAGAATTTGCAGGTGTCTGAAATTTGATGAATTCCTTGTTTAAGTGGGAACTACTGAGTGAACTGAACACGAGGATACCTTTGGTTCATGAATTGAACAATTATTGGAGAGGATATGACAAAATAACCCAATCTGCTAAAATATGTGTGTTTAAATGGGAAATGCCGCCAGATGACGTCACTAGGCGGTGCATTTTCTCACTTTTAAATCTATTTTTATACGATTTCCCATGTTAGTAAAAAAGTATAAAAAATACTGCGAAATCAGCTCTTTAAGCAGTTTTAGATGAAGAAATAAAACATTTGCATGCAAATTCTCCATTTTAAAGGCTATAAATTTTGAGAAGCCTTTGGACAATGTTCAAAAAGTTTAACTTTCCTCACCCCCCCCTCTCTTCACCACGAGAGGTGGTCCCATGGCCCCCCCAGAGAAATTTCCTAGCTACGCCCCTGACTACGCTCTTATTCACTTTTTTCACTCCTAAATTAATCAACCACTTGAACTTAGCTTGGCTTTCTAACTTTCCAATGATTCCTTTTAAACTTATTCCTCTCAGTCTGAAAACACTAAACTAAACACACATGGAACAAATATGTACAAACAGAGGTATATTACGAAAGAAGGAAAATTTCAGACCTGAAAGACACTGAAGCATCTGTCCGCTTTCAACATCGTATAAAGAAGCCGTTCGATCCCAGGATGCAGTGACTGCCTGATTACCTCCTGGCAACCAGTCTGCTGCCACAACAACCCCATCATGACCTCGTAACTCACACAGTGGTGTCCTTAGAATGGGAACAGGAGTGTTGTCTTCACCACAATTTTCATCTGCATCAATATCTTCGTCCGAATTATTTTTCTACGGAGAAAATTGAAATTATAAAATTAGAACGTTCAACCAGAATTAGAAGACAAAGGACCACTGGACAAGGTGTAAAAAGCATCATGATGTATGTTTTCTCATCAAAATCTCTTGTAGAACACGATGTGTGCAACGAAAGCAACTCGTGACAAAGATGTTAACGCTTTTCGATGCATACATTGAAATTTCTTGCTCATAAAAATCCGTGATCTACTTCAGTTCCATGGCACCCTAAACGTTTCATAAGAGTCTCTACTGTATAACAATACGACAACCTCAATCTTGGTGCTTCAGCTCAGCTGTTGCCTGTTGCTTACACTTAAAACGACACAGGGCAGGGATGGAATATTAACTGATTAAGAAGCCTACCAACACTGTTATAGTGCTTCACTTGAGTCACATAGAATTTGGTTTTACTTGTGAGTAAGGAACTCAAAGTTTTCCTAACCAGTGTTGAGTAAGAGAGCTGGTATTTCAACAAAGATCTTGAAAAAATTTACAACATGTCTCATGTGTCTGGGATAAATTATTGCTAACAGGACACATTCAACTAGAGCGAGCCGAACTACACTTTATCTTGCTCAATTTCCTCTTGAATTTTATTTTTTTGAGCAAAAACTAAGCAGCACAATGACTCAGAATATTATACATATTTCCATAAGACTATGGAGAATAAGCTTAACATTTTAGGGCGGTGTGTTGTTAGGTTCTGGGTAAAAAATTTAAATACAATAGGAAATTGGATAGATATTGTAGTTACATTGATTCTTGTTGATGCCATACAATTATGAAAATATCATGAACATACCACACTTTGTTCCCAATTAACAAGAGCTTGCCAAATATGAGCTGTCTGGTCACCACTGGCAGTTAGGGCAAGATCTTTGTTGGGGTGAAATTTAATCGAATTTACTGAGCCACTATGACCAGCATACTGAAGTAAGCAATGGCCACTGATAGCATTCCAAATTCTTGCTGTATGATCTGTGAACAAATTTCAGAGATCAATAATTAGGGAGAAGAGAAGTAAGGGATAAAAAACAACATTCGCATCAACTTGCTGCTATATTTCAGATTATTGAAGCTGGCACTGATCATTGACTCAGAATTGAATTGAGTACCTATATCATCTCAAAAAAAGTTTCTGAATTAATGGCAGAAACCAACGAATAGGCTTTCAAGGATTACCTACAGGAAAATGGTCCAGTCACAAAAAATAATTATAAGTATTTTTTTCTAAATTTTTCTGTGCTCTCTTGTAAAGGAGGATGAATCTTCATCCGTACTATAACTCTCTCAAATAATGCACTTTTTTGTGGTCCTTTTCAGTATTTTGATTTCACATTTTTGAGTTGTGTGATGTGCTGAAATATCTACCTGCAGATGCTGTTCCGACAAGTGGCTGGTTGGTAACAGGTACATCGACATCCCAGACCCCATCCCGATGACCGGAAAATTCTTTGACCAAAGAGCATGTGATACTTGGTGTTTTGAAGCTGGAGACAATTTTACTGGTTTGAGCTTTTAACTTGTGTGCAGTTTTCAATTTCTGAGATGAGCCACCATGTAGACCACTTTTCTGTTTCAAGTTACTTCGAGATTTACCAGCTGTTGCACAGTCGCATTCCGCTAGATCTCCATAAGTTTTCTCTTCATAAGTTTCACGCTCCAACTTATCATTTAAAATATCCACTTTGTTTTGCAAATGCAGGTAGTCCAGGTACATGGTTTCGAATTCCTTTTCAATTTGGCTAAATAGATCGTGTAACTTAGATTTTAACGGCTGCGGCAAAACAAAATCTGCGTCTGTGTCTGACTTTAAGTTGACGTACAACTGAGCAGCCTCTCCATCAAATTTCGGCATACTGGTCACCCGTTTGCTTTTAGATGGTTTGCCAAAGGTTGAGCGAGTTCTTTCCAGAGGCATGAGAAAATTTCTTGCACAAGATTGCTCAGAAATTCAAAATTTTATCATCACCTCAGCCAAACATTCAGTCATACCTGAAACAATGAAAAATCATTATGAAGTAAAAACATACTTAGGGGGTACATGCACAATATCGATGGTGAAACTGCAGAAGTGCGTATTTCGAAAAACACAATTTTTCAGATGAACAAAAAACTGTCTACATTCCTCCTTACCTACTGTCTATAGAAGGGAAATAATTCTTGAGGATAGCAAGAATAAGATGCTTTTTCAGACTCCATCAGCATTTTGAATAATTTTTTCAATTATTAGAATATACGGCAAAAATACATAGAGATTTGCATTTTTGGCGCTAAGAATTGACCCTGAATCACAGGATACGGACGGTGTGAGTCAGCAATCACATAACTCGGTTGGCGATGTTGCAGACTTCCTGTCATACTTTATTTTTTCAATGGAAAACTGCTCAACGGCAATTCTTTAAAGCTGTCGTGATTTTTCTTCTCTGTGGCAAGAAAATTCTACAAAAACTTCAATGAATGATGTCAATTTTTTCTCCTTTAAAAAATAGCATGGAGGGGGAGATTTACAGACATCGCAAACGAGTTATGTGATTGCCGACTTACACCGTCATATAAGTCTTTTAAACATGCTGTTGGAGGGTTTTGATTATTTAAAGACCAGAAAAAGTTTCAAGCTTAAAATTTCATTGTGCGATTGGAAAGTTCATCAAGGAGGCATGCTAAAAATCAGATTGTTAGCCCCTCTTCCATGATGCATGCAGGCCTGTCTCCCCGAAGAAAATGTTGGTAAGCTGCGACCTTTTTTGAAAGTTAGTCAAGCTATTGGCATGTCATTTATCAAGGATAGTTAGAGCCTCTTCCTTCTGATCAGCAACAAGTCAGCCTGCGAATGTTTCCTGCGAGGGACTTTTAACAATGTTTTGACACCTAGGAGAGGAGACAGATTAACTTTAGAAGACATGAAACGATTAGATGAACAAACGCAGATTCAAACAAAGATTTTAACAGGATCAGAGATAAGGTGAGCTCAGGGGTTCAGGAATCCATCATCCCCAGTCAGAAAACTCAGAGACAGCTGTTTATTTGAGGACCATGGTACGGGCCTCAGCCACTGATTCGAACCAGGGCTTTCAAGGATACCGATAGTGGTTTGGTAAATGAGGGTATATTCACTTGATGAAAATCATCCATGCACAAATATACCTAAATAATGTCAAGTTGTACCTATGTCAAGCAGTGAATACAGGTTGAATAAGTGCAAAGAATTTCTGGGAGGCGGGTGGTAAGTTGAGACTGAGATAGATACAAGATATTTTACTCAGCATCTCATTCTTAATTTTTACGACTAATAACAGGCATTGAGTATTCAGAGCACAACGTTACAGCGCACAACAATCACAATAGTAGCATTGATCATTGAATAATTGAATTTTCTCTGATAATGATAAGAATGTTTTTATCAACACCAAAGCATAGAATAATGAGACTGACCAAAGATTCAACCAGTCCAGTCGGTCAGGTCAGCCAATGCCAATGGCAAGACATGATAATCTTTGAAATCTCTGAACAATCAAAGGCGGTAAATTTGAATTTCCCAAATTCCTAGCGGTCCTCCGACAGAGCACAGGGACGTCCGCAGCACGCATGGCGCCCGACCTGCCTTTGATTATTATACTTCATCTAGCGTTGAGACGTTGAGAGTTCACTTATTACTTCATTACTTCACACGACCAGTGTATAATTTTAAAAGTCGAAAATTTAAAGAAAAAAATTTACACGATATACGAGTTTCGGGAGCTCTCCCCGCAGAGATCGTTCATAACCCGCCCGTCGGGGAGCCGCGCCGAGCCGCAGGCGGCGTGCTGCATGCAATGCCAGTGCGATAAAAACGCGCGTTGACGCCTACAAACCTAAGGGGCTACTTCACGCATTGCGCAATGCTTGAAGTATCACTTTAGGTTTGAAGGCGTCAGTGTGCGTTTCGAGAAACTTGCCTACAATTAATAGGACCGTTCAGGGTGATAAAATGTTGGCAATTTGACATCAAATCCGAAATTATCGACTCAAAAATACATCAGTAACAAAACTTTCGTGATCTTTCAGTCATTATCCGACTTATTTCTTCCTTTTCTTGAGTTTTGGACCATATAGTGCGCTGCGGGCGGCGCTCAATCGGCGTTCCTCAAATGTGAGGGGGAGGGGGGGGGGGCATTCAAATGAGTCAAACGGGATGGTTATAAAAAAGCGGCGGCGGCCGCCTGCATTCATTTAGCACGCCGAGTTCACTTGTTTACTTTAGGTAATGCATTTTACTTTATAGGACAGTCAGTGATAGATGCTGATGATTCGGCATGATAGAAACATGGTGAAAATCGAGTTACAAACTGAACAAGCTTCTGAAGTTTTGGACCCTTACCCATCCACAAGTGCTCGTTTTTCTTTCATAACTATCGAAATAATTACGTTTCTATTATCAATGGGAGCCACCTATCAAATTTTGAATGCAATTTTGCATTCAGCTGTTGCTGGTGTAGATGGCATTCAGACGCAAGGAAAAGAACAGATTGCTGACTTAACAATATTAAATTGTTAAAAAATAAGTCCGACATGTTTTGAATGGTGAAAAGATAATTCAAACACGATGGTGATTCAATTAGCATTTTCTCTCTTGTAAAATCTACTTTAAAACGTGTCGGACACTTTTTCTTAACGACAAAATTGTTGAATCCGCAATGTCATTTTTTTCCGTGCAATAAAAAAATTTCCTTACATAAGAAGATTCTAAAACGACACTTGAAAAGAAAACTTGGATTTTATCTCCCCTTTCTTTTTTTAGTGTGTTTTCCGAAGAAAATACACTATTTTTGCTTATGTATTTTGTTTTGGTTTTTCATGCGTTCCATTTTCCTCTGTTTATTTTAAAGGACGAAGTTAGCAATAAGTTGTGAATTTTGTCGCCGATGACAAATCAAAATTACTTTCTCTTTAACTGAGTATATACAAATATACAATCTTATATATAAATATAAATAATAAATAAAATGATGATGCAATAGTGCTGAGTACACACTACCTATACCAATTCAGGAACTCTTCTGAAGCCAATTTTCAGGCAGAAAAAGTCTCATTTAACCCATAATAAGCTCCTGCAGTCTAGTGGTTTAACTGCTCCACATTGATGGCCAAATTGCAAAACCACATACCTCCATTTGAAATGTTGCAAATTTTCCTGTCATACTTTAGATTTTCTTTGGAAAAGCAGTCAACGTTATTTCTTGAAAACTTCCTTAGATTTTGCAGCTTTAGGCTGCAAAATCTTTGCAAAATCAAATTTTTTTGGCAGAATATTTTGTACATATTTCAAGCTATAAAGTTGACATATTTCTCTTCGAAAAAAAAAGGAATGGAAATTTGGAAACAATGCAAATGGTTTAGGTCGAGCTCTTAGTGTGTATGTAATGTATTGTCTCTGTCGGTACCCCTCTAAAAAAAAAAGAAGGTCGGTTTTTGTAAAGTCCTCTCCCCACGATGAGACACTTCAATGTAAAGTTCATTGATGATTTAAGGAAAAATCCACAGAAAGAAAATATATACCGATTACGTTGGTAGGTACACTGCTCTATCAATTGCAAAGAGGAATTGTAGTAAAAGGAATTGTGTGATAAATACAAACATACCACTTGATACGGGAAGGGGGGGGGGCTTAAGAATGCACACAAAAAACACACATGTACATCATAATGTTGCTCCAAATACTTTATTCCAACTGCAAACAGTGGGAGCTACCAAAAAGTAACATGATTTTAAACAATAACAGAACAACAAAACTGACAACTGCTGACAAAAGCATGGTGTGTTCAGACAATATTCTAGCAAATATGTACAAGTCAGAAAACATCAAATGGACAATCACATTGTTTCCAGAGTATCTGATGATGATGGCCATAAAATTGTAATTTTCAATCTCATATTTTTGTATCTATTTGAGAGTGTACACTGCACACTGGATGAGGAAAATATACTCCTGAGAAACTAATTGCACCGAGCTGTATAAGATTTAAACCTATAAATGATGAACATGCAAATCATTCCCGAGGCCCTTAACACAACTCTGTAATGACACTTGTCCTGGTCTTGATGATCCAAAAAATGAAACACAACAGAGCTTGTTTCTTTTCTCGAATAGCCTTCAGTTGCCTACTCGTATAAATTAATCCATGATCCGTCCATTTCTGCACTGTTTTGTGCTCTTAATCCAAGAATCTAACTCGGTTCAAAATTCTGATGAATTCTGGTCCAAATTTCGAGCAGATATCTCATTACGATATGACACCTTCTTATGCATTTCGGTGATGTTGTGATGAAGCATAGTTAATATACATAAAAAGATGTTTTGTTGAGATATATCTATGCAGCGATTGGATCAGGTCTCTGAGTCGAGTCTGAATCTTCTACCAGGAGCATAAAATGTTTGCTGATCAAAAAATTGCAACGATAAACTGGGCTTTGCTGCATGTATAAGTTCATTGGAAATTAAAGGCTAGGCAAGAAAAGACACCCGCCCTATGCCTCTGATCGCTACATCAGTATGGGACTTGTATATTTGCCATTATTACATTATAGAATCTTAAATTGCTTCAATTAATTAGTTGCCTAGGAATACAGTGCCAAACGTTGAGAAGCCATATGCTTTAACAATTACTTATTGATAGAAACTTCAGCCAACTTGTTTTACTTGTTTATATTTTGTTCAGAAGTACATGGTTTTCTTCTTGTGGCTTTTGCTTACAACAAGACTGAATAATACATTTTCAAAATCGTCTTTCTGATGCTGATTCAAATCGGTCAAAAACTTCAGAAATGCAGTAAAAAAAACTTGTAACTTCTATTGAGTAAGCTAAATTCTTCTTTATTCCTAATAAAATCAGTCATACAATTTCTGGTGATCAAAAAAATCTTAATATTTAGTGGGAAGCCCACATCAAAGACATAAGTATAAGAGAGCATAAATTAATTTCATTGCCTCATGAACTATCAAAAGTAGGTATGTACAATGTTGATATGCTCAAGAAACTATAATATATAAGACAAATTTAAGCCAGCCTTCTCTCCTGAGGGGATACAAAAAAATAGCCTCACTGAGAACAATGGGCCTGTTGCAAACTTTTGCTAGAGCAAAACTAAGAGTTGTTTCCTGCAGATAATGCCTCAAAAATCACGATGAGCGCATCGGCAAAGTCTGAAATGCACTCATAACTTAGCAATCTGCGTAAGAAATTTACGGTTTTTTGAGCTTCCCGCTTCGAAAACGATACTACGGTACAGGTGAACATTTTGTTAGAGGAGTCGTTCCATTGGCGACAATACTCATCATGGCCTACGCCAGTCCGCCAAAACACGTGTGATGGGACGAGATAACACCTGAACAGGATTAAACTAGAGTCCCTTTATACCCAGAGTTAAGACAACTCACTTTTGGTTGGGCTGAAAGTGGCCTAAAAAAAATCCAATTCTGATTGGTTCTCGCTCATGGAGGCCGAAACGAGTGCACCAAGATGGCGGTACCTCGTATGTGAACAAGAATAATGAAAATATTACCTAATTGTGGTTTATCAAGAGTAAATTGTTATTGCCATCGGTCCAAAATGAAAATAGATTAAGAAATTAATCACAAACCAATCTCATTTTCTTTTTAATTGATCAATTTGTTGATGTTGTTGTTTCTGTGTGACAGACATCGCAGGATTCCTGATCCTTATCCCCCAATATCGTTCGTTTGGGTGTACTCGTTTCGGCCTCCATGGCCAGCCAAGGCCGGCTGTCAGTCAGCTGATAATCGAGTTGTCGTAACTCTGGGTATAAAGGGACTCTAGATTAAACCATATAACAATCGGCGTGTTTACGTTCATATTTTCCTCGCCCGCCTTAATTGACCTTGAACTCTCCTCGAATTACGCGAGGAACTGCGCAAGCGTCGGCCATGATGAATATTGCCGACGATGGAGCGACTCCTCTAACAAAATGTTCACCTGTGCAGTAGTATCGTTTTTGAAGCGGGAAGCTCAAAATGACGCAAATTTCTTACGCAGATTGTGAATTTATGAATGCATTTCAGACTTTGCCGATGCGCTCATCGTGATTTTTGAGGCATTATCTATAGGAAACAACTCTTCATTCTGCTCTAGCAAAAGTTTGCAACAGGCCCATAATGAGACAAATGACAGGGCTGGTGGTACAGGCAAAAATGACTTTTCATGCAGAGCTCCTCTTCGGAAGTTGATTCAGTAATCTGAATGTCGAAAATTTACATATTTGTAAACTTGTCAAGGCAAAAAGAACATGAGGACAATGAATAAATTCACAAAATAAATCAGTATTATACAATCACTGTGACTTCTTGCAATTGAGGCGGACAAAAATCACACTCAACAAAATGCATTTCAATAAAAGGTTAAATCACTCACATTTTTGGTGCTGCTATCCTAGCAAAGGGACTCACTGCTTACCCTTTAAAAATTTTAAGTTTATAAGCTTAAGTTTTGTTAATTTTGTTAAGTTCATTCGCAATTATATATTTAAAAATGACGCTACAAATTCGATGATTAGTCAAAGAACAAAACAAACTTGTGGCTTTACTCTTAACCATGATAAAAACAATCAAACGCTTATGGCCTCATCCACATCTCAGACTGATGAGACATGGGATCCAAACATTCTCTTTCTAAAAAAGGACTTGAACTTGCTGAGAGGCAGCAGCACTGGATCGTTCACTTATAATTTCTGAGCATTTACAGGAAAAAGGATTTTGATGCTGGAGAACTCAAAGTTGAGATATTAGCACCATTGTTCAGAGGAGAACTGTACAGACATTTCACAGAAGACATGTCCAAATATGTTAAACTGAACCTTTACATCGGTTTAAAGCTAATGGTTCAAATAATGGAGTTTTTTGAAAAACTACTTAATTTTTTCAACTGACACGTTTGCGGCTCAAAACTATCTGATTAAATTGGAATGTACACAATTTATTGGCAAAAAAAACTGATTGTAACTTATTGCTTCAAATACTGACAAGTATTTTATTGGAAAGTCTTTATCCATGATCGGGAGAAAGTGGATAAGAAATATCAACGTTTTCTCCTGAATTGATTTTTCATGCATAAATTTTCGCCCAACTTTCATGCTAACTTGTGCAATCTATGGCCTGTAAAAACATTAAAAATCCTACAAAAGTAAGGGAACACTGCACCAATGATGTGCCATATTAAGACTTAGTTCACATTAAAGTTCAAGGTATATAATGATACATAAAAAAACACACACAAATCGAATCATTCATATGGGTAGTAAGACTTTCAAAATAGGTTAGTAATTAACATGGTCTTATAAAGTTTTAAAGAAAATCTCTCATCTATAGAGAGAGAAAATATTTCTGTCAAGAAAAAAGATACCTCACAAGGAGTACTAACAGCAAAACAAATTCTTCATGTCAAGTGCATTTGCTTGTCAGATCAAGCGATGGTTTGAACCACTTTTGAACGCTGCAAGCTCTGCTAGCTGAGCCTGTCATTCAGCTTATTCTACTGGCAGGGTTCCAAATAAGCTGTGGCAACTACCTTGAAATCCAAAAGAATCAAAAGAGGAAAAAACATTAGAGTCCTGCTTTAAGGAGGCCATTTGATGATTTTTCAGTTTTTGTTTTTTTTTTTTCATCGGAACTTTAACTGAAATTTGACTCTTGCATGACCATGACCTAAGCTACATCGTTCATCTGACTTAACAACGTCATCACTATTGGACTAAATAACATACTGAAGAATTTAAGTTAGCAGTTGCTGGGCAAAGTCTCGCTCAGTTGTTTCCTACGCATGAGTTGGATACTTGCTAAAGTTGTCAGAAACCCTTGTCCCATTTTTAGCCCATGTAAGAAATATAAAAAAGTTCAACTGGCTTGGAATTGCATATTCGGAACTTACGTATGGGTCCCAACTAGAAAGAAGTGCTACGAGACTCATTTAAGATTCCAGCTTTTAGTTATTCGACGGTTTTTTCCTTTTTTTAAAAGAGCTTTGTTTTTTCTCCCATCAAGGAAGCTAAGTAAATAGGTCAAGTCAGAACTTCTTAGGTCTTGGTAACTATGAGATTAAGAAAGACTGTGCCTGACCAGCAGTAAAGCACCAGCACCTGTCACACAGCTGAATCTGTGACAAAGTGAGAAACAGACACCGCCGGCCATTGTCACTATCCGTATGGGTGTGGTTGGATGCATCAAAACACCGCTCTACAAAGGTCAAGGCCAGCTTGCTCTTACGCATCATCCCCCCCTCCCCCCAATTATAAACTGAGAAGTCTGGTAGCGTACCAGCAACTCTTGTATTTTAAAGTTTCAGCAGTCACTTGCAGGCAGGTGCAGCAGGCATCTCCTGCAGCCTGATTGTTGAAATTTTTTGTTTGTCGGGACAACCTAGATGACATAGGTTAAAAGGCGGAGCGTGATTGGTTGACTATGTCTTATCGCTGCTTTGTCGTGCCAGTGTCAGGTTGAACTCACGACAAGCTAACGGCACCTCTTCAGTCCCCGAGAGTATGTCATCCATTCAACCTGACAAAAGCACGACAAAGCAACAATAAGACATAGCCGACCAGTCTCGCTCCGCCTTTTAACCTATGTCATCTATGTCGTCCCGACAAACAAAAAATTTCAACCATCAGGCTGCTGATATGCTTCCACATCATCCTAATTAGGATCACTATCTCTGTGAGTAGTATCTCACTCCAGTTGTAAATATGACTTTATTTACTTACTGAATGACAATACATGGCTGCCTTTCTTTATCTAAAAAAACTGAGGGCATTTTGTGCATACATTCACTTTGGGAAAAGAATTTTTCCAGAGAAGAGCGAGAAATTCAAGGATGCAAGGCAAAGAAGTAGAACTCCATTTTAGTCCAAAGCCCACCTTAGGGAGACGATTTCCTTGTTCCCAGTAGAGAGGGATTTGGCAAGGTTTAACTGTAGTTTCAAATTAATTTGGAATCAAATCTGTGGATATACTTACCATGCTAAAGTTTAAACATCGTGTAGATCTTTAGAAAACAAAAGCGGCTCCTGTTCGATTGTTTGGCTGAACTCATATTTGGTCCTCCAGTCCGTCGGATCAGGACGAGCAAGGCCAAAACATTCTAGCTTAGTCACATCAACAATATTTTGAAGGTAACCTCGATGGAATGGGCTGCGAACTTTTGATCCAACTGTTACAAAATGACGATAACGAGGGGCGTTCATCCTTTCATTTGTTGTCATACCCAAGACTGATATCTGATGAAAGAAAATTAAAGTTAGCAGAAATAATATGAGTAATTTTAAGATAAAAGTAAAACACATTAAACATGTTTACTGATTAATTTGAAGAATTTTGTGAAGAATTTCAAGATTTTTCCATTCAGATCCTTTCTGTTTTAAACAATTTGACATGATCACAACACCACAGAACTAATATAACCTTGAATAAGATGTAGATGACAATTAAACAGCAGCATGGTGGCTGTTAGTAAGTACATGCGGCAGCCATCTTTCTATCTATAATGCTTAAAGTCAAATTTTGATGGCAATAACAAACTGGACGGTTCAAACAAATTTTGGAGAACCCCTCAAAAGAAAGCATTATTTCTCCACAGGAACGATTTCACCATGCACATTTCTTTCTTGGTACCAAAAATTGTGGAAAGCAACTATTTGCAGGGTAATGGGCCTGTTGCAAACTTATGCTACAGCAAAAATAAGAGTTGTTTCCTATAGACGATGACTCAAAAATCATGATGAATGCATCGGCAAAGTCGGAAATGCACTCATAACTTCACAATCTGGGTAAGAGATTTGCGTTTTTTAGAGCTTCCCACTTCAAAAACGATACTACGGCACAGGTGAACATTTTGTTAGAGGAGTCTCTCCATCCTCAGCAATATTCATCATGGCCGACGCTTCCGTGGTTGCGCACGTAATTCGAGGAAAGTTCAAGGTCAATCAAGGTGGGTGAGGAAAATATGAATGTAAATATGCCTCTTGTTATTTGGTTTTATCCTGGTCAAGTGTTATCTCGTCCCGTCACTCGTGTTTTGGTGGATTGCCATCGACCACGATGAATATTGCCGATGATGGAATGACTCCTCCAACAAAATGTTCACCTGTGCCGTAGTATCATTTTTGATGCAAGAAGCTCAAAAAACCGCAAATTTCTTTCGGAGATTGTGAAGTTATGAGTGCATTTCAGACTTTGCCGATGCGCTCATTGTGATTTTTGAGGCATCATATATAAGAAACAACTCTTAGTTTTGCTCTAGCAAAAGTTTGCAGCAGGCCCATTCCTCCCAAGCTAATCTGACTCATTTCAAACGGAACAAAAGTGTTTTACCTGATACAGTTGACATGACAGAAGCATAAGGACCCAAAAAGAATGGACAAAAGCATTTAAAGCGACCCAGGCGAGCCACGCGTCGCATCGACCCATCATCCAGAGAACTGGAAAAGAGAAAAAATGTTTGAGTGAGGAATACCTTCTTAAAAACAAATCTTGGAGATAGTTTTTTCTTCTAGTCTTTGTACTACTGAAAAATGTGCTCAACTTTGAGGTGAGAACTTAGAATTACCAAATTTATTGCTAAATGTGATGGATTACTAATAATCTCTTGCAAACAATGCAGCACTTTCCTCTAGCTCTTAGAGTCCCTTACGTGCTTCTCAATTTTGGAAAGATGTGTCGACCCTTCATGTTACAATATTTGATTAGGTACTGCATTTTTACCCTGGTAACTTTGTTGCTTGGAATAAGTCACTTTACTTTTTCAGAAGGCATAGAGGGGTTTTGCAGTTTCTTGTAAAATGTTAAAATTCATGATAGTGAATTAAAAAAATGGTGAAATGAGAAATAAATGATACACTGAAGAATTGGCCTCAGCGAAAACAGTTTCTGTTAATATTCCATGTAGACCTTTTGAATAAAGTTCCAAAAGATCAAATTAAACATCAAAGACATAAATGATTCCAGTTTCGAACCCTTCCAATACCTTGGACAAGTTAACTCTGCTGCCAATTTCTGCATTCTCTGAGCCGCGGACAAGCTAATCTTGTTTTATCACTGTGCATACATATTTCTGCCCTGAAAGCCCACTTTGTTGATGGAGTTTACACTATCTGTTGGAGAGGATACGAACTACACCTTTTTTATACGTATGACAAAGTAGAGACACATTTGTGTGTGAAAGAAGGGCTCAAAGAACCGGTGACTGGCATATTTTTTTTTGTGCCCTGGTTCGTGGGGTGTCCATGATAAATCTTACCGTGGTATTGAAAGGGTTAAGGGGTAAAATCCTTAGAAATTCATCACTTCATGGCAATAATTTTGGATGGTGCAAAGAAGTCAGAAACTTATACCTTCAAAAAAATTTAAGTCAACAAGGACATCATAATCGCAGAATTTCTTCCAAAATACAACCGTACCAAAGAGTATAAAAAAGCACATTACAACTAACATGACTAAGTAACCGACGAAGAATCGATGATTTTCTGAACCTGGAAAAAATACAAAAAGAAGAAAGTTAGATGCAAAACAACTTTAAAATATGCAGTATATATCCTAATTGAGTCATCCATTCCCTAGATATTTTCCTTAGAGTTTTGAATGTATTCCAAGAGTTTTGTCAAATCTCCTCTCTGAATCCATTGTGCGGTATGCAAATTCATCTTTGAAAAATTTAGATTTATACTAACACAACTTTAAAATATGCTTGCAATTAAACAACCAAACGATGCAACAAAGCGACAAAGATTATAAATGAGTGATAAGCAACAAACATATTTTCCAGGCTAACAACTCCTGGAAAAGAAGGTATAAGGAACTCAGAGTCAACTTTGATGACAAACGATTTTAATGATCAAAATGGCTGAGAAATCAAAGTTCAAAGAGTAAATTAATCAACCTTTTGGCTTTTAGACAACTTATCCCCTTAATTGTTCTTCTCGGGAAATAGCCGACCAAAGAATCACTTTTGATCCAATTCATTCGTTATTTCTGACAAAGCAATTAGCTAGCTATTCGAGTTAAACTAAATGTTACTTGAACTGAGTTGATCCAAGTTTTTAGACAGACAAAAGCTAACAAATAAATAAATTTAAATAAAACAAAATGCATATGTACCTTCTTGAAATGATTGGAGGCTATTCACAAGCTCAGAGGTGAAAAGTACTTACATTTTTACTCACAGTGACTTAACTTCTGAGTGATAGAGATTAAAAAGAGAAGTAATTAATGGGTTTTTAGTAAGCAATGGAAATGGTTATGTCAAAGTTGATAATAAGTAAACATCTTTACCAATAGCCGTAACAGTTTTTGAAGTTGGTGAAAAAGACCTGCATACATCAGTTACACCGGCTGAACAGCCCAATGTACCAGATGATGATGCTATTACTAGGAGCTAACAGTTTATTAGAGCTGTCATTTCCAACAATGACATGCTCCTTTGAATGTCTTGGTATTTTCAAAGGTGGTGTACTGGTAGTTCACCCACAGGAGTTCGTTTGAGCATCCCTAGGTCAAGAACAGTTGAAATGCCTGTACTGACAATGCGTTTGAGTAATGCCTGCTCTCGTTTTTTCTGATGTTTAATAACTAAAATTTAAAGAACAGCAAGTGGAACTTTCAAATGCTATACACTGCTTGAAGATTTCACCTCATGATTGAAAAAGTCTAACTGACAAAGAACAAATATATAATTGAAGATACTAAGAGGCGATGATAGTGTGATGAAGGCAGATATCTTAAGATGTCAACTTATACGGTTAACTTACCAACACAGTTATTTATCCAAGGACAGTGATGATCAAACTTTGCCACACAGCGGTTACAAACAGAGCAATGTTTTGATCTGATAGGTTTGCGAACGAGACACGTACTGCAAAAAAGTCGAGGTTCAAACCCTCCTCTTTCAGCCAGCTCAATAATTGTCTGAAATTATTAAAAACAAACGGACCATGCCAGCAAAACGATGGATACAATGGAAGATCTAGATGTTTTGTTATCTAAAAGATGTTGAAAACATGAGTATCATTTTCCTCACTCTCGCTAATGCTACTACATTTTTTCAGCAAAATTATAGGGGCGATGCTATTACCACTAAAATAAAATAAAAATTGATAATGAATTGTTCAGAGATTAATGTTTAAATGGAAACATACACTGTCTTTCTGCGATTTTAAATGGATCAAATTTGTAAGAAAATTAACTAAACTCTTTGAAGCCACGGCAATGCATATGTGCAGTTGTTTTTTATTAATTCTAACCATTGATTTGTCAAAAAATTAGGATTTATTATGCGCCGCATCTTGTATATTCTTCTGGACCTATCGAAGGGTATTTCAAGTCAACGCCTTGGAGAAAAAGCAACGACCACTATTATGAAAGGAGCATTCAAATATTATGAAGCACTTATTATTACATATTACATATAACTAACACTTTGAAGGGGGGGGGGGGCATGTATGAATGTAGGAAACAAGATGGGTGGCAGAATTGAGTCTATCACGGCGATCAATTTTATTTAATTTTTTCACTGGTTGATACTTAAAAATAGTCACTTCTTAGAAATTGAACTTACCCTGTATTTTTGATCCTGGGAACTGTAGATGACTCCTGGATCACCTCTCCATGCATTTAAAAAATTATACCAAAGAAGAAATGATGTTGCTAGAAATAGAAATGAAACTGAAAAATCAACGGCCGCTGAGATCCACAACAACCATGTCACATACATCCAAAACTGAAATCAAACACAGAACTTACAATGAAATTATTTTTGCAATTTCATCTATTTTACAAAATTCTATTAAAGCAAGAACTTGATTCCAGCCCTTCATGTACAAAGTTTCTTGGAGTTTATATGACAAAATTGGAGGGAAAGTTTGAGTCAAAGTAAGACTTTTATATCCTTTGAACGTGAGTCCAAAAATCGAACCATTAGAAGCAACAGTAAACTTACAAAAATCTCATCCTGGTTTGCAATATGTGATGCAAAACTCATTTCATCATACGTTTACGTTTTACTCAGGGTGGTAATTGATCTCAATTATCCAAATTCCCAGACTTTTCTGTAGGATTCTCTGATTAAATTTGGCAAAATTCTCTACATTTTTACTAACTTAAAAAAAAAACTTCTTAAACTCCTTTTGAAAAGCTGAGCCTCGCACTCATTCTGGGTATATCTCTCGATGTAACAATTCTGGGCCCTCTAATAAAATTCTCTGACTGTATCAAGATTTCTCTGACTATTGCCACCTGTTATTTGAATGACAAAAAAGCTATGATTAAGGTTTCAAGAACATGCTTTTGCTTCATACAAGATGTGCCTTAAGCTAAGCACAGTTATTGGTTAGTTTTGTGATAAAAACAAGCGGAATAGCAACTATTACCAGCTACTAATACTTGATAAGTGATAATACTATTTAGATTTTGAAAAAACTTGTGCAGTTTAGTTGCTCCTTCTGAAAAAAAAAAAAAAAATTCCAGACATTTTTAGAGCAATTCTTTGATGCAAACAGAGCGCAAGCTTCATAATTTGAACGATATCCTAGATTTTTCAGCAATTGTCGAAATAGATCATTCTGCATACTTTGCAATTTTATAATGAATTTTAGCCTCAAATGAAAAGATTTGCCTCTACATATTTTCATAATTTCTGATGAAGAGATACTGACCTTGGTAGCAAGATATATTGAGATTGGTAGGTAGAACATCAAGCGATCATCACAGATATAACGACCAATAAAACTGATCATGATATAACCACAGACTATTAAAGCTACTTTCGATATATAGACTAAGTTTGACTGGAGAATGGTTCCAACAGCATAAAATACTATGAACGGAATAGAGACCATACACCAAAACCTAAGTCTCTGAAAAATAAAAGAGACAAAATCTGATAAAATAAATTTAGTAATTAAAATGAATGATGATAAAATATTCCTTGATCTTTTGCAGAGCTCCAGATTAAAGAAGGAGGGCTTCAGAGCAAAATAATAATTAGAATGAATTGACTTCAGTGTTGAATAATTATTCAAAATTTAATTTGGTTTTTAAAAATAAGGAAGTAAGATCACAAGATTCAAAAAATGAGAGCTTTGACGCAAAATAAATACCCAAGATTATTATCTTCAGTGATTGAAGAATAATACATTTTTTTTCCCCCATATAGGGGTGAACATGCAGACTAGTTGATGAAATGAGGAAAATAATCTTACTTTGTCATTAAGATATTTTTCAATATAACTTTGAGATCGTTTTTGTTTCACTAATTCATTCACTTTTTCAATGACTTTTTTCCCAAACCAAGGAGCTGCTTTCTGATTTTCTATCAATGATAAAGCTGTCTCTCCCTGCAAAATAAAAATGACTCAATTAATGTTGGACAGAAAAAGGATAGGAAAGAGAAAAACTGGGAATGTTTTCCTAAAACAAACAATACAAAGGGGGAAATAAAGAAAAATGACCTGCCAGCTGGCATAGAAAAACAGATTAAACGTTAAACAGCAAAAAAAAAAAAAAAAAAAAAAAAAAAAAAAAAGTAAAATTAGAAAATTAGACTAGTTAAGTTCGGATTTTTTCTCTTTACAGCGATCCCTGATAATTTATCAGGGACTCCTTATTTGTTCCATGGAAATGCTGCTACTATTACGCTGGGACTCACAATCAAGTTTCTGTGTACTGCAATCTTAGGTGTAAAAGTTGCCCCTTCAATTCGATACTAGTACATACTTGAGTTTCAATTTGAGTATCTAATTGGAATTACTTTTCATTTTTCAGTTTTGAAATTCTTTAGTTGATAGTGTGGCCCTGACACAATGATAGAACGAAGCTCCTTGCATTTACTTGTTTTGCGATGAGTAATTTTTTTTCCTTTGGGTGAATGTTTAGAAAAACAGAACTGAGAATTACTGAGCATCATCTCATTTACACATTTTAACTGATGAAATAAACTTGTTTTGTTGAACTGACACACTGATTGGATCAGTAGACACGAGTTGTGATCATGGTTCAATTATTCATTGTTCATTGATAGGGTCAATTCAGAACGGAACCAGAGACTATGACAGGTTAAATTTATAAAGGAACTATTCTAACCTGAGCATTTGGTATTTCTAAATTTGCTCCATGGGTGACTAGAGTTGAGATTGCTGTGTGGTTTTTGGATATTATAGCCCAGTGAAGAGCAGTGTTACCATAAATGTTGTCTTGAATGGTTGTGCTTGCACCGAAAGTCAAAAGTAATCTTGTCGGATCCAAGCTGTTGAAGAAAATCGAAATAATATTGATGACGAATATGACAAGATTAGGTACTGCAAAGTGTTAAACATTCCATTTCCATTTATAGGGCTCAAATTAATAAATATAATAATAATCTACAAAAATAGAGGACCTCAGGAACCGATACAAAACCACCTGGACAGTGGAAATTGACAAATAATGTGCAATTCAATGTTATTTTCAAACTGCTAAACTTGAATCCTTCAAAGAACCTCATGGTACAGAGCTGCACCTGAAAGTTATCAAATCATTTTCAGAGCGGCAATACCTAGTGGTACAACACATTCTAAGGCACCAATGGTTGGTTAGTAATACAAACCAAATAATCACTCTAACAATAAAGTTAGATCACACATTTTCACACCTCCAGGAATCATTCCTCAAATAACCTACCGTTGAATGTCACATTTTGGCAGAAATGCAGATAATAATATTAAAGATAGATAAGAAAGTTCCTTCGGTACCTTAGAACTTTGTAGGCACACCACATGAGAGGAGTCATTCCGGTTCGATCTGGTAGATTTAAATCAACTCCTTTTGCTACAAAATAGGCGACGATTGCTGTATGTCCAAACTGAGCTGCAATATGTAGACAGGAAACACCTTCTGCATCTTGAATTCTTGGATCTGCACCATACTGCATCAAGGTAACAACACTTCCAAGATGTCCCTGCCTAATATACGATCAAAATTTAAAAAATTACAAGCTTTGTAATTAACCACTTGACAGATTGAAACATGCATCTTTAACTACAAAACATGTTCCATCATGAAAGTTCCATTCAAAATACAATAGACAAATTGTAAAATTTTCAAATTTAACATGTCGGCAAGAGGTTAGAGTTTCCTGCGTTAGTAAATTTACGCATCCTACTTTCCAAAAAACCGAAGTCTTCTCAAGTCAAAGCAAGTACTCCACAAAATTCAGATTTTGACGCAGTTTAAGGAGGAACCCTACTACTGTATTTCGGAAAACTGCCACCACGTGGCGCTTTGCCGAAATCTGTCGTTTTTTCCATGTTTTTTTGATGTGTCTAGGCGATTTGTCCAGATATAAGCTACACTTGCAAAATTTTCTTAGTGTCACTACAAAGATTATATTATGCTGAGTTGTTATGTACCATCAGTTTCTTTCTGCGATAATTACTTGCGGAGAAACGATGCTTGCCGCAATGAAAGTTCCGATTTCTGCGCATTTCAAAATGCCTGCGAAAACCTTTACCATCTCGGCCGGTTATCAAAGGAAGTGGGGATCCGAATCTTCATGCCTGGCAATTCTCTCCAGTATCTGTCCTTTTCTTTATTCTCTCCCTTCATATCTCTTTCTATTTCAGGGCTCCTTTACTCTGTGCCTGTGCTCTACGCCGCGATGTGTCATCACCTCACGGAAGTAATAGTCCGTTACGTACTCTAAAAAACCCTGCACTTTTTGATTGGAATATGCTGCTTTCAGGGCTCATTGGTGGTGCCTCCAGGAGTAATTTTCGGTGCAAGCACCCTAGAATTCTCTTCTGCCTGCCACCCCCCTCCCTCGGTTTGAAGTGTCTGGATCCGCTTATGCGGCAAAACCAAGAGGCAGCTAAGAACAACGGCTAGGTGGCAGGTAGCAAATGTGGTAGGAAGGAGTGGGGAGGGAGGGGCTGGAGCGGAAAAATCACACACCCCCGCTATGAAGAATTTTTTTAGATTTTTCAACCCTAAGAAGCTCTGTTTGGAAAATGCCAAAAATTGGACCCGACTGAAACACTATTTTAGCGGGCTTCAATAATGCAGTCAGGTGAGGGAAACGACTTTGCTGATTGGCTAAACTTAGCTTAAGGCATGGCCTTGCTATGTCAACTCGACTATCTGCTTTTGATCAGCTTCTTCTCTCCCTAGAAATGAACTTCTGAGTTTTTCCATGAACTTTCGCAAATGAATAACTTTATTCCAAAACTCTGCAAAAATTCCTTACCGCTGCTCAAAAAATGATACTCTTGCAAAAGTCATTTACCTAGTTGAGACCTTTCTATTTTTGATCAAACGGGTGAATCTTGAATCACCCTTGTGATACTTAAAGTAGTGAGCAGTTCATCATGCAAAATATTTATTGCTCACAACAGAAAATAAGAAAAAACAGACGAACCTTGATGCCCAGTGTAGAGGGGTAGCCAGCAAATCTCCACCAACAGCATCAACAATTGCCCCTTTTGAAACATAATATCGGATTATGTCTTGTCTATTATTAATTGCTGCCCAATGTAATAATGTCACCGTTTCATTATCTGGCTGGTTCACATCTGCCCCTGCTTCAACCAGCTCACGACACCGTTCTAGAGCACCATACTTTTAAAGGAAACAAAAGGCAAATTAATAGGTTGAAAGGGAAAAAAATACACTAAAAATTAGAAATTTCTATTTTTTACAGCTACAAAAGCCCTGCTCTATGATTCGAGTTTATAAAACGCTCATGTTAGCAGAGTGATAGCCATTCAGGGTTACTAGTCTGGGACAAATCATAAGATATAATCAATGAATCAATCAAGGGATTGATTTACCCTAAGGAATCACTTTATCAAATCCAAAAGACCAAGACATTTATAAATACCTCATTAAGAGAAGCAATAATTGACAGTCGAGAGGGAGACCTAGGGATGAAAAGAGTGCCTTTGTAGACAAAAGCCACAAAGTGATGAGCAGAGCTACTGAAAAATTAACCCTTCGAATTTTGAATACAGTGCTTGCAAGAGGCCGATGATGCAGTGAATTTAGTTTACACAGCCCAGCAAATTTTCTGATCAAGTCACATTTCAGAAGCAACATGATTAACCCCTATGTATTTCTTAAAGTTCAATTCGGGAATTTTTGTTTCCAATCTCTGCGCTAAAAAAGAGACTATCAGTTATTCCCATTAATGACAATTAATCTGTGTTATATATGTGGCGACTAGGTCAAAAGAGGCATATTTTTATTCTACTAATATAACCATCTCACCCTTAAATAATCGTGTTTGTCAACTAACCAGACACAATTTAACTACTTAAGACAATATGACATCCTCAAAAGTTTGCAGGGGAGTGTTAAGTATTCTTTAAAAAATAAGGAGATGATTTATTCAATGACAGACATTCAAAAGATAAAGGATTGAAAATCAAAATAATTCAGATACTTACTTGAGTTGCTCTGACAATATCGAAGGTGCTGAAGTCCTTATCATTTGCAACAGGTTTTGAAGAGGCAACAGATTCTGGAAATATTTCTTGCGGCATTTCATTGCCCACATGACCTCTGTAGTACATGGATGGCTTGCAGTTGTCATGCTGAAAAAGACATACATGTTAAAGATAAAAAATTTAAAGTCTAAGTATTTGGAAAGAAGATGAGCTACTTCCAGGAGAGAATCACATCAACGATAAACATCAGAGGCATGGAAAAAATATTATCAGTGGTAACGAGGTAATCTTACTTAAAAAACTGCTTTGCTGTTCTTACCCTGAGAATGAGACTTACTACAGAGTTTATTTAATTTCTCAAAATTAAACAAGTGTCAAACTCATGTCAGATAAGTTGATAGTTGTTTACTTTCTGTCTGCAAGCGACTGCTCTACCACCATCCAATAGAGCTCTTGCATCGTATATTGAGACAAACGTCAATCTCTGATTAGCTCTGAATTAGCACCACTCAACGTAGTCAGATGGCATCACTGATAAGTGGTGACATAAACAATACTTAGACGTCTGTCTCAACATCCGATGCGCGAGCTCTAGCTATGGAGAATTGACATGGTATCTCATTGGCGTTGTGCTGCTCTGTGAGCGGAAACCAACCAGTGCTTCAAATGACAGTCAAAAGTGAACGACTACAAACTTGCTTGACGCCAATGCTAAGCTATTAGAATTCTAGAGTGAAACCAGTTAGAAAGTTATTTCGGAAAAATCCCAGCGTTACCTTTGAAAGAGTGATTGGTGAAATGATATCGCTTAGTGGATACATATTCAAGATGCAGAAAATTAAAGATTTTCAATCATTTATAATCATTCGACGATCACCTCACTTGGAATGCATCAATAGCATTGTATTGACAATGTGTCAATACCCACATCATGCTGGAGGCTTTTCCATTGACAAATTATAGATAAATTTTGCGGTTGAATCTTGCACAGTTGTAAAATTTACTCCTGATGCAACATCAAAACCATGTTCACACTCTGTACTTCTTCATACTGGTCTCCTGAGGCTACGCTACAAAAAGGGAAACGAGTTCTACACTTTCCCAGAGCACGGTTGGTAGAGACTGCTTACAAATACTGAAGTCATTGGAGAGAGTTGAAAAGGTGACATTTGTAAATCAGCTAGATATTCACCACTCTCTTGATAATTTCGAATGAGCGAAGTGACTTAAAATAACTGTTATGAAGAGATGAAAAACTGTACCTGACTGCAGTGCCCAATCGGGTTACAGGAATGGTTATAATCTGGATGCATGATTCAATTAAATAATACGATTTTCACCATTTACTGTCAAAGAGTGAACTTCGGGGGTTGATCATGATAACATAAATTTTTGGTGAAAGGGTTGTGAGTTGTTTAGGAAAGGGGGTACAACAAGTTAGCAGAAGGCAGACCTCTATTGACATTATTGAACACAGATTCAGTTTGAAAGCATGAGAAAATTAATCACATAACTTCAAAAAGATGAAGACTATTGGCTAAATTCCTAAAAATGGAATACTACTGTTAACACGCGAGGGAAAAAAAAATGCCATCATAAGAATAATTATCATTTTTTAGGAACCATTAAAAGAGTAAAGTAACCAACACAGTATGGGGTGGGTATGGAATGGAATGGAAGTTCGCTATTATCACGGCAGTGCTGCGCGTGCGCATTAGGACACACAAGCTCACCGATGCAAGGTCGGCGCTCAACACTCGTCAATCGGTGCGCCGGTCGACTAAAAGTTGTCACGGAATCCGTACCCAGGAATACAGGATGCACAGTCTACTTGATTCAACGTCTTGCAATAATAATAATTCTTATCACTGAAGCTTTTTGGTTTGACGTTTGGCTAAAAGCATGGAATATGTACACCTCAGATTTCTTCATTTTAGTTCATCGTCACTTCACTCGTAACTTTACCAATTTTTTGTCAGCAATTCAGTGTTCTATTATAATCCATTAATTATATCGGTTTCATTTATGTCAGCCCTCTCCGTGCTCGAAAGAATGTGTGAAATGTAACTCTTGAAAAAATTCATAATAGCACTGTATCAATACGTGTACTCATCATCGCTTGTAATAAACTATATTTCAATGAGGTCTGAACTTTTGGGTGCAAGAATATTTGTGAGATGTGCAAGTCTATATCTCTTTTAATTTAGTATCATCTGCTGTACTTCTACCACTCGTTCATCTTTCATGCTCTCTTCTGTGCTCTGCTAGGTAAGGTTCCGCTTTCTCATTGCTTATATGTTTTGCAAGGCAAGGGGTTACACTATTCAAGACGTAGGGATAGTGGATGTAATAACATACCAAAAAAAAACTCAGCTAGCGAGATGAAGTTCCGGCTACATTTTTGTGGGTGCAGCTGTGTAGGTACTGGATTACTCTTACCGACCTTAACTGTGGACTCCATTTATGAAATTCATGTCTTCTGCTCTTCCCGCACTGGCCATTTTCACCTTAATTATCATTTCTACCCTTGAGTACTTAGATGAAGTTTCTCCATTTTTTTGTCCTAGGAAAGAAGTGAGAACTTATAGTTGTCAGTACAACCTGTTGCCTCAACTAGCTGACAGTTCTGTCTCCTTGTTTCCGTTACATTTTTAAGTCAGCATCCATAATACAGCATCATATGTGTGAAATTTGGCGATAGGGCCACACTTGCAGAGAGTAAAGATTAGCTGTTCGGAAATTTCTAAAACTGCCACCTCTTGTTCTCTTTTGCAATTGTTCCCTGTTACTTAATCCGTATGGATCTCATACTACAATTCTGAGGTATAGAAACCAATTGAAAAATTAAAAATCATACTAATCAAGTAATAAATATCAAGCCTCCTAATTTTTACAGAAGTCTATCTATCCTCACTGTAACCTTCATTTTTCAACATACGTTTCAGATTAGATTAGATTTATTCATTCTGAAAAAACATAAATAATTATAGAAACGTTCATCTCCACCCTGAGCCTCCGTACTGTGGAGTCTCTCCATCCTCTTCATCTCTTTCAGTTGTATTATGATTTTTGTGCAGGATGGAACAAGCACAACGGCAAACTTTGTTGGAGAGCCGCAATGCATTGGAGCGAACCAGTCAAAGTCTTGGTAGATCGCAAAGGACAGCTGTTGAAACCGAAATAATCGGGACTGAGGTATTGGCTGAGCTGGGTTCACAAAGGGAAACATTACTCCGAGCAAGGAACAGAATCACTGATACCAATGAACAATTAACAGAGGCCCATCGCATTTTATATGCCATGCGCAGGCAAATTTTTACTAATAAAATAGTTCTTATTTTTATCATAGTCACTGAAATTCTTGTATTAGGTTTAATGTTGTATGTTAAGTTTATACGAAATAGATTTTAGAACTATTGTTATACTTCTGTTTTTTTTTATTTCTTTATTTTTTTTTTTTTTTTTTTTTTTTTTTTTTTTTTTTTTTTGAGAAACCCAAGCTATCGTGATATTTTTGTGGCCATATTTTGGAATACCTCTCCATATCTTCAGAAATCTTGAAACACAATTCGCCACAACTTCTAAGTAAATTAAAAAATTGTGAAAGAACACTTTGCTACATTGCAATGATAACAAATCCCCTCCACTCCGACTCTCAATTATCATTTATCTATGGAAGCAATTAAAAATCAAATTGTTTTCTAACAACAGAAAGTGCCCAATTCTCTTAAAGCTTCATACTTGGGCAGAATTTCAAAAATATTCAGGAAGTCTTGAAGAGCATTTACTTTAAAATCATGAGAGTCATTTTACTCAGCTTAAAGGGGTTCAGAAGGAAATTTTCTTTCATATTTACAAGAAATTCTTTTGAAAAGGTTCAAAATTTTCCAAAATTTCTGCGATAAGGTATTAAAGCGCTCTGACTGATGATCAATTTTTTTTTAGAATGTTGGGACTATGCAAGAACGACTTTCCCCGTTTTTTCCCCAAATGCTAGGAATGTTTAAAAATTTAAGAAAATTGAGGCGATTTTCAAGGAGGTAGGAAAATTCTGATGCCTGAATGCCATAAATTAGTCAAGAAGACATCCAATTAGATGGAAAGTTTACTAAAAAATTCAAGAACTTTCTAGGAAAAAGAGATGAAGATTTGAAAGCCTCCAAAGTGCTATATTAATTTTGAAAAAATCGGAAAGGTTTTGTGCCTTTCAGTAAAGATAGAAACATTCCAAACTTTGCCACAAGAGTTGGAAAACTCCACATCAAAGTTTTCTTAATTAGGAAGATAGAGGCCCAAAAAACTGGAAATTCTGTAGGTTCCAAAAATGTATATCGACGGTGAAAGTCGGCAATCACATAACTCGGTTTGCGACGTCGCAGACTTCCTGTCATACTTTATTTTTTAAATGGAAAACTACTCAACGGCAATTCTTTAAAACTGTCATGATTTTTCTTCTCAATGCTGAGAAAATTCTGCAAAAACTTCAAGAAATAATATCAATTTGTTCTCCTTTAAAAAAATGACGTAGAGGCGGAGATTTTCAGACACCGCAAACGAGTTATGTGATTGCCGACTTTCACCGTCGATATGCATTACAATAGCTGCATTTACAATAGTGCATTATAATAGCTGCATAACATTTCCTTATTCTTTCAAAAACTAGAAAAATTAAGATGCTTACCCAAAAATTGTGAAAATTCTGTTAATTTCTAAAAACTGCTAAAAGGAGTCGAAAAAGGATTGGAAAAATTTTATAACTTCGAAAAATAAAGTGCTTTTCCGAATTTGACAAAGAATTCCAAGTTTGCTTTTTTTGCACTCTTCCTTGCACTGAAAGAGCGATAATGTCTTTAAAACTAGAGTCGTGTTAAATGAAAATTAAAGATAAAACTCGTATTTTCCACCTGTGCAGAGGATTTCTTGGAACATGCAAAGTTCCAAATGAATTAGAATGAAAAAAACTACATGATTTTTTCACGAAGAAAATGCTTTTATTTTCTTTGGATGCTGAAAAAAAAGTCACATGGTATCAAATTTAACAGAGTTCTTGCTCTGACTGTATGCTACCTCTAAATTCTTTATCTCAGGCCAGGAGATGAAAACTTCAAGGTGAGGAGTCTTAACTCTACATGCAGATGCGCAGTTCTTTACAGGAAAATCTGTTTCGTACATCCACATGTAAAAATGTTTTCCCATGATTCATATATTAATTGAAATACAGTTTTGCTGATGTTCTGTAGGTCATATTGAGAGGAATGAACACTATTCGATCTCTAGACTCAAGAGAAAATGTTTCCATTACTGTCAGCCGAACACTAAACATAATCAAAGCCCGTGGACAGTGCTTGCCAGGCACTTTCTAGTTACTAAGTTACCCGACAAAAAAACTGGTTTTTTTTTGTGTGTGTGTGCAAGAGAGAGAGAGAGAGAGAGATATCTTCATTACAGTTCTTACCATTGTTGAAACAGCCAGACAACCTGTGGCATCCAAAGAAAGGTATACCAGACAATGTGGCAACCAATACATCAAATGAACTAGATGGTAATCACAGGCAAGAAGTGAGTTAAAAGTACGCAAGCAAGGATGAAATTCTTGGGACTCGATTTAAGTTAAATTTTTGCAGTTCTAAGTCGAGAATAGGATCTTTGAAGAAAAGTTAACTGAGCTTTACTCTCTAATGCTGATAGGTCTTTAACAGCTGGTGCCATCTGCTCCACATGATTTTCATAGTTCGAACCTGTTTTACAACAGAAAAAAAGCAAAAATTATGTACATTTTTAGCATGAAATTTTACCTTTATCTCCTCAACTTGGAGATGGAATTCTATAGAAAATAGGCAGCAGAGAGTTGCTTTGCAAGTCGTCACAAAGTATAGATGCTATCAGCATGACATCACCATAGAGGTTCTCTGTTAAATAGAATTGGATCCAAACAATGACATTGACAGGAAATCTCTCAGTGCTCAATGATAATTTTCAAGTGCTACCAATTGGTTGTTGTACCGATTTGCTTAAAATTAAAAAATAAAGGTTAAGACTTTTTCCGTTTTTGGCAACAATAATAGGTAAAAGTCACTGATGGAAATATTGCTTTTTAATCATGCTACATCCACCTGTGGCTTTTCCTTTTCTCATTTCTGAGCTTCTCTCTTCAAAAAGTGGACAGCGGGGAAAACATGATTTGATACAGAGGGGTTATCCTAATTTCACAACTCCACACAAAACTGAAAATGACAGCTGACATGTACCGCAGTTTTTCAATCATAGGCAAACAATAGACAAATGCAATAATCCAAATTTCATCTCTTTCTTGCTTTGCAAATTGAGTTCAGTCAGTAAACGAACTTTTATTGTTTATATGTCTTTGAGGAACTGTGTCAGATGACCGCTGATATTTTAACTACATTTTCCAAAAAGGAACCAACGTTTCTAGCTCATTTTAAAAAGCACCTATCTGCATAGGATACCTAATGGCACAAACGTTGTTTCTAAAATGAGTCAGAAATAGTAGTTTCTAATTGCAAAATGTAGTTCATTTAGTAATGAAACCGAGGTGACTCATCTGTATCAAGTTATGTCTTTGCTGTAGTCTATTTTTTAAAGGAGATATGTTACAAATTGTAAGGCTAGGAGTGAAGTTTGGACTTTCTCAATCGCGAATTTTCAACCACTTTTTTTCAGGCATTGCTTTTCTTTTTGCTGTAGCATAAGTTTGAAACAGACCCATTGTTTCTTTTTGAGCATGTTATCTTTTAATCTAGTTTTATCAAGATTGGTAGCAAGCTCTACATGATAAGACACTTATTGGGCAAGTTTTGATAAGGAAAAGAAAAAGAGAGAAATTGTGAAAAAATTACCTTGATTGGATCGTTTTTGTCCGTAAACAACTTTTCCATCAAACTCATCAACGGGAATATCCAACTCAGGTTCGACTTGCTGAATTGTGACATTCAGATGATCTTCAATCTCAGCTAAGTACTAAAAAAAATTAAATTAAACATTTTAGGAGAGTATTAAAAATTTAAGAATTAAAAAAAAAGAAAAACCACACGGAAAAAAAAAAAATTGCTGATTCAACAATTCAATTGCTGAATCAGCAATTCTTTTTTTTTCCGTGCAAACCAGGCTCCTTGTGAGTGATTGCGGTGTGTAAGCCATGATGACTTTTTACTGAGAGTTGTACTATAAGATGCAACAGATAGATTATCTAGAATTAAAGAAAAACAAAAAACTACTTTGTAACCTCTATTTTTCTCATTTCCTGACCGAGTACATTCTTATGCACTCCAATCAGCCAAAAAAAAAGTGCGAATAGAGAGCAAACTGTACGTTTATGCAAGTATGAATGTCCCTTTCTAGGCTGTTATTAGACGTTCATTTCAGATGCAGGGTGGTATCTTGACTATCAGGCTTGACAACAGATGATCCGCTGGTCTCTAACCTCAAAACTATGAACAGAAAAAGTCATCATGCAAAGAACCGAGGACCAAAGACATAAAGACGGAGGGCTAAAAGCAAAAAATGAAGCTTCTTTTCAACCACCTCTACTATTGGCTAGAGGATTGGCGGCGAAATCGGGACAAGTTTGAAATTCAAATGTAAGGCGGGAACTAAATAAAATTGCGGAAACAAAGTATTCTAGGTTGATTTTTGCCCAAATTCACTTACTCACTCATATTTTTCAAACTTTAGGTTAGTTTTAGTCCGTCATTGACCGATTAATTTCATTTGGGAGCAACGGTCATCTAGAACTGTAACGGCCTGTTAGAACCTACAGAACCACCATGAGCAGAAGAAAAACTACAGTCATCTGAGATTACTGCCTGTTACCGAGCAAAAGTAGGTGTATTATAATAGGACGCAGTCCTGACTTTCTTAGTATATTCTTTTTAGGCATTTAAAATACGTTTCGAAGAAGAAATGTGGAAAAATCAAGAGGACAAGTTCAAATCAAATTTCCGTTTGCCGCCATGGATTCCCGCGCTCATTTACACACTCACACAAGCACCCAGCGCCAAACCAGGCTTCACATTTTCCCCGTGCTTTTAGATACAAGCACTCCGCCTTTATGTCTTTGCCGAGGACAGGCATGCTCACATTATAAAAAGTATTTGGTCACCGTGTAAGTCCTTTGTGAAAACTTGCAAAAATTGTAAGACTCCTGGGATTTGACAAAGCAACTGGCAGGCCCTAAGGCAAAACTCACTGTTGCATTTTTAGCTCATAAGAACTATTTGCGCTTTGAAGAGCTAAAAATAGCAATATTATAAGGTAGAAGGAAAAATGGTGTCAGTGTATAATTGGCATTTTGACGTAAGTGCATTCAAAACATTAAAAAATCACCAAATAAAGTGCATGAGACTTTGAACTTGGATTTACTTTTCTACCAAAGTGAGATATTCCTAAAAACTCTAATTTAGAATTACTTAGGTTAGTATGAAAAATTCATATCCTGTTGAAAAAATTGATTTGCAATGGAGACAGAGACACCATTTTTTCAGAGGACTACCTCAGGAGGAGAGAGGAAGGAAACTCAACCATCAAAATATTTAAATGAGATTAAATGCAGTTCAGTATTTGTAAGAAAAAAGTTGATTCTTTAGAACTCAAGATTAATTGTCTAGCAGTTTTGAGAAATTTTCAGGGGAACCTTTCATTTCATGTTCGCTAAAGATCTCACTGCTCTTGCTTGTTGGTTTGCTCCTGGTAAGAGCTGGTTCATATAGCAGTGATGCTCAAAATTTTGCTGTCTTCTTTCAAGAACAATAAAATATCCTACTCAAAAATTCAGATATGTACTAACTTAAAATAAATGTTTTCATACTCACTCTTGGTTCATTATACCATATACAGCATCCTCCTTGATCCGTTAATGCTGCGTTGTAACAATTCCGGCCACGGGAAGAACACCACTCTCCGTGATACCAAACTTTTTCAGGGACAGATGCAACTAAAGAGATGGCCAATCCCATTCTCTCTGCACGACCTACACGTCCGATTCTGTGTACATAGTTAGACTTCTCATCCGGTAATGTGATGTTGATCACTGAAAAAGACAAGATCTTCATGGCAGTGCGCAAAGATAAAGGAAAGTTTTAATGTAATAGATCTGGCTATATTTAAATTCTAAAAAAAAAAAACAACTTTTACCAGTGTACATGCTGCATATAGAATTTCTGTGAAAACAGAGTAGAATTAAAATAAAAATGAAGAAAGAATTGTTAACTTGTGAAATATTCAAAGGAGAGAGGAAGAGAAAGAAATCCTTGCACCAGATCTAAAAGTATGCTTCAGTTATTTTAATGAATCAGCGGAATACATGGTCAATAATGGAAGCGCTATTTTTAGTTTGAATGACGAGGAAAAATACAAAGTTGGGAAACTATATCTCTCTTTCATCAATCAAATGATGAAATCGGGGAAGAACAGAAGTACAGAACAATGCCTGAACCGAAACTCCTAAATTGAGGTTGCCATATTTTCATGCCGCTCCGGCTAGATGCTTGTAATTTTCAAATGTAGCACCCAATGTCCTGCTTTTATTTTTTGGGAGAAGTCATGTTTATTAGAGAACAACGTTTTGAGCTGACAAATGAATTTTTCTCTAGGCGAAGCCTTCTTGGTTAGGTTCTAACCAAATCCCTTCTACTGGATAGATACTCAATAAGTGATTTTTTAGCTAGCAAGAATCGAGAAAAGACTTACTGAATGGGAGACCAGTCACATCAAGACCTCGTGCAGCAACATCAGTACATATAAGAAATTTGGCTTCTCCTCGCTTGAAGGCCTCCAAATTAGCTTTACGTTCATTTGGCTTACGGTCACCATGCAAACAAACACATGAGTAGGTATTCTTACGGTTACTGGGACCTCCTCCTGCAAAAAAAAAAAGAAAATTAAATAAAAACACATTAAGGAGAGAGTGATAAAAAGAAGTTACATTGCTTGTATTAACGAGCGATAAGCTTTATCCAAGTTGTAGCCTAAACTCTAGATTTTATAGAATAATTTATATGATGAAATATAGGGTGATTGATTAAATAGTTTGATTTGCTGTGCCAATAAAACTACAAATATTTTGATGATTTCTTGCTGTACATGGTTGTATTTCTTGAATGTACGTTAATATTTGTTAAAAGATTAAGAGTAAAATTTGAGCAGAGGAAAAATTAAAGTGCTGGGTGCAGAAAAGAAACCTCCTGGTTACGGAGTGTTAGAATCTTGGCTGACACTTCATTCATTATGATCATAGCAAATGTATCAAATTCAAGAAAACTTTTGATAAATATTCCTTATAATTTTCCAATGCTCTGAATGGAAAATTCAGAAAATTTACGTAATAGTTTTCTTCCTACAATATTAATTAGCAGCGGAGATTCGGAAACACCGCAACCAAGAAAAGCTGTTCCTGCAGCCAACACCTTAATTGCGGGGCAATTGTTAGAAAAGGTGCTACCAACAGACCTGCTTGAATGAGATGCTTCTCCAAATTATCACAATCTAATTTAGTACGGCAGAAGATTATTGCTTTGTCCATTTTGTGTTTTTCAATCGCACGAACACAATATTCACCCTTGAGCATTTTTACAGCTTCTGAGAGACACTCTGAAACATTGAGAATATCACAGAATGTTAAGGATCATTTGGAAAATCATTGTTGAGACATGATTTTCTTGAAGATAATGGAAGTTTTAGGGTTGTGATGAGAAGAAAAGAAAAGCAGAGACTTAAATGAGACCTTATGATGAGACAATCCTCCGGTGAAAGTTTACCTCGAGTTCAATGGTCGTTTTGGCAATACAGCGCTGTCAAGTTCACATTTTTAGGTATCATTGAAAAATGCTAATTTGAAGATCCTTGGTTGGAAAAACAACTTTAGTTGATTTCTGGTTCCCGTAGTTCAACTGGTAAACAAGCCATTCTTCATCAAAGTTGATGATTAAAATGAGAGTTCGGAAAAATGAAATTTAAACAGTTAAAATAATTTTTTTTGAATTGGGATGAAAAAAGCAGTTAGAGTCAAGCGGGTCCTGAGTTTGGTGATGCGTTCAATTTCGATTTTCTTAGTATTGTGTTATATGGGTGATACATAGGGCCATTACATTATACAGACTTAAGCAATTTATCAACTTATCTCGGTAATGAGTTCTCCATATTACACTGAGGACCCAGGCTGGTGACTTGAATGAAACTGATCAGATTCTACCAAAAAAAGATTCTATTGATGTTATTAAAAATACTTTACCAGTTTCCTTTTTCCACTGATCGACTAAGATTTAAAAAAATTTTCTGATTTTGCTGAATCTGCCGGAACATTCCATAATAATATTTACCTGCATTTGGGTTGTTGGGTCGGATGCTATCCTCTCTGTGCACTCCATCAGTTCTGATAGGGCGTTTGATATTTTGCCATGACTTGTCTTTTTGTGGATCAACCATCACAACAACATGATGCACAGTTTCAGGCACGGCATCCTCTCCTTTCAGATCGACCCATGTTGGGAAATGCATGAGTCGATCCTGGTTACAAGAAATCATTCATTTTATTTTCAGAAAAAAAAAGGAATCAAGAAAAAAAAAACTAGAGTATAGAGCAGAAATACCAAACGTCTTAACTGTCTTTAGGTTAATTTAGACGAAACTTAAACATGTAACACTCCTAATCATCTTGAACCGAAGTCTGCAGGGTATCTGAACAAGTTATTTTCGATTTTTAATGGGGCGTAAATATATTTACAGTCTTCAAAAACATCAACAACAAGCTCAACAAGCCTTCAAATAAGCCCGGTTTAGACACATAACCTCTTGTTGTTTTTGTTCTGCAAGTTATCAAATGAACGCAGGTGAAAAGATACACAGCAGTCAATTCTTTGTGTGATGTGACAAAATCTGTTGGTGGTATGGTTTTTTATTTGAAATGGGGTTAAATTTTCGACTAATTTGAAAGTTGCTTACCCAATTTGATAACATTTGATGAATTGAAAAAATACGGGTACTTATTCTCATTCTTTGTTCTGACCTCCCATTATTAGGTTTATAAATCTTCAAAAGTAAAGCCACCACCATTGAAACTCATATTCTAAAAGAGAAAAGCAACTTACAGCCATCTTCTTGACTTCAAAGGCATGAAGTGTGGCTGAACAGACTATCATTTGAAGGCGTTTCCCATCAGCGGTCACTTTGGGAATTTGTCGGTGAAGCTCGTCAATAAACTCTGTGTATCCTTGTTTGAGAAGTCCATCAGCTTCATCCAGGACAAAAAATCGACAGTGCGTTAGTGATAAGTGGCCACCACTAATCAGATCTTCTAATCTTCCAGGAGTTGCCACGACAATATCAACCTGAAATAAGTAAAAATTTAAAAAATAAAAAAATAAAACTTTATACAGAATTTTCATTTTTAATATCAAAAATGTTTTTAAACTGCAAAATTAGCGCATAAAAGAAAATGGATTTGTCATTGATTGAAAGTGATTTTTCTGGAGAGAGTTATCACAGAATAAGAGTAATTTACGAGCATAGCTCAAAAACTTCTTGTTTAATGTGTACTGTCACACTTATTGCTAAGAAAAACACAGCATGAACCCTCAGACACTGTCGAATCTCTTTCAATGGAATACAGATTTCTTGGGAAACTGATGCATTATCTTTCCAATTTGTTTAAAAAAAAATTGTTCAAAATTTAATTTAAAGTACCCGAAAATCTCAAATACAAATTTTTGTTCCCTCAAAAATGAATAATTCAACAACGGGGCATTCGGCAACATTCGAATGTTCATAAAGCATCTTCCCTTGGCATGGCAGCATAATTGGGGAAAATGGTATGATTAAATACATTGAATCAGCTACTGAGCTATTTTGAATTTTTATTGAGATAGTTGATGATAGTCGCTATAAAAAGAGACTGAAGAAGGAAAATGAGAATAATTGGGGGGAGTTAGAATAATAAAATTAAAAGATATTACAGCACAAAAACAAAGGAAAAGTACTAATTTTTTCACCTGATGCCATTATAGTAATATCAATATCGAAGTAAGATATTTTTCTGGGTCACTACAATTCTACCTCGAGCATAATACCGTTGTAAGAACGCAAAAAAAAAAAAATCACTTACACCTGAGGACAGTTGAGCCATCTGTTCCTTGACACTAACGCCTCCAATGATCAAAAGAGCGTTAATTTTTGGATCTTCTACGTATTTCTTAAATTTTTCTATTTGATTATATGTTTGTTCTGCTAATTCTCTTGATGGCTGCAAAAAGCAAATGAAAAATCAGAGGAAACATTTGAAAATGTTTTTTCAAAATGTTAATCAAGTCCTGAATGAAATTTTGATGATGAAAAATATCCTGTAGCGCCCTCTTTTTTATGTTACCTTTTGGTCCATTAAATTCGCCAGGCCAGCCTTAAATGGAGGCTCTGAAAATGGAACTAAGTAGCTATTTCTATCCCCTTTGTAAATCACGGACAGAAAGTGAGGATAATATTACTTATGGTTTAAATTTGGAATTTTTTCAAGACCTTCCTATCTCTACACTAAATACACCCATAATGCAATTCTGTTTTGGAGCTCATAACAACAATGATTCACTAAAATGAAATGAATGAAGGGACAAAACTAATACCTCGATGATAATAGCCTGCGGAGCACTGTTAATCTTCTTCAGAATTTTAGGGCCACTAGATCCAGGACTGACTTCAGAATTTCTGACTAATTCTTTTGGAGCTTGGCTGATAGGGGTGAATCCTGGGGGAGGCTTGAATTTGAAAGGCTGCGCACCAAAGTTAAATGACATTTCTGCATTCTGGAGAACGAAAGACATGGTAATATTATTTTATGGGTTTAAATAAAAACTGAGATTAGATCGATACGTTTGCTCAAAGGATTCCTCCTTCAATGAAATATTGTCTTCATGCCAAGAGAGAAAAAACTTGCCCAATTCGTGGGTGAGGAAAAATCGAATAATGGCAAATAATTCCAGCCATTTTTAGGAAATTCCTCAGGGAACCGGACTTTATTTTGTATTTTACATACAGACTTTTTCCTGTTTTTGGGCCCTGCACAAAAGTCCATTGCAACATTCCCTTTCTGAACAAACTTCATTTTGAACAGGGGAAAAATTAACTCCATTGACCTTGATTCATCTTCAACATCTTACAGGGATGTATATTGTACAAATTTTAAAGCAAAATGTAGATATTTTCTCCTTCTATCAAATAAAGAAGAAGCTAAAATTCTGAAACGTTTCTACTGGGGCATCTTGTTTTGCAGTTTAGCAATTAAATAATATTAAGATATATACCTGCAAACGCTCTTTATAGTAGATATTATATCCTTACTCCAATCTCTTCGTGTCATCTCAACATTATATTTAAAATTACTTAGTGTTATGAATCCTACACATTTAAGAATAATGGTTATAAAATGTATGACCTATAAGGATGGTTTTATATTTTAAAAATGATATGTAGTGGGTACAATATTATAAGTGAAGTATTTTAAAGTGATTCTATGCACTGAAAGGGATAAAAGTCTCATTTCTACCCTCATTATTACGTACAGAAAATGGGCCTGTTGCAAACTTTTGCTAGAGCAAAAATAAGAGTTGTTCCTAATGGATAATGTCTCAAAAATCATAATGAGCGCATCAGTAAACTCTGAAATACTCTCCTAACTTCACAATCTACGTAGGTAAGAAATTTGCGTTTTTTTAAGCTTCCCGCTTCAAAAAAGATAGTACGGCACAGGTGGACATTTCGTTATAGGAGTCGTTCTATTCAATCCCTGCTCAACATGGCCAATGCTTCCGCACGCAAGTTGAGGAGAGCACAAGGTCAATCATGGCAGATATCTATCAACGCAAGAAAAATGTGAATGTAAACATGCCGATTGTTATCAGGTGGTTAGAATCATCATGTTTTGGCGGATTGGCGTCGACTAAGTTGAATATTGCGTAATATCCTTGTGAGCAGGGGTTGGATGGAATGACTCAGTTGAAGAAATGTTCACCTGTGCCATGGTATCGTTTTTGAAGCGAGAAGCTTGAAAAACGCAAATTTTTTATGCAAATTGTGAAGTAAGGAGTGCATTTAAGATTTTGCTGATGTGGTCATCGTGATTTTTGAGACATTTTCAAAGGGTCACCACTCTTATTTTTGCTCTGGCAAAAGTTTGCAACAGGCCCATTGCTATTTCAACTCTTAGGCACTCATACATTTTTAATATGAATTAAAAGTGAATAAAAATCGAGTTACCTTAAGAACCACCGCTGGAAAGAATGTGCGATTGTTAAGCTGAGCCGGGATCTTGAATGCTTCGCCAAGGTCGAGTCCATTTTTTCTGAAGCGTATTGTATTACTATCAAGATCTAATTGGGCACCAATTACATCATGCATACCAAATGCTTCACCATAGTCATCAAACTGTTTGTTATTTGATTTTTTACCCGTTCCACCAAACCCAAATCCAAAACGATCTGTACCAAGATCATACGTTGCCTAGAGCAAAGAGGTTAAAAGTGAATCACAAATAGAGAAAAAACAAAAAAATTCAACTGCTAATTCTCAATTTTTATGCCCAAGCACAATTTCTTCACATTGTAGGAAAAGATGACTAAAAAATAAAAAATAAATAAAAAAATCAAAAGGGAAAAAAACAGATGTACAAGACCTTTTGAAAATTAGTAAGAATTAAAACTCTTCAAAAAGACCTTTTACCTTAAGATGCAATATACCTCATATAAAAAATATTATCATCAATACTGATGGAGTACCAACTCCTGTTAATTAAACAAGTTTAATCTTAGAAGGAAAAAAAATATAAAAAAATATGACTACATTGAAGAATTCAGCCGCTATTTAGTCACTTTCTGGCCAAGGTGTCATAAACGCTGTTTATGCTTAGACATACTAGGTTGCCAGACATCTCGATATTGTTTCATTTTTTTTTAAATACTTTTGCACATACTTTCATGAAACTTTAGGAGTAAATCTACAAGATGAGAGAAATATAGTGTCTAAGTGCAAAGGGTGCTTGAAATACTTTGACTGAAAGGTGCTGATGGGCAACTTGAACAATATGAATTACTCTTTCAAAGGCTACTCTTACATTAGCAGCACAGTGAAAAGTCAAAAATAGATCCATAATGATTTGAATTCTTACAATTAATCCCAATGAGGAACCAAATTTTCAATAATAGGAAATATTAGATTGTGAACTTAAATCTACGACAATGGGCCTGTTGCAAACTTTTGCTAGAGCAAAAATAAGAGTTGTTTCCTGTAAATAATGCCTGAAAAACTACGATGAGCGCATCGGCAAAGTCTGAAATGCACTCATAACTTCACAATTTGAGTAAGAAATTTGCAGTTTTTTTGGCTTCCCGCTTGAAAAACGATACTACGGCACAGGTGAACATTTTGTTAGAGGAGTCGCTCCATCGTCGGCAATATTCATCATGGCCGACGCTTGCGCAGTTCCGCGCGTAATTCGAGGAGAGTTCAAGATCAATCAAGGCAGGCGAGGAAAATATGAAAGTAAACACGCCGATTGTTATCTGGTCTAGTCCTGTTTAGGTGGTATCTCGTCCCATCACACGTGTTTTGGTGGATTGGCGTCGGCCATGATGAATATTGCCAACGATGGAGCGACTCCTCTAACAAAATGTTCACCTATGCCGTAGTATCGTTTTTCAAGCGGGAAGCTCAAAAAACCGCAAATTTCTTACGCAGATTGTGAAGTTATGAGTGCATTTCAGATTTTGCCAATGCGCTCATCGTGGTTTTTGAGGCATTATCTACAGGAAACAACTCTTATTTTTGCTCTAGCAAAAGTTTGCAACAGGCCCATTAAATATTAAGCTGTTTTAAACAAGCTTCGTACATAAATTTAGAAAACTTATATTACATTTTGATTCAAAGAGGCTCACTACATTTTTTGACAATCTCAAATTGGACCGAATTTAACAGAAAGGAACCAAGCCACATCAGCTATGGCCAAATTTAATTGGGCAATTTAATGTTTTACATGGAAACGGTTGTGCCGATTTTTGTACAAATTTCAGTGAAAATTCTCCATGGTATGAAACAAATTCCTTAAAATTTTCACAGAAATCCGAACAAACGTTCTCTCTAAAAAAATTTAATTGCCCAGTTACACTTGGCAATAGCTGATGTGACTTGGTTCCTTTCTGTTAAACTCGGTCCAATTATCACCCCCACAAGCTAATAGATAAACAATAATAGAGATTTCGTCGGGATGCTGAGGTGTGTTTTGCTTGGTGATTCAAAAATTGACTTTTTAAACCCACCTTAACAAACATTTCCCTGTAGGGCACCAAGGTCCCTTATTCTGTGAATCGTCACAGGGAAGAAAAATTGCCTATTATTACCTCTGACGTTGACCAGCCAATTCTGCACAGTCCTTCATCCGTGACAGTTGCCTCATAGTAATACTTTCCCCTTGATGTGACTCCTTTATTGGCCCGACAACCATTCCACTGTTTCTGATCACGCGACTGACACCTCAAGCCATCAGGAGTGATGGCCATGGCAGAGCTACGGTCCCAAACATTCAAGAGCCAAAGTGGAGCTGAAAAGTTCAAAATGACGAGTTAGAAATAGTCACGCCCAGCAGAAGGGTGGCCACAGGGAGTTTCACAGGGTATGAGGGAGTGCCAACTCCCAGAGATACTGTGGGAGGATAGGGTACTGTGTGAGCCTATTAGAAGTGTTAGTGTCCATCAATTTGTTTCCCATCTTTTGAGTGTCATCAATTTGATTCAACAGATCAGATCCTTAACAGATTAACTGTGAACAAAATTAGTTAACTATTTTAGATAATAAAAAGGTGGAATTTTCAAATTTATAGTAGAATCTGTAATAGTTAAAAACTTTAATTAATGAAAGGAAGGTTTTTGACTAAGATTTATGAAAGCATCAAACCAGAAAAACTTGAAATATTGTTAAAAACTACTCTCTGACTTGCGATATTTTTGTTTTTGATGCATTTCGGCCATCCGGCCATCTCCAGAATTTAATATACAACTCGGAGTTGATTGGAGAGATTTTAGAGTCGCAAATCAAATCCTGGAGATGGTCGCGCCGCCAAAACGCACCGAAAACAAAAAAATCGCGAGCTGGTGAGTAATTAATCGATAATAAATATTTCATCAAAGGAAGGTTAAATTAGGTGAATCTTTACCATGGTTTGGTTTGGGTTCAATTCAGCGCAAAAACTCAACATTTTCATAGCCTTACAGATTATTGGCGCTTAATCATCTCAGCCCTATTTAGTAAAAAGGTTTATGACCTCTGCATGAAAATGAGACAGAGAGGGCTATTTGATGTTTTTTTAAATTCTGAGGAATGATCGATTAGCTCTTCAATAAAATGCTGCTCCATTTCAAAATATAAAGGCAAACTGTTGTCCAATGCTCCTTATGCAAAATGGCTAGCTTAAGGTTACGTACATGATTTATCTGATCCTGCAACTTTTACAGCTTTCCCACTTTCCAAATCTTTCAAAGTTTCCCAGACGATCTGAATAATAGGCAAACAAAAGGCTCCAGTCTTGCCACTTCCCGTCTCAGCTGCCATAAGAACATCTCCCCCGCCAAGAATTAAGGGTATTGCCTCAGCCTGAACATCAGTGGGTAACCTGGGAAAATAAAATCGATAATTAATCCCTATACTTGTAAAATTATAGACTAAGTGTCTATTGTAATTTGGGATTCAAAGAGAATGAGGTAACTTCTACTGATCAGTAAAAACTGTACAGCTGCTAAAGAAATTAAACTTGCCTTTTAAAGGCAGATGAATGAAAAATTAGTTCTACAATTACATTAAAAGTATAGATAGTACAATCTTAGAAGCAAATAACCACTATCTCCACACAAAGAAGACCTGGCTGGCTGGAAGCTTTACCGACTTATATAGCTATTAAGTACTGATTAAAGCACATCAAAGGGAAAAAAAAGATATTTTTTCCAAAATTGAAGCAATTCTATTTTTATCGAAATCTAATAAAAGACAGTAAGGATGTCTTTGATAAAGGAGGCACTGAAGTGGTAGTATTGTGATTTCTAGAAAAACAAAGTATTGAATTACAAAACTCCATATGCATAACATGTGTTAATAGCTTTGCATTCACATGACAAAATGCTCATCTTTCTAAGCATTGTATAGAACAATGTGTTGTTTTGAAATCTTTCTTTGGCAATAATTTCGTTTTCTTCAATGACATCTGATTGATCAGCTGACACAGATTGTCTTTAATCCATTACTTCACATCATGTACAATCATTAAAAATACTTCGTTTTTGGGTAAATAACAGTAAAAGTGCGCTTACATCCAATCCATTTCTTCTATGGCTTTCCCGATCTCTGGAATGACACCCAATTCTGTTGATAAACAAGAAAACTAATTAGTAATATAAGTAAAGGTAAAAACAGAGTACTTACAAACAAACACAATACGTATTGTATGGCGCTGGAAAGAAGAGATGAAAGGAAATTGGAGGATGATAAAGTGAGATATTGCCATAACATGCTACAACGTTGATGAATTTCCAAGGAGGATCTTGGTATGGTCACCCATCAGCAAACTCAACGTCACCCAAAGTATTTCCTCTGGTGTTCCACAACTGAATCGGTTTCAATTGAACAATGGCTTGATTATTAGCATGGGCAAATTTACTTACCTAGTATCAGCTTTCGTCTCACTGCCCCCTTTTCAACAGAGGCAGATTGAATAACTTGGTCATTGGGGGCTGACAAAAATTTGCTGCCCTTAAGGGCTAAATACACACAACGATTAATCGCCGCGAGTAAAAGACGATGGAGAGCCTTGATTTCGATCCATTGACGTCAATTTATCGAAATCAAGGCTCTCCATTGGCTTTTGTCTTTCACTCGCGGGGATTAGTCGCCGTGTGTATCTAGCCCTTTAAACAGCCATAAGCATTAACCGGTATTAGGCAAGAGTATTTCAACAGCAGTGGCGACAGGTAGGATGAAAGTTCAGCTGAATTGGAAAAGTATGACAGAGGTCTGGGAGGTTTTTCTCAGCCAAGATCCTTCACCAGAATAATTTTGAAAATCAGATACTTCTACAATGTCATTTACGGTTGTTTTCGTTATGTATATCGCCTGCCTTTTATCACCCTAAAGAAAAAAGAAAATCCTCAAAAACTTTGGGGGTGGGAGCGCCCCCCCCCCCCTTCAATGCTGCTCCACTGTTGAACACCATCAAATTAGGAGGGGCTTGAAGGTACATTGATAGCGAGATAAAATGAAAATTTTGAAACAAACTAAAGATATAGTCCACACCGAGTGTATGCACTTTTAGACTGAGACAGCAGACCTGCCATCTTGATTATTCCATTTACTTTACATGTAATCGTGATGTTGGTCAATCTTCTGCCACAGTTTGGAAGTGCATAAACTTGCTTGACATGACTATAGGTAAGGGCAAAACTCTGTAGATTAGGGGCAAACATCAATGTGGCTTAGACACATCATCTTCTCAGAGACCTGCAATGGTGACATAGTGAAAAAATACGCCTGAACAGCACAAAGTTTACAATAATATTTAGGCCGATTATTTGCCAAACCCTCTCGAAAATGGGGTGAAATTAGCAATTTATGAAGCAAAACTTAGGGAGAAGGTCTAGAAATGGCCCGAGGTGGCCACTAACAGACACTTCGGAGTTATCAACAGCTTCATAGTAAAATCATGATCATGCGATGGTGTTCCTTCAAATGTATTAAATACTCACCTTCAAACGCTGCCATGACTGATTTGATGACAGAATTAGGGAGCTTGATTAAATAAGAGAAATAATATAATGATAGTGAAGGCGTTGAATGGGGATCCGGCAAAACTTATCACTATCACTTTTTTCAATCGGAACCATGGACAGATTAGAGGAGATTATGATAATGGATAGTGATGCCGGTGCCGGTACCTGAACATGGAGTTGCTGAATGTAAACAAACATTCTCATTGGTCTGATTTAGCACCGCCATGCTCTTCTTTGCGCTCATTAGTTCTTTCATGTTAATGGAATGGCCACTATCGTATCAGCGAATCAGTCAGTATCGTGACTGCTTTAGTCTTTAGTCCATGCATTCATTTCGTAAACAACCATAAATTCGATCCTTTCAGTGTTTCATAATAATAATAATTATTCAGTTTTGTCGTTCGCCGTGTGAAAAAGTGCTCCCTCACCGTAATTTTCGTGTTTTCTAACGTGATTTTCTTTTCAATTCTCTCAGTATGTCTTCACGGAGTCTCTTTTGATGTCTCTTTTTGTCTCTGTGATCGTAAACGACCGCAAATGAAGCACGGCGTGACTTGAGATGACCGATCAGGCAAAGCGCGATTAGATTATAATCCTAACAATCTAGAAGGATATCATGTCCTCCAGTAGTTCTGTACCTAAGTTTCTTTTAATAATATGCATTTACTTCACGTTTAATTTTAAGTGCTGCGATTTCCTATCTCATGTCAAAGGTAAGAGTAGTTTTGTATCTACTAATTGATTCTCCAGCATTAGATAGCATTCTATTTTTATTGCAGGACAATCAAACTGGTCTCTCAAGGATATTATTCCCTGTAGAAAATGCACAGATCGTGCCTTTGAGCCATAGACAACGTACTCAATCTCTAGAGGCAGCCTTGCTTGAACTGACTGTGCCGTAATTTCTTTGAGAGGCTGTTAAAACGCTGTCGGGTTTCTAAACTAACTCACCTTTTGTACCTGGCACCTAATGACAGAGAAAATATGAGTAATCAATATCTCGCCAAAACTTTCTGGTCGAAAATTCTGAATGTATTTAACCCCCCAGGACCTTGCTCAGTTAAGCGGAGGTGCCAGCATGCGATGAAAGTGGTCCTTAAAATGAACAAGAACAGAGTCCCTCTCCTCCGCTCAAAGCTTCTCTCTCTTACGTAGTATTGGGAGGTAGAGAAATTTCTAATGGTATTCTTTATCACTTGGTTTTGTTGACATATCGCTACATATTTAAGGTATGAGCTTGGCAATATGGATATCTAAGTATGTTAAACATTAAATTCAGTCTTTTTCATTGTCGAGTCCGTGCCAAATAAGTTCAAGTTTATTCAGATTCCGACAGAAGATAGGTAGTTTTGATTCTTGAATTTGTCAAACTGTTGGCAGCTGAGCTTTTGCTGCACTCTATAAGTGCGTAGGTACTTAAACATGTTCGGCGCAAACTCGCAAAATAAAGGAATATTGTTGCGCTTCTTGCTGCAATGTACAAGTTGTATACCCGCCTCTTGAGGCTCTGCCTTTGGAATTTATGTCTATGAAGGAAATTCCTCAGGGCACCGAGGTCCCCTACTGTTGAATTTATGTCTAACCAAGAAATTCCATAGCTCTTTGCTGCGTCAATATGCCTGGCTAAGAAATTTATGTCCATTACAGGAATTCCTCATGCCACCGAAGTCCCCGACTATGGAATTTATGTCCATCAACGAAATTCCACAGCCCTGCGAGGTTCCCAGCAGTGGATTATAAGTCTATCAATGAAATGCCTTAGCCCTTTTGCGGCGGCCGAGTGATTGGAACCCCTGTGTTTGGAATTCATGTCTATCAAGGAAATTCCTCAGGGCATCGAGATCCTTGCTGACTGTTGAATTTATGTCTAATGATTTTCCACTGCTTCTCGAGGCTCCGCCTGTGGAATTTATGTCTTTTCCCCTACCCGCGGAAAGCTGCTGATTTTGGAATTTGTGTCCATCAACGAAATCACCAACCCCTTAAGAATGGAAATTCCATAGCCCCTTGCCTCCAGAAGAACACCTGCTTTTGGAAGTTATGTCTATTAATCATATTCATGTTCCTGCCCGCCTAAAGCTCCCGATTGTGGAATTTCTGTCTATCTCAAAATTGTCAAACCGGCACATTAGGCTTTCAAAATTTTGCGATCCACTCTACCGTCCACGATTATAGAGGATTGTGAAAACTGCGTTTCCAGTTTACAAATGAACAACCCCGGGAGGCTTCATATTCTAACCGAACTCGAGGTCCCGCCGTTTCCGAATCTGGTTGATTCTGTAAATTTTAATTAGGGGGCGAAAATTTGAAATAGGGGACATTCTTTTCCAAGGGCTTTTATTAGCATATAAATATGATCCTCTCCCATTTTTTTGGACGAAACGTGAAGGAAACATTTTTTTTCTAATAACGTTCGTAAAAAAATTGACCAGTATTCATGTTTTTTTTTTTTTTTTTTTTTTTTTTTTTATGTAATTTCTACGCTCTGAATGGTGTCAAGCTCCCGACCGTCCCGCACCCCGACACTATGGTTCCTAGCTTACACTGTTACAACTCAAAGTGTAAAACGCTATTCGAGAACTTGCACCACATTGAATATTTAAAAAAGTTTCTCCGTCGTAAAAAAATAAATGGTATATTATTAATTTGCAGTATAATTCGTCCACAAGCGAATAAGAGCTGCTGAAAAAGTTTATTCACGACCGTCACAGCTAGACTCGCAAGATGAATGATCATACCGTGTAAGCAGCGCAACCGGAAACCGGCCGGCGCCGTTGATGCCAAGGGATGCTCTGAAATGGGACGAAGTAATTATCCTTACCAGATTGAGTTTTTTGGTAAATCGCGACGTCATCAGTTTGCAAACAATAATTCAGTTCACTCGGGAGCTCACGACCGTCACGCTCGTTATTTTTATTTTGAAACGTTTTTTTACTGAAAGGCATGCATGCCTTTGTTAAAGGGTATAATCCTAGCAAAAAATCTGGTACTATTTTCTCGATTCCAAAAACGGTGGCACGTGCTGAGTTTTTGTTTCGAAATTCATGACCGTCACATGTTCACGACCGTCACAAATAGCTGAAATTCGTATAGGGAATACTGTGGTAAAAAAAGAACCCGGAAGCAGCAGGACCATGTACGTTTTCAGATCCCAGAAGTCGTCCAAAATTAAGTAAACACAACCTCCAGGGGAAATGACGAAATTGATTTTTCGCCTTTTTCCTCCCTGAAATGTCCCCTATTTTAAATTTTCGCCCACGTATATGTACTTACTACCGGGATCGGGAATTCGGTCTGAAGATTATCACGGGCTTTTCAAAACGTCTCTCAGTTTTTACTGTAGGTACTACATAGCAACGACGAAACTACCAAACCACGTATCTCGTTTGCGGTTTTTAAAAATCTCCGCTCTTATTTTATACTTTTATATAAGCGCATGTCTACATCATTTCTTTAAGTTTTTCAGGATTTTCCTCGCACGAATAAGAAAGATCACCAACGTCTCAAAAATTGATGTTGAGTAGCTGTCCATTTAAAAGATAAAGTATGACACCTTGATAGGAAGTCTGCAACGTCGCAAACCGAGATACGTGGTTTAGGAGCTTCATCGTCGATATTCCTGTCAATGTTGCAAATTAGGCATGCACAGTTTTATGCTGCATCAGTGAATTCCATAATAATCCTCAGATCACTGACTCATGGAGCAGGGTTGCCACAGTCAGGGAATACCGGGAAAACCGGGAAATGTCAGGGAATTTTAAAAAGTCAGGGAAAACTTGGAAATGTCAGGGAACATGTCCAAAGTGTCCTAGAATGGATTTGACGTCTGGAACAACAAATTTACCGTGTAAACTATTTTAAAATACGCCTTTTTGGCCGTATAGCATATCCTCAATTGTCAGAAAATTTTACTCAAACGTGTCAGGAAAATGTTAGGGAATTTCATTTTCTAAATTGTGTGGCAACCCTAATGGAGGGAAACATGAAGTTCGAGGTCTTTTTCAGTCAATCATAATTTTGGATTGAGATGACCAAGTATCCGATCGCGGAATAGAACCAGAAGTCCTTGTTATCCTAGTTGCATACTCAATTTGGTTTCGTGCCCTGCCAAGCCACTGTGCGTGTATAGACAGTATTCCTGGAAATGCGATAAGCCAGCCACAAGTTCGCAGATATTACTCAGGGTCTTGCAGCTGAAAGCCAATCGCGGATAAGCCAATCGCGGATACCGGGGATCCACTGTATCTACGTTCAAAATATTGTCCCATTTAAGGGAGGGATAGCCAACTAACTCCGAATTTTTCGGGAGGGTGAGAACCGCGATCGAGGACCCTTCCTAGTAAAGGGTAGAAAAGGCTCAATGTAGTCCAGGAATTATACGACAAATTCGCCCAGTTAAGAGAAAAAATTAATAACAATCTGATTTTTGTTATACTCGAGGGTAGAAAAGGCTCAGTGTAGTCCAGGAATTATTCGACAAATTCGCCCAGTTAAGAGAAAAAATTAATAACAATCTGATTTTTGGTATAGTGAGTCCTTTTGACCCCCTGAGTCCCCCAAAAAATTCCCCATAGATAGCGTGACTGCTTTGGGTTTGTTTGGTGGAGGGGGGGGGGGGGAAGCCCCCAAAATCGGTTTTCCGGTCATAACATGAGAACGGTTGCTCGTATCTCTACGTATAGCACCATTTCTGAATCCTCGTGAAATTTTGGAGCAATATGACGCATAATCAATTCTCCATAGCCCCCGGTGCCCCCCAAAAAACCCAAACCCGTCACGCTATCGATGAGGACTTTTTTGGGGGGGACTCAGGTAGTCATAAGGACTCACTATACCAAAAATCAGCTTGTCATTAATTTTTTCTCTTAACTTTCGTATAATATTTCTGTACTAATAGTGGCCCCAAGAATAAAGTAGGTACCGAGGCCGAAGTTTAGGGGCAATCGCTCCTTAACGCTTCAGGCCAGTTCGGTGTCAAACGATCAATCGTTGCTAGGAAGAGTTTCCAAGGGTTGACATTATCTTTTAATACTGCGTCATAATTTTGCGTGTTTCTGGACACGATTTTTTAGTAATTAGCAAAAAAGAAAGAAAGAAAAAAAAAACTCCGTGTTCGTGGTACCACAAAGTGTACAGTAAGGTGGATCCGATCTCCCTGTTTTTCGATAATGATGCCAGTGGTTCCTTACGTCGCGTCTTTCGAATAAATAAAGTACGAAGGAAGATTTAAATGAACAAATAAGTGTTCGGCAGGAAATGACCGATCTACTTTCTAGCTTCGCATCGCTGCGAGAAACCGCAAGTCGCGTTGAGTCGGGAAGATTACTGTGTGTGTGTGTATTCATGGTATCATGGTCTGTCTCCTCTTTCTTTTTCTTCTTTTTTTTATTGGATTAGATAACTGGGTGAACTTGGAATATTATTGGCGAGCGAACCTTTTCAACAACAATTCATAACACGAGTACGTTATCGAAACGAGGGCGCGCATCGTTAATGAAACTTCATTCATGCATCATTTCTTTAATCAATTCTCGATGTGGGACCACGGTTTTCCTTTCTTTGTGATGAGTGGAGGGGGAGGTGCACTATAGGAATTCCCCCAAGGCCCCTTTCATTGCCGAAAACTTGGAAATGGAGATATTCATGCTACTGCTTTGAGAATTTATTGTTCCAATGACATTTTGGCTCTAAACCGCCCTGTAAAAATCAAAGCAAATCGAATGTTGTGCCTGTCCAATTTTGCACTGAAAAAAAAGTTCGGTAAATCCGTACTAGTTAGGGTCATATGGAACCAGGTTTTGTTCGGCACACACAACCGAATTATTCGGTCTGTTCAACCGAATTGTTCGGTTTGCGCGACCGAACCATAATAAATTCTTACAGTTCGGTTCTTTGGACCGAACAGTTCGGCTGAACAGACCGGATAATTCGGTCGTGTGTACCGAACAAAATTGTGGTTCCATATGATCCGAACTAGTTCGGATTTACCGAACTTTTTTTTTCAGTGTGCACTTTTAGAGTCGTAGCTTTGCTTTAAGAAAAAAGAGAAAATTTAATTTGTCATATATGTCATCAATGCAGAAACGCAGTTTTTCGCTGAAACCCCTCAAAGCTGATTGGAAAAAAAGTCGCTCTCCTAAAAAAAAATGTCTGTGGATTTCCCTCTTCCCGCGACCGATTACAAGTGAGGGGCTTGGAGAGCAAGGCGCATAAGTGCTGTTTTTGCTATTCCGAGAAATACGTGTTTAAAGTTTCGAAATTAAATGGATCCATATGGCGGAAAGAAAGTTCAAACTGACTTTTTGTTGCTAAAATATTTTAATTTTGGATTATGGAGCGAATTTTTCGCAGAATATGCCCTTAGATCAGTTATACTTGAAATCATTATAATATCTCAATTTTTCTCAAAAACTACACCTATGCGCCTTGTCCTCCAAGACCGTAAGTTAGGGGGGAAAACAGAAAAATACAAGGGGTGCTCCACATCATGGATTTGGTTGCGCATTTTTTTTTTTTTTTTGCTACCGACTGGAAACTCTTGGTGCTACAACTGCTACATAGCTATTTCCCAGATATTTTATATCATGCCGGTTACAAAGCGTTGTCAGCAATGATCAGGTACGTCTCCGAACTCGACGCACGGTGGATCGAATCAAGAGAGGAGGTCGGACAAAATTTGGAAACTTCAAACGCTTATAACTCCATTTATACTAGACTTTGAGATTCTGAAAGTGGTTCCATTGGTTTCCTCGTGAAATTTTCCTCTTCAAGCACCCCTGAAACATTAAAATGTGTCGAAATAAACATCAAAATTTGCAGATTTCGCAAAAAATTCCATGTCCGACCTCTCTAATTGACTCGATCCACTGTGCGACGACCGCAGGTCATTAGTCAGCACGCTGCTCGGCTGTCGTTGAATGAAAAATAACGATTTTAATCCAAATAAAGAAAGGCCGAACCTAGACAAAATTGTATCAAAAGGGTTTTTGATTAATTTTTTTTTTTTTTTTTCAAGGAAATGAGGCGTTACACACAGGCTCAACACAGATTCGAACTATCAACTCGTTCAAATTATGGTCATTTTTACCGAATTCCGTATTCTCGAAATTAGTTGTTGAAGTGCTCACTTCCGTCAGAAAGTGCTCTTTTCAAAATAATTGTTGAGGAGTAAAGGTGAGGTTGACCTCAGAACCTTTGGTTTGGTTGGCTTTCATCTGATCGTGAAATTACCGAAAATACGTGCATATTTTAAAGCCTTAGATGGTACCTCTGAAAGACTTCAGTAGGTAGGAAGATACTTCAGGAATTTCAGCGACAGAATCCTATAGATGCTACTCAACGTCCGTAGGTGAATACCAGTGACGTGGCGTAAATTGCGATTTATCGATTGTTCTGCCATTTAAACCTATGGTAAAGAATCGATTTTCAAGGTGTTCGCCGCGAACACTCTATTTATCGATCCTTTACCATAGGTTTAAATGGCAAAACGATCGATATATCGCAAAGCACGCCATGCCACTGCTGGTGAATACTGCCGTGCTAAGGAAGAACGCCGTATGAAACATCAGGCGTTGCCAAATGTCTCTTGATAAAACGCGAATTTCCTGGTAAACTTATGAATATTTTAATCCCAATTTTTCAGGTAATTTTGTTCGCAATTTCACCTGAAGATTCTGAAAACTTAAAGGAAAAATATTCATAACTTTCCTCAAAAATAAGCAATCTATCGAAGGAAAGGCAACTCTCGAATGTTCATACGGCGTTCTTCCTTAGCACGGCAGAATATGAGAACATCCTTTCGGAGCTATCCAAGTACTCTTAGGCTTAAGTCAATGTTCTACACTATAATTTTCTATTTTTCTCCAAGTTCCTCGCAGGTACCCAGAATTCGGTCTTCATTTTCCTCAACTATTTCTACAGTAGGCAAATGAGTCCTTAGCAAGGGCGCGAGATACAGACGACAAAGGAGCGTGTCACCATAATAAATGTTGAGCCCAGTGGCGAGGCGCGAATGATCGAATATCGATATTTCCCCATATTAAGCTATGGTAAAGAATCGATTATTAAGGTTCGTTGTGAACACCCTGTATATAGATCTTTTTCCATACGTTTACAAGGGCATATCAATCGATGTATCGCAAAGCACGCCACGCCACTGGTTGAGCCCCTCCTTTTACTTACCGCCTCGCTCTTTGGGGCTCACATTAAACCATAGAGAAAATAAAGAAGGTGTTTGCATCTTGAGGATTGTGTACCCTGTGACGTAGGTCGCTACAACCTGGTCAGCAAAATCCGAAATTCGAAGTATGAAAAACGGACCATAACGTCCAATTTTTTGCTTAAATCAATTCATGATATAATTTCAAACACTTTATGTAGAAAGCATTTTTTCCATAAACTACACCGTTTCCAAGAAAATTGATGATAAAAGTCACCGTACCGACCTACCCCATCAAAAAAATTCCAAGATGCCCGAAATGCAAACATCTCCTTTTTTTCTCTATGACACTAAACACACATTCGACACGGGGAAGAAGAGTGTTGAAACATTGGGGACGTCATAAATGGATAGCCCCTAATGGGTATCGTATGCGTATGAATCGCTAAATTTCACTTTTTGTGAAACTGCGCAAGCTCTCCTTATGTTAAACGCGTTTTTTTTACATCGTTTGGAACGACGACGTCAAGTAGACGTAATACTTTTTCACTTCCGGAAAATCTTGGGGGAGTAAAAGTTGTCATGAGGAGGTAAAATTCGATTGGGGAGGGGGGCTCAATTTTAAAAAATCGCCCATAAAGGTATTCATATTATCAATGGCCAATATAGCCTCATCAAAGTCAAAGAGAAGGGGGGGGGGTTGAGGGGTATCAAGGTAAGGGTTTTATTTAATACGAGGGATGGCAATTGAAAATTTTTCATGTCCAAATTACGCCCCTGATACGAGAAGAACCGATCAATCTATTAAGGGAGTATATTCATGCGAGAAGAAAAAACGCGTTTTGCACCGAGGCATTTCGTGGATTTAAACGTTGGTTTTTTTTACTAATTTTGAGACCTCATTGCCTCAATTCGGGCCCTCTCGCTTTTCCGCAACGTTTTGTCGATGTTCCCTTCCTTTTTATCGTGTTTTCTCAAATGTCGGCTCAAAACAACGTCATCTTTTAATAGAATCCGCTACCTTACGGGTCAGAAGGTCGTCGGCAGATTATCCTCTTCGGAACACTAATGCCTGGATGCCAGAGTGTTTGACTCTGAGCTCGAAGTTCCGTTCCGAGTTTACTCGTGGGCCGTGCAAGTATTACGAAACATAGTTTTAATGCGCGTTTTCCGCCCACCCCTCTTTTACACGGGAAATTCGCGATTTGTTTACGTTTTTTTGGCGCTAAAATCGCTAGGATTCTTAACATTTGAGCGGTTATTCTCGATCTTTTTGCAATTTTATCGCTGTAAAATCCAAATTTTATTTAAATTCATTACGATTTTTTGATCGATAATATTGCCATAAATGACCGCCGATAAAATCGCCAATGCAAATCTATGCGATGAATCCGCAATCCATCGCAATTTTGTATCCGATAATATTACAATAACTCGACGTCGATATAACCGATCGCGACACATTCTCCTATCAAATCGCAACTCATCGCGATCACTGCTACTTGGGTACTTAATGCAACTCCAGGGGCATCTCTCGAAAGTTGGTATCGCTGCGCGCGGGCCGCCCCCCCCCCCCCCCNCCCTAAAGTGATCACTGATCATGTATGTATAGGAGTAAGATCTGTGAAAGTCAGAGGGGCTTGATTACACTGCAACTTATGAAAATACACTCCTTCGTTAAAAAATTCTAGGTGATCTTACGGAAATTCCCTTAAATTTTTCCTGTGAATCACGCACTGCTTTATGTTTAAAAAATATGTGTGGTCAGGTAAAACTCAGAAACGTTGCGCTGCAATTAAGCCGCACTGGCTCTTATTCCTTCTAATAATCTATTTTCGGCGAAGGAGCCTGCACCAATACAATTCATATCTATTTCTTTACTTAAGTAAAATAATATATTTAATATATATTCTTTTACTTAAGTCAAATAATACATTTGATATCTATTATTTTACTTAAGTAAAATAAAAAAAATAAAATAAAATCCAGTGTTGCCGATTTGGCTACAGTTTAAGAAATTCTTATTTGAGTTTAGACGACCGGGCCAGCTTTTATTGCCGATTCTTAGGACCCTATGATCTTACGCCCCTCGATCGTGCTATACCTAAGCAACAACTATGCTCTTACCTACATAGGGTTTCTACTCAACGCACGAACTAGACAGCCCTGCCCGAGATTGTTCATGGTTTTTTCCAAGCGGGAAGTTTGAATGTGAAAATTATCTACCAGGAAACATAATTTGTAATTTTTAAGTTAATTTTGGAAGATTTTGATACGCTCAATGTGCTCTTCGGGAAATCCTGATTGTGGAACTGGATTTTCAGAGGTCGGATGCAGATACTTACCGCATTTGCTTCTGAGCAATTTTCAAAATGTTACGGGCATGATAGGGTATTTTTTCTGATACGAGCGCTGGTTCAATTTTATATCTCATTCTTGTGGTATATTATTGGCTGATGGAACACATTTTTTTTTCTTCCGCAGATTTGTCGTCATGCAGTAAACACAACTCCTTTCGATGCGAATCGGGCGATTGCATTCCGGCCTCCCAGGAGTGCGATACAGTTCCTGATTGTCCAGATGGTTCAGACGAGCATACCAGATGCCGTAAGTTGTCGCCTTCTCCCTCAGAAATTTCAAGTGAGATAATAAGTGCATTAAGTAGCTGAAGAATCCAGGCTAATAAGTTCAATTTTGGTGAAGAAAAATGCAGTATTTATATTGAAGCATCTATGTTCGCGCCAAATCCACCGGTCTACCGCTCATCAGCGCGCCTTGAACGGAAATCCCGCGTCAGAAGCGCGCGAAATTTCGAATCCACACGTGGCTATCGTAAAAGCATCGGACAGGCGCCTCTATTCTTTCAGCAACTCTATAATTGGACGTATTTTTGTCATACGGAACTATGTGCATTGAGACATGAGCCCTGAGACCCATAAGAATGTATGCTCAATAGGGCTCACGACGTAATGCACATAGTTCCGTATGGCAGAAACACGTCCAATTGTAACGTCTGTCCAAGACTGTCCTGTCTCATACATCTATTCTTAGCCATTCCTTTAAACTGCCTTTTTCCAAAGAAAAAAATTATATGATTTTGACAGACTTTAAGGTAGGCACACTGGCACAGATCTACCCTAATTTTTTGGCCCTCACATCTTTTCTCCCTGACTATCTATTCAAAAATATTATTTGTGCCTCTTGGAAACCATGAAAAATTTGAGGTGAAGCTATCGCTAAGAAAGCCTCAGGAATGTTTGTTGTTGAACCAATTTGGAATTGATTCCGAGTCAATTTAAACCGGTTCTCGTTCCGTGAAAGCATGACTTGGGTTTTGATTAGTGTAAAACATTTTAGCTACGAAGCACTCACGTTTTGGATTCTAGTCTGGTTTTAACCCTGACAAAAAAAAATTGACCAGACCCCCTTCTCCCTGCTTTCATACCATCGTGTCATTCATGTCAAGGATCACCTTGACAATCTGCATTGAAACTAGGAAAATTAAAAAAATTAACAAGAAAAATAGGCAGAGCTCCTTTCTTTTCAGAGAGATAGCTCTTGACATCACTTCATCGCTGCTTGCTTCTGCAAAAAGTCTGAATCGTCTGAAAAGTCTGGTTAGTGGTCTCTGGTCTCTAACCTCTTAGGTACTTTGTACTCACTCTCATTCATTGGTTGCCACCGATCTGGAAAACCGGGATAATCAGGGAAAGTCAGGGAATTTCTGACGCGTCTACTGATCACTAAAATTTATCTCTAATCTTCCAACTGTTCACCTCTCAGGTCATTTTTAAGGCTTATCATCGAACTGCTACCGAATGCTTTCATCTATCTTTTGATCTCTAAACAAGAAAATTTTGTCTAAAGTTCAGCGGAAGTTAGCATATTTTAAGGGGGAAAAAAACGGTGGAAATTTTGTTCAAAGGTCAAGGAAAGTTAGGAAATTAGAAAATTCTGGAATCCGGAAAAGCAAAAACAGTGAGGAAAAATCAGGGAAAGTCAGGGAATTTAAAGATAATTAAATTATGGCAACCCTGTTCTACTTTGTTGTATGTCTTTCCTCTTATTTGGCTATTTTCTATTTACATAGCTCCAACACAGTGCACTCAAAGTCAGTTCCAATGCATAGAAACGCGTCATTGTATTTCCCAAACTTGGATTTGTGATGGAGAGCCCGATTGTGGAGTCACAGAGAATCAGACTTTGGACACATCTGATGAGGACCCCAATAGATGTAAGTTTTTCTTGCCATTTCGGATGTGACAAAAATTTCTTTTTATCACAATCTTGTAAATTTCCGAAGTTTCTAAAAATGTTTCACTGAGGCAGAAAGAGGATTTTTTTTTTTTTTTTTTTTTTTTTTTTCTTAGATTATTCTAGTGTATCAAGCATTGCCTCTATTTTCTGTTAAGTTCAACGAAAGCGGTAATGAGTACTTTATGCGTTCGACAAATTTCAGAAGTAAATCTGCCATAGCGAAAGTAAAATATAAACTCAGTGGATTTTTTTTATGTATACAAATCTGGTTGGATTATATGTTGAAGTTCAGATTTTAGACATTCCCAATGTTCAAATTTCCAATTGTTTTCACTCTCTCATTCTCACTCATGGTATCCAGAACCTGCAAAAACCAGGAAATATTGTAATTCATCAGGGAACAAAGAATCTCTGAAAAAATCAGAGATTTAATGTTAAAAATAGGAACTTCCTTTTTTTTTTTGCCGCACTAAGACCCTTTTTTCTATTAAATATAAAAATCCAGGTTAGCTTAATGCCAAAGAATTAGCTAGCTAAAAGATGAGAAAATCAGTTGATTGAGTTTTACACAAGGAAAGAGAAGAAGGGAGAGGAAATCTTGAGATTGTAAGCCATGGAATGGAGAATTTCTCATTGAGGTTTTTGCCCCTAAGAATCTGAGAAATATCAGGGAAGAAAAAAATTGAATAATTCTGTATGCTAAGTTTTTACTGTAAGGAATATTATATTTTGAAAAGTGTTTCTTAAAACTACCAAGCCACACCAGCGCAGTGACAAGTACAAGAATGGAAATTACTTTGCAAAATAGGATTAGTTTGTCCTCTCCTAGAATTATTCCCTAAAATTTCCTTTAAATGTTCGTTAGATAGCATATCAAACTACCTTGCTGAGCTTAAAGATCAGGAATTGTAGGGAACAGCAACTAATTGCAATGTACGGAGGAAAACAAAAGTTACTTAGTATCACTATCTATTTCTATTTTTGACAATTTTTAAATATTAATAATTGTAAATTTTAATGCTAGCAAGTGCTTTTCGAATCGTCTTATTCATTTAAATTGTCTTTTAGGTAATAAAGCTAAATGTGATTGGAACTTTGCCCAGTGCGGAAATTCGTCCGTGTGCCGTCCTATAGAACTTTTTTGTGATTCTCATCCAGACTGTTCAGATGGCAGTGATGAAGGTTTATTTTGCTGTAAGTCTCATCTGATTTACAAATTTTGTGCTTAAATCTCAGGAATTAATTGAGCAAATGAAATAGCAAATCTACAAAAGGAGAGAACTCTAAATTAATCTTTAATAGCTCTCTAGTTTTGGAGAGGCCCTCCATAGATTCAATGTGTCACTAAACCTTGTGTTTTTTATTTAATATTCTGTAAGCACCAAGTGATTATGGATTATGCAGTGATTTATTGCGCATTTTTGGAGCCGAAATCCTGTACAAGCCCGCTTTTAAGAAGTCGAAAGGCTCGAAGAAATTTCAAAGCGTCGGAATGGCGGGAAAATGATGGCGGTGAAGTAATACCGCAGTCAAATCGCTATCTGCTTTCATTTTCCACTGATGTTGGTTTAAATAAAACCAATTTCATGTGAAATTGTTGCTTGTTTACTACAGATAACATGAATAAGATTCGACTCTTTGATTCTGAAGATATCATTTTGACTTTCCTTTTGTTTTCATATACGAGGAGTAGAAAGACATTTGATGGAAGTCGTAGAAACCTGTGCTTGCTTCCGACTAGTACTGAATGATATCATTCGGTTTGGTGCAAAACCGGAGCGTTTTAAATTTGCAAAAGAGTTGCGCTTTTTGAACTGCGTGTTTCTCGGCTTCTGAGTTACTTTTTAGCGTTTTCAATGTGTGCATCGTGCTCTAAACATCATTTACTTTTGTAATAATGTATCTGCAAGTCAAAATTTGTTCATGGTTTAGTGACCCATTACATCACCAATATTGTTGGTAATCTTTCAATCTTTTTCCTTACATTTTACTTTTTGCACAACGAACTTGGAAAAATTTTAAGGTAAAAATTTAGAATTTAGGTCTCTCTCCTGATGAATATGATTGAAGTAGAAGTGAGGAATTTTGCTCATACCGAAGTAAGAAAAAAATCATTTTTCACACTACTCACTCTAAGGTGTAGACTGCTAACTTCAATTACACTGAGACTGTGAGAGGTATTCATTTTTTTGATGATAAATGAAAGGCTCATACTTTGTCTTATTTGGATATCTGTTGTGTAGCATATATCAGTTCACTGTAAATTATTTTTTGCAAGAAAAGAAAGTGCAGTGTAAAAGTTGTGTGATTTAGTCTTATTTTCTTTGAGTTCCAGTAAAAAGTCTATGCAAATAGTTCTTAAAAATTGAAAAATTGAGATTTTAAACTGATCAAGATTGAATGTCTCAAAAATTCCAAGACATCTCCTAGATATTTTCGACTACACAACCCCTCTACAATTGATCATTTTTATTCCTGTTTCCATTCATAACATTTCCTTCTATTGATTAATGTATTTCTGTGTAGCAAATAAAACTGCTTGCAAAGCATTAAATTGCTCCCATGAATGCCGAATGACGGGGAAAGATCTTCCACTGTGTTTTTGCCCGGCGGGTCAACATGCAGACAAAGACAATAGATGCGTTGGTAAGTGTTTTGATTAATGATTTTAAAATCACTCCCTCCAAAATTTACTGTCGAATTTTGAGTCAAGACAGTTTAAATCTTGCAAGGTTCATTTAGCCCTAAATTGTTCTTGTTGAACATATTTTTTTATGTTTGCTTTTACATTTTGTTTGTATATTTGCTCTTGCATAGCTGTTAGCACATTTTTTTTTCTATTTCAGATACCGATGAGTGTCATATGATAGGGTCATGTGATCAGCTATGCTTTAACAATGCCGGTTCCTACTCTTGTGATTGTGTCAACGGTTATGTCAAAGTTGACAGCAAATCCTGCAAGGCAATCAATGGTAAGTAATCAGATCAAGTTTTATACTAGGGGTGCTCAATAAAGACTGATGGAGGTCTCTCCAAGAGTAGTGGGATGCTAACTTAACATTTATTCTCATAAAAATCGTATTTTTCCAGGATAAAATAAATTTTCTAGAAAGTTAGTATATGATTGGTAAATCATGGTTTCTTTTAATAAAATGAGAAAAAGGTGTCCATTGAACATTTGATTTAGTAACAAGTGTTACAAACAGATAGCGTCCAGGTAACATATCTTGTGGTCCCTCAATCCCTACCTTGTGTAATGGTCCAGTGTCAAATTTCGTACCTTTATAAAAGTTCTACCATTAAGTTCGTTCCTCATAAACTTATATCAAGGAAGTCCTCTAAATGAACTCATTTTTAATATCCACATTTTTGTGCCAACAGTTCCTGCAGATGAACCAGCCACAATTATATACAGCAGTCCAAATGTTATGCAACGGATTTTTCTCAACGGCACAGTTTATCCTGGCAACAGTACGATATCACGTCTTCAAACTTTTGCGCTAGAATTTAATCACAAAAATAGGACAGCCTGTTACATCCCTCACAAAGTGTTTGCCGCCGCCAACTTAACTTGTGCCAACATTGACAATCTACAGGAAACGTGGGTTTTACCGCAACCATCCATGTTCCCTCTCAGTTGTAAGTGTAAATTTCTGATAACTTCCCCCTGTAAGTCTTGCCATTTGGTTGAGTCTACCACTCTGTTTTAATCTTGTAATAAAAAAAGATTGCTTGAAAATCTGCACACTGTGAAATAAAACATACCCTGGGAAAGGAACACTTTGGAAAAATGTAGCTTCTTTAAAAAGTGTCCTGAAACATTTTCACTGCAACAAGTAGACTGTCTCAGGTGAAAAATTTTTCATGGAAGTGGGGGGGGGGGGGGGGGNACTTTTCTTTAAAATTCCAGAAAATTACCCTTCAAGGGGAAAACTTAATTAGGTCATGGTTGAGCATGATGGTGGGTTTGGGAGTCAAGACCACAATAAAAACCCTTCCCTACTTATATCTCAGGCTGCATTGGCCTTTACCCGCCTTGCAGAACAGACCATACAAATTATCAACCCTTTGCCAATACAAGCTTATCCCTACAATTTGGATGCATTGAAATTTTATAATGATGAGAATTTATATGAATAAAATACTTTTCAATTGATTCTTCTTAACTGAATGTCGAAATAGCTAATGTTTTCAAGCAGCAACTTTATTTAGATTGTGTGTGCTTGTACAAGTATAAGTGAGTAAGTATGTAACATTCTTGGTGTGAGAAGGTTCGTTCTCACTTAACTTTCACTACCTTATCCTCCATCTTCTTCCTGCCATCTTCCTTAATTCCACAAGAGAATTCACCTCATCAGTGAATTCATCAACGCTGCAAAAATAAAGGAAAGTCATCACTTAGATATTTGAAAACATAAGAAAAATCAAGAGTTTGGATCGATTTAAAAATGATAGTCTGATATAGTGTATGGTCCTTGTGATAACCTGAATGGGTCAGCAATAAAAATTTTACTCGATCTAAGGAGCAAGGTCCGTAACTATTTTCAACATTGTCATATCATTGCTGTAGCTATTACCTTTTCTCTTTGGTGATCACTGGAGCTTGACAGTTTTCTTGAGGTCCTGAATCTGAGCCAAGGCTTTGGCCGATCGACTGATCTATCCTGAAAAAATCACCGTTATTCTCATGAAATGGGCGTGAAAGGAGAGCAAATAAAAATTATGTTATGATATTCAAAGTATACTAAGGAAATGCTATAGATGTATGCCAAGATTGCTGCTTGATTTGAGTAGATTAAAGGTACCCAATAATCAGAATGAATAAACTCAGGGATCGAACTCTATACACACTATGGCCAATTAATACCGGAAATCTAAAACGTTTTGAAACACTTAAGTTAGGTTCACTTAAGTTAACCTTGCTATTTAAACCCATGAATTATTCTGTTCACATTTTACCATTAACCCTCCATAATACCTTTAATTGAATAGTGTGATTGTGATGAAAAGATAAGGCTGGAAACTGTATCGCATGGTTGCCCTCACCGATACAATAATAAATTATAAGCTATTTTTACAAATGTCAAAGAATAAGTGAGGTGTGAATTTTTATACTCAGCGGGGGGGTTTGAGAGCTCGAGTTTGAGAGCAAGGTTCCTTGAAATGAAGATTGAGGTTACGTTCCTTTGGTTCCCACCTTTCTTAACCCCTCGATAACCAGGTCATGTGCGATATGCTTTTTTTTATTCGACAGCCATTCTAGAGGTATATTTCCTAAAGTTCAGGATACCTTAAAATTGTAATGACAACTGTCAAGTCGAATCTAACTTACCAGCTCATGCAGGGTGAGGCACAGATAAAATTCCTCTGTTCTGTTGTAATAATTACAATAATGAGAATAATACTTTGGATAAGTAGGTACAGAAATGTCATGACTGTTCTTATGTTCTTAAGAGCCTTTTTTCTCCTTTCATCATGGGACCTTATATTTCATGATGGTTACCAAGGAAATATCATTTTCAAAAAATAAAGTTCTACAGAATGTTTACTGTAATTGACAATAGATATCTCTTGTCAGTGGCTGTTTGTGCCCATGCACTAAGGCCAAAGCACCGTTACAGGGCAAAAAGTAAAAAGTAAAAAACAACAACAACAACAAAAACATGATACAAGGCTTTTTATCTTGTCAGTGGCGAACTATGTGGGTAGGACCCCCCCCTCCTCTTTCCTTTTTCCCCTCCCCCTCTTCCTGTTAAAGACCAAACCACCATTTTTTCTCATGCCCATACTTTTGTTTTATTGGTGGAACTGTAATACCAACTTTCTTTTCGGCATTTTCTACATGAATCTTTGTGCAATTTTCCAAGAGGGCAAGAGGCTCATTTCTTTACACAGCCTAACTGCAACAAAGAACAGATCAGCGCTAGATTGCGCTGCAATCAGCGCTAGTCTGTATTGGAATGAATACAACATTTAATGTTATTGCACTCAGAATTTCATATTTTTGTCAGATAATAGTGGACAAATTAGAACATTCTGCGTTATGAGAAATAAGAAAATGAGCCTAGGTACTAATCCCAAGTTAACTTAAGCCATAGAGTACATAAGAGTCATAACGTGATGGAGCTTCACTAGGACCACTTTTTAAGGCTGCTAGTGTGCTGGAATCAGTGATCATCCTCAGAATTGCAAGTTCCCAGCTCCTGACTCCACTTCAGATGCAGTCAAGTTATATCGGCAGTGAATGAACCATACATTGAGACATATTATGGATTTAAACTAAGAGTCTCTTGTATTTTTGAATTTATGATGTTGTGGGTCAAGATTATTTTCCAGAATTTTCACGAATAACCACCCAACAAAGTGACTAAGTAAAGTAACTAATCACGGAAAACATTAACAGCCCTCAATATTTATATGAGCCGCTGTGTTAAAGAATGTAGGGTGGTTTCTAAAGCTTGGTGCACACAAGACTAGGTAGCCACTATTCAAGTTTTGATCCTAACGGCACTCCAGTACACAGCGACTTCAATGTGCCCAATGAATGACTAAATTCTTGTTCCCTATGAAAAATCGAATTTCAGAATTTTTAAAACCTTCATCTCCTAGGTTTTTTTTTTTGTTTTCTTGGATTTTTTTAAGCTTATTCATGATATCAAATTACTGGAATGATTTTTTGTGCAGCTATGATTCACATTGCCTTGGACTGGGTGTCAGGAAATTGGTACTTTCTTGATGACTTTCGGGAGTTAATATACTTGTGCACAGCAAAAATGGAATACTGTAAGATACTAATCGATGTCAATTTAGGCAAACCTAGAGGAATAGCATTGGATCCAACGAAAGGGTAATTTTTTTTGGTTTTGATAACTCTTATTTTATTTCTCAATTTGAACCTTGCAAATTAAAATTTCACTCCTGAATAATGGATAACAGGAGTTTCTCGGACTACTGTGCGACATGTCACAAAATCGCGTGTATAAATGGGCTTTGAAACATGTATTATTCACTAGCCATGATTTTTCCTATTTTTGTGGAATTAGGAAAAAAAGAAAAATTACTGGGCACCATAACTGAGTAAGTTTAACCTTAATTCATTATGTTCAGCCAGTCGGAGAGTTTACGCCACAGTTACTGCCTGCACGGGTCAAACAAAACTCACACAAGTCCAGTCAACCAAATCCAGGCCCAGAGCGAGTGAAGATACGAAGGGAGGGGAGAGGGAGAAAAAGAGATAAAGAGAGAGAGAAAAATAAGTTTGTTAATTGTAAGATGTTTTCTAATTATGTGATACATTTTGAAAAACTTGCGTTCATTGTGTTCAGAGAGGATAGAGTAAGCACTTAAACTGGCGGAAATTGGAAGATTTTTCTCATGCAAAAAAACACCAACCGCATCTAGTATTATCCTGTGTTACCAGATTCTTCAGCAAATTATCCAGTATTTGGCTCCGCCCAGGTACCAAAAATGGGTAGCCGTATCCATGATGCAGAAAATTCACTTTTGCCCAACACTGTCAAAAACTTTCTATTGGGGTAAAATATTCTAAAATTGATTGTTTTAATTCTTCACAAGCAAACCCTCAAACTAAATAACTTTTTTTTTTAACTATGATGAAGCCAAAGCGCTCTCTGTCATCGAAGTTAAACAAGTCGAGCTGTAGAAGTGTAACTAAAATGTTGATGATTTCTCTTTCAGGTTGATGTTTTTCACAAGATGGGGCTCTGCTCGCGCCATGTTAGAGCGCTCTAAAATGGATGGCTCAAACAGACAGAAACTAATAGACAATAAAATTGTGTATCCGTACGGTGTGACAGTTGACTTTCCCTCACAGCATGTTTACTGGGTGGACACCTACTTAGATTTCGTTGAAAGAATTGATTATGACGGGAAAAACCGAAGGACCATTGCCAAAGGTTTCCCGGTATGTATGATTGGTCTGCAAAATAAGATTTAGGGCTATGCGAGTATGGGAAAATCTTGATTTGAGTCCGAATTTTTCTGCCAATGTCACATTCTTTTTGTCTGCATTTACATTCAATGAAGGGTGTTAAAACCTGGGGGGAGTGGTGTAAATTCTTCAATATTATGCACTCACAATGGCAAAAAAAATTCAATTTTGGAAATTAACCTAACTTAGTCTTCACACAGAAATAGCCGCAAGGCCAGCATTGCAGGCTAGTCACAGAAAATCTAGATGACTAGCCGGCAACACTGACCTTGTGGCCGTTTCTATGTGAAGACAGAGTCAGATTAATTTTATCAGACTTTTTAAATATATTTTATTCATATTTTAACCCAGCATAAGTCTATTTTTTATAAAAAATCTTCTCACACATTTTTTCCTAACGCTGAAGACCTTTCTTGTTCACAGGTTCAAAATTTGTATGATGTCACAGTTTTTGAAAATAATCTATTTGTGACTAGTTGGCGCAACGAAACTATTTTACGACTTAATAAGTTTAAATCAAATGATCATGGAATGCTTATTAATTCTAGTCGACCGTTTGCCATTCGTGTCTTTCATCAACAGCGTCAACCTGAAGGTCAGTAAATATGCACTTAATTAGTCAAATTTCTGTTGTGTTCAAAGATTATTGGAAGACCATGGTTTTTCAGATTTGCAAAAAATTCATAAAAAGCGTTGATTTTTCCCAAATCAATGTGTAAGTGAAAGATTTGCATTGTTGTTTAATTTAAAATTAGTTAATTAAAACGTCCTGCTCCTAAAGAAATTCAAGGACACCATATGCTAAATTTCCAGTTTAAAAAACCATGTATCCTTTGAACATGAAAGTTTGAATTTACCAACACATGGAACATTAATTTCTCATCTACAAGTTGAAATTTTAAATTTTCAATTAGTTTACCGTGTTCCATGTGAAATTTGGTTAAAAAATGTGCATTGTGCTACTTGATTTCTAACTCTGTCTAGTGGTCTATTCCGATAGTCGCAAAAAAGTGTCATTAGTCTTAAGTAGTCACACAACTGATGCATTAGGGATTGAAAATAAAACTTGGTTTAAAACCTCTTCGTAATCAAACTGCCCTTTCAGTCTTTTATCAGGTGCGATATTTGTTTTTGTTGTAGTTGATCATCCTTGTGCCAAAAACAATGGTGGCTGTGAGCAAATCTGTATCCCATTGTACAATCCTATCAAAAACTCAACAAGCCTCAGACCTGTAGCTCATTGTATGTGTCAACCAGGCTACAAGCTAGTACTTTATCATCAATGTAGATGTAAGTATATACATTACTGGACTATAATTAATTTTTCTTGTTCTTTGATTGATATTGACTGTAGGGGTTGACTCAGACTACTCGTACCAAGTTTTTCTCTCAGTTCTCTCAGGTTGACTAAGCCGAGGACTGTGGGGCTGAATAGGGAATGGACGCTTAGCAATCCTATCACCTAGAATTCTATCATCTCAAAGTCTCCCTGCAGGCCGATTATTGAAATTTTGTGTTTGTCGGGCAGGCATAGATGACATAGGTTAAATGGCGTAGCATAATCGGTCAGCTATGTCTTATCCCTGCTTTGTTGTGCCCATGTCTGGTTGAATGGACATTGAACAACATACTGTCAGGAACTCAAGAGGTGCCTTTAGCTTGTCATGAACTCCACCTGACTTAGGCATGACCAAGCAACGATAAGACATAGCCGACCAATCACACTACACCATTTAACCTATGTCATCTATGTCCGCCTGATAAATACAAAATTTTAATTATCAGCCTACAGGTTTGCCTTGCGGGCTAGAAGAGGGGTCTAAACTTTGGAAAGGAGAGTTTCTGTCTCAATTTTGTAATTATCTGATCAATATCAGGAAATACAGTCCGAAATTGGTCCATCCCCGTTCCCAATACTGACCCCTGAAGTTGGGGAACAGAGCCCGCCTTGACAAAATGCTGGGTCACCAAATTGATGTCAAAGCCAAGAAAAAGGAGTTATTATGGGTAATTGATTCTGTTGATTGATGATTGATTGATGTTAGTGGTAGTGTTGAAATGCATCCGATCAGGAACACATAATCTTAAAAAGCCGCTAATGTCCATCTTTCGTTATATGCCTCATAATCGGTGTATTGTTTGATTTAAAATCATGATAAAATTAAATACCATCTTCTAATCTTCTAATTGAGACTTCAGGATAAGAAACCCAAAGACCCGAAAACTTCTTAGCGTTTTACAGCGTTTTATTTTTATTATTTGTGACGCTAAAGATCTTTTTTTTTAATTGTTTTAATACATACCGTACTTAAAAAATATACTTTTCTGATGTTTTAGAACTGTCCATGCACAAATCGTGCTAAAACCGCTAATGTCCAGTTGATTGCTGGTAGTTTCGTAATGATATTTGTTTTAAGTGCCACAATCTTCCAAAATTTTATTAATTTAACTTAATTTGAATGATAATCTACTGCTTTAATATGTTTAAGAGTGAATTTTGAAAATATCAAAAGGCTCCAAAACTCGGAGATTTTCATGTATCATGTGAAAACCGCAAATGTCCAGAGTCCTTTCTTTTTAATTAGTACTCCGTCCCAGACAGAAGATGAGCTGGAGACTGTCGGGGATCCTTTTCTACAATCCACTCCTGTATTAATTAACTTCTAAAAATTGTTCAACCTGCATTTAAAAGGCTGCTATAGTTTTTTGCAGTTCTCTCTAAATTAGAAAAAATGCGCAGTAGCGGTTTTTGCACAAGCTGATTCAATTGAATGCACAATGTGCACTGTATTTTCTAATCCCTATAATGATTGAATATTAATGAGGAGGAAAATTTAGTTTTAGCCCTTCAATCATAGGTAGGAAGTATAATGTTTTTTCTTGTCTAAGAAGTGTATATGTTTCTCTGTGCAGCAACTGAAAAGTCATCATTTTTACTCTATGGAACGGGTAAACCCGCCATGATCAGAGGAATCTCAACAAGTCTTAAAGAGACCCCTGAAGATGTTATTTTTCCAATCACTGACCTCAGTCGCCCAACTGCTCTTGATTACGATGTGCAGGATCAATATATTTATTATTCAGATGCCTCAAAGTAAGTTGTTATAACTTTTAACCATGTGAGCTTCTTTCAGAAGAAGTAACTTTAAGATGACCTATAGATCAATGCAGTACAGGACATAACAATGATTATTGTTGATCTTAAATAAAGTGTATGATAACCTTCTCTTGGGTTCTCATCAATATATGGGGCTGTTCCATCCAATAATTTAAAGTTTAACTAAGTATTTCAGTATTATGAGTCTTACAGATTGTATCATTTACAATACATTTGTTTTGTGATGTTTTCATCTCGAAATATTTGGTTTTTTCCACCTTTTGCAAAATTTGTGACCAATAATGTAACACATATCATGAAGCAAGTATCCTTTATATAATTCCGCCAATTAGTAAAATGATTCAGTTTTGAAAGCTTTTTTATCTCTTAATGTCCTTAATATTATCTGTCAAAACTTTGTAAGGGGTGGAAGGAAGAAATGAACATTGTATTTCATATGAAGACGAGTGAAGTGCCCAAGGGGTTTAGAGTGCAGTATGCAGCTTCTAGTAATGGAGTAACTTCATGAATTCAACAAATAATTTATTAATGTGTATCAATTTAATCTACACAGGTTTCGAATCGAGAGACGAAAAATCGGCGGAGGATCAAAGAAGGTATTCATCAGTGCTGGGATTAACAACTGTGAAGGTCTTGCTGTCGATTGGATCGGAAGAAATCTTTATTGGACAGATGAAGGTCTTGGAACAATAAGCGTTGCCAAGTTGAGCGATCCAACAATTCGTCGAATTCTCATACATGATAGTAAAATTCATCCAAGGTCCATCGTTCTTAATGCCAGATCTGGGTAATTAATTAACCTTTCATGCGGCTTTTTTTCTCACTGATCATCTTGTGAAAAGTCTCAAAGCGTAAGGAAGAGTTAGAATACAGAGGTCACTACTGACAAGTTTAATTTGACATTATGCATCTGTGAAATAATACACTCGCGGGCCGTCCTATAGTCCACCAAGCTTTCCTCAAGGGTATGATAGTAACCTGGGTAATTGCATCCCATGCAGTGGTAATCCATTCAATCACTCTGAACAAGTCAATTTCATCTCAGCAGGTGTGCAAGCAGGGAAATACAAGTAGGCACTCATGAAGAAAGCAAACAAATGTAAATTAGAAAGGAGTCACAAGGATGGGTTTATACCCTAAATTTAGTGCGGATATTCTGAAGTATGGTATAATGATCTCTCTCAGCAATCTAAGAAGAAGCTTTGTGGGAAAATGCTACTCATTATTTATGTTGAATTGAGCCATCAGGAAAATTGTTTCAACTTGATAGGAGCGCCACAGCTCCAGAAATTTTTATTTTTGAAGAAGATCACATATTGAGGGCTAACGAACAATATCGCTTAACTGAAAATTTTTGCACAAATGAGTTAGCAACTTTGCCGCATTCTTGAAGTACGCGAGCTGATGTTTTTAATTTTTTGCAGTTCCGCATGAGAGCGCTGTAAAAATTGCAAATCTAACCTTAAAATTCCAAAAATGGCGAAATCTCCTCTTCTGTAAAATCGTAAGTCTGTAGTTAGAGTTGGAGCGATGGAGAAGGGCGCTGTAATTGCCTCCTACTCTATACTATTTTCTTAGTGTGTCATCTTTTTGGTTTTGTTGTGCGTCTTTCTTCCAATAAAATAAAAGTTCTATATAGAATTTTTAAGAATTCCATCTAAACTCAAGACAAATTTATCCAGAAAAATTTGTTGTGCCTAAATAATTCTCCCATGTGAAAATACAGAATAGATAGTTGGATGAAACACTCATTAATTTTCAAGTAGGCAAGATCCGTCATGAGTTATACGTATAATTTTCCTTTTCTATTCTTATACATAATTTAATTGTTGTTGCATTAGCTACATGTACTGGTCAGACTGGTCAAGCAACGGGCGAATCGAGAAAGCTCACATGGATGGTCGAATGCGGACTGATTTTGTTGTTGGAGCCCTACAGTGGCCAAATGGTTTAACCATCGATTATCAGACAACCAGGCTTTACTGGTGTGATGCGTATCTAGACAAAATTGAACATATCAATTTAGATGGAACCAAAAGACAGGTTTGTTTATTATTTTTCACACCAGGCTGTGAAATTGGTATAGACAAAGCGATAGACAAAGATGACAAGAGGGATATGAAAGCATCCTATTGGTGGAAGTGGGTAGTTGAAATGGACAAAGGAAGTAGGTAATAGACTAACTAACGGCAACCCTCAAGAGACCCTTCAGTTAGTCCATCATTTACCCCTTGGTCTGTAACAACCACACAATTCAACCAATGGGATCGCTTAATACTCCCTATGTCTCCTTTTTTATAACTTTATCTATCAATTTTAACAATCAGCCCGCAGTTTTGCAGTTTTCAAGGATTTTTAATATTTCTCTAAATATGTGACCGCTCATGGAAAAAAGGTACTTAAAGTGAAAGGTCGAATTTTCCAGGAGAGCAGAAAAAAGCAGCTGGTCAAAATTTTCAATTTTTTTCTTGTTTTGAAAATTTTATGAAGCAACTATTTGCAAACCCAACTCTCTTGAGCTTAATGGCCCCACTGAACTTGAAATATTTTGTTCATCAGTGTGACCATCCACAGGAAAGGGACCCTTGTGCCAAAACAAAAACAAAACAGTTATCAGTACAGCTGCATGGAGGAAGGTTTTTATAACATCTTGACTCAAAAAAACCCAATAATGACGAGCCTAACTTGAGTCTTGCCAGTTTGAAATTAGCTGTCCATAAATGGTAGTTCTAGGACAAAGCAATTCAAAGTTTTGATTTTTCATGTTCAATATCTTACTCTCTCTATTGGTACACACTAAAATGAACTGAACTGACTGCAACTTATCCTTTAGGATACTTAAGATTGCTCGTTGTCAAAAATTCAAATTCAGATTTTTTTCTAGTATTATGTTGCTCACTCTAAATTTTCCTATTGGTATTTCAGACTGTTCTCAGTGGTAGTGGTGAAAAACTAGGAAGTCCCTATGGTTTGGCTATTTTTGAACGCACTTTAATCTGGACAGAATCACAGAAAGGAACCGTCCAAGCACTCAACCTGATGAGTAATTCTTCAAAAGCATTAGTCCTTAGTGTTGAAAATCCACCCTTATTTGAAATTAAGGTCTTTGATGAGTCCTCCCAATTAGGTAATTATCTTGTCGCTTTTCATTTATTTCTTGATTTCCTGATGCCCGTTTCCATTAAAAACTACAAAAACCCTCAAAAACATTTTTCGGGCAAAAAATCCGGTCGAGGAAATTGACGTGTCACTTCCTTTTAATCAAGTATAAGATAGGCAAAAACCTTTGATGAATTCCCAAGGTCCACTAAGACTAATAATCATCAAAAAGTTCAAAAAAAAAATAAATCCCTTGCCAAAAATAAATAAAAAACCGATTTTGAGATAAATCCCTCGANCCCGTTTCCATTAATTAGCTGTCCATAAATGGTAATTCTAAGATGAAGCAATTCAAAGTTTTGATTTGTCGAGTTCAGTGTCTTACTCTCTCTCTTGGTACGTACTAAAATGAACCAAACTGACCGCCTTTTATTCTTCAGGATGCTTATCAAGATGTTGACTGCCATTAAGTTTTTTGTATTTGTCTTTACACCAGAAAAGGAAAACATGCCAAGCAATGGCAAACTAAAAATTTGTCAAAATGTACAATAAATGCTACGGAATTTTCATTCAACAAAACCGCAGGTAAATAACAAAGCTCATGCTTATGCTTTTGCTTGTCAGCACATTGTTCCAGTATATTCTGATGAGATACCTACATATTTCTTTAAAATCTTCTAATTTCTTCCTGAAGTCTAGTAACATTTTCTATGCCCCTAATATTTTTAACTATGAGCCAATTCAGTCATGCAATTTTGTTTTTGTTTTTCAGGCAGTAGCACGAAAGCTTGCTACAATGGATCTCATCCTAAATGTGAGCAACTATGCCTGGTGACTCCTGGAGATCCTATCTGTGCTTGCAAAGAAGGCTCTGCATCACCAAGTAACAACAATACTAGTTGTCAAAAAGAATTCAATGTGACTGCATCATCTGACTGTGGTCCCAGTAAGTTATCTGAATATTTGCACCTTTTCAAACCATGTGCTAGTTTGATGAGCAGTTCTTATTTTATTTCCTACTTTGTAGAAAGTTCCTTTTACTATCTCCTGTGCAGATTCTTTTTATCGAAGGCTTTTGATTCTATTCACCCAAGAAAGGAATATTGTGTGAATTTTGTCTCAATATTCTCTAAGGCCCAGCAATACTGAAAGAGAAGCTACCTAAGCTCTGAACTACATACTTTTTTCCCCTAAAATGTTACTTGGTCTCTTCGTGCCCAATTAATTCCAATACATGCATCATACCAATCATATAATTTCTTGGATGCATTTGTTTTCAGATTTATTTCAGTGTCGCAATCTAGATTGTTTGAAAAAGGAATTTGTATGCGATGGGGATGATGATTGTGGAGATGGATCAGACGAAGATGAAACCTGTGGTGAGTCACCTTTTTCTATCCTGCATTTTCTGGGGGAAGTATTGATTTTTGGCGTTGATAAAATTAAAAATTCTGATCTCTTACATCAGATCTAAATCTTAATGACCTGTTGAGCACGTGTGCCCAAGTTGTTGGCACGTCTAATTAGATAGAAAAAGATGGTGAGAAATAAGTAGTAGCCCCGAAGAAAAACATCTCTCCAAGATTTTCTGGAAGAGATTATGATTATCCGCTAGAGCATTTGGCAAAATGTCTGTTTCAATGTTTTGCTTGTGAATAGTTATTTAAATAATTGCTAATTTAAAAAAGTAACGGACAGTAATCATTGATGAGTTTGGTGTTTCAGCTCATTTTGAGTGTGAACAGAACCAGTTCAGATGTGACAAATACAGATGTATACCAAAGAGGTGGGTCTGCGATGAAGATGAAGACTGCATAGATGGTAGCGATGAAGCAGAAAATTGCCCTAAGGAGACATGTCAAGCACCCATGTTTACGTGTGCTGTCACGAATCGCTGCATACCTCAAGTGTGGGTCTGTGACGGTGAAAATGATTGTGGAGCAGGTGATACTTCAGATGAAGATCCCACCAAGTGTAGTAAGTACATAATTATGATCATGATTTACAGTCAACCCCCGCTAATTCAAATCACGATCTGATTTAGGGGGGTTTGACTGTATAATCATTTATTTTCCAGGCAGTTCATGTGAACTCGAGCTCGCAAGGAGAGAGCCATCGTCTCTTAAAAAACTAAAATAAATTGACGCACTAGAAAGAGTGAAAAGTTGGGCAGTGTGATGTTGAAGCATTAATTGGACTTTGTTAACACCAAAAAACTAGCCTCAACATTCAGGTTTTACCAAGCCTGGGTCACATGATCAAACTGAAGCCATGAAAGTAGCAAGATCACAGCGCAGTAGGTTTTCGCAAGCCGATCAGAGATCAGTGCTGTCAAATTACTACGGGTCACAGTAGTTTGACAGTCAAAGAGATCTCTGGCTGGTATTGGTAGAACCCCGACCTTGCTAACCTTGCCAGATTGGTAGCTCATTTTGATCATGCAACCCAGAGCAAACGGAGAAAAAGCTCTGATGATTCAAGTTCTGGTTTCATTCTATGGCTGTCTTTCTCCATTAAAGAATCACCTTTGTCCCCATAAATTTAGAATTTTTGTGTAAAAATCCACTTCAAAAACCTCTTAATTTACTCCAAGTTTGAAGCAAGAAAAAAAGTTACATGCTAAAAATTTTCTTTTGCAAGCCCAAAGAAGTTATGTTTTTTGTGTGTTCAGTTCCCCTATCAGCAGTATCGTGATGAACATTCATTTTTAATCAATGCTTTATGAGGGGGAAAAACTAAGGACTATGTTAAAATTTTTTTCAGATTTCAAAGAGTGCCTACCAACAGAATTTGAATGCGGCAATAAACATTGCATTCCATCTGACTTTTTTTGTGATGGTGATGATGACTGCAGAGATGGTTCCGATGAAGTAGACTGCAATAGTTCATGCAATAAAACCGAGGTATGTTTCTCAAATATTATTACCATTTATTCAAAGAACTTTGCATTAATGCTCCATTCCATACCACAACTCATTATCAGCAAGGCTGCTTGCTCAGCTGAATGAAAAAGAAAAGGTAAAAATATCTCTGAGTTCTATGAAGATGTCGTTTCAATTGGTCTTGCACAATTCATCACATCAACTTGCTTGTGGCAAAATTTAATTGCTGCGCAATTTACTATAGACAATGGGCCAGTTGCACTGGTAACAGAATCGTGTTTTGATGCATGATTCTTGTAGATTAGCCAAAAATAAGGAGATCTGTCCAAACAGCAACTTTCTACGTTGAATATTCACCGAGATATCGTCCTTTGAAAAGCTGGGTTTTTGACGTCATCCACTACAGTAGTGACACCCTTGGTTTCTTCCCTCTTGCTTTCATCCGCGTCTCACTTAGAGTAACCAGTGCTAATGTGTGTCTCCGTGGCTGATAAAACCAAATTGGAAGAAACGGAGGGTGTCACTACCGTGGTGGATGACGTCAAAAACCCGACTTTTCAAAGGGTGATATCTCGGTTAATATTGAGTGTAGAAAGTTGCAGTTTAGACGGATATTAATATTTTTAGCTGATTTACTTGAATCAAGCATCAAAACAAAATTATGTGACCAGTGCAACTGACCCATTGTTGTTGAGAAATCTTGTGTAGCTTATTTTCTAAATGCAATTAATTGAACTCTATAATTTCTTTTGTTGCAGTTTTATTGTTCTAAGGATGCTATTTGTATATCTCAGTCTCGAAAATGTGATGGCACAAATGACTGCAGTGATGGACTCGATGAGCTCAAATGTAACAACACAAATCGAACAAATCAGACAACTCTAAATAAAAATTACGATTACGTTAAAACTTGTGAAAACTTAGAATTCCTGTGTGGGGGAGAAACAAGAGAGTGCATCAGGAAAAAATTAGTGTGTGATGGGAAAGAAGACTGTTTAGATGGCTCAGATGAAGCACATTGTGGTAATTGAAATTATAGCTATCTACTTTATATTTTTTTTCCTGCAAACAGTGCAGTAGACATGACTCATTCTCTCTCTAATAACCAGTGATCATTCTATAACTTATCCATTTTCTTCAAGACTGCCATAGTAATTCTTATTTTGCACATTGCATTTTATCTCAATTTTAATGGACAGAGAAAAAGGCAAAATAACTTTTAATTTTTTGGAGTAATTAATTAAGAGACGTTTGAAGATTCGTTATTTCATTAGATTAAAACTGCCTCTAAAATATATACTTCATAGTAAAAGATTAGAAACTTGATCTTTGTTCCCAGCTTGATGAGTAAGTAATTTTTCCTGAAAATAATGCCTTGCCTAACAAAAACTCTTTAGGAGTCTCATATCTAGCATAAAGTTTCACAATATAATTTCTTACTGCTAACAGAGGAGGATTGTCAAATCCTCATAACCAGATTTGATTTCTTCTTAAATTTTAAAAAATGAAAACAGCAACACCGCAAGTTTTTTACTTTCTAATCACTTGCACTTGGGTGTTCTGCAATGTAAGTTTGGCTGTCCTATGACTGGCAAGCATTTAACCAAAATTGCCGTTTATTAAATACAAAATTTTAGATTTTTCCAGACATCATTACCATAGGTGGAATATCGTAAATAGTTCATCCATACTATTCTTCATGAAATTTGTTCCTAGATGTTGAGAACTGTACTTCTGGTCGCTGCAGTAGCCACAAGCCTACTACCTTACGACCGAAAATGGCAACTACACTATCTCCATCAATAACTTGCGAATATCCAAGCAGACTGTGCGACAATAATACAAAATGTGTGGAAGTATTCCAGCTCTGTGATGAACATTACAACTGTGATGATCACTCAGATGAAGGGGGATTCTGCAGTAAGTACATTAAGACATCGAAATCCTATTTCCATTTTCATTTAATAGGTTGCAAATAAAAGCTATCTGTTAATGTCACTTTAGACGGATAGAATGACTTGAAGTGAAAACAAGTATGCGCCTCAGTTCAAGTCAAATCAGTCAAATTTCTGCAAGAGGATTAGATTCAAGTTTTTTACCTACCGCCAACCTCTCATTACAACAAACCAAAATTCCCTCAGAACGACTGTATGTCTACAACATGTGGTTTTCATGTTGGCAGCAATGACGACCACATCAAAAATTCTCCAGGTGGATCGTGAAGTGGATGGATGCAAAAAGTCGGCCACTAATCATCCAACTGCAGGGTTTAGTTCTCGACTTCTAGTGAGTGGTTTTCTTGGTCAGTTGCCATTTCTCTGGGATTTGGCACAAAAATTAATTGAATCCATTCGCGGATATTTGCCTTAAAAATTAAAATTCATGAAAGGGGTGTGGCGCAGTGATCAAAGACACCTTCCAAGTGTTTCAAGATTTCATGTATTGATCATGTGTTTGATCTATTTTAAATTGAATGTCAGCACAACTTATCTTGTGCTGCACTAGACATTCAGATTAAGATGCTGTAGATATCTTAAAATAATGATGCTCTCTGAGAGTGTTCAGTTATTAACACCAAGAGGTCTCGTCAGTAAAGCATTGATTTAGAACAACGCTGTTAAGCGTTATCTTAGAATTTATTGGAAATTATGTTTAAAAACATTAGTTCAAGAAGTAATAATGGATGAAGGTTCAAAATGTATCTAATTTTTAAAAAAACCTATCAAAATTTTGATAGATCTGTATATTATTTTATAATGTAGAGTAAATGAGAATTTTCGAAAGTGTACCCCCTTATCTATTAAGAAGAAGAACTTGGGAATTCCGATCCTCAACTCTGGACTAGTAACGGACAAATATTGCGTGTTTTGTTCTTGCTACATATTATTTTTTTTCTTGTATGGCGCCAAAAGTTCCAAAAGCTGTTTGGAAGCCGTTACAATGTCAAAACTTTTAATGGTCTCCAACACAGGTTCGACCAGAACTCAAAGAATCCAACATCATATCCAAAATAAGCCTTTTTGTTGATTGCATCCCAGAAATCTGTACCTATTTTTCCATTTGATTCCCTCTTTCTTATTTTAATTTCAATTATCTGTAAAAGCGATCTGTACATCAAAATGATCTTAAATTTGTGTCTGAATCAGAGTCTCAAACTTAATTCCATTTGTTTGTTTTCATTAGGTCAGCACCGCTGTCTGTATCAAGATAAATGTTCTCATTTTTGCCATAACACTCCTGACGGCTTCATTTGCACTTGTCCGCCCACCCTACACCTTCACCCAAATCGACTGAACTGCACAGAAATGAATCCTTGTACAATGTGGGGCACATGTTCTCAATCCTGTGAATATTATAACAAATACATGTATAAATGCTCTTGTGAGCCTGGTTATCAACTCCTCAGTGATCACTTCAGTTGTAAAAGCACAGGTTTGTCCTCTATTTTTGCTTCTTACACACACTCACACACACACCCTCACAGTGCTTCTTGTGTTCTTACAACACAGTATCTTGTCACCCAAAGAAATAGTACTCAAATGACTTTTTACGCAAATACAACTTACCAATGTTGATGCACTCCACGATGTTAAATGATTAACATTCAATCATGTCTGGACAGATAATATTCGGAATTCTACAATAACCTCTGTTTTGAAAATTTTCCGAGCAAAATTCTCATATTTGCCATGATGGACACTTACCAACCAAACTGGTCGTTGATTTTAAAAATCTTCTCTGGCGTTTTCAAAAGTTTGACAAAAGCTTAATCAGTAGGATCAGGTTAGTTTTTTCAATCTCGATTTTAAGTATGTTGGGGTAGATTTTTTTTTTCATTTATGCAAGAAATATGAAAATGGAATATACTGTGTGGGAGAGGAAGTACAGCTTAGACATGAAAGAGAAATTTATCATCTTTGTACTCTCAGCAAATGTGTGTTCTGGTCTCTGAAGATTTGCAAGGGTTGCTATGAAGTTAAGTTAATACCGAAAAGGAAACGAAAACCTTTTTGTCGAAAAAGCTTGCCTCATGTGTTCTTTTCCCTTGCAGAAAGTGCCACTCCCATGGTCATGTTTAGCAATCGGCATGAAATACGAGGTGTTGATCTGCACACTTTGAACGTCAAGGCCTTGATCACAAGTCTTAAAAACACCATCGCAGTTGATTTTTATTACACACCAGAGCAACCTGATTACACAATATTTTGGACAGACGTTGTGGATGACAAAATCTTTAGAGGCACTTTGATCGGTGGCTGTAAGTACATTTTCAATTTCCTAAAAGTTATACAGCTCCAAATAAACATGTATGCACCATTAGAATTTGTTCTCAAAATGATTCCTGAATTTACTATTCTACAGTGAAAAGGACTTTAGAGTAGGGGTGTTCAAATGAATTCTTGCCGGAACACTATCGATATCATCTCTTATTGAAAATGGCGGCAGTACCGAAGGTGGCGATGATATCGTTAACAGCCGGCCTTATTGGATTTTTGAGAGCTCGCACTCAATGCATTGTTGCCCCGTGCGTTGGTTTATCAGATTGCCTGGCGCAGCGGCGCGTGAAATAGATGTACAAATGGCAACAGCTTATTTTCATCAGCTCCGAAAACTCTGATCGCTATCGGCAAGAGCGCTCTTATCGTAACTTTGTCTTAACGGAACTGTTTCGGTGGCTTACCGACAACCGATAGAAGAGCCCTACTTTAGAGTCAATTTTAGAAGTAATTAGCTATTTTTACTGTCTCTATTAGTCAGAGAAAAAAAGCATTGTTCGAAAAATAAGAATGTAAATCAACTGTGTACTGAATTGTATATATGTTGTATAATTTCCTCGTGTTTTATTTTTGTAACAAGTAACCCAGCAACACTCTGCTTTGAAATTTTATGAGTACATCCCATGTACTTGAAAAGAAATTCTGAGAAAGTTTCAAGGCAATTTGCCCTTCAGTTTTCGGTTGAAAAATAAAAGTATAAGAGAATATGTACTCAACAATACAAAATGCTGTCCAGCTGATTTTGGATCAGGTTTTCTAAAGATCATTCATTATTATGAAGCTAAAAATAGAATTAAGTTTTCTTTTTTGCCGGAAATTGAAGCGCTACGCCACAGAGTTGAGTGTTCATGAATTTTAAGTAGATTAAGAAGCTAAACATGTTTCAAAGAGAAAAGACCATTCCTTGAGCCATTTTCCATTAATTTTGTGATTCTTTGATTGATCCCCCTTATTTCCTGATTTTCGAAGACTACACAAGTTCATACTTTTTACAATGCTGTACTTGTTCATCAGATTTTTAGAATCATCTTATGCGAGTTGTGTTAATTGAAAACTCCTGGTCGAGCAGCTTTAATTGTTAAGCCCACAAAGCTCAGTCTGAAAAACCAATTCCTTAATTTAAATAGTATAATTTGCCTCTGATAGTCATTTACAATGAGTTTGAAACAGCTTACATGAAAGATATTAATTTTTCCAGCCATGAGCAATATAGAAGTTGTAGTGCAAACTGGCCTCCAGACTGCAGAGGGTCTAGCTGTAGATTGGATTGGCCAAAATCTGTATTGGGTGGAGAGTAATCTAGATCAGATTGAAGTGGCTAAATTAAACGGTAGTTTTCGGCGCACCCTCATTGCTGGAGATATGGAAAGTCCCAGAGCAATCGCTTTAGATCCTCGTGTTGGGTAAGTATATTAAATTTAGCATTTTTTGTTTTATCATGTTCCATGCCAATGAGTTGTTAAGCTTTTGTTGATAAATCTCAAAAACCAGGGTCAAAAAAATAGTTAGCCTTAAATTAAGTATGGAATTGCCATCAGTTTCCTTTAAGTAGATGTCATGATCTGACATCAGGCTGTCTGTATCTGAGTCATGAGATCTTTTGTCCAGTGTCGATACCAGCAAGTTGGCAACACTATTTATACCTCATTTCCAAAAAAATCTCGTTTTTAGATTTGCTTCTTTATGCAGAAAGTAGAGAAACAAGGATGTAAGAAAAGTTATTTTTCAACACTATATGTACTCTCTTCAACCTTTGAAGTTTTCAAGCCTGAAAGTCCTTCAAAGTACTTGAATTTTTTGGGGAGGATTCCTCGAGAACTCCTTGAAAGTCCCTGATTTTAGCAATAGGAAGTCCTTGAAAAGTCCTTAATTTTACTTTTGAAAAGCTGTCACGAACCATGTTAAGTTATTTTTATCTATTCTCATGAAAGCAGCTTTGTAAGTATGCAGTTCTTCCTTTTAATTCATTGCTCTCAATCTTTGTTTACTATTTTCATTGCAGATGGTTGTTTTGGACGGATTGGGATGATAATGCCCCTCGTATTGAGAGATGCAGCATGGCAGGTATATCTCGATTACATTTATCGCTTTAAAATGGGAAGAGGGACCTCAATTACAAATACTCAAAATTGAGTCATTAATGCCAGAGTATAAGTAGGTTTTCTACTAATGTTTTGGGTTGACAAATGATGAAAAACGTCAAGTCTGACCGAATTTTTGATAACCTAAAGTTTACAGTTCAAAAAACGTAGATCCAAAAAAAGCTGAGGGAAGGTCAGGTATTGAGAGATCTCGGTGAGAAGAGACTCGCCGCTGCTGCTCTCTGTGGTGGAAAAAAAATACTAACTAAGTGAAAAGCAAATCCCTGTTCATTTTCTTGTTCCTCTGTGTGATTCTGTACAAAATGGACCAACAGTAACGATGGGAGAACTTGTCAACACAACGTCTATTTCCCACCTGTTTTGGGAATTCACCTGTTCCTACCAAAAACGGCCCAGTAAAGAAAGTGAAACACTGAAAAAAACACTTATTAGTATAACATTTTGAAGCCTATGACATGTACTTTAATACTGTCATTTTGTTTTCAATTACATCTCAAAAAATAAGCATGGTTTAGAAAGTGTCACATTCACCGATTTGCTACTTTTGCAAGGTAATGACTCATGAGAGACTAAGCATTTTCTTTCAGGATGTTAGCAGAACCCATTATCTTTTGATTAAATTTTGGAATTTAACTATATTATTATAGTTTGATGTGGGTTACCTACTTGTAATGTTAATTCCAGCATCTAAAGTACCCCTTTGTAATTTCTGAGTAATTTTTGTTGGAAAAATTATAACATTTTTAAAAACTCAATTCACAAATATATGTAGAGCTAGCAAATATATACTCATATATAAAAGAATTAGCCGATGATTAACAGTATATTTTTAGCCGTACATGGTTTATTTGGTCAAGAAGCATTTTGCGATACCTACACTTTCCATTCTTCCTTCCACCTCCCTTATTACTAAATTTTGTTTTCATCTCATTGACAGGTGAATATCGGAGCATCATTGTTCAAGTAGACAAAGTAGGTGGTGGACTGTGGCCAAATGGACTGACATTGGACTACATGTTAAAGCGAGTATATTGGATCGATGCCAAGTAAGTACAGTCTCTATTCTACTTGCATACCAGCAAATAACCTGTTTTACTACCAACATGATTATTGTAATGATTATCGGGAACCGTCCAGAATTTTTTAACACTGCGGCTTATGGGAGAATCGTGGGCTGAGAGTGGCTTTCGGGATTTATTCATTTAAATCAATTATTATTTTGGCGAATTTTGGCAAATTATGTTCCCCGAAGTCATAACAAATTCAAAAATGTACAACACGCCTGGTTTTTATGAAATAAATTTTGTACCTGTATTTTCTGAGAGAAGACCTGAGCTGGGACCCTGCGCATACAGCATTGCCAGTCGCTGCACACCAGTCTCAGGAGCTGTGGATTAAACAGTCTCAAAAAGTGACTTCATCCGCGCTCCAGAACATTGCGACTCTATTGTACTCTACGATGATTAAACTCATTGCTGTCATGAAGAAATTGCGCCAGTTCTCAATCCGTTCCTAGCCATATCGTCAAAATATCGTCAGCATACCTGTGATATTGTGTACTGTTTACTTGTCAATTTTGCAACCAAAACTTGGTGGGTTTTAAAATTTTTTGTTTCGTTAAATTACATCATGGCTCAATGTGGTCATCTTCTACCTCATTGAAAGGTAAATAGAGTGAATGGTTTAAAAAAAATAAGCTTGAAGTATCAATTAATGTCTAATTTCCCCGGCCATACAAATGATGTTGAAAATAAAGCAATTATAGCTATTTTTATCTTCAATAAGATTATCAATCTTGTCAGGGCTCATCATCTTCGTTTCCACTGGAAAAGCTTAAGCTTAGTGTTTGAATCACTACCAAATTGTGTTTCTCCGAAAGTGTACCTAACATCATAAATTTTTCCTTAGAACGAAACAAAACTGTAATGATGAGAATAATGAATGAAGGCAAAACCATCGTCCATGGTGAGTCTAATCTACAAGAATTTTTGTTTTAGGTCAGACTCGATACAAACAGTTAATTATGATGGATCAGATTTTCGAGAGGTTATGAAAGGTCATGAGACATTAACTCACCCATTTGCCATCTCTCTCTTCGACAATTACGTATATTGGACAGATTGGCGAACTAATTCAGTCATACGTTCTAATAAATGGAATGGATCAGATGTGTTTGTTATTCAAAGGACCCTCACACAACCCTTTGATATCAAAGTCCTTCATCCCACGCGTCAACCCAGAGGTAAGTCGGGATTTTTGTTTCTTACGAATCTCAATTGGCAGTTTCCCTAAAATTTTTCACACTGAAAAAAATAGCAAAAGTGGGAAATTTCAAAAAAGTTTTACACTGGCGCAGAATTTGAAAAATCATGCTGAATATTTTACGCTGGCATTATGAGATGCACCTTAATTGAGTAGAGCGTGGTTGGATTGATATGGATTCAAAATAAAATGTTTTTGTGACTAGTTTTGTAAAGAAGAAATAAATACAAATTTATGTGTGTTCCATGTTTTATTATTCACTTTAGCTAAATGTAGTTGAGAATTTTTTGTTTGGTGTAACTTTTAGCATCTTCATTTAAATCTCAGCATAATTACCGGAAATCCCAGCAGTTGCATAGCTTTAAATTTTCTATAGGTGGCAGTGTCAATGATTCAAAAATTCTGATAGAAGGACTTTGAGGTAAATTGTTTGAATACTGTCAAAAACTACCATTTTTTGTGGGGAAATCAAAGTGCAGATGGATGATTTTTAACCCTCTGACCTCTCTCATCTCAAATTTGGGTATTTCTAGTTTCAAATACGTTGAACTTACCTTTTCTTTATGCCTAAAACTTTCACAATTCTAGAAGACTGTCTTTGCTGTGAAATTTTGCAAATCAATTTACTTTCTTATGAAAGCTTTGAAAGAATTTACCAGCAGTTTAAGAAATGTTTTTAAATCTCTAAAAGTAGTTAGAGCAATTGGCTGTAAATGTCACTTGTAAGTGACAACTTGGAGATTTTTGTGTTTAGTTTTAAATCTAACATCTGCAGTACAGTAAAGTTACCTCTTTTGTGAATTTTATAGGTGCATCAAATCCATGTGAAAAAGACAATGGCGGCTGTTCTCATTTGTGTCTTTTAAGCATCAATGGAACTCACAAGTGTGAATGTCCCCATGTGATGAAGCTCACAAAGAATAACAAATGCGTCCGTAAGTTGTATTCATCCAATTTTACTTATTTTAGTCCTTGGGTCGATCATCTACTTTCTGTTTAAAATTGTGCTTTTTTAAGCCTCCATTTTAAGAAGTTACCAATGGCTAATATCTATTCATATAAACTAAGTGCCTGCCACTATATGTGATGCCTTTAAACTTGATTAAATCAAGTGTAACGCCTCAAGTAATTACAAAAAAACATTACATTCATCTCTAGTTAAATGTAACTTTGATCAAATAAAATAAGTGGATGTTTGATAAATGGAGGTGGCTCTATTGTTTTTTTTATTTGTAATGGTATACCCTGTATCTTCAGATATCTGAGTTGTATCTATTTTCATAAATTTATAAACCAAGATTTTTTTCATCTTTTCAGTCCATGAGAAAGTGCTTTTGATAGCGAAAGACAAAGAAATTCGGGGAGTTGATTTGGATCAGCCGTACCATCATATCATCCCCATAATTAGTAACCGTGTCCTGGCTCCAGCGCAAGTTGATTTTCTTGCAAGTAAAAAACTCATTTTCTGGACAGACATTCAGCTTGATGAAATTAGAAGAATAGATCTCACCGGAGGAAATGCACAGATAGTTGCAAATAGGGGTATGTGTCTCTCATTTTACTCTGCTTTTCAGTGATCATACATTCTTCTTCTTCACCCTGAAACTAACCATCAACCTGTGTTTGATGCCAGCCCCAATCTTAAAATTAAAATCAAATTTACAGACAGCAAAAAGAAATAAATTTGGAGCTTTATCAGCGAAACAAATATGTTACCATAGGATGAGAGCAGGTGACAGTTCAAATGAGGTATAAACCTTCTTTGTTTTTCGCCTTTTCTTGGAAAATTAAACAGGAGTCCTGAGGAAAATTGTAAAATTTTCTTTTTGCAAATTGAACAGAAGCAATTATAGCCCATCATTTGGAACTTAGCATCACATGGCTAATTTCTATCCTATTTAAATCGAAGTTACTTCCAAATTTTTGGGAGGATTTCAGCTTTCTTTTTGTCGGAAAAAAATTTAAATCCGTTAAAACTTAATAACGTACCTTCAGTGAAAAACCTCCAAAACTCTGTTTTGTAGTAGCCTTTTTTTAAGGGAAAATTATTAACTTTATGATATCCATCTGATTTTTCACACCATACAACACCAGTAACTCCTGTTTGGGTGGGTGCCGCCCATCACAAAACCTTTGTTTAGTAGTTGAATCCTACTCAAAACCAAAAAAAAATGAGATTTTAAGGAAGGATAATGGACCACCAGACTTGGTAGAAAATTTAAGCACTCTGACACTCGTTCCCTCACCAAAATTTCTCATAGAACACAATCTGCGCAATGAAAATTACTGAAAAAACTCCTAAAAAAGGTATTAACTTTTTTAGTCCACATTGGTATCTTAGTTAGGAGTTAATTTCAGACATTATCTCTTTACAAATCATGCTCTACGTTAAATTTGAATAAGGGTACGTGTATCAGAATATCTAAATTTGCGTCTTGTCTAGTGGTTCATTTTGTACATTCAATATCTAGGAGGCATTGCTCTTGTAAAAAAAAGAGATGCTGCCTTAATTCCCTCAGTCTCGCATCATTGTTTTTTCCTTTGTAGTTTTATTGGTTCTTTTTACTTGGTAGCCTATGTTTGAATCCATCCTCAACTAATAAATCCAAGGTGAAAGAAACTTATGATTTGCAGTGCACTCTTGTAGTAGATGACATTAATCATTGTAGAAACTGAGTGTGGATGGACTTGGTACTGGATTTTACTATTTTTGTTAATTTGTAATATTCAACCACCAAAACAAGGTTTTGTAACCATCGGAACTGATTCATTCAGTCATTTTACACTTTTAAAAAAAGCTTACACGGTTTAAAATGAAACTGTCACTTTAGAAATGTTTGATATCTTTCATTAAATTGAATTTCTTACTGTCAACGCTTTTTTTTAGATTTTCTTGTCTGACAATCTCAGCTGTAATTTCTTGAAACCTCTCCAATACTTACTTCTCATGATTCTCATTGTTTTGCAGGTGTCCACTATCCCATTGGCTTCGCAGTAGACTGGATCAATGATAATCTCTATGTGACCTCTGCCTCACGGGGAAGAAGTATTTTAGCATGCAACTACCGTGGAGAGTTTTGGACCACAATTTGGTCTGGTTGCGCCTCCAATGCTACTGACTGTAAGGTAAAACCAATTTTGCAGGGCTCGACTATTTTAAAAAAAAGGGGTGAAAATCCAAAAGGGCATCACCTCTTTTCGCACTCACTTATCAAGAAATTTGCGGAACTAAAATGAGATTAATGTCCCGTCTACAAAGTATACTTGCTGAGGTGTTAAAATATTATCAATATCAAAACATGAGAGAAATTCTAGTGAACAATTAGCACTACAAGACGTCTGATTCAGGGCACATTAATAGATATCTTTTTTTTTCTTCGGCAATGGAAGTTCAAGAACGATTGTCAAACTCGCAACTCCCTCACTGAGTATTTTCCAGTGGAGCCCGTTGTCTATCACGAACGCACCTCATCTACCATAGCAATGCAGACTATGATTTCTTCAAACTTGGTTTTATCAGTAATGTTCACCAATAGATAAATGCAAAACAGAAGAAACTATGTTACATACTACAGCAGTGGATGATGTCAATTGCCACTTTGATTTCACAAGGTATTATCTTACGTAATATCTGAGGCAGAAACTCTGAGTTTTGATAGATTTTATTATTCATTGTTAACCTACATGACACTACAATCAGAACATGATCCACTACCTCACTCATTTAATTACAAACATTTGATACAGTGACTAAAATGTAGCTTTTGAAATACGATTTCATGGCCAATAGCTATTTTCTTCTATACTTGTTTTTATATTCATCGTTGAAATCAATGTTTCTTCATTTCCTAGACCTTTGACTTCCAATCCCTGGCTGTTGATCCACCCAATGGACTAATGTATTGGAGTTACGCTACTGGCCGTGAGGCCCATTTCATCCGAACTGCAAGAATGGATGGTTCCAAACCTGAAATTCTTTTAAGCCAAAGTGAACATCCTGAATTTGCTGGTGCACTGAGTAAGAATAATTATCCTATTATATCACCACTTCTCAGAGATTGCTCTCCAAAGCAGAGTTCTGCAACTCGATTCTAAGTTTTTTCAACTTTTGCTCTGACAAAATCTTCTGTTACTCCGAAACCAGGAAATATTCATCTCTTACATTTTTGGAAGAACTAACTCACTTTATTGAGAACTTGCATAAAAAAAGACGTAAACTAGTGTTAAGGTTTTTTTTGATTGAGCATTTTGTTGACATTAAATTGCAAATTCCAAAATGAATTCCTTGCGTTCTTGCTTTGGATGGTAGTACAATGTAATATTTCAAGACTGCTTGTGCCTCTATTTATGAAAAGTAGACCTCAACAAATTTGCAGAAAATTAGGGAGCAGGAGCATACACTACAATATATTTTAGAAAGAAGTAACGATTAGTCCGCTCTCAAATCGGATGAACAACTCCGAGAAATAAACTTGTTTGTGCACAGGAAAAGTGTATTATCTGGTCCTATTGCTGCCGAATTTCACTGTCTGAATTTCAACTGCTAAATAATTGTATTATTGAAGTCAGTGATTTTTTAATCTCCGTGTTTTATTTTTTCAGGTCTAACTGTTTACGGTGATTATTTGTATTGGACGGTTACAAGAGTGCTTGTGCCACAAAGCATGATTCAGTGTATCAATGTTAAGACAAAAATTCCAAGCACTGCTTTTATGGGGTCAAGCACGTTTAGCATAAGCGCTATCACGGTTTATGATGATTTTCTCTATTTCACGAATCAAAGCAATGATGCAATTCATTATTTTCCCATACATAATACCAGTATATCTAGTGTCCACACATTGCGCAATAGCTCAGGTATCTTGCATTTTTACCCTTATCTTTTTCATATTTACTCTTATAATCAGAGATCTTAAAGATCACAAGAATGGGAGTCGCTAAAGATTCAAACTCGACCTTAACTTAATTGACCTTAAGAGTTGTCCATAAATTACGTAATGCTCCAGGAGGTGAGTAGGTCTCCATAATTTTGTGACCAGGAATGACAAGGGGTGGAGAGGGTGTCAGGCTCAGTGTTATGTAACAGTATGTTTACTGGCTTTTACATATGTTTCATCCTTGCCTCTTTTCAAGTGAGAAAATTCCTTTGGATTTCATTTTTTTTGTGAAAAAGAGGGGGGGGGGTGTCAAGGGAAATGTTACGCAATTATTTTTTGGAGCTTCTAACTAAGCGTTACAATCATGGCACAAGGGATGTCAAAAAATCAGAAAAATCATGTTTCATAATTCATAAACATCCCCACAAGCAATCTTCATCTAAGGAGATCAGGTTTTTAAAATAACCCTCTGCCAATTTATTCTGAAGCCCAAGACAAGATAGCAGGTGCTGCCAGGCATTTGAGATCGACTTTCTTTGCCAATGAACAAGGAACTTGAGCCCTGGGATGCAAGTAAGGATCGGAGGGTGCAAGAGAGACAGAAAATCGCCAATGCCTAGGCAACACCCTTCGTCAACTTCGGCAACTCTACACGGCTGGCGAGTTGCTTAGGTGTGCGAGAGAGACAGAAAAACGCCGAGGGGGAAGGGAAACTCTGAGCATGTGATTCGGCCGAACTGGCGGCTCGTTTTTGTCAAAGGGGTCAAACATCAAATACTCCCGCGACCTTACTTAGGTTATGTACTTGGCGCAGCCTATGCCTTGGCAAATTTTATGATTTACCTCTTATCTGATATCATGATTAATTCTGTTTCATGATTAAAAAATACAGTCAAAGGGTAGAATATGGATTTCTGTTTATATGCTTACTTATAAAATGTAAGTACAAGACAGACCAGTCACTCTTAGAAACGAATAGCCCTCTCTCTTTTTGAATCACATATTTCCTTTGTGTCTTAATAGATCGATTGTTATAAACTGATGTTGGAAATAAATTTTTATGATGGTCTCTTCATTGCTCCAGGGATGGTGATGGCGCTGCGTGTTTATGATCCGGATACTCAAAGTAATGGAACTTCCATATGTAAAAGCAAGGGATGTGACCATTTATGCCTCCCAACTTCTGCCACAACAGCAACATGTAAATGTGCAATTGGCTTCACCGCAAAAGATGAACATGAATGCATAGGTAAACTATTTCATTGCATTTATAAAATTAGAATAATATTCTGTCGCAGTCTCATTGTCCTGTCCCATAGGGTTATCATTAAAGCAAGCATCAACTCACCTCTAAAAATACTGGAAATTCTTCTCTATCATCAAAGCAGTCGTTACAAAATATTGTAATTAAAGTTTAATTTCATTGCAATAATAGAAAAAAGTATTTTCAATAGAATTCATATGAAGAGAGCAAGATTATGCAAAAGTAAAACTTTGAACTAGACAGAAAAAAGTGTGGAAACCGCTTTAAATCTTTATTATTTAATTTTATCGGATGAGCCATTTTCATCATGTGGGCCCATCCCAAGGTAAGTGAAACATAGGTATGCTCTTCCGGACCCTTTTGACTAGAACTTGGCACCTGCTGCTAGAGCTGTGGTGTAAAATTTTAATTTCAACAACTTTGCAGTCTTGATTGAAAACAAATATGACCGTCTGCTGTTGAAAGAAAATGAACAAATTCAGTACAAGCATATTCTTTAAGAATGAAAATTTATATGCTTTCAGTAAAATGACTGTTGTATCTTTTTTTTCTCTCTTTCTTTCTTTTATTAAATTTGATTCAAGTCCCAAAAACCATAGTCGCCTATTTCCAATATTGACTCAATGTTTTCATGAATAGTAGAAAGTGTGTAACATTGAAAACTGTAAATGAATAATTTTGATGCAAAATTAAACGCTCTATTTAACAATCTGAGTTTCTCCCTCAAGGGCCCTTTCACCTCCCAAATCCACCACAAATATACTTTGTAACTGACTTTGTCCAATTTCTTATAAATTGTTTCATCACTGGAATGGTAACTACATCGGGTGTTCAAAAATTAATGCATGTTTCCATTTTTTGAGCGAACGGAAACAGCTATCAATTTGCAGTTCACATGTGCTTAAAGACGAGGTAAATACCTATAAGACAAGTCAAGAACAGCTCGGTAGGTAAAAAATTGACTGAGTGACAGGGTTTTGAAAATGATATGTCGAGAGAGACCCTCTAGGATTTTTAGCTACAACTACGTTTGTCAAGAAATAAGTTCAATGAGAATTGAGTGTTTTTATTGAAAAAACTTACAAAATCTCATGGGAATTGACGAACTTCAAGCTTCTTCATCGGATGACACGGCTAACTCAACATTCGACTGTTTTTCGAAGTATTTTCCTCCACTTTGAACACAAAGCTTCAGCCGTTCTGCCCACTTCACAAGGGTCGTCTTTCCGAAGTCTTCTTGATGGAGGGTTTTGAAGAATTTTTGAACAGCAGTTTTGATCTCTGCATCGGAATCAAACCGTGTGCCTCTTAGAAATTTCTTTAATTCAGGAAAGAGCCATTCCATACCTGAGATCAAAACCACCGTTCAAAAATTCCTCAAAACCCTCCATCAAGAAGACTTCGGAAAGACGATCCTTGTGAGAAGGCAGAATGGCTGAAGCTTTTTGTTCAAAGTGGTGAAAAATACTTCGAAAAACAGTCGAATGTTGAGTCATCCGTGTCATCCGATGAAGAAGCTTGAAGTTTGTCAATTCCCGTAAGATTTTGTAAGTTTTTTCAATAAAAACACTCAATTCTCATTTAACTTCTTTTCTTGACAAACGTAGTTGTAGCTAAAAATCCTGGAGGGTCCTTCTCGACATATCATTTTCAAAACCCTGTCTCTCAGTCAATTTTTTACCCACAGAGCTGTTCTTGGTCTTGTTTTATAGGTATTTACTCCATCTTTAAGCACACACAAACTGCAAATTGATAGCTGTTTCTATTTGCTCAAAAACGGAAACGTGCTTTAGTTTTTGAACACCCTACGTATGTAATGTAGTGAAAACTTACCATTTTCCCTTCTGGTTCAGTTTATTATAATGTGTTTTCATTCTTTTGCAGGCTCCGATGAGTTTTTGATTTATTTCTCCGAGTCAGAATTTAAAGGTTTTGATTTAAATAACAATTCCTCCAATATTTTGATACCCATTTCTCAAGTTCCATCTGCAGCCCGAATGGACTTTTATGCCTCTGGTATGTACATTTTTCTTGGCTCAAGATCTCACTTAATTGTGTATATCATCAAGAACTTCTGTGATAATGAGATCTTCTGAAGATGGCAATTGTTTATTTTCTTTTTATACTCAGCATCGCTGCCATCTCTGATGTCAAATATCTTCTTGAAAAGTGCAATTTCTATGCAATATTGAGAGTTATTCATAATTATCTTGCTTTTAGTGTTAGTGTATTTTCCAAAGAAAATACACTATTTTTATTATTTTTCATCAGCCATACCCGGGCACTTTTGTGTCTATTCACTGCATGTGTTTGATTAAGTTCTTCTCCTTCAAAAATCTTTCATTCAGCAAAATACTTGTAGATACGATCAAACGGATCAAGGACCACTACTCCTGAAAATCTTTTGGACACGAACAGTTGAGCTCCTGAATAACCCTGATTCCACCTCAACATCAAGTACCAAAAGTAGTTACTTGCGCCCTTGATTGGTCATTTTCGGTTTTCCTACCGCTCATGCAGCTATAAGGATTGTATTCATTCCCAGAGTTACAATTTGGTGATTCCTTTTGGACTTAAAATCCCAAAGTGTATTGTTAGCTAGTTTGTATAGCTTATTCCACTTCCTTTGTTATTATTAATAATGGATTCCTCTAGGGTGCTTGAGTTACTTCTAAAATTTTGTAGATAAATTAACCTCTTATTTTTATCTCTTGTAGCAAGCTCTAAGTCTAGGGGAGCTTACAATTTCCCAAATTTTGAAAAGAAGGAGCATCCCTCGGGAAATCAATGTCAAATCAGTTGTTGTTGAAAGTAGCCGCACAAATAAGCCCTTATGCTTAACTCTGCTCATTTCATCTTAGACGGCTCAGGATCTTTTTGCTGTTTTTCCTTCACATAATTTGCAAATTGTGTACAAAAAATTCTGTGAAGTTACTTTGAGTATTTTCTTTTTGATTGTTTTAAGGCTGTGGTTATATATTTTGGGCAGACGTTGAAACAGGTAACATCATGAAAATTTGCAAATCTGGCCCCCAACGAAAATCTGTTATCTCTCAGCATGAATCGGTTGAACCTACTCATCCTCATGAAGGTAATCTCAACCAATAATTTTGATTCATATTATTGATAAGAAAATTACCTAGCAAGTAGCTTTTGCTAAACATAGACGTTTATTGTTGCCTCTGCTACCTTTCGTGTTGGTGGGTTTTTTAAGCACAGTTTTTTCATTGCATAAATAGTTAAAGCAATAAGTTACAGAATACAGGTTGAATACTCACAAAATAATATTCATATCTAACATTTCTCTCTATAATGCATCCAATTAAAATCCTTCAAAAAAGAGGAGGCACTGCAAGTCTTGAGCAATAGAAGATCATTATAACCTCACGTAACCCAGAGATATCTATGCACTCGTTTTGGGGGATTTGTCCCAGGTAAAAATCCCATTTGCAAAGTCGGGCAAAATATTAAGTTAGTCGATATTTTTCCCAGTATCAAGTATGGTCCATGCATCCCTTGTAGAGAAATCTGAAACCAACTGAGAGAGGAAAAAGAAGTGGAAAGCATATCGTGCGATATGTTGTTGTTTACTGGATTGTTTGTATTTATTTAGTTAAAATAACTTGTTTAATTGTTAATCTTGTTCGATGATTATCTTAATCCTGGTTAAACACTCAATTTTTACTAATTCATCTTCCTGCGCAAACTTCTCGCAGGAACGTGAGAGTCCCATCCCATGGAGACATAAACTGGGGAAAATCTCAGAAGTTTCATTTGTTCAATTCAAACTTGGGACAACTCCCATGAAAACGTCCGGTGAGGACAAGGCCTTAAAGAGGCCCTGCTATTAAGATTTTGCAAATATACCAACTGTGGAGGGCCTAGCCCTCAGGTCTACATCACACAATTTGAGTGTAATTGAGGCTCCTTTTGTGACCCACGTACCCTTCACTAAGAATCTGAACTAGTTCTAGAAAGTGCCTGGAACCGCTTGTCGCCTAGTGACACTTCCTTAAATGTCCAAGAAAATTCTAGAAAATTTCAGAAAGGATATGGGAAGAGTCTTAATCAACTCATACAACATTTTGAGAAAACTTGAGAGAGTTTTGGAAAGTTCCAGAGAAATGATCATCAGTCACTTTGTGTCACCCGTCAGGAAAAATTCTTGACAGTTCCAGAGAAGAGTGATAAAGACTGATCATAAGTATTGCAAGTGGCTCCTTTTAATTTACCTACACCTTTTTAAGTATTTTCTCTACAAATTTCATCAATATGCCCTAAAAATGTATTCTTAAAAATAAAATAGGCATAAGACAACCTAAGATGCGTTGATAAACCCATTGAAGACCATCAGAAATTACCCGATGGCTCTGTATGGACATAATGAGTGTTGTTAAACTTTTGATGGATTTGGTGGCTACCCAGCAAATTGCGCATCACCTCATTAAGGTTCATCAACGGCTGGGCGCGGGGATTTTGATTTGTTATTGTCTACATTTTGTGTTAACATCAGAATGACATGTTGGCCGTAAAAACAAATCAGGTAATTGACTGCATCCATTTTTGATGGGTTTAATAACGCATCTCTTGTGAAATGGAGCAAAAGAGTTTCAAGTTTCCCAAGTTATATTGTCGACATGCAACTAGAGGACCTCTTCCTGGGTCAAGCACTATCACAAAACATTTAGTGTTTTAATCGCCTATTTTCCCTTTTATTCTTCCTTTTTTTAAAAAAAAATTATGCAATGTTCTCTCGATTTTGATTCTCTTGTTCTATTCTTCAGGCACCGCTACAGAGACAGTCGGCGACATTGCTGTTGACTGGATTGCAGGTGAGTTTCTTTTAATATTCTCTTGTCTTCTTGTTCCTCTTGTGTCTTGTTATAAAAGCAAGACTCAAACATTAACAAAAAACAATAGAACAACACATATAAAACAGTCTGTGTAAACATCTTTTCATAGTAGGTTTTTGGGTCAAATTTTTTAAAAAATCTAATGAAAGTAGAAAAACACAGAGAAGAGCGTGTTTGTCTCTTAGTGGGGTGACTGTGTTTGGATCAAAGATGCATTACAAGGAGGCATTTGGGGGAAGAAATGGGGGGGGATGTTTGGAAAAATTCATTACTATATTCATTTACAGCCTCTTATATTGATTAAACTCATCATCAGGTTTATTAGTAATCAAGCTTTTGAGAAACTGCAACCTAAGATGCATCCGACGGTCTCTCAAGGCTTGGAGTGTATATTTGTAATATCTAATTTACATTTTAAGATAGCAATAATCTGTGCACCCTGCATGTTCCATCGGTTTTGGTAAGATATTGAAACAGTTCCAGCAAAAAGTAGCAACATTTTGAAGACCGTCATCGGCAGTTTTCAGAGTTGATTGGAAAATGAACTGTTGCTATATTTATTAGTTTTATGGGCTAAATAACCTGACCAATGGACATACAAGGCAACAATGCTTTGATTCAGAGCTCTTGCAGTCTCAATAAGAGCAGCCTTATTAGATTTTATCAGTATTTCAGAAAGAGGTGTACCGACAACTTATCGACAAGGATTTTTTCGAGCACCCCTATCTTGACTCTTTGATTTAATGTTTTTTCAATTGATTGCAAAAAATTCTGGTTTTCAATGGGCCTGTTGCAAACTTTTGCTAGAGCAAAAATGAAAGTTGTTCTTGGTAGATAATGTCTCAAAAATCACGATGAGCGCGTCGGCAAACTCTGAAATGCACTCCTAACTTCACAATCTGCGTAAGAAATTTGCGTTTTTTTTAAGCTTCCCGCTTCAAAAAGGATACTACAGCACAGGTGAACATTTCGTTAGAGGAGTCGTTCCATTCAATCCCTGCTTAACATGGCCGACGCTTTCAAGCGCAAGTCGAGGAGAGCACAAAGTTAATCAAGGCGGATATCTATCAATGCCAGAAAAAAGTGAATGTAAACATGACGGTTGTTATCAGGTGATTAAAATCATCGTCCCGTCACATGTGTTTAGGCGGATTGGCGTCGGCTATGTTGAATATTGCGTATCATCCTTGTGAGCAGGAGTTGGATGGAATGACTCCTCTAACAAAATGTTCACCTGTACAGTGAATTCGTTTTTGAAGCGGGTAGCTCAAAAAAACGCAAATTTCTTACGCTAATTGTGAAGTAAGGAGTGCCTTTCAGACTTTGCTGATGCGCTCATCGTGATTTTTGAGACATTTTCTATGAATAACAATTCTTATTTTTGCTCTAGCAAAAGTTTGCAACAGGCCCATTCTGAGTTATTGAATTTTTGTCCCCATGCAGGTAATTTGTATTGGACAAAACCAAGTTTGGATGTCATAGAAGTTGCTCGACTTGACGGATCTCTCAGATATGTAGTGTTGTCTGAAAACATGGGCAGACCCCATGCAATAGCTGTTGACCCAACTGTTGGTTATTTGTTCTGGAGTGAAACAGGAGACCACAAAATTTGTCGCTCTGGCCTAGATGGGTCAAATCGCAAGACACTGATAACAAGTCCTCCTGCTGTCTTCGCTGATATTACTTTGGATCGTGAGGTACACATTTGTCTTTAAAAGTTTCCTCAGTAATTACAATTCGGGTGTAACAATGAGAAATTTACGCAAATGTTCATAATCTATTAATTGATCATGAAAAAGTCCGTTTTATCCAAATACTATGCATTTTTCATGAGTATCACCTGCATTATCTTTTAATTTTGGAGAATGTCTCAAATCAAATCATCATATTTCACTTGATTTGTGCAGTTATGTGAAATTACTTGTTATTTTGCCTTACTGCGCTTGAATTTACCTTTGAAGGAAAAAGGACAGCGGTCGATGATGACAAATTTTTGGCAAAAGTTATTTTTGTCAAGTTAAATCTCAAAATCGGAAGTCAATTATTAATCGAAAAATACCTTTGGTATCCAGAGAGGAGTAGTTTTTTTTGTTTTGTTTTTTTTTTGTTATTTTTTGCAAACAGAGGATGCATAGTTGTATTTTGAACTATTAATTTTGAACCCTGTGCTTGTAAATTTAAAAATTTGGATATCTATTTCTGAAATTAAATTATTTTGATGCGCAAAATTAAATGTGTTTTATGTTGGTTTGGCTTGAAATTTTCGGGCGCTGTTTGTGCTGAAATTATAATGTTCTCCAATCATTGAAACATCTCAAGTTTGAGTTTTTTGGTACGGAGGTTCATTTTCATCGGAAAATCATAAAACAGTTATCGATAAAGCTTGGATGTTCGTATTCAAATTTTTGTTTTTCAAGCTTAAGTGAAACATGTAAAGAATCCTTGATTTCTCGTCTCTTTGCAATATATAGTAAAATTTAATTCTCAATTTTTGTGCTAGAATTCGATAATTCTCAATTTTTGAGCTAGAATTCGATAATTCTCGTCACTAATACTTAATTTATCATCTTTCTAGAATAAATTGCTCTACTGGATCGACTCGCTCTCCAACTCCATCGGTGTGATGGATTATGAAGGTGGACAAATATTGCAACTGAATCATACATTTGGCTCTCTAGAGTCTCTAGCTTATCATGATAAGAAGTTATACCTGACTGAGAAGTAAGTCTCCACGCAATTTTTGAATAATACTAAACAGAGAAAAACACCATTGTTCATGGGGGAAACAAAATAGAGCCTCAAGTTAGGTGATTATACATTTTGAATGGCAATTTGACTCAAGTTCAAATCAATTTTTTGACTCAGTTTGTCTCTAAAGTAGATCGACGAATCAACTAGTATTAAAATTTGTATTTCCATCCCATATTGTCTCAGAAGTAAGGGAACCTTCTTGAAATTGATGGAGAAAATCTAGGAATCTAAATTCCGAAGTTCCGCGGCCATTCCTGAAGGTGGAACAGCCTCACCTTTGAAGAACATTAGACCTTGTTCCCTTGTTCAGAGTTCCCGGAACTTTGGCGGACTAAGTCAGAGCTGAGTTATAACTTATTCTGTCTGTCACAGTCAAGGGACAAAAAATTATGCGCAGCTAGAAGTTCCATGAACTTGTTCCGGCAAAGTTCCGCGAACTGTCGCTCATGTGGACAAGGTCCTAGGCAAAGTAATAGATTCATCATTAGAGAGAGAGAAATGCCAGCATTCTATTGATTTATTTACTCATGTTAATTTTCTTGAGACTACTTTAATTGTTGTTTTTTCTTCATTTTATCTCATTTTAGAACCTTGAAAAAGGGTAGCCTTCATATAGCATCCGTGGCAAATTTATCCAATTCTAAGATTTTCATTCAAAACATGGACACGGGAGTATCAAGGGATGATGTTATTATCTACTCAAAAAGCTCACAAAAAAGCAGTAGCACGAATCCATGCGCAGAAGCCAACGGGGGCTGTGAGAAGCTATGTCTGTTTAATGGTACTCATCCTGTATGTGCTTGTTCTCATGGCATCTTGAAGTCAGATGGGAAATCTTGCGAAGGTAAAAATATGATGTTTTTCTTTTATTTTCACTTTATTGTTTCATTGATCTGCTCAGTATTTGAAGCTAGCTTTCAACTCAATCTCAATGTCATTAGAAAAATCAGCCAATGGTAATCCACCAAAGCAAAGATCAGCTTTCATGGTGAATGACCAAAGAATATAACAACGGTGTAAGTCAGCAATCACATAACTCGATTTTTGGCGGTTTTGAGTTAGCTGCAGAAATGAAGTATAGAAGATGCCCTTTACCTGCTATCAAAATATTTCAGTCAACAAAAATCTGGAAGTCACCTAAAAACGTAGAACTCGAAACACATATCTCAGCGTTAATTCCAATAACACATAACTCGTGCCGTCGCGCCGCATTTTTACGTAACGCGCGCTCTCCTGGGAAGAACCGTGAGCAGTTTAGGAGGGAAAATTAAAAGTTAGTACGTCACGGAATCTTCAAACAACAAAAATATTATTATTGTTTTAACATCTAACATCTAATCCGATGGATAACTGAGTAATCGTCCGCTTATTTTTATCTTCATTTCATTTTAATTCGTAATTCGATGGCGTAAGTCCGCAATCACATAATTATCTCGTTCACGGTGTCCGAAAATCTCCGCTTCTACGATACATTTGACACTATTCCTTGCAGTTTATTCAGAATTTTCTTCGCATAGAGAAGAAAACTCATGGCAGTTTTAAAGAACTGCCGTTGAGTAGTTTTCCATTTAAAAAATGAAGTGTGACAGGAAGTCTGCGACGTTGTAAACGGAGTTATGTGATTGCCGACTTACGCCGTCGAATCGTTTTCCAGTGTCATTCTAAAGATTCGCTACCAATTAATTGTTAACTAATCAATTGTTAAAAGGAACTTTAGGTTACTTTTAAAGTGAGAAGAGTCTTATTCAGTCTTTATTCAGTCAACATCGGCAAAGAATAGGTTTGAATCAGTAATTCGCCAATCACGTATCTCGGAATTCAGTGTTGGACCTTACTTCTACAAACACATAACTCGGTTTTTCGGTCATTTCTCCTGACAGACGAGAATATTATTCAAAATGATGATGGAGTCTTATAAAGCATCTTATCCTTGCTGTCTCTAAGAATTTTTTCCCCTCTACCTTCAAAGATGAGGAATGTAGAGAGTTTTATCCCTCTCCTGAAAAATTGCGTTTTCCGAGTTATGTGATTGCCGACTTGCACCGTCGATAATATGGTTAAATGAAGAATGGGAAGAATTTTATTTCCGAAACAAAAGTCCTGTTGGTATCTGAACTAAATAAATATATACTCTTAAGAAGGCCTCTAGCCTTTATCTCTTAACGTGCATACCTCTGGAGGTATCAATGGTATATTTTTTGTTGTGAAATACGCATAAGTTTAAAAAAATGTTGATGATCTACTTTTTATTTGTTTTATTTGCGATTATTAATCGCCAGTTTTTTAATGTGAAGCAAATTAAAAATAGTGAATGTATAGCTTAAAATGATTCCATTTATAATTTTTATTTTAAGTGTGAGAAAGGCATATTTTTTCAAAAATCAAATACATGGATGAAACACCTTTTGTGACTTTTAATAACCCCTCAATGTCATCTTCAAATTGCAAAACAAAAAACAAAACAAAATTATTTCTTTGCTTTTTCAAATGTTTAATCTTATTTTGTTTTCTGTATTTTTCAGACTATGATAAATTTATTATGTACTCAAAAATTACGAAGATCGAAAGTTTGCACATGACTAATCCTTCCAATCCAAATGTGCCTTTCCCGCCAATTGAAAACAAAGATTTCCTGCGAAATTCTATTGGCCTTGCCCATAACTATAGAGAATCCCTATTGTATTACTCTGATATTCAGAAAGGTTCTATAAATTCAGTTCATTTCAATGGAACTGACCACAAAATTATTGTTGATCGTAAGTACACATTTGAATTCTGTTTCACTGTTCTATCATCTTGTATGTACATAAGATTGCAAAATAAGTTTCAGTATTTACTTGTGTTTATAATACGCAGACAGATTTAGTAGTTGTTGTATGCGTGTTTAATGTATACCTAAAAATTTGAGGAGATATTAGCATAGGAATCAAAGAGTTTGCACACCTTGCCTCTAGTAGAGGCAGGGGTTGTTGTCAATAAGCTCTTTCATTAAGCAATTGTTCTTGAATTTTGCCTTTTTCTTTATAAAATTTTAATGTTCATGTCATCACCCTTTTTGTACAGGATTGGGGTCTGTAGAAGGATTGGACTATGATGATCTCAAAAATGTACTTTACTTTACCTGCAACAATGATGCAACCCTAAGCAAAATTAACCTCACTGACACCAAACCAAAACCGCAAGTCATCATCAGATTGAAACCTAACGATAAACCACGTGGAATTGTTGTTGATAGCTGTGAATCGTAAGATATCCTTTGTTAGATCTATAAATTGTCTAAATTTTCATTTTTTTTATCGATTTTATGCATTTTACGCTTTTAAAAGGGAGTCTATCATAAAAGACAGTTTCAATCAAAGCTCTCCCTAATTGAAGAAAGATAGTCAAATTTTCATGACTTTGAGAAAAAAAGAGTTCATTCTATAAAAATACATCAAAATTTTTGAATCTATCAAACCATGTTTTTGATTTGCAACACCAACCGCCTCTCCTTTTTAAATTGAATTCACCATTATTCTACCAATAATTATCAAAATCATGAATGAAATTACATGAATACCAATTATCAAGCTAACTAATAAAATTACTTGAATACCAATGATTAAACTAATGAATAAAACATGAATGCCAATCATCAAAATAATGATTTAAATTATATGAATGCTCCCCCCCCCCAAAAAAAAAAATAAAAAGTATGGTAACAGATGCAATGAAAGTAAAGAATGAAGCAATCAAAACCAAACTTGAGAAATAAAGAAAAAATGCCCTAAAGCATGAAGAGCCTTGAACCCTGCACTATCTGATCGTAATGCAGCACCCAGTACCATTGCGCCATGCGCCACCGCACCTATAACAGTTGGTGGTGTAATTTAGCCGCATGGGTGGGGGAGTCTGGAAAATGCAGAGCCGGGTTGGGTGAAGTGCAGAGACGGGAAGTGTAAAAACCCTTGGATTAAACGGCTAAATCATAAATCGCTGGATCCCCACCAAGTTTATGTATATGATTTTTTTTAAAAGTTCTGTGGTAGATTTAAAGTTGCATCATCTCTTATGTGCCATGTGGATAAAATGTGTGTATAATAAGGTGTAAAGGTATGAAAGCACCCCTTTTTTTGACTTAACTTCTTTAGATCTACATTAAGTAGCTGCTCCCTGTCCTTTCACCTTACTAAATAGGTAATTTTCATTTGCAGTCGATTGTATTGGACAAACTGGAATTCTCATGAGCCCTCTATTCATCGCTCCTTCGGACCTCGCTTTCATCATGAAAAAATTATTACAACAGATATCAGGATGCCCAATGGAATAACATTGGATCGTGCAGCACTAAAACTTTACTGGAGTGATGCTAGGCTTGACAAAATTGAGCGTTGCGAATACGATGGATCAAACCGAATCATCCTCTCCATGGTAAGTATTTCCATCAACTGTTTTACAACTAGTGAAGATCTGTCTGTGTAAAATGCCTAATGAAGGAAATACTTCATTCTGATGGGCAAGTTTTGCCGTTCTGTATATCCTACCAGATAGGAGTGAGTGTCCAGACATAACTATGGATAGGCAATCAAGATTAGGACAATGTGGCAAAGATGCAAGTCGAGATTTTTCCAGGGCCTCGATTAGATGGCAGGAAATGCTGATTGGATTTGTCACCCACCTTTTCTATTCTTGATTATCCATAGTTTACCAATTTTAATTAAGTTTTAGCATTTAAAAAGTGACAGCCATCTCAAACTTCCTCAGCACTTTTCCTATAAGTTTCATGGGAAACTTTCTTACAAACAACATTCGGAAATGTTCAGAAAGCAAAGTGAAAAGCAAAAACTATCAATTACACTAAGTAAGGGAGGCCTATGGCAGATCAATTCAAGGAGGAGAAATGGTGGAAACATCACCCAAAATATAAGTCGACTGAGAATGACATTGGAACAAATGAGCAGTCTCCGTCAAAAGAAAATTAAGTAAGATGAACTTGGAATACAGAAGAAAAGGTCTCAAGTTTCATCCTTTAATAAGTCTTAATGTACAAAACAAACTTAAAATCAACCCTTTGCATACTAAATATCCTTTGCGGATCCTGAATTTTCATGAGGAAAGATATTTTTATAGATGAGCTCCAAACTATCTTTAACTCAATTTTAATGAGAGTGTCACCTGGTCCTCTTTTGCTGAACGCTCTCCAGATAATAACTATGCAAAAACATTTATATTCCCAACCAGTTTTCCTAATGGCTCATGACTCCAGATGACAACTTTCTGCCTGCTCCAAGATATTCATTTCTCACCCCACCTGATCAATGCTAATTCTGTAATTTTCAGATCAAACCCCAACACTCTTTTGATTTAGCAGTTTATGGGGATTTCTTATTCTGGACCGACTGGGTCATGCATGCAGTGATTCGTGTTGATAAATTCACCGGAGAGGAAATGAAAGTACTCAAAAAGGGCATTCCGAGGCCGATGGGTATAGTAGCAATCGCAAACGACACAAATATGTGTTTTGATAACCCATGTCACAAACAAAATGGAGGCTGTCAAGATATATGTAGATTCGACGCAAGAGGGCGTAAGCAATGCGCTTGTTCAGAGGGTCAGATCTTGAATACAGATGGCTACTCCTGTTTTCGACCAATCAAGGAGGTCAAATGTGGTCCGCAGGAATTTCGATGTTCCGCTTTTAAATGTATACCATCGAGCCTGCTTTGCGATGGGATCCCTCATTGCGCTGATTCATCCGATGAGCTTCCCCACCTGTGCGGTAATGTTTTCATAAAATATTCTATCATTGACCAAAAAGTGTTAAGTTTAGAACGACCCCTCTGATAGCAAACAAAAAACCTCAGAACATCATCAAAAGAAAATATTTTTCATAAATATTCTCCATTATTGCTCAATCCAGGGTACTTACAAAATCTTTGGGCATCAGGTGATTCTTTCTCATCAACTGAAAATTGTGTGCAGCTTTTCAAAAATGGGTCAGTTGTGCTGGTCACAGAATTGTGTTTTGTTGTTAGATTCTTGTAGATTAGCTAAAAATATTAAGATCTGTTCAAATCGCAACTTTCTACGTTCAATATTAACGGAAATATAGTTATTTTAAAAGTTCGGCTTTTGATGTCATCCACAGCGGTAGTGACACCCTTGGTTTCTTCCATCTTGCTTTTGTCCGCATTTCATGTAGAGTAACCAGTGCTAATGTGTGTCTCTTTGAGTGATAAAACCAAGATGGAAGAAACCAAGGGTGTCACTACCGCGGTGGATGACTTCAAAAACCCAACTTTTTAAAGGGCGATATTTCGGTTACTATTGAACATAGAAAGTTGCGGTTTGAACAGATCTTAATATCTGTAGCTAATCTATCAGAATCAAGCATCAAAACACAATTCTAGGACCATCGCAACTGACCCATTCTACATGTATTTTGGGCAGATTTCAGATTGTATCACTTTTTTGGAAAATAAGATAGACGTAAAGAAATAAGCCATAATCAACAAAATGGAAGCAGCTCATCACTTTCATTTGCAACTTGACTTCTTTCAAGGTCTTTTCAGTACCTTAACCAGTCGAAAGAAATTTAATACTTTACCGGGCAGAATATCTCCATTTTTACTGGTGATTGGAACTACTTTTGACTTGTCAAAAATTGTGCACCTGTTTATACTATTGATTGAGCCCTATCAGTGTCAGTGAGGTCCGCTGTTTTCTGTCATTATATCGTTTGAGGAAGAAATTCATCCATTCCCTTTGTTTCTTTTTTTAGACCCTCGAACTCGTCCTGGTGAGAACTCAAAGTGGTCCTGTGGTTCAAGTTATTTCCGGTGCAAAAATGGAAGATGTGTTTTGCGATCTAAGCAGTGTGATGGAATTAATGATTGTGGGGACCATAGTGATGAGCTGAATTGTACCAATATCGAAAATGATAAATTCAAATGTAAAGTTGGACCCTATGTGCCCAAAAATCTTCTATGTAATCATGAGCCAGATTGCCTTGATGCATCTGACGAAATGAATTGTCGTAAGTCTAGTACAAACACTATATCATTAATATCCACAAAATCACTATCTTATTCTTAGTATTATTCTAGCTAACTGTTCTTCTATCGTCCATTTGTTACTAGCACCTCTTTTGATCTACTATCTACAAATTTTGATCTTCTACGAATTTGATGTAATCTATACTTATTTTGAACTAATCACCTAAAACTTTTTTAAGGACTAAAATTTTGAAGGCTTCAGTGGTTCTAGCAACTATTTATAATTATTCAGTCTCATTTTACCATTCTCAGCTAATATCATTCTGGAGATTTGAGAGCTAGAGGAGGAGGAGGGGAGCCCTAAATAGCAAAGTGTAAGATATAAGCATGAAAATATTATAAACTTCATTAAAAAATGTATTTTTAGATTTTGCCACTGATTATAAATAATCCTAAGAACAAGGAGCTACATATTTTTAAAATTTACTCTATGCCATTTTCTAAGTTTCTCTAGGTTGGAGTTTGGATGAAAACAAGTGTTAGAACTCAAAGTCACATCTCACATTCTTCCAATTTGTCATCATAACCAAGCTAGTTGACAAAAATTGAAGCAGCAGCAACAAGCTGTGGGCTGAAAAATACTTTTAAGGAAGGTGCTTGCAAAACGCTCATAAATTCTGGAAGTGGTACAGAAAAGAGCTTGATTGATTACTTCTGAGACCCCATGAACCAAGTTTGAGTGGATTCTTCAAACCGTACCATTGATAGTCTTTCAATGTTGTCTGCTAATCATGAGTTTTTTCTAGTTTTTCTTCTCTTTTATTTTCCTAAAGCTAAACGTAACTGCAGTGGTGGAATTCCTGGTGCCCCTGAAGCCACAGAAAATTGCCCTTTCACAACTGCATGTATGTCTCCAAAATGGAAATGTGATGGAGAAAATGACTGTTGGGATAATAGCGATGAACGAGGCTGCAACTTTACTAAAGGTTGTAATGTATTCTTTCTCATGTTTCCTATAGAATTGAGTCATTATCCTAGTATTTACCATAGTTATTATCTGCGGGTTAGGTTAGAATATCTATTTTCCCTTTTTTGAAATTTGTTCTTTGGCCATCATTCAGTTCATGTTGCTTGTTCTCTAATGTTGGTCAGTGTGAGGTTTTGGGTTTGAAGTTCTGAGCAGGGATTTAGAGCTGAGGTTTGAGGCAGCATCATGAACGGAGCGGTATCGCCGTGCGAGGCAGGTACCCGGCGTGGACTTTAATGCTGTATCGGACAGTGCACCGGGGGATAGCTGAAACTGGCGAAGCCGACACCCGGCATCATTCAGACATGTCGCACGCCAGCGCCCCGGGCCGGGTTGCCGGCTGCAAGGTATGGGCCGCTGCGTTGATGGGAAGCGTAGACAAAGGGGTGTTCTGTAAATTCTTCGCCAAGTTCAAGGGTCGCATACCCTGGCAAGTCTTCTGGGACAGCCCCTTCGGTAATGAGGCTGGGTCGCAGGACCGAAAAGCGATGCCGCATCGGACCAAAAGCCGAGGCTCCAGCATCACAAGGTGAAGCGCAGCCTGGTCCCTTACATAGCATCAAACCTCAGCATCAGGGCGTAATGCTGGCCTGGACGGCACGTCAGCATTGGGCATCGATGCTCGAAGCCGGCGCCGGCAGGTTGCGCGTATTAGGCGCGGCGCCGTATGTCCGCACGGTCGCTACCTGGGCATACAGCATCGATGCTGTATGGCATAACCTCGTGAGGCGCTTCAAATCCCTGGCTCTGAGTTTATCCTGAACCAATTTGTGTTCTTTTTTTTGAGTTTCCCTTTCAATTTCGTGGTTCAATGAGGTGCGTATCAACTTTCCTATTTCCAAGCTGCACGTCTCAACATTATTTACCAAGCTGTTAGCGGCTGTTTTACCAAGATACTCTAATTTTTTTGCTTTTTATTTAAATCAGAAAGCCAGCTTAAATCAAAACTACTTCAAAGTTTTAATTATGACATGGTGAAATAAGGTTAATAGCTTGTTTTGCACATAGTTCAAGTGCATCCCATCGGTAATGTTTCATTTTGAATAAATTGATCGGAAATGATGGAACTCAAAAAGAATTGCTAGTAAGATGGAGGAAACCTTTAAATTTATATAACTATGGAAAACTTGGTTCTTCCTTTCAACTCCTGCTTATCTCAGTTGTTTTCATCTATCAGTCTCACAATTTTTGCAACACCCTCTCTTAAAACTAATCCTGTATTTTCTGTGTATTTACAGTGACAGAATGTACTGAAGAAGAATTCAGATGTGACAACGGAATTTGTATAAAAAAATCTTGGCGCTGTGATTTTGACGATGATTGTAATGATGGAATTGGCGGCTCCACTAGCTCAGATGAGCGTAACTGTGGTAAGGAAAATAAGTTCCCTTATCAACTCACAAAAAAGTTATCTTGTGTTCAAATTTACAATGGAGGAACAAATTTTTAAGTTTGAAATTTACAGTAATGCCCTCACAAATTACGTCAGCCTTCTTCTTGATTTCTCGATCTCCTCTACTTGTTTCCTCTGTAAATCTACCCAAACTACCCATCTAGTGCCAAATAAATCCCTCCCCTCACCCTGTTGTTGGATAGAGCCTCCCTTCTTTTGTCTACACTGGTTCTCTGACAAAATTTTGTTAAAAAATCTTTTTCCCTCAAACATTGCGGAATTTCCTCATGTTGGACTTATGTTAAAAACGAAATTCAGCCCTACCCTACTTGACAGACAGCTTTTAATCTTCACCCCTTTGAAGTTTTTTAATTATTTCATGAACATTCTCGGAGCATTGTACGTATTTTGAAGAAAATCCACTGGGAAAAACATCTCTTTCAAGGATTTGAATTTTTCACATTCTGAATGGTTGACAAAAATGTGCAGGAATAACAGCGGATCAAGTAAACATTTTAGGATGAATAAGTTATGTAGTATCTAATAATTTAGACAGAAATAATGAAACCTGGATTTTGGATGAATGCCACTGAGCAGATTAGCTTTTAGTGAGCATTTTTTAAATTGGAACAAAACTGAAAGGCTTAGTTGGATTGGTATTCTTTCAGGGTGGTCACAGTCCAGGGAAAGTAAGGGAAAATAAATGGTAAATTGACAATAGGCAAAAGCCTGGGAAGAATTGTCTTTGCAAAATTGGAGAATGTCTTATTTTCAGCGTTTCCTAGTTGGATCAAAAAATCTTGTAATTATAATATTTACCCTGTATTGTTTTAAAGGTCAAAGAATTTTCATGAAAGTATTAAAGTAAAACCTGGGAAAGTTAGAGAATTTCAGTTCTGAATTACTTTATTCACCTTGTTTGTTTTTTTATCATAAAACTAACAAGCTTCATTTTTTAATCTGTCTCACAAGAAGTTGAACAATAGCATCTATTTTTGCTGCTTTTTTTTTCTTGGTATTTAATAGGCTTTTATCTACGATGTCCCTTTTTGTCCGGAGAATCAAATGAAAAACCCACTGTTTTGATCTTCTGTTTTCCAGAATTCAAGTGTAGATCAGACCAATTTCGATGCAATGACTCCTCTTGTATTCCGTATCTGTGGCAGTGTGATGGAAAGAAAGATTGTCCAGATGGACTGGATGAATCAGAGACTTGCAGTAAGCATCCCTTCCCCCTTTTTTATGTAAAACTGTTTGAAAAATGTGTTGATGATAATCGTTCAGTTTAACTTCAGGTATAGCCAAAACAAGAGTCGTTGCTCATAAAAAAGGGCTGGAGAATAAGGATACCTACGTTGGCACAGTCAAATATTCACTTTTTACTTCACAGTGTGCGTAAAAAATTTGCGCATTTTTAAGCTTGCTGCTTTAAGAAGTATAGAATGACCGAGACATGACATGATACATTCAAGTCACCTCTGTCTCACAACTCCCTGCTAAACTCAAACTGGCTGTCGTTTTGTGATGTGAATTCTCAATAAAAAATAAACAATATTGTTGTTTGTCTGGAAACTTTGGGAAAGTGCGTCACATGACAACGGCCATTTTAAGTTGTACATGGAGTTGTGAGATGTTTGTGACTCATCAGTATCAAAATATGTCTTGCCATGGTAAAATTTTTGAAGTTAAAAAATGCGTAAATTTCTTACATAAATTGTGAGGTAGGGGGTAAATTTCAGAATTTGCTACGACGTTCAACGTATTTAGAATCATATTTCATAAGAATCCACTATTGTCTTTGCTCTTGATGAAGTTTACAATGGACAGTGGACACATTGGTTTTTCATACTTTTTGGCAGAGTACATGTTCACAGCTGTTTCAAAATAGTGTGAATGTAGTCTAAAAGTAAATAAATCCCCAGTAAAAAAGTGACAATTCCCATCAGAAATAAAAACAAATTTTGCAACCTTGAATTAAGAATGAATGTTTTCCTTTGTATTTGAATGATGACAATTGTATATCATGTGAGATAAAGAACACGTAATTGTGCACTCTTCTCATGGGCTCCTTACTTCATTATAACTGCTTCACAGGGTCAAACTATTTAGCTTGATACATGAATGAGTGTTGCGCCTTATCAACACATTGTGCCGGAGTATACCCCTTGTCTTACTTGTTTCCAATGATGTAATTGTATTTACAGAAAGTCGTAATTGTACCGAAAGTGAACACAAATGCAACTCTGGACGGTGTATTCCAAATGCTTGGGTGTGCGACAAGGATGATGATTGTGGTGATAACTCAGATGAACACCCAGATCTCGGATGTTTATCTCATACATCGTCAGAGTGTCAGCCAAATAACTTCGCTTGCAACAATACGAAGTGCATCTTAATGGTTAGTAACTGTTTACTTTTTTTATTTTACATCCTGTTGAGTTCATTAAAATGCTCTATAATCCAAAGATTCATTTAGTCTCTCCATGCCAAAGATAAGATTTCAGTCACAAAAATTATGGAACCAAAAAACAAAATCAACTTTTTTTTCAATTATTAATACACCATTTTTGATGGCAAAATTTCACTTTCTGTCCTTCACTCTATGATGATCACCAGTTTTAGGGACTGACTCTTTCTTTGATAATATGCATGAGGTATTATTTTGTGAAGGCTTCTTGTCTTTTTTTATCCATTAATGTTCACCTGCAATGAAACTCTTAGTAGAGCTGCTGTTTCAGAATTTTTTTCAATATATTCAGCAATGTATATTTCATATGCATGTCTCTTTAAACTGTCTTATTTTAGTATCATGGGCATGCTTCATTAGGTCGCTAAGAAATAAAATGTATTATTTTGCTTATTGTAAAGTATAATAATGTATATAATTTGTGACTGTTCAAAGAGAAAAGCGATTTTAATGCAAAATTTGCCAGAGAACAATATTTGTGAAACTAGGTTTGAGAAACCAGAATTTCAAATTTCAACGAAAACGAGCAGTTTAGTCAGTCTTGCCACCATCAAAAGTGTATTTTTGCATTTAATTTGGCAGTTCTGAGCTTCAAACAAGGGAAATTCAAACTGCGGATAACTTTTTTTTTTGGAACTTACTTACTTTGGCTTTAATTTTTTTTCTGCAAACTTCAAACCATCGTAACTGAATTTGGTTGAACATTTTCAGTGAAAGTGATTTGTATAACATTTTTGTGAGGTGTTGTACCAATATCTCAATTTACAGTCTTTCCGTACCATGTCTCTTTTCTCCTGGATAGTTACATTTAATATTTTGGTTACTACAAAGGAAAGTTAAGACACATTTCTTTTTCAGGAGTATTACTGTGATGGAGAGGATGATTGTGGAGACAAATCTGATGAGCCGCCAGACTGTCGAGACTCCTTCTGCCCGCCCGATTCTCATTTCTTTTGTCATAACCGCAAATGTATTTCTGCTGACCTAAAATGCAACGGTGTCAATGATTGTGGTGATAATTCTGATGAAGATTTGGAGACTAAAGATTGCAGTGAGTTCAAATTACCTCCAATACTTATTTGCATAATACTTGCTTTGCTTGTAGAGGAAAAAATCGGTCAAAAACTTTGCTCTTTTGAATTCAGGAATATCCCTTTTCATGTAACTTTCCTATTCTACTATTCATACATAATCAGTAAAACGTCAAATTATTTCCACACTAATGTAGCTTATTGAAATCTTAGAAATGAACATTCATGGCAAATGCATGTATCAAAAGGGCATTTAACATTTCACGATATTGGCATTCATGCTTTATGTGGTTATTCAGTAACAAAAGTTACAAGAGTTCTTCGTTCTTCAACCCTACAGTAACAAGTTTTTGTCTATAGCTCTTAAACGATTCATTTAGCACAGCAAGTGAATCCAAAGCTCTATATATGCCTCTTTTCCTGTGCCCAGTTATGTAATTTTCAATTCAGTGATACTCATGTGAGTGTCACTCATACGTTTTTACTCATCTCTGTTCACCATTCTTACATGTTGGTGCTGGTGAGTATCAGTAGAAAAAAGAATAATGCTTTAAATATTATCAACTTGTTCTAGGACGCCTTTCAAAAGACACTTGCACTGGACCTGACTTATTCCTTTGTAATAATGGAATTTGTCTTAACGAGGAACTTGTATGCGATGGTGAAAACAACTGCGGAGATTTCAGCGATGAAGAAGGCTGCGGTAAAAGTCTAAGTTTTATATTTTAAACTTTACGAATGATAATGATAATACTCTAAAAATATGAATGAAATATATGCCTGTTAAACCATGGTAATTGAAATTTCAACTATTTTAAACCAATACCTCAGCAGCTAATTTTCAGGACTTGCAACCATAACCTCATACTTGTTTAATTTCTGTGATTTTTGTAATGTTCAATCCCCAATTGCCGCAAGCTTGTGATGCAATAGGCACTTCTAGATTGTAAGCCTCCAGTAAAAATGATAATGTCCAGATGTTGAAAGAAAGTTGGCAGTGTTTTTTTGGTGCATCTTCATTTTGATTTTGTTGCTTGACCCTTTCTCAATGAAGAGCCCGTTATGCCCGTTTGATCCTCTCCACTGTTTGATGAATAATAATTAATATTTTCTATCCTAGGTATCGATAAGTGTAAGGACAATCCATGCGCTCATATTTGTATCAACAAGAAAAATAGAGTTGAGTGTGCGTGTAAACCTGGCTACGGAACACACCCAATTTCCCCGTACTATTGCCTAGATATTGACGAATGCACGGACCCTCTAGTCACTAAGCCGTGCTCTCAGCATTGTCGCAACGTAATCGGATCTTATGTTTGTTCATGTGCAGACGGATATATTTTAAGACCTGATCGCCATACATGCAAAGCAAACTCATGTAAGTGTAGCAACTGTATTTTAGTGCATCTCCTAGAGCTATGCAGTGTTGCTATTTTCGCCAATGTGCACTGAAAATTCCGTCTAACATTGAAGTCTTATGACAGAGAAAAAGCTCATCTGAGCTGAAAGCCTCTCTCAAGAGAGCTATGCGGTTTGATGCAACATTAGTCACGACTCACGACCAGTCAAGAAGGCAACTGCAGACATACTCCAGATCCAATTAGATCCATCTTCATTTTAGTGCTGTGAAGTGCATACAATTTTTTACAGTTTAAAACAATTAAAACTCCAAGAAAGGGTTCTAAAAAAAGCCCTCAAACCATACATTTTTTTTTTTTTTAGAAAAAAAAAAGAGTACAGCATAACATTAACTATGAGAACCAAACAAATTTACTGTGAATGAATGTTAAGAAGTATGGTATGTAGATCAGACTTGCTCGTAGTGTAAAAAACATTCTAATTCACAAGTCCCATTTCATTCCTGTGTAATGCAGGTAGCCTAAAAGAAACTTCAATGGAAAATAACAGTTTATGAAGGGAAAATTGAACCCTCTGGAATCCACTAAGAGGACAGGGATACTTTCAAGCACCATCAATTTTTTTTGTTAACTTCTAGTATGCTTTCATTTCAATTTTCAGCTGTTCCTGCCTCAATAATATTCACTAATAAATATTATATTCGGCAAGTGCCTTTGGAGAACATGAACAAGAGCACCGAAATTCTTGTGGATAACCTCACTCACGCGGTTGGCCTAGACTTCGATTGGGAGACGCAGTGTTTGTACTGGTCAGATGCTGAGCACACTGGCTCTATCCAAAAACTTTGTTTAGGCTCAGGATCTAAGCCGCAGGTTTGTAAGTTTTCCACTCTAATCTCCTTTTCCTACTGGGCACTCCAGTAGCAATGTTCTCGCAGATCCTCTCTTTTCGCTTTTTTTTTAATGGAGATGTTGCACGTGTGAGGAATTTGTGATTTGACTACTGGTTTTTATATAAAAGTTCGTGAGAAACCTGATGGTGCCACTGGTTTTCTCTGAAATTAACTCCTAAGCTCAAGAAAAGCTCTCAAGTTGAGGCCAAAATGAAGGGGATATCCCACGCTATCCTGAGAGTCCCCCTCTACATCAAGACAAACTCTCTTTGCAGAGATAAGGAGCAAATACATTGACAGGGCTGCCACTTTATTTGGGGATTCCACAACTGAACCCTGCAACCCTGGTAACCCTGCTAATGTATTTGCACCCTATCTTTGCATGGAGAGTTTGCCTTGATGCAGAGGTGGACTCTCAGGGTAGCATGGGATATCCCCTCCATTTTGGCTTCAACTTGAGAGCTTTTTTCCAGCTTGGAAGTTGGTTTCAGAGAAAACCAGTGTCACCACCGTGTTTCTCGCGAACTTTTACGCAAGAATTAATAGTCAAATCGAAAATTTCTCACACATGCAACATCTCCATTATATGACTTTTACAAAACACACACCACAGTGTATGTTAAATTACATGGGGCTTACACTTTTTCATCTATTTTCTTTAGTTCTAGTGATGACAACTGATCAGGTTGTGCTTACAGATTTAACTACCGATATTAGTAACTCAAAATATCTACATAAATGAGGGCAGCGGGTGCTAAACAATCAGTCAGGTAGACTTTTTTGGATATGAGCATCATACATTTCTTTTGATGGTCTCTCTAAATACTTATAACATGATCGCTGCCAATGTATTTTCGCATAATTGTCTCTGTCGGGCTAGAAAAACCTGCTAAAGCGGCAAATTGCGGAAGCTTCCAACCATGGTTACTCCTGATTGCAGCAATCATTCCTATCAGTTACATAAATGACTAGCACTGTACAGCTAGACAGGTGAAAGACCTACAGACAGTGCCTGCATTGCACAGGAGTGCAATAAAAACGTGTCGTGCAAAATGCTGGTCACTGTGATCTTTTTGACCCTGTGCAACCAACTAAGAAGCAATCAGTATAACTGGCCTGTCAGTGAATTTGTTGAAAGTTTATTTTCATCTGTCAAACTTGAGCAGGTATTGAATCAACTCATCGAATGCCAAAATATATTTTCCACTCAAAGCTCAAGCGTTCGTGTACCTCATAAGGATTGTATTTTTTTCTCTTCTTTCGTGATGTGTTAACTTATGTCTGTTTTGAAAGTGTATTGGTTGGCTTTGTGTAATTCAGTTAGGGAATGAACTTGATAAGAGAAAGATTTCAAAGAAACCTGTCTCAGAGTCTTCGGGTAAACATTGCAAAGTCACCTGAGGGGCAGTGTCATTTGTTTTTCTGTTCATTTGTGGTTTTCTGTAAGTACAGTTTTGTTCCATGTATAGGTGCTAGCAACTTTTTCAAGCCCAGATGGTTTAGCAGTCGATTGGGTTGGCCGAAATCTGTACTGGTGTGATAGAGAATTGAACACAATTGAAGTCTCAAAGCTTGATGGGAAGTTTAGACGGATTTTGATCCATAAGAACCTCTCCGAACCGCGAGCTATCGCCCTTCACCCTAAAATAGGGTAAGAATTGTCTTTTAAATTATTAAGTATGGCCATCAACTTAGCTAATTATTTGGTCTTTCTTTAACTTTTAAGTTCATTTAATTTATGACCATAATTTTATGAAAAGATAAACAATGTTTCCTAGAGCTCAGTTAGCATTCCTGCATTAAAAGGAACTGATATAGGATTTATAAACATAAAATTAAACCATCAAAGCATCAGGCATCAGTATGTGCAAAAATTGACAATGACATAGTTTGGAATGGCTCTGCGATTACAGTCTGAATAAAAATGATAAACCCAAGGACAACAAGATTTGCGTTGCGCTCTAGAAGTGTGCTTTTGGAATTATTTCAAACAAAATTTTAATCAACTTTTTTACATCAGCACCTGACATGGTCCTGATTGATTCAAGTTTTAACATGTTTTTTTAAATACATAATGTTGTAAAATTTAAAAATGATTTGTCGGTCGGCTGACCATCAGGTTCCTGTTGTTATTGCTGTAAATTCATCTCAACAGGAAATGATGCTCTGAAGTAATTAAGTTCTCACCATTTCGAAGTTGTTTACATCTTTATTGTTCTTTATACCTCATTTGGACTACATTTAGTAATAAGGAGTCCTTTTTTCACACTAATTTTAGAAACAACATATTTGTCACTAGATCCAGTTACATGCCTCTATGGATGTGCCAGAAAGTAGTTACTGTAAAATGTAGTCTATTTGTTTTCATTTATTTAGCAGTTGAAATGGTGCTCTTTATTTTTGTTTAGTCATATGTTCTGGACTGACTGGGGAGAAAAAGCGCACATCGGGAAAGCTACTATGAGTGGTGGTAATCCCCGAATGATCGTCACTCACAATGTCGGTTGGCCAAATGCGCTCACAATTTCATTCGAGACAGATGAGATTTTCTGGGCAGATGCTAGGGAAGATTACATTGCGGTTGCAAATCTTGATGGTCAAAATGTGAGAATAGTGCACAGTCGAGGTGAGATTCCTTATGTTTACATTTTAAAAAGTCAGCAACATATCACAGTTGCAGATATTGTTTTCAAACTGTGTTTCTCCGTTGCAAGCATCTATTCTTTTTAATGAAATCTCCTTTTTTTTTGAAACGCATAAAATCTGGAAGGTGACTGTTTATGAATCAATCATGTGTAGAGCTTAATTTATTTACATGTATCATCAATTCAAACCATTTATGATTTACTGTGGGTTTTTTTCAAGAATTGAAATTCTAATGTTTCATTCTCATCATCAGTTTCAATTGCGACCGCCGTAATTTTGTTGGATTCTTTTCTATAAGAAGTTTCTGCCATCAAATTATAAAATCCTTTTGTTCAAACATATTTGCTTCAAAACACAAAACTCTTTGTTCATGAATTGAAAGGTAAAAAAATTGACACAGGTGTCTCTTTTTTCCCCTCTTCTTTAATTATGCCTTCATTTCTCAACCTTTTCAGAGAAAAATCAATTTTTGTCTTTGCACCACGTGTTTTCCATTGCTGTATTTGAAGACTACATTTATTGGTCTGATTGGGAAACTAAATCTATCGAACGGTGTTACAAATATGGAGGCAGCAATTGTACTTCAGTGGGTAAATTCATCCATCGTCCTATGAGCATCTCTGTTTTCCATCCAATGAAACAACCGAAACGTAAGTGTTTCTCCCTTTTTTTTTTTTAAATCAAAATATGTAATTTTTATAATCTTCTACATTGCTAATCAAGATTTTTCAAGAGCCGGTTCCATCACCTGTGGTCAAATCTGCCTCATACACAACCAGGGTCACACATTTATCTCCTTGACCAAGAAGAATCTGTACCATAACCATTAACCACTCATATTTAATCCCTAGTTAAATTTGTATTATTACTTTGAAAAACATAATGACACATTGCTGCCAATAATGGATGCACTACCTCTAAAACTTCTATTTACTCCACACCAAAGTCAGTTGCAAACCAGATTCGGTAGGTGTGCAATGTGTTGCAAGCCATTCTTGAGAGGAACGCAAGGAAAACAAAGAATTAATTAAAGAACATTAGCGGTAGAATGCAACACTTGCCAGTTAAAGACTAGGATTTAAAGTCCACTTCTTGTCACAGCGTTTGCTAGGTGCTCAAAGTACATGTCAGATATTTTCCTATTTTCTCCTCTGTCAAGCTCAAATAGACTTGCTGTTGAGTTTACAAGAAGTACGATAGAACGCCAGTTTTGTGTTTATCCTCTTGTCAAAAATAACCAGCAGTTTGACAAGAAGTGATAGAAGTAGGCTTATATCTTGCGTGTAGAATCACAAATTCCTCTAAATGAATCCAAATAGAGCGAAAAAAGGTGCATTTAATATTATAAGCACTGAAGGGCAACATGGTTGGCCAGCTCTTCATACTTGTAAGTTCCACTATCTTGCATCTCTAGTAGATCCTGCCGCCTCCTAAGTTTTGAATTATAACCCAGGTTTCTAACTATTTAATTACTGCAAAGTGGTCTCTTGAAAGGGCGAATCAATCTTTGATGGTTATGCCAAGCAGGGGCTAAGGCAATATTCTATATCACAGCTTGTTGTTCTATTTAAGTAATCAAGTTTCTCTTTTCTGTTTTCTGTTATGTTTCTGCTCTCGCATTCTAGTCGAGCCAAATCCATGCGAGAAGAGCAACTGTAGCTTCTTGTGCCTCTTGACGGCAGACAGTGAAGGCACCGTCGGCCACACTTGCGTTTGTCCTGCAAATTTTATTCCGTCTGCAGATGGCAAAGGGTGCTCTGCGAATTGCAGCTCTGCTCACTTTGTCTGTCACAATACGTACAAGTGCATTCCATTTTGGTGGAAATGTGATGGACAGGTATTTGATGGTTTCAGTTTTTAACTTTTTACTTATCAAAGTATGGACTTTGATTTGTCAGCCAGTCCTCAATATAATTTGTTCAATAAATTAGTGCAATAACTTTATTTCCTAATAAATCTTTTTTTGAATTCAAATTAAATGTGACAAATCATTCCATTTTTGAAAATTTTGAACAAAACAACTACTCTTTTTTCATACCCACAGATTTATCCTCCTTCAAAAATTTTTGAGTAAAATAGATGCTATTTTCAACAAGTTTTTGATATTTTAACCTGTAGTTAATTTTCAAAATATTTAATACTCTAGAGCGGTCAAATAAATAAAAAAAAAGCAAAAGATAATGGCTAAGAAAAATCTAAAAACACCAACACACAAAATTGTATACTAATGAATTGAAACCCATCATTATAAGCAGAATAACCGAGTTTTACTCAGTGATTAAAATTCTACAGTGTACCTGATAATGTCACTCTGCAATGTTGCCCAACGAAGGGTTTAATGCTTTTTTGAAAAGTTACTTTAAACTATCCGAGACCAGAAAATTGAGAATATTTCTTCAGATAAGTTCTTAACGCTTTTTCAGGACGACTGTGGAGATGGATCTGATGAGCCACCATCATGCCCCGAATTTAAGTGCTTATCTGGTCAGTATCAATGCGAAAATGGTAATTGCACTCATCCAAGTCATATCTGCGATGGAACTCCCGAGTGCTCAGATGGATCAGATGAACGCAACTGCGATGAAGTAAGTTTTCGAGTCTTTCTTTTTGCACTAATTCCTATCTGAAGTATCTTCCAGTTAGCACTGTAAAGCTTAGTAAAAAAGAAGAAATTAAACGAACTCAGTCCATGTACAGGAGTCATATATTCTAATGCCTGAAGTTGAACATGTTCTTAAAGTATGTTGATTCACCAGGTACTGTTTATTGTTTCCTCCCCCACCAAAGAGAAAGTAAAAGCTTCTTAAATTTTTTTTTGGAACTAACCTGAAGTATTTCTAGGAAGCCATTCATGCTTAGGTCCAATTTTAATCCTGAGCATAGTTTACTGAAAGCCTGCAGCACTGACAGAGTTGCCACAGTCAGAGAAAACTGGGAAACGTCATTGAATGAATGGAAATTAATTTAAAATGAATTTAATTTTTTAAATTCTGTGGCAACCCTGCATTTAGTCAATGGTTAAACATTGTTTTGGGCTGTATTTTTAGATACTCAAGTGTTAACAACAGAACTATTCTCGAAACTGAAACTTGAGGTAATTTAGTAAAATTTATGAAGAACCTCTCCATCAGTCTAATTTCTTATTCTTATTTTTTCTTTACAGTATACTTGTTTCACCGATTATTTCAAATGCAAAGGAAATGGGACTGTCTCTTCCTTCTGCATTCCTGATAGCAAACGATGTAACAAGAAAGTGGACTGCCCGTTGGGTGAAGATGAACTTGGTTGTGAAGCTAAAACTTGCGAACCTAAAGAAGTAAGTCATACTTTGTTTCCATCAAGAATTGTATGAGTTGATATCTCAGCAGGCTGATTATTTACTTTCATAGATCCCAGACGTAGAATTCAGAGCATTTATAATCAAACTAGCTGCAATTCTATACTGTGGTTCCACTTGATAGATGTAGGATAGATCAGAATTGGAATAGTGTTAAACGATTGCGTTGGGAGAAAAATACTCATTCCAACCAATCAAAAAACTTGATTCTTCAAGCAAAGAAGAAGGAGCGCGCAGAAACCCTAACCTCCTAAGAAAGCATTTATTGCGTTTGACTCAACTCCTTCTTATCAGCTACCGTGACGCAGTGGATAGTGACGTCGATATTCAGTCAAAACCAATCCGTGCGATGGTGGGTTTGAATCCTGCTGTTGCACTGCTTATTGGCCAATCAGAAACACAGTTTTAACAAATTTCACCGCATCTACTGCCTTAAGACTGGGGATCTGCATTCATCAGTGGATCTGTAGCCAAATCTATTTAGATTAGTTCTGAATCGCTTAGAATCGGTGTCTCATAGATACGCAACTTGCATCTATCAAGATGAATTGACAAGGAAAGTAAATGATCACGCTGCAGGAGATATACTAGTTTTTTATCTATGGCAGACAGCCTGAAAGATGAGAACTTTTCAAAGAACCAGAATGTCGAAAATAATATAGCATGAACCAGTGGAGGAAGTTTGAAAAGTAAGAAACAAAAGAAAAGTTGAATGGAATGTGATAGGACACTTTTTTTGTTTGATCTCTTTATATTTTACAAATTAATACATACAGGAAGCCTTTGAAGTTGGACTTGTAGCATAAGTTTGATGCATTTTAAAAAATGGTTAATAGAAGAGAATAATGTCGCAACAAGACAAAAACAAATAATGAGTTCTATTTTAATTTAAGAAGTTTATTCATTGCATAGAACATGCTATAAAGAAATATTTCAAGCTGAATGAAAAGATCATCAACTTGAAAGAGATTTTTGAGATCACTAGAGGGACCGCAACTTTGGTCCCCTGATTTTCACAGTTTCCTTTTACCAGGGAACAGATCAAAATGGAATGTAATGGTTTGGAGCAAGTTAGACAGAACAAGGGAAAGTTTCAGAATTCATTGGTGGCCACGGTTTTTCGTCTTTTTTTTAAACCTTTTTTTTTTTGTGATTCTATAATTATAGTTAAAAGGTTAGTTGTTCATTCATTAACCTGCATTAATTATTGAGGCAAAAAGTTAGTCGTCAACTTATTAATTCAGATCAATTATTAAGGCACAAATTGACCTGATTCGCCCTGATTCACCCTTCGATTTTTATTTTTACTGCACCCTTGGTAAGAATGTGTATTAATATATTGGTCCATTAGCAACAATGCCCCACCCAAAATCTCCTAAGCCGGGCGATTACATCTGATATGGTAACATAGTAATCTCTCAGTGTATACTTGCATGGTTGCGGCAGTAGCAAACATAACTGTGAATATTAGCGACTAGATGAGATGCTCTGCCAGTTGTCTGGACGTCTTTTGTTGGGACACTGATCAGAAGAGAGCTGTGAGGAGGCTCATGGAAGCACCAAGTTTTGGTGACTTCCAATATCAACGAATCAACCCTGAAATACAGGAGCATCTAGTTCTGATAATGCCAGAGCATCTTTTGTAGGCAGCGCCACATTTAGTATCAAGCATATCAAAGGGCAATCACAGCAATCACGGCAATCATGGCAATCTTGGGTTCTTTTTCACATTGGCAATTAAGTAGTGATAGTATCACAGTCATTTTCTCTTCGCTTTTACTTATCTTTATTTTATTTCTTTTGTCCATTATGCTTTATCTGAAAAGATTAATACAAATGGTTGGTTTAATTTCTTAACAACTCACATATAATTTATTTAATCCCAATAATCTTATCTTAACGTCTCTCTTACAGTTCTTGTGTGAGTCTGGAGCATGTATCTTTGCCCTTCATGTATGTGATGGAGATTTCGATTGTGGAGTTGATGGAGATGAAAGTGATGAAGTTTCTGAGATGTGCGCTCGACGCAATTGCACGGATGAATATCACCGCTGTTCATCAGGGCGTTGCATACCTAAGTCTTGGTTCTGTGATGGTGATAAAGACTGTCCTGATGCTGAAGATGAGCCTCCCTCGTGCGCTGATCCACTAATCCATCCTTGTGAACCAACATATTTCAGATGCGAAAATAATAACAAGTAAGACTTATTCTAAGACAAATCTGTATTAACCCACGGTTTGAAAATAGTGAAAAGCTTAGGATGAGTTCAAAGTTTGTCTTTGCTAATGAGTAATTTAAGCACAAAAATATCCTCTCATTCTGGTTCTATTTTGTATTGCTTCTGTCAAGTGTTTTACCTTCTTTTGATAAGTCTTCCCACACAATCTACCTAAACTGCTGAATCAGTTATCACAGCTAAAATGATCAAATATCCGTTCAAATTTCAAAACATTTTTTTTTTTTTCTAGAATGTTCATTCTAATGTAGCAACTGAGGATAGGAACTGAAATATCCATGATTTATCATGCCTCTACCTATCCAAGCTTTAAAGTTAAGGCTAAAAGCTTGAATTTTGAAGAGTCCATGTTTGAAGTGCATTCTCGCCACTAAAAATAGATGTTCCTTGTTTAAATTTGTTTTTGACAGTCCTTCTGCTTCATTTATGTACTTTCCTTTAGTTCATCAACTCTTTTGTTAACAGGTGCATTCCTGGAAGGTATACTTGTGACTCCGTGGACGACTGCGGTGACTTATCTGATGAAAGAAATTGCACAGAACGCGAGTGTTCAGAGTCTGAATTCAGGTTAGTCCAAAGTTCATTTTTATTCTGCAAAAAAGGAGAACATCTATGAACAGTATTGTACAAAAAAGGAACGTCTGAGGGTAATTTAAATTTATCAAAGGAATAATTCAATTGAACAGTAGTAAATTTTATATCAGAGAGAAGCAAACTCAATCATTTTTAACCTACATTCTTTGGTTTCAACTTAATCTAATTTTATTGTATTCCTTTGTAATTTTTTTTTAAAATTAATTTTGTAAGTTGTTTACCTTGCTCTTAAAACAAAACACGAAAAATGTGGCTTAAAAACTGCTAGTAATAGAATGGTAGAACAGTGCTGGGCTCTCACTCATTGAGTATTCTTCAGGGAGATTTTGCTTTTGTTTTCCCCGCAAAATAGTGTGGACTCAGTACTATTCTACCATCTTTGTAACAATGTGATAATAGCAACAAATACGTTCTTAAAGTTCACTTGTGAGTAAGTAGTAACTCTAGGCATCAGCATGCTTCCTTGTTATTCTTATTTTTTTCGGTTATCTGATCCACAAGTATTGCTTAATCATTTTCCCTATCACATTTTTATCTTCTCCTAGATTATCACAATTAGATTTCCGTTACCATCACATCGTATCACTTATGTCATGAGAGATGGCTTTTTTTTTGTGTGTGTGTTTTGTGCCCTTGAACAATTTTAAGTTTTAAAGTTGAAATGCAAGTTTGTAAATTACCCAGTTCTCTAAAGTGCCTCTTGACAACATTTTCAAGAATAGAAGGGTATACATAAAAAGAAAAAGAAACAAAAATATTTTTTCTAAGTTGTAATGGAAGGTTTTTTTACTTGTCAAGACAACTTAGAGCAAAATATTTAAATCAATGATGGACAATTTTTTTGTCCAGTTAGTTAATAGTATGCAGTTCAAACCCACATAGTTTGGTGGTATTTCTTAATTTGTTTATCTCGCCGAGCCAATGAACTCAGGTTAAATATTCGGTTTTTCAGCTGGATTTTTAGTAGTCACCTGTTTCACTATTTTTATCATGACTTTAAAACAGTTCTGTTATGTTTTCTTGGTGTTCTTTAACGTTAATTGCCTTTTTGTGGGTGCTCTGTTTCTCTTGGTCAGCACTCCTTTGACTTCGTAAGTATTTTCTGCCAATTTTTTAAAGGCTGATTAAGTAGAGCCAAGCAATAGGAACACATTTACATTGGACGTTTTGAAAAGAGCCTATCCACTAAGTCGATAAATATTGCTTTAATTTAGTTGTCAAAAGTTTGTGTTTGAAGTAATTTTATGCTCAATCCTTCTTTTTCTTTCTTTAGCGGCAAGACCAATCCACACAGGTCAGTCATTTTCCCGAGGACGAGTTTTAGAACTCGACTGCGCAGTGACGTAGTATTGAGTGCCTGCAATGTATTTCTTATGGGAGCACCCATTGTGACGTAGCATTGAGTGCTGCGAGTTAGGGCCGGGCGGAGGAGTGGATTTCAAAAAAACTGCGCAATGTCTGACCTGTGTGGATTGGTCTTGTTCAGCGGTTCTTGGGAAGACTGTGGCTTTAAGAAGATAGTACACTTTTCTTTTGAATTTTTGGAGATGGTCTGTATTTCTAAATGATACATGAGTAGGAACTGCATCTAGCAAATGTCATATGTCTAGAAAGTTTAAAAAAAACTTAAATGGTCATGTAGTTTAATAGAACCTTGAGTTGTTCTTGAGAGTAATTCCCATTCCTGCAAGGGTCAAAGGCCAATTTCATGTGCGTCCCTAGTCCTGCATCTTTTCACACAGGTCTTTGATTCAAAACTCCCAATGGAAATATGTCCTTGTTGCTGAGCTCCATTTGGACCGCGTTTAACAGAAAGGAACCAAGCCACATCAGCTATTGCCAATTTTAAGTGGGCAATTTAATTTTTTACGAGAAAATGTTTGTGTGGATCCCTTTGAAAATGTTGAGGAATTTGCTCCGTACCATGGAGAAAATTCACTGAAATTTGAACAAAAATCGGCACAACTGTTTTCATGGAAGAAACTAAATTAGGTAATTAAGTTTGGCAATAGCTGATGTGGCTTGGTTCCTTTCTGTTTAACGCGGCCCATTTAATCTAGGAATTTAATGTACAAGAAGGGTCACTGTTATTCAGGAGCATTAGTTCAATTTTATTATTTACGAGTAAAATTTTGACATTATTTTACCTTCCATTTTAGGGGATAGCATGAGGCCAGCATTTCATGTTTCCCTAAATGGCTAATACATTGGGTTATGACTGCATATCACGTAAATACTCGCCGGATACATAGGATCAATGATCAATTTTTTTCTGAGATTATGACAGTGTTTCAAACTTTCATTCCATCCTCTGTTTATTTTCAGGTGCGTGTCGGATGGTAGATGCCTGCACAAAGTTTTCAGATGCGATGGGGATAAGGATTGTAAAGATGGAAGTGATGAAGATCATTGCAACACTACATGCTCCGCTGATGAGTTTCAGTGTCATAACCCACCCCACTGTGTTCCCCTGTAAGTAGTTTCTAGAACCCAAAAGCAGAGATGGAAAGTGAAATTTCACGATATTTCAAATGGCTCAAATAAATGTCACAAAATTTGAAATTTGTTAATTTTTATCGGAATCATTAATTGAACCTTTGAGAGTCCGGAAAGCGTTTCGAATGGTCTACCTGTTGATGCAGCAGTATTATTCTACCCTACTGAGGTACTATACACGAAGGAAGGGGGGGTGCAAAGGGGAGTTTAGAGATAACCTCTCAACCAAATGAAAACATGTGCAATGTGTGAATGTTTTAGGCTTGGGGTGAAAAATGTCAAAATCTAGAATCAATGTTTTTGCTGAATGCATCCCCAAAAGTTTCGTGAAATTTTATGTGTGAAATTTTCCATCTCTGCCGAAGTACTCATTAACTCTGTAGTTCAAATCTATCTTTCTAAAAAGTTATGGTATTCTTATTGAAGTACTGATGCCAGGCCATGCTGAAAAAAACAGCGGATCATTCAGTTTTGTGGTTTGTAATGAAACGTAATGAGTTCTTCTTGCAACCAAATTCTACAATAACTGGATGGTAAAAGCTCAAAAATGAAAATATTTTAGAGCTGGATATGGATTATCAGAGCGTCTGAAAGTCAGTAAGAACAAAAATATTTAATCTCGTTCGGCAACTTTCAAACATCCAATCTTCTATCATTATTCAGTAATAGTAATGCATCAATTTCGATCTGAGCTTGAAAGTGTCCTTAAGTACTTGTCCTTTGGTCCTAAAAAGCTTTTTGTGTACCCAATATCTTCACCTACTTAGGTGTTGTATGTATCTCCTGACCATGTTTATTTTTGAGTTGCTGTTTTTTTGTTCTCACTCATTCAATTGGTATTAATATCTTTTTTTCTAAACCACAAGTATCACAATTTGATTTTTTTTTCAGCGAATGGCGCTGTGATGATGAAATTGATTGTTTGGACCAAAGTGATGAAAAGAATTGCTCATCTTCTTGCGGCGCAGGAAAGTTCATGTGTCGGGATCGCACATGTATTCCACTGCGGTGGCGTTGTGATACAAATAATGATTGCTCTGATGGAAGTGACGAAACAGTAGCTCTCTGCTCTACAATTAAATGCCCTGAAGATTGGTTCAGGTTTGTCCAATTTGAAGTATTTATTTGAGGAAAACTTATTTTGTAACAGAAAAAAGAAAATCTTTTGATAAGTTCTCAATTGTACCGAAAACTCTTTTGGGTTTTTCCGGGGAGGGGGGGGGGTTCAGGGTTCTTCGAATCTATCAAATTTATCTTTTTTTTTTTTTTTTTTTTTTTGTACCAATCTTTGAGCTGGTTCCTTATTGTTTAAGCCAAAGTGTCAAAATAAATCTCCCCTTTCAAATCGGAGAAGAGAAAATTGACAAGAATGGTCAGAACCAAAGCCACTATCAATATGCAATTTCTTAAAATTGTGAACAGGAGCATGACATTGTCATGCTAAAAGGGTTGGATTTCTAGTGTAAAGTTTTTTACAAGGGTGATATTGCAAGGTTGATACTTGCCTCCTTATTTTTTTGTACGAGAAGTTTCATGAATGATTATATCTCAAATTATAATTTTTTGTCTCCAATAGGTGTGATAGTCATCAGTGTATTCCAAATAGTACAGTTTGTGATGGCGATCCCGACTGTGAGGACAAATCGGATGAACTACACTGTGGTAATTATTATTGTAAATTACTTCATCACCATCAGTATTCAGCATTACAGAAGTGCCCTGATTATTCATCGATTAGCAGCAAGTGCTGTGTCAGATATCAAAAAAGTTGGATAGTCAAAATCACTGAAAGTCACACTGAATAAATGCCATTTGAGGCTCTGTTTGTAACCAAAATGAGCAAGCTTGGCCAATTTCCTATCATCTTTCCAAAAAATTGTCATATAATCGGCAAATACTAAAAAAAAACCACTTATATTTGCAATTATTTTCCAAAAAACCGTTTTTTGATGTGTTGGCCAACATTTGTTCAGGGAAAAACTGAATTTTTCGAATGATCACTGAAGCGACGGATAATAGGTGGTTGGATAATGAGTCAGTTAAGCTCGGGAGAGATTTGCCTGCAAATAGTCGAATCTCACAGTTTTCGGTACGAGAAGAACGATGCGCATGTTAAAATTTCACAAAAAATTGTCTCCGCGGAGATATAGCGCTTCCTTTTTAGGGGTCCTCGAAAACGTGTTTGAACCGACCGCCATGAATCTTCGAACTATACGCGTCATAGACGGGAATATGGCGGCGCCGGAGCCGACTTGCTTACTACCGCCGATGGCCGATAGGCGCCTGCTGCCGATGTTGACATCACGATTTCTCGTTTGAGGTTAAGTAAGTTCTATGTGAATGTTTCATATCCTACATACATCTGTATCGCATTCTGATTGAACAGCTTAGAGAATTAAGAACAATGGATATGAATCTCAAACAAAGTAACCTACATAACTTCCAATTGACCAACAAAAACATACCGCCAACGCGACGCCGCCGTGTATTCTTCCACTACGCATTCCGCCGCCATATTGATCGTGACGTGTAACATGCGGCACCTACGAGCGCGCAGTTCAAATGCCGTTTTAGGCCACTCTAACTTTTGGCACTTTCAAATAAACTTTTCTCCCGTTTGCAGTCATCAAAAAAATTTAGGAAAAAAACTGTAGGCTTCGGTCACTTACTACTTTCGAATGACACAATAAAAGAAAATGACTTAACTGACTCATTGCAATACTTTATACTATACTTAAAAACTATGGTGTAATAAGCCTGAAATTTGTCAGACTAAATGCAATCATGAGTGGGTTGTAGATTTGTGTAATGGTTGAAAAACACCAAAATATAAGTCAGACAATGGAATAGTCACTTGCTAATGCAATCTCTATACAATTAAATGAATTGAAAAAATACAGGAACATGTCTTGGCATGGAATACTTAATAACATTCTTTTCTCCCTTGTTTGTTTTTCAGGCTCTTCAAAAACTTCTCAGCAATGTCCTGTGGATGCATTCAAATGTAACAACGGGCTATGTTTGACAAATGAAACTCTGAGATGCAATGAAATTGATGATTGTGGGGATAATTCTGATGAAATCAATTGTACCCATGGAGAATGCAAGTTTGGACTCTGCTCTCAGGTCTGTTATGTCAAAAAGCCTGGTCAGGTCTTTTGTATGTGCCAGGAAGGTTACAGGCGATTCGAAAATAGTTGCGACGTTGGTAAGTACCCCAATGTCTCGTGCACTTTCTTGTCCAATCTTTACGAACATAGGCATTTTTCAGTGCAAGGGTATGTTACAAAAAATATCAATCGGAGGAAAATGCATTTGCAAGCTCAAAATGCCACATTGCTGAAACTCCTAATAATTTTTTATAAGTTTAAGAACAGGGTTTCCCATGTTTATTTTAAGCATCATCGTCCAAAATTTCAAGTAGGGAGCATTTAATTTTGCCAAGGAATTTCTGTTTTAAATTGAGGTGCCATAATCTGTTTTCTGAAAAACATACTTTCAGCTAAATATTTTAAAGTCTACTTCTCTTTTTGTGCTGCTGTGTTAATAGAAAGTATCAAATGAAAATGTATTTTCTGAATCCGCAATTTTGATCTCTCTTCAAAAAAAAAAAAAAAATTACAATTTCAGGTAACAATTTTTTTTTACTTTGATAAAAGTAGGTCACATAAAAGACCAGTTAAATGCAGCTTTCATGACTGTTAAATGACAGCTTTTGCGTTTTGCAGACATTATCAGGAAGGAGTAACCTGCAAAACACGACAGAGCTTAAAAATAATGAAATGAAAGGAAGAAATAGTCTCGCTGACTGGCTTTAAAAGGAGTATGCTGATCATGCTCTGTTGATCTTAGTCGTAGACTCTTCAATATCTTTTATCTGAAAACGCTTCAGGTAGATGCTCAAAGCTTTCCTTGATGGAAAAGAACCAGGAGTGATAAATTACTTCAACCGCAATATCTTTGCCTTATCAACACAACACCCTTACATCATAGATTTTCCCGCATTTCCCAGAGCAGAATATTCTAATATGAACCAGTAATTGTATTCAAATTTTTCCCAAAAGATATTAGTTTCATCGTTAGTTCCTCTGTTGATGGAAGCAAGAAAAATTTGTTGATAACAAGTACTTTAAAATACATATTTAAGTCTTTAGTTTCTCTTATAATAATATTTATTGTTTGTTTTTTCCTCAAAAGTCTTACATCCTGTTCTACTGGTGGCAGGCGAGAAAGCTTTGCGCATTTTTGATGTGAAAGAAAAACACATCTTTGAAACTGACAAAGTTCTAACTACTCATGCTCAAAAAATAAATTCCGTGGATGTGCTTCGGCTACCAGGGAGCGCTCATGCAATTTGGTCAGACAAACATTCTAAGACCCTACATAAATATACCTTTGAGTCATCTCCTCCCAATGTAACACTCGTCTCCAAACCAGAAAATCCTTCAAAACTAGTCGTAAGTATTCTTTAAGTTCGAAATATGTTATTTTAGAAAAAGAGTGAATTTTTTCGTTTAATTTTTGCAGCGTCCTCCTGATTTAAGCAATTAATTTTTAGTATGAAGAAGGAAAATGCATTATAGTGTAGTAGTTGATTCAGCAACCACCTATGAGACTTTTTTCACCCTTTTTTGTACATCATAATTTTCACATAAGTCGAGGGAATAATCCAAGAAAACAACTCTAATTCATGTCCTTAAGGTGAGGATCCCAAAGGGATTTGCTGATCACATGAAAATATATGACACGTTTGTGTGGTTTGGTTCCTTTTTATGTGATAAAAATCGAAACTACTCATTTTCTCCTCTGATATAATGCTCTGATTAATTTCCTTTTCTACTATTTAGGTCGCTGATATGTCTAATCCGCGGAGCATAGCCTTCGACTGGATAGGAATACGTCTGTACTGGATTGAATCTGGTCATAATTCAATTAAAGCCTCAGACCTTGATAGAAATCGATCAGTCACCCTGTTAACCAATAGCTCTTCCAGACCCTATGATTTAGTCGTCTATTCGCCTCTTGGGTAAGTTATTAGTGGCCAACATCAAACAACAATATCCTACAGATATACAGTCAACTCTCTTTATAACTTTTGTGAAAACTTTTTCCGGTCAAAATATTCCGTTTTCAGATCCTGTTCTAATTTCCTGTAAGGATGGCATACACATTTTTTGCGTATTGTTTTGTCTCATAACATTTCCGGATGCAACATTTGGAAATTTTGGCCTGGTGCAAAGGAAACAGCGTTGTATTGATCACTGAGCATGGTGAATTGTGAAAAAGACAAGTAATGATAACTTGAACTTTGCGCTCTTGTATTATGACATTAAAAGTAGCTGCAGGATTCTAATCTCCATGTCCTTCTCTTATGCTTGAGACAAAAACTGGCGAAAAAATTATCTGAATAATTTATGAAGTAAAACTCATACCCCTTTCTTGTGTAGGAAAATGAAACCATCAAATTTTATTTATAGTTTATATCTATCGATGTATTATATCTTTATAGGAAAATGATGTGGACTGACTGTGGAATTAATCCAAAAGTAGTAGTAGCCGCAATGAATGGCAGCAACCCTACATCTTTGGTTGAAACATCCCTCAAGTGGCCTACTGGTATCGCTTATGATCCTCCAAGCGAGCGAATATATTGGGCCGACTCCAAAAGTCAAACCATTGAATGTATTCGAATAGATGGAAGGGACAGAAGACTCATTGCCAAGTTCAGCAATGGTATTAAACACCTTTCTTAATTTTTTTTTTTTTTCATCTACATATCTTCATCACCAGGCAATATTTTCCCTTCACCCTCTCTCTTTTTATCCTGTGTAATGCCTTAGCTGGCCAACAGGCCTATCAATCCTATTATGCTAATAAATAGATCTTGTCCAATTATCTGCGAATCAAGTCCGCCATCCTATTGTCATTCAAGAATGTTGAGAATGAATGAAATTGCACTCTTGTATTCCTTTTTTTAGTGACAGCTGAGGTGAATTTTTAATTTTCTCTCCTTTTTTTTGCTTTCACTCTCTTTCGGTTTTTCCTTTTTTTAGTCATTGGGAAAATTGTTTCATAAAAATGCAATTGTTTTTTAAAGAAGAGTACAAATTATAGGCACAATGTGAAAACATTGATTCAGAATCGGTCGGTTTTCCTTTCAAACTCTTTATATAAGTTTGACTACTTTCCATCCGGAGAAGAAAGATAGAGAAATTATGTATTGTCATTTTGATGATCACTTTGGATATCGCACACAATTTTTATGGCTTATAAATGTCTCATTGTTTCTTGCAGATACAAAACCGTTTAAGATTGACGTATTCTTGGACGATCTTTTTGTGGTGTTTTATTTTTCAACATCAGTAACCCGTATGAGCAAGTTTGGGGATCACATTGTCTCAGATCAGTTCAGAATGAACGCAAGTATCATTGCTGAAGGACTTGATCCAATTCTGGACATAGCTATTTTTCATGAGAACAAGCAAGGTTTTCCTGAGAGTAGTAAGTACATTTAGTCCAATTTTTAGAGTCATTTTACTTTTTTTTTTGCACTCTTCATTCACAGGAAGTCACCGATGCCCACTGTAGAAATATTCTATGTGTACCAATTTTGAATATTGGAGTATGGCAATTCCTCAACAACATGACTCATGATCATGCGCAAAGGTGAAATTGCTTGCTTGCTCCATTCATGCCTCAACTTTGGAAGCTTTCTTTGAGCTTTGGAGTTTCTTCAGAGAAAACCAGCGGCACCATCATGTTTCTTGCGAACTTTTACAATGGAATCAGTGCTTAAATCGCAAATTCCTGACACATACAAAAGCTCCATTACTGCATGTTTGAGTGGGTTACTCTGAATGTTTCAAAACAATATTTATGTGCGATACTTAATTAGTAAATTTTTAGAAATCTTCAAGCTCGACTTTTTCTCAGTCTGAAGAAAATATTTTTAGACACTTAGGATTTAGGCAAAAGTATGGGGCAGGTAGCATTTTAAGGAATGTTGGTTAATTGGTTTAATACAACAAGGCAACATAGGTAACATGGAGTACCAGGAAAAATTGCAATCCTCAGTGGCTCAAATATAAGTTTTTGTAGAAAAATTGTGGTGAACCATTGTAATGTTGTGATCCTTTCATGTTTTACTCACATTGGAAAGTTAGTCTTTGGAATGACCAGTAGATTAGAGGCACCTTCATTTAACCTATTCATCACCAATGCTGAAAAAATGAGCTCTCAGCCGGCCTCTTAGAAGAACTCTTAACTTACCAAAATTCAAAATGATTACCTCTGAAGTCAAGAAAAATACTCATTATATTTTCAAAAGTAAAAATTTTTATCGGTGGATTTTTAGCATTGTTTGAATACTTGTATCTGATACAGAGTTGAGTGCTTCTGTGGATGTCAGGGTATCGCCTCCTTTACGGTGTCAGTTTTTGGAGCTTGGAAGTGAGTCTAAAAAATATCAGCAGCACCATCAAGTTTCTCTTAAAATTTTACAAAGGATTGTATGGTGAATTGAGAATCTCTGCTGCGTGCATCAACTCCATTTATTGCCTCAAATTCTTTCATTGGTTTTTGTGACTTTATTTTCAGTGGTGAACCCATGCGCGAATTCAGCTTGTCACCCAAGCGCCATCTGCCTCATTACGCAAGCTGCATTGGACGATGTCCCTAATTCAAAATTTAATATAAAAGCATCTTGTCACTGTCCTGATGATTTCAAAGCGGCTAATCATCCCATGAATCCACGGGTAAGTAACAATATCAAATCTCATTAAACTTTACTGTTTTACAAAATGCAACAGAGAGGAGGAAATTAAATCCAAGAGAAAGAATGAGTCACATAATTAAAATATGAAATACCAATAAAATTTTAATTGACGAAAAGTAGTCAAATTATTCATTTTTTTCCCTTTTCATATGATTTATCCCTCTTGCCTCATCATTTTTATTTTTGATTTCTCGGGACAATGAACTGTGAGCTTTTTTTCTCACTGGTTGAGCAACATTTATAATTTTTGCATCTTTTGTTTACCAGGAAGTTCAGTGTATTCCAAAAGATGAAGGAGTTGATCTCTGCTCTCAAATTAAGTGTGTGAGAGGCACATGCAATGTCACCAACAACAAGCCTCATTGCGTCTGCGAAGATATGTATACTGGTGACCGATGTGATGTGTACATTTGCTCGCAACATTGTCACAATAGAGGCGACTGTTACCTTGCGATGCCGTTCCGCCTGATAAAGGTGAACTTCAACTATCCTTTGTCTACCCTTCTTTATCCATGTCTATCACTTATCTATATCTATCTATATTGATTTTAATAATATTATTAAGACATTTGCACAGTTTTTTATCCAAAATATCATACCTGAAAAGGACTTTCTTAAAAAACGTCATACCAAAAAAGATTTTCAGTATTGTAACAACATTAACTAAACAGTCCTAATTTGGAATGGATCCTAAACAATTTCTAGTTCATTTACAACAGGAGCAGCAAAGCACAACACCGAAAAAAGTGAAAAAGAGGTTGTCAAAATGTGCCAGAAAGGGAGGACAATGAACGTTTATGAACAACTGGAAATAAATATATACCTAAATGCAATTTACAAGGAAAAATGAACATTCCACTAGAAAGCAATGTACACCCATATCACCACCAACAATGATGTAGTACTTTAAGGAGAGGAGAGAGGATGTCTAAATAGTAGAATTTATTAATAAGATAGCGACTGCGCAAAAAAAGCTCAATACAACCGTGACCGATAGTGCACATAAATCAAGCTTTTCTTTGTTTTTTAAAGAAACCTGACAATGTATGTTTGAGTCCAAGACTGCTGCAGTTTAAGAATCAAGGATTCACAAGTAAAAAAATTAGTGAGAACTTTCTCACTCAGCAAAGCAGCGGGTTTACCTTGAATCTTTGCCTCAGTTATCCTTCTTTTCATATTTCCAACATGTAATAATTCTTGCAGTGTAATTGTCAACCTGAATGGACTGGTCCAACCTGCGAAACTCCAAATCATGGCTGTTTGACGCCTTGTGTGAATGGTGGCTCTTGTCTCAATCCAGAGTACAGTGGTTATGGTCAATGTGCTTGTCTTCCCGAATTCACTGGTCAGTAGTAGAGTTGCGTATTTTTTTCCACTAAAAAATCTGGCGATGTAGGTATCACTGAGATGAGAAATATCAAGATTAATCACCCAATTTAAAAAATCACACGAAAATAGCATTGGTGGAAAAGAGACAGTGCCAAACTTTGCACCTAATTTTTCTGTTTTGAAGATAAGTGAGGTTATCAGGTTCACGATTTTGAGAGCCCAGTAGTTTATAACTTGTTATCTTCGCTCAGTGATTTAAATTGTCTAATTGTAAGACCTATCTTCAGCAACTCATTTTAGCTCAAATTAAAATGACTTCAAATTGACCAATCGCAAACAATTGTGCTCAGCAACTTCAATCGTTTCTTTCAACTGTCTTGTACTTGTAGCTTGTAAGGGGAAAATGCGAGCTATTTCTGGTTTCCAACCAGAACCTTCAAAGCTTGTTTTTTCTATTTTATTGATTCGGGAGATGTGCTGCTACAACTCATGAGCGTCAGAAGTTAATATATGTTTTGCACCACAATTTAAGATAATCACTGAAAATGTCCAGTGAGGAAGACAGATAGGAAGTATCCCTATTTTTCAATATTCTCAGTAAAATTAAGATTTTATAAAAACGTTATGACTGATGCAACTTTGGTTTTGTTATGTTCAACTGAAATAATCTACACGGTGTTTTACAAGATGTTATTGATTGCATCTTTTTTTCTGTTAATTGACTTGCTAATTTTCAGTTTGTTTTTTTCCATACCAGGTCAACACTGTGAAAATTGTATCTCCCACATGTGTCAAAATGGAGGCACTTGCTCTGTGGTTAACGGCTCAAAACATTGCACATGCCCTCCAGGCTATTCAGGAAAATATTGTGAAAGTTTTGATTGTACTGATTACTGCATTAATGTAAGTGTTATCTGTTAACAATAATGATTAACCCCTCCATCATCCAATCCAATCCATGAAAGTAAGAAAAAAAAAAGAAAAAAAAAGCTCACTTAACGCTTACATAAGATGAAAATTTCAATGAGCTGTCACATTGATGAAATTTCATGATAGCTGAAAGCGCAAAACTTTTGAAGAACCATTTTGTAAGATGGATCCAAAATTAAACATCAGGAAGTTGAAACATTCCACTCAACAGTCTCCAAACTCAAATGAAGTGAAACCACAAGGTTCGGCGCAAATGTACTTTTCTACCTGGAAATCAAATTTTAGGCAATGCAATTTCAATTTTTTATCTGCATTTTAGTGAAAAGCGAGAGATAGAATGTAACTCAAGTAATACTACTTAGTTGCAGTGCTGCACAGTATGAGCTGTGTGTGGATGGTGCAAAACTGATGTTTCTTTACTTGTCGTATTTTTTCATGTAGCCGATGAGAGTCTTAGAAATACGAGACTTTTAATAATATTTTGCTCGTTTTTCATACTTCTTTCCAGGGAAACTGTTCGCTACAAAATAATGTGCCTACTTGCAACTGCTATCCTAATTATGGAGGTAAAAGGTGCGACAAGGATATTTGTGAAGATCTTTGTCAAAATGGAGGTATGATTTTTCCACTTGAAATAAAATGTCCCGTTGTGTGATATCATTTTGTAATATCATTTTAATCACTGAACATTTGCTGGCGTATTGATGGTCACTACCCATAAACTTTACCACCAAGTATCACCTCTTTCTCGGGAAAAAAGTACTTTCCAACAGTAAGTAAGTAAGTAAGTAAAGGCCGGGCTGTGGGGCGCTTTCAAGGGGCTAAGGCAACTGGCAGGAACTGCCGTTGTGCACCCCGGAATTGAACCGTGCTCCTGAACTAAATCTCATGATACTTTCTCACATTTTCTGCAAGGCTCAACGGCTGCCCGATAGCCAATGGTATGTCTTATCACGACTGTGACGGATGGATGTTTGGAGCATGGCCAATGTTCCACCAAGTTGGATTGTGTTGTCTCAATCTTAATTGATAGGTAGCGCTGATAGTTGCGCACACTAAGAGTGATCAACGATTTTTTCACGACCCAGACGAACCGTGCAGGCAGATTGCTTACTGGTTGACTACGTCCCGCCCACACCCTGTTATCTCAAAGGGTCAGGGTGTTAGATTGTTGGAGTGCTTTCCAGCAGTATGTTCATAATCAACAAAGAATAGGGACTTAACAATCCAAGCTGGAGTATTGTATGAATCAATCCCTTTTCAAATGAAGCACAAAAATTTATCTCTAAAATTGCACACTGCAATCGGTGCTTCGTAAAGTTTTGACCCATACGTTATTTTTACAAAAGAATAAACGAATTGTTACGAGCTTAGAAGGACTTGCCCCAATAGGTAAAACCAGATGGAAATTATATGGGTTTGAATTCTACAGATTATGAAACGTAGTTTCGAGAAAATTATGTTAAAAATTGTGATCTGTTTGAAATTTTCCTTGTTCAGAATAAGAAATTTCCAGATCATGATGCAACTTTACGCAGCCCATAGGCCAAAAAATGAGCTGAACCGCTCGCAACTTACTCTATAGGGCACCAGAAAAAGACCCAACAAAAACAAATAATCCAGTTTTTTGACCCAACTCAGAAAAAACTGCTCTGTCGAAAATTTTACCTCCGTGAGCTAAGATCCTTTTTCCATGGACGGTCGCTTATACTAATTCTTTAACTCAAACATATTTCTCTTGTACATATTTCAGGAACCTGCAAATACTCTGCAAAGTCTCAATTTTGTGAATGCGCTCCCGGTTTCACCGGACGACGCTGTGAGACGAAACTGTGTGTGGATTGTGTGTGTGACCCGCGCTACAGATGCGAGTGCCCACCTCATTGTAATACAACAACGCCCCAGCAACCAGCTCAAGTTTGCAGTCCTGATTACTGTCTTTATGGAGGAACCTGCTATACTATCAGTCAGAAACCTGTATGCAAGTAAGTTTTAACACAAACTTTCCGTAAGTCACCTTTATTTATACAGGTTCTCCTTGGAATTTTATCTTTCATCATTCTGAAAAGACAGAATGTATATCACACAATACATTTTAAATGAACAGATACTCAGGAGAAATTCTAAAACTAACAGTAAACAGTGGTGGCAAAAATCAGATACTCATTGGATAAAATTCATTACTTTGAATTGAGGCCATTGCACGAATAAACCACCCTTACGCTTATTGAATCTCCTCTTCCTTCACCCCTGTCACCCTTAACCTTATAGTTATTCCTTACATTGGTGATACAGAATCATTGTACCCTCAGACACCACTGGTAGTGATGGCATACCGGTGTTGAGTTCTTTGGCAAAGAAAATCCAGTCATTTTTGACCTTTGGACGGATAGATAGAATAACATCCTTTACGCCTGTGTGTGATTGTTTCACCAGTGAACATGCTATTGCTGTGTGCATCACTGCTGCAGGTAGTTTAGCGATAAATTTTCAAGCTGAAGAAAGCACTCGACCTATAACTGCAGATGAGTATGCTCCCTTCCAGTGGCGTGGCGTGCTGCGATGCATTGATTGTTATGCCATTTAAACCTAAGGAAAAGAATCAATAAACAGGGTGCTCGCAGCGAACACCTCGGTAATCAATTCTTTACCGTAGGTTTAAATGGTAAAACAATCGATACATTGCAATTCACGCCACGCCACTGCTCCCTTACCTAATTTTATAAATTTTGGAGATGGTTTGTGACCCAGGATTGACTGGAATAACAATCATCAATAAGTAGTTGAGTGATCACACCTAAGAATTGAACGGATAATCACATTGCTGCCGTAGCAGATAACATGAAAATTTATGTGTTGCATTTTAAATTATTTCAAGTGAAAGTGCGGTAATATGATTGGAGAGGGCACAAGAGCCTATGTTGCAGGCCCTGCGCCTGCCCAAGGGCAGCGTTGAAATTAGGGAGGGAGATGAGCTGTTTACATTTATAAACAGAAGGATGTGATAGGGGGAATGCAAAAGAAGACCGTGGAAAGTCATTGATACAACTGAATTCAAGTAAAAAATTCCAGGAAAACTTTTTAAAGATATTGCAAGGTTTTAAGTAAAAAAATGCTACATGAACTCAATCTGAAGAGAAACGAATCAGTATGATTTTTTAAGTTCAACCATTAAGACTTCTTATTTTTGTAAAATGTACAGAAAATGTGAAGTGGCAGATTGAATTTAATATTCCTCTTTTGTAGTTTAAACCCTCTGCTGGGTTGAATAACCAGTTTTATCGCCTTTTTCACTGAGGATTTTTTTTTTTTTTTTTTTTTTTTTTTTCACAGATGTGTATCACATTGGATTGGTGAAAGATGTGATATATTTTCTTCTAATGCAAGTGTTTGCGAAGACGTGTGTGAAAATGACGGAATCTGCACACTAATTCCTCCTAATAGTCCAGTATGCACTTGCCTTCCTGGCTGGACAGGCTCGACTTGTGGAAATCACATATCTTGTCTGTCATTTTGTTTCCATCAAGGGACGTGCTACCCGTCAACAGAGCCGGATATGGATCCAACCTGCTCGTAAGTAGATCTCGTTTTTTATCATATATAAACAGACATCGGTCATTTTTTGTGGATTGCACAGAAGATGATCTTGTATTGTTACGTTGCATTGATCAATGTAAAAATGACAAAATTCAAAAACTTAATGGGTCTTTAAAGGAATCGTCAACATCTGTTGTCATCTTCCCCCGTTTTTTACCCTGTTATACTGCTTCCACCACCCTATTTCTGTCCATTTTGGTCTATAACTCATGTCTTTTTTTTCTAGCTGCCCCCCTGGTTATGCAGGTTTACGATGTCAAACAAAATTACAGAGCCGACTGCCTTCCTCTTTGAAGAAAGGAGGATCATCTGTTGAATTTTGGGTCTATTTATTACTACTGGTGGTAATAATCAGTATAGCGTCCATTTATTTAATCATTTTCTTCCGGAAAAGAAGGTTAGTATTATCATGTAGATATAGCAGTTACTTTTCTTAACTACTAGATAGTCCATGGACCTAAACCAATATCAACCATGCAAATTAAGTGTAACACACCTTGTCATTGAAAATTCGCAATTTTTGTTAACTGTAGATGCTGGCACGCGTCATAAATTGGGTCTTAACAGAACACCTCGAGAGTGTTTTTAAAGCGCCTGGTAGCTGTAGTTTTCAGGTTCGAGTCTATGATGTACTGTTTGTTGCACATTTTGCTCAGACAGAAACTCTCCCAAGACATGTCTGTAACGGCAAAAAGATGGTTCGTGCGATTCCAAGGAATGTTACGGGGACGTACGTCTCCTGGTAACATGCGGCAGAACTCTTAAGCTTAAATAGGCTCTAGAAATCCATTTTGCCTTATTTTGCCCTTTTGGGAAGGCAACATGCAAGACTTTGGGGTTACGTCCCGAGCATGGAAAGTTGCTATCTGTTTTTAAGTGTGTAATTCTGGTGGTGACGACAGTTCTACGAAATTTTCATGGCCGAAAAAGCTCTATCCAACTGAATACCGATTCGATAGGAACGACTATGAATAGGACGATTTTCCGGCTGGATATGGTTACCTGCAAAAATCATTTTTGGTTAGATAATCTGGCATTCCGGTTGTTTGCCATGTATTCAGTCCAACTTTAATGGTTGTAAATGTGTGTAAAAGTTGTTGCAATGTATAAAGTTGCAACATTATTTTCAATGAATAACTCATTGACTTCTGTTTTCAGTGCTGGTTTTGTTCACATGAGAATGCCAGAAAGTATTGAAATCACAAACCCAATGTACCTGAGAGAAGATGTTGATGATGAAGGTGAAACATTAGAGAGAAGTTTTGCAAATGATTTATTGAAGGTGAGTAAGTTTAGTTAGATTGTCAAAAATATGAAATTAATATACCAAAGTTTTGCAGACAGTATGATGATTAAAATAATTTCATCATCTGTGCTCATGGAAAATTTTGTTTTTAATCGATGCGATACTCTGGTTCAGCCAGAGGTGGACCTGCGGCAACGGCAGGTGGTCTGCGTAGAATTGAATTTACTTGCAAACCAGCCAATTAATTCTCAAAATGTTAAGTTTGTTTTGAAGCTAGGATAGCTTATCTATTTGTAGTATGCACCTTTTTACTACTTTGATTTATCCTCTCTAGTTTGTTAGATAAGTAGTGGAACTTACCTATTGGGTAACTCTCACATAAACTTTAAAATTTTTCAAAAGTTTACCGTTTTTGAAAAAAGTCAAAGATTTCTGCCCAAGGAAAGTAAGCTAGCTTTAGTTTTTTTCCCAATTCCTAATGGACACCAACCTTTTTTACTTGATGCAAGGGGCTGTGCTCTGTAGAATTGCTGTTTGTACTTAAGATTCAAGTTTTTTTTCTCCTTTTTTTTCACACTATACTATTTTTCTTCACATTTTAAAAAAATATAGTTGCTTAACTAGTGTAATGAAGCACTGTATCATCCTTTGTTCGTTTCAGACAAGCAATTTTGGCAATCCTGTCTACGAATCCATGTACAGCGATGCAAAAGAACGGGATGGGCTTGGTGCTGTAGAAGAAAAGAAAGGTTTGCTTCAAGGGAATGGTGCTCCTGATAAAAGTCATCCTCTAGCTGATAGCCAAGAGACACTCTAGAGCAATTGAAACCAAGAGAGACTGATTTCTCTCATATCAACTTCATAATTGGTCAATTTTTTGTCTCATAGAATTTATTCTCTAGTCAGAAAAGTTAGCTACGTTTGTCTGCCAGTACCAGAGGCTTTCTAATCAATTGGATCAAAATGCTGTAAGCATATGTCTAGTAAGCTTTTATCTTATTTTCTCAATAGCATCAAGTAGTTGCTCTGAGTAGGGCTGAATTAGTATATGACGAGTTACCCAAGAGACTTCAGTATTGTGTAACACACTTATTCTGTTTCCTCTCCCTACCTCCTTCTTGTAAGGCACTCAAACTATACATCTTAGCCTCCCCTCGTGACTTACTTATTGTTGAGCATAACTCAGCTCTTTAATGTTTATTAGCAAATAATAGTTATTTCTAAAAAGACCATAGGTACGGTTTTATAAAGATTGAGACTGAAAACAAAGGAATATGGTGCTACTTAAACTTCCCTTTTATACTGTTTGATATTCTCTATTCCAAGCACTATGAGTCTCAAAACTCGAATTTTCTCTGTTCTGTGTCAAAAAGAGGGCTGAGAACAGATTTTTTTAATGTTTTCTCTTGTGTTTTCCGGTTGACATTTTGTAACACTGTCAGAATGTCAATCAAACCGAACCTCTTCTTCCTTACTGGTAAGAGACCATAACGACATCAAAAACATAGCCTCTTTAGATTTTGGTTTCAAATCTTTCCGGACTCAAAGGAAGCAATATATTTAGATGTGAAATGGGTTGTAGAAAAGCCGAAAAATTCACATTTTGGTTCATTGAAAGTTTCTTTTTAGAAGCTTATCATGCTTAAAAGGTCATGAGGAACATCGTATTTAACAAATAATTACATTTCTGCGCTTCCATTGAATCATTCTACAAATTCAGACCTCAGCTTCCTTCTCTCCTCATAAATCATTATAAAAGGGGTTCAGACCTTGCCTCCTCTCAAGTGTGTTTCATAATATCTGAGCACTCTCCGATTGGGTGGTGTTTATTTGGAAGTAACCAACTTCTTTGCTTGTTTTTCCGCTATTGATTTCTTGTCCAGAAAATTACTCTCACGAACAAGTTAAAGAATTTGGTTCCTTATTGTTAAACGTTGTCATAATACTTCCTCAGGTCGTATACCCGAGCACTCTACCCTTGTTGTTCCGATAACCCCAAATTAAGAATGCCGAAAACTGGCCTGTTCACCACTTTTCATGAAGGTTGCTCAACCAGACTGGGATGTTCTCAGCCATAAAGTGATTTTAAATAATTGATCCTAGAGTGTATGGACCAGTTTTATGAATTTCAATGTGAGATAATGTGCCAATTTTACTTGATTCTTTGTGAATGGTTAATCTATGAGAGCCTTTTTTATTTCTGTTCGCATTTGTATGTCTTTTATTCTGTATTTGATATGTGTAACTTTTTCTACTCCAAGTTAATTTAAGGATACTAGGGGATTTGGGTACCATAATAATTATTGATATTCATGAATATATTTCGGAATATATGATTGACCTGTAGCTTTTATCGTATGATCCTGTCAAACTGTCGATCTTGCAGTGTTGCCAACTTTAGATAGGTAATGAGGGTTCATGTTTCGTTCTCTGAATTACTCATGTGAAGAATTCAACTGAAATATCCTGATCAGTATCACTCTTATTTTACTTTTTTTTAAAAAAAACTTGAATCCTCTTTACCGGTAAAAACGCTGTAACGATACTGACTTTTTCAATGATCAAAAGGGATATTTTTAAGAAAAATTCTCCTCTCAAAAACCATGTTCACTAAAGAATCAAATAATGATCTGTTAAATTTATAAATTACTCAAGTCTACTAAAACATGTTGCCATCTAGAGCTGAAGTAGAAGGAAGGGAAGTCTACTTATGAACAAATCGCAATTGCACTCAAGTCTTTCCCTCTACTTCAAATTGGCAAATGTTGCGGCAAAAGCACTGATTTTAGCCAGCTATGCTAGCTCTATTGAAATCTTAAATCCAAACAACATAATGTATTACATTACTTAGTGTATTTAATTTTCTGAGATGAACATCAATTTCATTAATTTTGTCCTACGTTAACATTGAAAAAATTGTAGAATAGTTCCTGCTACTCCCATGCCATATTACCATGTAGGTTTATCTATTGTATCGGCCCTTCTGGAGCGCAGAACAGACATAGATAGTTTCACTGAGATGGCGCAATTGATAAATGTTGCCATTTTTCATTTTGTTTCTGTGGGAACAGGATTCATTTCAGCCTATTTTCAGGCTCTCATTCTGTCGCTGCATCAACTAGTTCCTTATCGGGGGAAATTTTAGCAAGTTTGCAGCAATATCAGCTTTGTATATGAATTTTTTTTTTAAAGAAGATCTATCAAAGAATCAGTAAACATGTTATTAAAAAGAAGTTTCCACAGTTGTTATACTAATGTGTAAGTGATCAGAGAGAAGGCTCTTGTCAAATATTCAGTTGCCAATAGTTCATGAATATGTTTCATAAATTGAATCCTGTGATTTATAATAAGTTAAGATTAAGTTGTATGTACCTTTATTTAGTGCTGTAGTTACGATGTAATTGATTCTCTTTTTTTCCCTCTTCCATTTTCTTTTTTTAAGAATTTGAGTGAGTTCCTTGCTGAAGCAAACCTAAATTTGTGACATCAAGGTTATACTTCATATATTTTCTTTTCTTTTTTACGATCTTTTTAGATTGATATTCATAGGTCCATCACGGATTTGAAATGCATACCATTGTTCTCTTTACACTGGCACAGCTGGAGACATTGCTAGAATGTAAAATGTGAATACAACCCCAGAAATATTATGACTGAATAAGACTGAGGTCTGCAAACCTTTAAAAGTAAGATCCCAAATATAGTGACCAGTTTTTTCCGTCCACTACCTGTGCCTTAAGTAATTTGGCCACTGAATCGCCACTGGAGAATACGAGTGACATTGAAATGATGCTTTACAAGCGTCTCAGTTCGAATTTTCACTTCCTGACTTTTTTTCTGTAAATCTGGGAAAAAACTTTCAACCGTAACAAATTCAACTATCTTTGATTTCAAAATGTATCGCAGGATTTATTACATAATTGATGATTACTAGTTTTTTAGGTGTTGTAAATTCTACTCCTGAATTTTTTTAAATATTTTCCCCTCCTTATTAACTACATATTGTATTACTGTTATTTGTCCCTCCTTCCTCAACATATGATTCAGAGTTATTGAAGTTGTCTGAAGCAAAAATAGAATATTGTTGAACAAAATACTACAGCTCCCGTTAAGTGAGGCATGATGATAGTATTTCTTCAGCATTCCTTGAAAAAATTTATTTATACCAGTTTTATTTGTAAAAGTGGCATTACATATCATTTTTGTGAACTCAAGCTCGTATTGTAAGCCAACAAGAACACCAAATAGCGTTAATCGCCAATGAGAGAGCAGTTATTTTTTCCAATTTCTTGCATTTTCTCAATGTGAAACTATCTAGGCAATGTTACTTTCAACAAGTACTTCAACAATAAATTTTCGAGCATGTGCACGCCTAGATAAGGTGAAAGTTGTGACATTACCTAAGCAGTGCTATCAGACTGTGTTAAGGATGGATGGTTCCGTTGTTCAGAGCTCAGATATCTAGCTTTACCCTCGTTGTCAATAAATATGTTTTGAATAGAATGTTTGAAAATACCATTAACATTAATCAGATGCCGTGTAAATGCTCTTCATTACAAAAGAAACCCCTAGTGATAAGAGCCCCGTTGCTCCAGTAGACAACCAAGTAATACAGCCAACAATGCTGAGTAGAAATCACTTCCCTCAAACAATTTTACGGATCATAAACATGCAAACCAGCAAAAACTGTAACGATTCAATCTGTTTCCCCCCTTGTTCAATCCATGCTAATCTCAGTTTAAGGAATTCTTTGTTTGTGTTGATATTATGTGAAATTTTGAAGGGGAAAACCTCATAGGTGAAGCATTCTTTTCCTTAGGTATACCTTGTCTCGTGGTCCATCATATATTGAAGAATGTAGCATGTGTGCTCTCTTTTATTTTTGTTGACTTAGATCAAATTAGTTCCTACTTCTGTAATCTCTGAGAAAACTCCATTGCTTCTCAAGGAGACTGCGTGCATTTTCAGCAAAATTTGACACAAAACTGTTTATTTTAGAAGAAAAAAGTTTAGTGGTTGTGAGGTTGGCTAATTCTGTGCAAGTGCTGTCGTCTTTTATTGCGACAGGTCTGAGGTTTATTATTACTATCAGCAAGGATTAATTATTTTCACTATCGTAAATAATTATTATTATTTATAAAAAATTCATTTATTTTACGTTACTGATTGTAAATGATGAAGTATTCTTCCATCAAGAGTACAAGGGTTTGGACTCACTTTTCTTTCCTTTTCATTGACCATAAAAGGAAGTTTAAGTCTCCTATGAGTTTAACCCGAGGAAAGAATCTTCGGAGCTTTATGTAGAGACCTTTCTACAGTCCTGCTTCATATGGAGAGCATTATCAAAATAAAGGTGAATTTTATTCTTTTTATGTTACAGTTTGGACATTCCGGTAAAACTTTTTTATTTTTATATAATTTCTTCTAAAGTTTTCAATTTTCTCGTCAGGTAACAAATTTATATTTAGTTGATTCTTTTTATATTTATGCTCATTTTATATGTATTTTACCAAAACAGAATTTGTTAGGAAAAAAAAAAATTTATTTCGTTTAGTACTTTTTCTTAGCAATAATCATTGCTTGTGTTGGTTTTGTTTTCTCATGTAGAAGGAAAGATTCTTACTTTCCTTTTAATACTACTGTTCTCTTATTTTGTTATTTTTTATCGCCGTCAGGAGGGACACTAACTACCAAGTGTTCAACCTCAATCATAGTTGAATTAAGTTTGGCTCTTTTAGAAAGAACCCTTCAAAACTTTTAAACCTTTATGGAAGTTTTTGTGAATTTCATGACCCTCATTGCAAAAAAAATTAGTACTTCGAAGTGTCATGAGGTGTTTCAAGACATTATTTGCCATTGATATTTATCTTAAATAATTATTACCTTATAGCTCTCCATACCTCATCAAAATATCAAAGTGTAATACTTAATGGGATGGGAAACCGTTTTTTGTGATGAACATTGTATAAAACTGACTGATAAATCTAAAAAGGGAAGGGTTAGAAGTAGTTGTTGCCAAGCTGGAGATACATTGCACAGAACAAGTTAGCCCCAGTATGGTATGAGATTTACACTTGAACCTATTACTCACGCACCTGAACAACCTATGGATATCTGCTCATCATGGCACTGTTCTATTGCAGCTAAAGAAAATTTGTGAGAAATTTCAGCGCAGCTGCAGGAAATTCTGACATGCATCCGTCTAATAACTGTACCTTAGGAATTTGCAACACCATCTGCATCCAGAAAGAAAGAAGGCCACTACATCTAACCTTTCTCTTGCAAGTGTAAATGTCGATTACTCGTAATCTTTTATGCAATTTAGCTCTCTATTTTTTTCTACTGTAATGTAATTCTAATATTTTATTAATAATTTTTTTTTTTTTGCTAAGAAATAGGTATGCCATTTCAAGTTCATGATTTTCATCGGTGTTATTTTCATTTTAAAAGTTGATTGTTTTGTATTTTCTTTTTGTTTTGTGGCTCTATGTTTTTTGTTTTGAACAAATGAATGAAGAAAAGAGATGAGTGAGAAATAAGTGGGAAATGTATAGTATTAAGAAAGTAATGCGTAGAATCAAACTGATTTGAAGCTCGTCAATTCTATCAGACAGTTCATCTTATAGAACATGGGAAATTGCTCAGTCAAAATCCCATCTTAGAAACATGTATGACCAAATTTTTAGGCTCCCCAAAGCCTGTAAAATATAAAAAATACAAGTAAAATTGTGCCAATCAGTGCTGAAACGATTAAACATGTTCTCATTTCTAAAATTATGTCATTTTTTTTTTTTTTAAAACTATTTTTTCCTCTGTTTTTCCAGCCTGACGCAAGTTATTTTTCCTTTCGTTTTTCTAACCATAACTATTTCTTCTAATTTGAAAAACCAAGAGCATGATTCCAAAAGGGAAACTTTCTTAAATTCTTCCCATTTTTTAGGAGAAAAGAGAAATTGTTTGAATCATTTTTCCTGAAAATATAAAGAGAACCCTTTCCTGTAATTTAAAAAGTAGGCTCATTTGATAGGACAAAAAAGATAGCCTTCAGCAGTTAAAATGAAACTCGGTATTAATTCTAGAAGTTAAGTGTTAAATTACTTGATTCAAAGAAATAAAGAAGAAAGCACAGGATGGTTTTTTTGTGGAATCAACAAGAAAAATGTTGAATCTATGATATCATTGATTAAAAGGTAGTCTCAATCCAATCATGTGTACACTTCACTCTGAATTACAGATAAACAACTACATATGAATATAAAGGAGAAAAAATTTTACTTTGAAAATATAAAATGCAAAAGGCATAACATTAAAGAAACATTAAATAGATTTGAGAGTCATACAGGTTAGTGAAATGGACACATTCGTTTAACCATATTTACATAATTTTCTTCCTGTTTATTTAACTCTTTTTCGACAAATTCCAACTTTTTTCTTGCTAATTTATTTTGAGGCTCAAGAGAGATAACTTTCTTCAGATCATCGGCAGCTCTATCAAAAACTTTTAATTTGGTACGTGCTTCTGCTCGCCTGAACAATGCTTTTACATTAATGGGATAGGAACTTATAACTTTATCACATAATGCAATAGCATGTTCGTAGTTATGAAACTGCAACTGGCAAAGAGCAATGTTGTTACAAACTGAATAATACAAAGAATTTACTTCCTCTGAATATGTCTCTGTCCCTCTTAATGATATGATGTACTTGATACTTTTGCTAAACCTATGAAAAGCCTCTTTGACTAGAGAATTTTTAAATAAATCTACACCCACAGCTTTGTGTCGGATTGCTAACTCAAGTCGTTCTGAGGTATTTAGACTAAAAAAAGGCACTCCTTGAGTAAATTCCAACAGTTCGGCAGTAATCTGACAAGTATGATCATTGAATCTTAATTCTAAAACACTTTTTTCCCCTTTATTCATGCAAGTCAATGCATATTCAAAGCTGATGTCAAAGACACAGCTTGCCTCCCCTATGATTACACTGTAGACTCCCTCTCCCTGAATCCAATTGGATTTGGGTGATTGTTCGTTTAAAGTTAGATCCAAAACTTTTACTTTACACTGAGAGCCCTCTTCAGGGTACGCTCCATTGCTACCAATGATGACTGTTTTTCTTATGATAGTCTTCGGTTGTACCATGATGATTCTTATTTTGAGTTGATTTTTGGAAGAACAGTTAGGGTTTGTGACCACAGTTTTTTAGCAAGTTCTTCAGAGGTAGCTAGAGAGGAGGGGTTTTCTTCTTCCAGTGATCTGCAAAAGTTCACACAAGAAAATTCACAATTTAATTACAAAAAATAATGGTAGATGGTAAATAATGGTACAGTCGAACCTCGATAACTCGAAAACCTCAATAACTCGAAGAAAATGTCCGTTCCCTTCCGCAGAAGGCCAAAATCCTCGATAACTCGAAGAATTTGTTCCGTTAACTCGAAGACATTTGAGGCTCATTTGTACCTCAGTAACTCGAAGGAATCGGCGGTTTCCCTCAATAACTCGAAGGCAACTACCATGTGTCAAATATGTACCTCAGTAACTCGAAGGAATTGGAGAAGACCTCTATAACTCGAAGGATGCTTCGGCCCAGATAATCTCAAGGCGGCCGCAGGCAATCAGCGGTGGCAGGTTAATCAGTTTATCATCAGTTAATGTTGTGACGCGTTAAAAAAAAATGCGCAAGTGGTCCGCGTTGAGTGTCGCCCAAAAAGTGAGCATATTGGAGGCGGTGAAAAACAGAGGTGCGAAGACAAAGGAACAAATTAATTAATTAATTTAAAATTTAATTCTTGATCTTTGTGTACATATTTTTTCCAATAATAAACCATTGTCCTACCCCGATCGGTCGTGGGGTTAAATATTAGTTCCTACTTTTATTCCCCAATATTCCCTTATTATGATAACGTAAAACAAATAACGGTTTTTTTTTCTAAATTGACCTAGCACCAACCTCGAACCTCCAACCTCGATAACTCGAATTTTTCATCTCCAAACCTCGTTAACTCGAAACCTCGATAATCTCGAAACCTCAATAACTCGAATTTTTCATCGCTTCCCTTCAGCTTCGAGTTATCGAGGTTCGACTGTAGATACATAATTTTCTTTGGGCAATGCGATAACTTTAGTTAGAGGGTCAATTGTAAAAATGTTTTCCTCTTTTTGGAACTGGATAAATGACAAGATACTGGTGCTTTTCCCATCGATTGATAGCATGATTGATTTTCTCATGATTGCCGGATCCAATAGTGGAATCGAGTGGTACGATCGACCCACATTATTTCATTTGGGCAGTGGTTGGCAGAAGGAAAAGAAAACCCAACAATGTAAACTTGGAGGAGAGGAAAATAATTATCAAATTCCATGCTTCGTAAGGCTCAGTGCAAAGAACAAACTTCATGCCATATTTCTGCACATTCATAATTTTTTGCAGGTTTCAAATATCTGACAGAAAATCTGCTTCTACACCCGCTTCAAATTATCCTTCACTAAACTTTATTTAAAATGTCTTTTGGCTCTCTTTTGATAAACAAAGCCTGTTTCTGAAGAGCCTTATTGTGTCCTTAAGGCTTAACGAATAAGACAATAATTCATTGATCGATTTGATGTTTAGAAAAAATTCTACAACAAATCAGAACAATTAGAACCACTATTTTAGAATGTTGTTTGCCCAAGAATCATGAGCTCCGTCATCTTTTATCAGCAACAAATGCCATGGCCTGTACATTTTTAGACTTTCACCTTTCCTAAGGTAAGTAATTCAAATATTCTTTGAAAATTGGAACAAACTAGATTATCTTGAAAAATGTGGGCAAAATAGGTTCAAATGGAGAGTAAATTGACTTCATGGCTGCATAATGTTTGATCAATATTTTTATTTTATTATAAAAATGCTGCTTAAAATAGGCTCAGGAAACATTGCTATGAAAATTAGCTTCTGACAAATAGCTAGAATCCCTCTCCAATTTCAAGCTCTTTACCTATTCAGTCTTTTTAAACATAAGCTAAGCCTAAGCTAGGCTCAAGTGGTGGCTACCATGTATCTTATGAAAGCAGTGGGTTAAATGAGAGACTTGGAAGACAAGGCAAATGAGTGCAGTTTTTATTATTTCGAAAAAATCGAGTTTAAAGTTCTGGATTTTACTCAGACCTATAGAGTGCTCTGAATACTTTCAACATTTATAAGTGTTTGTCTTACACCTTTATGAACGATTTCTGAAATTGAAGCCAGCAGCTGGGCTTAAAGTGACCGTAGGTCACACTTATCCTGCGTCTCCTCTAAAGCAAAATTGTGCTTATCCCATCCGCTGTTTTTTCCGCCTCGAATGACTTCCAGACACACTCGCTTATCATTCTAATAGACCTTACCTTCAACTACCAAAAAACACGCACAACTCAATTTTGATCTAAGACATGCTTCTGAGCACACAATTTTTATTTCCATCCTTCCTTTTCCAGCGCGAATAAACACAAAATGGTCTCGATTTTCGTTTCCCCTTCGCCTTTCCTTCCTGTTTTTATCTACTGTTTTTTAGGTTAGTCAAGTCGTTTCCTTGTATCTCAACTGTTGAAATACAAGCATTGCAAGCTATGACACACAGCTGCGGCGCTCGGGCTCTAATCTCTAGTCTCGAATTTTTAAGACTACACTTATGCGCCTTGTCCTCTGAGCCCCTTAAAAACGGTTGAGGCTCGATTATCATTGATTTGAAGGATCTTCGGTTTTTGTTTTGTTTTAAGTTTTGTCCTTTATTAAAGAAATATGTACAGTAAATACATATAATCAGTAAATATAAGGGGACGCCAGAAGTTGCGCTGTGAAAATTTCAGCTGGAGGGGGGGTTTGAATTTTGAAGCATTTCTTGAAAGAATCCCTATTTTAAAGGATCTTCGGTTGTCAAAAGATGTTTTCCAAATGTGGTTGAAGAGTTAAAATGAGTATTAAGTAGAAAAATTAGATGTTGACTGTTAGAGGACATGATTATGTATTTGTTTCATTTTTTGATTCTGAGAGAATACATTTTTTCATTTCTGATGACTCGAATGAATCCTGTAGGTTCTTGTGATGTTTTATCAGGTATGAACTCTTTCTGGGAGATTATTATCAAACTATATCTTTGATAATCCAGTCAGCACAAATGATGACTACTGTGTCTAAGGCTATGACACATTGAATGATATTAAACTTACTTCCAGACTTTTCCAGAGTTCTCTTTCAGATGAGGATGAAAGATCAAGCACGTTACCTCCTCAGCTGCTTTGACTGCACTTTTAAAGCGGAGCCAGATTAAAAATCTTGTTATTAAAGTATTATATTTTTTGAAATGACGGAGAATATTAGTTGCGACATTACCAGGGTCAACACAACTTACAGATACATTGGTCTCTGCAAACATACCAAAAAAAAACAACAGATCATTTTTTATAATTTGTAATTACAACAAAATTAGGTAACTTTTACAACAGGAAACAAACAATTCAAAACTGAAAGAGAAAAAAAAATAAACCATCAGACGAAATGCTCTTAGAGCGACACAGTATTAAAATGAATTTTTAAGTTCCAGAACGACTCATCTCGGATACTTCGGAAAAATGTAATCTTTCAGGAGACGATAGAAACTGCATAACAGCCAGAAAAGGGGTGTTTCCACGCAAAAAAATGCACATAAAAAAAACCCGAGTTGGGTTGTTTTCGAACCAAGAGATTCAATTGATGTTCTCAGAGAGTTTTTGTGACTCTGAAACATATTGGTTGACCCATATTGACCCATGGCTTCAATTATCAAGAATTTAATTTAAATAAAAAATTGATCCAGCCACCATACTTTTGATACTTAGATACTAGTGATAAAACGGAAGAAAGTTTGCTGTTTTTGAAATTGATGACTGTAGATGCATCAGGCATCTAAAGCCAATGCAAAGGACTTACCTTCTAGAACTTTGCTTAGATGTAAAGCTGAAAGCATGACATAAAGTTTTGTTTCTCCGTAAACGGGAATTGGATCGTACTTGTTAGGAGAGAAATAATCACTTGAAAAAAATTCATCGATATGAGGCTGAGACACACATCTGTGAGCCTCTGAGGTTACATTGATGATTCGAGATGAAGAACTTTTTTTCAATTTAGGCAGCAACAAAAGAGTCAAATAAACAAGCCCTATGGGAAGCAAACAAAAACGACAGATTAAAAACGAAAGATCAAAATCAAAAGCTCATTCCAGTAGAAAATACAATAACTACTAACACGTCGCTCTTATAGCCCTTCTGTGCGCTCTGCGACACCCAACCGCCACTGATAGCGATCCTGCCAGAGCTCCTCCAGCAGATCGCATTTCCTCATTTCCTGCCTTATTCCCTCAATCCACGATTTGACAGGGCGTTCTCTACGCTTTCTGCCAGGGGCGACCCAGTCCAGAACCTTCTTAGGCAACCTATCATCTGGCATTCGTTACACATGACCATACCAGATAAGCTGTTTTGTGAAAATGTCATGTACTATTTGTTTTCGACGCCCATAATTTCATGTATCCTCTCAGTCCGAACGTGATCCTTTCTCAACACTCCCGCCGATCTATGCCAGTTGAAAAATACAATACTAGGTATGAATAATAGGCAATATTGCTTGCATAGGTTCTGTGGGTTCATAAGTCTTTTTGTAGGTTTTTTTACCTGCTTCGTTTTCAAGTTTCCTGTGTTACATAAATACAAGAAAAGACAATTCGCACATTGTAAAACTCCTTCTGGTATAATATAAATTTGTTAGGAAAATTTGTAATTTTATTTCTTTGATTTTTAACTAAGAAGTAAGAAGTAACTTTGTAATTGTACGTAATGTATCTGCACGGACCAAAAATATGTTTAATCTTCAGTAAATATTTGATCGAAGGTTTGACAAAGTTTGAATTTTCACGAGCTGTTCTTCCTTGCCATGGTAGAAGCTATTGAGCTCTGAGGTACAGAATTTTTCACTCCTCTACATTTTCACTGCCTTTCTGCCTTTTTAAATTGTTTCTGCCAGTTTTCCACAAAATCCTCTATCAATTTCAGAGGTGTTGACTTTTTTTTTGCTTGTCAAAAAATTTCTCATCAATTTTAACGTTCCTTATAATTGTTAAGCACTTGTATTGTGTTTAGTCCGTATTGCTACCTCTAAGCAATCAAAATATATGCGTTTGAAAAACTGAATGATTACAATATGCTTAATCAAATAATTTAATTGAATTAGTTGCATGATATACATTTATTTACAACGATAACAGGATATAACAGTGACTCTAAAATGGTTAAACTGTTAGATTGTATCAAATGAAAAGCATCAAATTGTTGGAGGGGAGTGGGGGAGTGTGAGTGAAAAGATTTGAAAATGTAGAAAGGCTCCAAAAATGTGGGTAGGCTTCAAAGCGGAAAACAAAAAAATAGAAGGACGTGCAAAAGCATGAGTTGGGAAAGGATGATAAAAACGATGAAATTTTTAGAGTGCTTCCACTTTAACATAATCTTTCCACAACTTTTAAAAGTCTTTAATTCGATAGGAGGACATGTGAAAAAGTCCGTAAATGTCGAAAAGCCTTTCACTCATTTGCGAGGAAAGTAGGGAAATTTTTGTAGACTTTCTCCAATCTTGAAATTATCGAAATCAACATCTCTACATGAACAAATAGATAAATGAGCAAAACCTTTAACCTTAAAAAATGTGTTCCCCTTTCTGCAGAATCGAGTTCTTTCCACATTTTCACCTGGCAAGTGAATTATCGGGCATTTCTAACACCCTTTATTGAGTAGCTTCTTCTCATTCTATGCTTTTATCATTCTACAAAAACTTTCTCTGGTATAGAATTATTTTTTTAGACATCAGATTTTCTGTGCCTACTTTCCAAAACTTTTATCTACACTTCTCATCATAAAGTGTTCCATGAAGTCTCATTATCTGTATTTTTGGAGTCTTTAACGCAAGCTGTAAAGCAGAGGCCAAATTTTAAGCATTTGTCATTTTCTAGAAACTACAAATTTGCAAAGTGGCATTTCTGTCAAAAGACCAATCAGGCAAAATTTGAGGATTCTAGGGCCACTCCTGGATGTGTTCTTTTGACTTTTACATAGTAAGGTAAAGAAATGGAGTTTTTTTATGAAAAAGATCTATTGGGTAAGAAATAAATGATTAGATAGGTATTTTTTGTTTGACATAGTTTTGTGGAGCCTTTACTTACCAAGATAATTAACTTGCAAACTGATATTGAATCCATCCTCGGTCAATTCATGTTTGTCATAAAATATCCCAGCATTATTCAGGAGACAGTGAAGTTCAAAGTCTTCAGTTGCTGCTTCCGAAAAAATGAGAGGTTAAATGATGCAGATGAACAAAAGAGACAGATCTGACAAGTTGTTTAAAGAATAGGAAAAAATTCAATTTGATGTATTAGTAAATCCAAACAGATTATGCTTATTGTTTTAAAAAAAAATGATGATAATATTTAACTTACAAAGTATTCCCTAGGGGCAACTAAATTGGATTTTTAACGAAGATCCGCAGAAATCTCCAGGAGGCAGCATGTTTGTAAAAGGATAAGAGATTGAAATTGTTGAGGTTGCAAATGCCTCCTCCATAGCAATCGATTGAGTTTTTCTCGGAAAAAAGAAGCACAGGCAATAGTAAAAGGTTCAGGATATGGGGTGGTGGAAGAGATCAGAGGATGACATTTACAGTGTTGATGAAGGTTTTGAGTCGCAGAGTGCCTTAGAGTGATAATTCAGCAGTATGAAAACTAATGTTTTGCAGACTGACCTGTGGCTAGATAATATCTACATTACTTGGGAATTATTGGCATTGGTCGAATATCAGTGACATTACCCAGATCACTTTAAACAATGTCTTAAAATGAACTTAAAAAAAACATTTTGTTTAATAATTTGTGCAAGAATGGGGGTTTTATGGTCAAATTAAAATATTAATATTGTGGCGTCATTTAATGTTAAGGGCCGTTTTCAGCCAATGAGATAGAAGTTTTGTTGCCACTTTTCATTTTGTATCATATTTGGTTATTTTTATCTTATGAGAGTCCACTAACAAGGCTGGCCCAAAAATTTTCTGAATGGAAAAATCCCACAGAGTTCATGCAGCGAGCTGTTTTTAAAGTTTACATTACTTTCAGAAGGATTTCGGAGCAAAAATGTGAGCTTTTCGTCATTTTGGTGACAAACTTCACTTTCTTCTTCACCACTTTCTACTTGATATCAAGCATTAAAATTATTTTTTCCTCAAAGGCACTGCTCAGCATGAATTACAATCATTTCAGAACCATCAAACATTGCAGATTGGGAGTTAGACAGAAAGAAGCGCCGCCGAAATGATGGCTAAACAGTACTATCAATATCCCAAGACTCTCATAGCTTCATAGTTTAGAGAACTCTTGAATGTGAGAGAAATAGAATTCTTCAGCTTTAAATGTCTCAATCCCCAGAATTCATAATTCGGTGGGACTTCCAAGGTTTCCCGAATTTTTAGTGCTTCGACAAATTGTATCACACACATGCTCAATTTTCATGATAAAAAATGACTTGAAGGAAAACTAAACTTCAAAATTACTCACCTAGTTGCAAAACTTCTTCCGCAAATGTAAATACTGACTTAAAGGACGACAAGTCTAGATGTTTGTATATTATGAGATCATTACCAGAGGACGACTTAATTTCTTCTTGAGTCGCTAAACCTTCCAGTTCACGCCTGCAGCCCAAAATTAGCTTGCATTCTACAAAATCAGAAATATTCAAAACATACAATTCTGAAATTATAAATCCTTGAGGATAAAAAGTGCACTGATTAAGAGTATAACGACAGTGAAATCGCAGGAATGCATACCTCGTTTGCGATGTTTCAAAATTCCTGCTCCTATTTTAATTTATCAAAGAGGAACACACCATTGCTGTTGCTTGAAATTTGTATAGATTGTAATTTAAACATAGAGGAAATATCAGGGAAGTTATCAAGAAATGACATTGAGTATTTTCTCATTTAAAAAGTAAGCTTGATAGGAAGTTCGCAATGTTGCAAACGGAGATATTCGTTCCGGCAGTTTCGCAAACCATGATAGCCCTTTAAGATTGCAAAATAAAGGTATATCGACGGTGAGCCGGTGACGTTGACCAGACCACATATCTCCGTTTGAGACTTCCTGTCATACTTTATTTTTTAGGAAAGGAAAATTAATCAACGTCAATTCTTGAAAACTTCCTTAATTTTTGTTCTCTGTGCGAAGAAAACTTTGTGAAAACGTCAAAGAATGATACTGATTTGTTCTTCTTCAAAAAAATAATGTAGTACGTGGTCTAGTAGTTTCACCAACAATGTTGTTCACTCAAAACTGTTTCAAGTAAATTTGTACTCTAGAAAAATATTTTTGGATGGAAGATAATTGAAATTCATTACTCTGCATTCTACATGGGGTGATTTTTTAAACTAAATTGAAACATGAAAGGCTAAGTATTGGTAAGAGAGAAACCCATCTTTAATGTTTCTTGATCCCTATTCTGATGAGTGCTTGCTGGAAAAAAAAAAAAAAACCGGAGAAAAAGAAAATTACTGCATATTTTTTGTAGAGAGATCAAATATGTTTTTATTGTTAGAACACCATGACAATTTAAAAGGTTTATATTCCTTCTCGTTAGCCGTCACCTTCAAACATGTTATTCTGCTTGGGTTTCAAACTATTGACACCCTTCTTATCGACTCCTTTGCAGCACAAGAATCTGCTCGCAATAGTTTGTGATAAAAAACAGGTATTCTTTGATCTAGTGGCTGAGTAAGAGTTTTTTTTCTTCACACCCCTTATCGTTAAGTGCATTGCGCGCCATGAATACATAATAAAAGCTAAGAGAAGTACATACCAGTTTTTGCTATGATTCTGGCAGTTTCTTTTCCTATTCCACTATTGGCACCAGTTATAACGACTATTTTCCCCTTTAATTTTGGTAAAGCTTTTACATTAATGGGCTCAAGCACATTCCTGACAAAAGAGAAAAAAATCACAATTCAAGTTTTTCATTAATAAATTTTTAATGTGTTATAAAAGAAGAATTTAAATCACAAATGGACGTATTTCTGCCAAACGAAGCTATGTGCATTATGACACGAGCCCTGTTATGCATGCATTCTTATGGGTCCCAGAGCTCATATCTTGATGCACATAGATCCGTTTGGCAGAAATGAGCCCATATTAATAACAGCATAACTGCATCTGAAGCCTCACTATAGCAGATTTCACGGCACACTAGGTGCCATTATAGCCAAAGTAAACATACCTATCTACACCTGTGCTACGGCAGTAATTCTCAAGAATCAGAAACAAAGCATGTATACTTCGTAAATCCTAGGAGAGCCTAAATTGAAAAGATCTTACATTTTCATTTTTTTTCAAGACAGGAAAAATAAAATGTCAGGTTCAATTTACCTAATCCCTTTTCAGTTTTTGGAGACAGAAAAAATTAAATATAGCTCGGAATGCTGGAAGTGAAACCTGGCTACTCAAAATTTGCAGATTAGAAGCACAGCCACACCAAAATCAAATATATTATCACAGCCTATGAATTTCCAAAATGGCTCAGTCTTGCTGTATTTTTCTGCGAGAGTTTTAAGTCATAGACATTACTGGATGAAATTTTCAGAAAATGTGGCAAAGAATAAGGCAAAGGCATTAGGGCAAATGATAATTACACAGACGTTATGTGCACAGTGGATATGATTTGTCATTTCGTATGAAAATGAAATAAGACAAGAGATCTGCAATGTTACATTAACAAATATGTTGTTTCATAGTTTCGTAGCCGCTTTGCTCTTTGATGAGGGGAGGAAACAAGAGAGACGGAACTCTTTCTGTTAAACATCAGCCCCTCAAAACAAATAGCAAGTATGTATCCTCACAGGTAAGCTATTGTAACCATCTAAACAGAATCAATAAACTTCAATACGCAGCAGCTGCCATTGAAGATCACTGGCTATCAGAACTACTAGAGCTCGAGTTGCGTGCATTTTTGCCCTAAAATGTAGGGCATGATTGTCATTCTGTGTAGGGACTCCAAGGCTGGAGCTATGGGAACTTTTTTAGAGCTCCAGTCAGATAAGTTGACAGTTGTTTACTTCCAACTGTCATGCACAGAACACCAATGTAGTAGTATCCCCTCTAAAGAAGGTATTGGTTTTTGGTATCAACACGATGGCAGCACAGCATCGTCATGACACTCGTTTGATCCTTATTTGCCATTGGACAGCCGCAGCGGGTTGCTTGCAAGCAGAAAGTAAGCAACTGCTAACTTGTCTGACAGAAGCTCCAATGTATCTCATTTGTGTCTGTGCATAAAAACTCTCACTAGACATAGGGGTGGACTCTCAACATTGCGTAGGTGATCCCCTCCATTACAACTTCAACTTTGAGAGTTTTTTTAAACTTAGGATTTCATTTTAGAGAAAACTGAGTAATTGCACCATGGTGTTTCATGCTAAATTTTAGGGGAAAAATAGTGCTCAAAGTACAAATCCCTATGACTAGGAAAACTTTCGTTGGTTGGTGACTGTCCTCTTGTAGTTCCTCTTTGATATTGGAGGCATTTCAAGGGCTCACCAGGGACTGATAGCACAATTCTACTTATGACAGCTTCTCACTTGATGGTTCCCGTTCAAACCATTATGTAGACCGCGTTTGACAAAAAGGAACAATTTAATTTCATACGAGAGAACGTTTGTGCAGATTCTTAGGAAAATTGTAAGGAATTTGCTTAGTACTGTGGAGAAAATTCACTGAAATTTGCACGAAAATCCACACGACCGTTTTCATGTAAGAAATTATACTGCCCGATTAAATTTGACAATAGCTGATGCAGCTTGGTTTCTTTCTGTTTAATGCGGTCTATTTGAGAGGAAGGAAAATTCATGGTAACAGATCATGTAAAAAAAGATGAAGCTAAGGTCTTTCAGTTTCATACCTACTGGCGAGCATGTTTAACAGGATACACTAGATGATATAAAGTGGAATCATTAACAAGCACTACAAAGCGTCGGAAATTTTACGCCACTAAGCCACAACAATAGGCATGCTGTCCTAGTGTACTTACAATTATTTAAATGAATCAGAATATTCAGAATACGGAAAACAGGTGACAGGATCAGTGGTCCAGGCGTGTGATCTGTGTGATGAATGAATTTTGAAAATGACAACAGAGAAACATAACCTCAACACAACACAAACATATTGACAGCGTTTCCAGATTGTTTCTAAAATTTCAAAATTCTTTTTTCAGGTCTCGATCGATTTCGATAGAGTCCTAGATTTCGATGTCTCTATCTCTGTGCAGCTGCTGGTCTGTCTGTAGTTAGTTCCCATTACAATTTTATGAAACCTGATGGAATTTTCTGTTCATAATTACATATTTATCTCACTTATCAATTATATCCATTGATAAGAAAATGTCACTAATCCGTGAAAAATGTAATCCAACTTGCGACTGTGCTGCGACCTGGGGCGACTTACAGCAACAAGAATACAATAATCAATTTCCAGCCTTTCTGCTTTTGCAAACCTATAAAGGCGTTTACGGTAGCTTATTTCCGCTTAAAAATTTGATGATCGCTACAGCATCAGTTTCCAGCAAAGTTTACGCTGATTTACATTTAATACAAGAATTTTATTTGATGCGAATTTTGCAAGTAGGCGTCGGCTCTTGGGTCAACACTTGACAGTGTTGCAAAGTATATTTAGTTTACAATCAAACGCCTTTTTCTACAAATTTTACAAGATTCAATGCTTTCTCAAACAAAAAGATGAACTGAGCAAGCAATTTCATGTGTTCCACCACTTACCTAGAAAAATCATTCGTAAGATCTTTCCTCATAAAATGATTTGGAGAGATGGCAGAGCAGTCTGAGAAGTTTTTATAGCCTTAGCTGAGTTTTTTTTTATTCAAGCTGGCAACTCTGCGTGCTGATCATATGATCACTAATCAGACAAGTTGTGGGTTTGGCTCTGAAACGTGTGATAAACTTTCCTTCGTGTCTGGTGGAAGAAGTGTTTTCCATCTCGTCCGCCAATTTACTGTTTCATTTAGTTTATTTAAACACTAGCAAAATGGCTCTCAGCGATGCAGATGTCCAGAAACAAGTAAGAGAACCAGATAATTCCTTAATCTTAGTTATTGAACCAACCATTCAAGGTCAGTCTGTACATCTTTCGATGAATTCAGCGAGTTAAATATTGGCTTTTTCTGTGCAAAGGAAATGTACCAATCATTAGAAATCAAATGACGATCACCAGACTCTCTTTGCACTCCTCTACTGAACACTCTTGGCATCCCTCCTAGTTTGAACACCTCTCGCTCAATATGATTGCTGTGACGCAGTTGGGCTCTCAATTACTGCATCAAAATATCAACCTTCCCTTTGAGCTTGCAAATCTTTATCAGATTTTCTAAGTCTAGTACGCTGTTTTCATCGGGAGAAACAATCGTAAACCAGACTTCTGAAGCATCCTTGTCCACCGATTCCTCACCTCAATCACACTTAATCATGCCAAAGAGTGATCTACTATTTGGTCAATTTTTCCCCTGAATCAGTCTTTTACCATCTTTGGATAGACCATTACAATCAACTACTCAGACATTGATTTCACCTAGCAGCCACTTCCTCTGATTCGTGACCCACAATCTATACACTGAAATACGCCCATTGAACAAGAATACCGAATCCCCAAGCACCAGTTTGAGTATTGATACGGGAATGAAACGATAAAATGTTGCTGGTGTGTCAGATTATCATCATGCTCCACTATATTTGCACCTTGACATCGGTCAAGAAGAACGTTTCAGAACGCATAACAGTTGTCTTGCTATTTGCGGAAATTAACGTCGTGAGTCGCGACTATTGATGACTGCAATAGATCAAAGTGAATAGACTTATTGTCCTATGAATCTCATTTATTACTGGGTAAATTCTTGAATGTCTGCTTTCAAATTTCCTTTTTTCAAGAAATTCAACCAAATTATGCACTCCTCCTTCGGAACACACTATTGGGCACCCGCACCTTAGTTTCAATAATTTTGTACTTCAAAGTTATCTTCAAATCTTGCAGAGCTGTAGTTTCTTCATGCAAAGATTGATATTATATCCTGCATTGTCAAGCCACAGCAATTTTTAAAGAATTTTCAGTATTTAGCTGTGAATTAACTGTTCTGAACTCTCAATGGGCGGGACACACCTTGCCCTCTCTATTGCCTGTCCCTCATCCATCAGGTAGCGGAATTATTTTTCATCCACAGCACTTTTCCATTAAGCAGGACGCTATCTTTGTCTTGCTGCTTTTTCTAAGAGACATCTAGATGGAATATGTAAAAGTATATGTAGCTAAGTACGTAGACTTATTTACGTTGGATTTTTCCAAATGTAATAGTTCCGAGTGAAGTCGTTGATTTCCATTCTCCATTAAGTAATTTCTTAGAATTTTCATGCGCATTCTTTATTTGGAGTGTGATTTGAAACCCCGCCCCCCCTCTCCCTCTTCCCCATCCCCCAATTATCGGTCAATTATTCAGAGCAAGTCACAGTAAAGAGCAGAGCACTGCTGTGGATGTTATTTTGCCTAAAAGTTCTCAAGGAAGGTAAACAAAATTTGAAATATTGAAGGATCGAAAGTTTTTGGAAGATCTGCAACAAAGATGGCAATGAATGTGGGAGCTCTTAATCTCACCCTAGTTTTAACTATGTGAAATTGAAATATTTACTGAATCTTATAGCATGGAACTTTTGGTTAAATTAAATTTTTCGAATACGCAAAAATTTTAATGAAAACTTTATTGCGCCATGACAGAATTTGATATCCAAAAGTTTTTCTAGTTATTCACAAGTTTCTAAATACTTATTTAGGTGATCTGTTCAATGCTGTATCCTCAAGGCGAGTTTCCCTACTTTCCTCCTTTAATTTATTTTAATTTTTTAGATCAAACACATGATGGCATTCATTGAGCAAGAGGCCAATGAAAAAGCCGAAGAAATAGACGCTAAAGCTGAAGAAGAATTCAATATTGAAAAGGGTCGGCTTGTCCAAAACCAGCGGTTGAAGATTATGGAGTACTATGAAAGGAAAGAAAAACAGGTTGAGCTACAGAAGAAAATGTAAGTATCATAATTTTTAATCACCACAAGATTTTGTACAGAATCTGCTCAGATTCATCAAGATTGAGAGCATTAAAAGAGCTTATCAATTTGAAAGAATAAGGGAGAAAAATAGGAGAAAAACAAACTCAATATCATGAATAAAAAAAATTTCTAAAATTAGAGATGCAGAGGCCATAGGGTACCAAGTAAACCCATCAAAGTATCATGGAATGGAATTCGCCAAATCCTTGGGTTTTTAATCAGGTGATCAAACAGAGAAAATGAATTGCCAATGACCCTATTATCCCCAAAATTGTAAATATTTACTAGGGCAGTGGCAAGAAATTTTTCCAGGGATGCAGTCTAGTCTCTCTTAGGTAAAATTTTGTGAATAAACCAAAAAGCTCCTCAAAATATAAAAAAAAAAACATTTCTAAAGGATGAAAAGAGTATCAAAAGCCGACATTTGAGTTAAAGTAGCAAAGCGGTGCCTGAAGCTGAGTTCAACCAATCAGCAAATGCAGCCTTTCCCGCCTGGCCATCTCATCAGAGTCTGCCACAAATATTGTTTCAAACAGGTCCCATTTTTGGCATTTTCAATATGTGGCTCCCTTGCCGTTTAGAGTTAAAAAAAATCTGTACAAATTCCTAAAAGCTCAGTTCACTCTGTACTCTCCGAAGATGAGTTATAAAAAAAGTATGTGCCACTGACCCATTATTTTTGAAACCAAGGAAAAAAATTTGTCTGGTTGTTTGTTGATGTAAAGAGACTTGGATGAGTTAAAAATGAACTGCTGAATGAATGAAGTGAATTTAAAAACAACTGCTTTTTATTCACAGTCAATCTTCAAACATGCTCAATCAGGCAAGATTAAAAGCTCTCATAGTTCAAGAAGATCACATAAAGAATGTGTTAAATGATGCAAGGAAGAAGTTAGGTGAAATCACCAAGGACCCTGCGCAATACAGAGAAGTTTTTGAGAAGTTGATCCTCCAGGCGCTTCTTCAGGTAATTAAAGCACATCAATTTAATATTGCACCCATTAAGTCTCGCTAATGACACATAATTCTTGAAAGTTAATCAAGGGCTTTGGCGCGTAAGAATTTAGGTGCTCGACCATTGTCGCATCTGAAAAAGTTGATGTACCCTGTAAATTTTTTTCAAATCTGCAATTGGGGAGCTTCGGTAGTGCTGTCAACGCACCATTGAGGCACGGTCAGACATTTTATACATCATTATGTGTACGCATGAAGTCAATTTGACTCCTAAAAACTAGGCTTTCTGGCCAAGGTGGCTCCTAAAATTTTAGGGGGAGGCAGAACACTGCTTCTTCAAGAAAAAGAAATATACTAATTCAATATTTACTGCAGTAAGTGATCTCTTGTAATCTCTCATTTTCCATTTTATGATTGGTTTTTGCCGAACAGGTGTCTTTATGGTTTTGGAATACTTTGCCAACCTGTGCGCCTGTATTTTAAGTAATATATTTTTAAAATAGAATTAGGATGTATACTATGAACTCGCTGGTCTCCATAAGCCAATTGCATTCAACGACCAGAATATTGTCTCTTATTATATTTATTCAGCAGAGTATTGCACAACAATAAATTCAGACAAAAAATTTTGTGAGTGCATCCTTTTAATCAATGGCAAATTCACAGAGATTCTTAAGACATCAAGCTATAAGTGGAAGAAAAAGACCAAAAGCATAAAGCCTAGTCTCCACGGGATGTTTTCATGGAATTTGTCCCCTGTTTGAATCGCAGGAATGAAACTTCTGGGATTTTTCCCAGTTACCATCTCCACGGGACGGAGCTCATATGGTCCTGCGACCAGTTTGCGCGGAAAGATAAGTTAGTAAAAGTCAAGTGTTTAACCAGGACCAAAATAATAATTGAACACGTAGAGCAAAAATAAGAGTTGTTTTCCACAGATGATGCCTCAAAAATCACGATGAGCGCATCGGCAAAGTCTAAAATGCACTCATAAATTCACAATCTGCGTAAGAAAGTTGCGTTATTTTGAGCTTCCCGCTTCAAAAACGATACTACGGCACAGGTGAACATTTTGTAAGAGGAGTCGTTTCATCGTCGGCAATACTCATCATGGCCGACGCCAATCCGCCAAAACACGTGTGATGGGACGAGATAACACCTGAACTGGATTAGACCAGATAACAATCGGTGTGTTTACGTTCATATTTTCCACGCCCGAATTGATTGACTTTGAACTCTCCTCGAATTACGCGCGGAACTGCGCGCAAGCGTTAGCCATGCTGAATATCGCCGACGATGGAGCGACTCCTCTAACAAAATGTTCACCTGTGCCGTAGTATCGTTTTTGAAGCGGGAAGCTTAAAATAACGCAAATTTCTTACGGAGATTGTGGAGTTATGAGTGCATTTCAGACTTTGCCGATGCGCTCATCGTGATTTTTGAGGCATTATCTATAAGAGACAACTCTTATTTTTGCTCTAGCAAAAGTTTGCAACAGGCCCATTAGACACATTATTTTAACTAAACAAACACAAACAGTGGAGTAACCAACAAAATATTATATAGTTTGCTTTCTCTTCTTCTTCCTCTCTCAGTTGGTCCTAGGGGTACAAGAACCGTACTTGGTACTGGGAAAAATATTGATTAACTCAATATTTCTCCCTAGTTTGTAGGTGGGATTATTCCCTGGGACAAATCCCGTGAAACGGCCTGTGGAGACAAGGCATAAGCAATGTCTTCTTTTACCTGGAAAAATATAAAAGAAAGAGAGAAAATTGAGTAATATGATATTCAGTTAGCCTAGCCTATTCAGTAAACCCATTCCTTTGCCTAGGGAAAAAATTATTATGTTTTACTGGGGAATAAACAACTTTAATTATTGATTTCAAATGTCAGTGAGTAAATCTACTTTTTTTCCAAGTTGCTGAGATTTTTTTTTTCTTCCTTTTTTTCCTTCTTTGGAAATCCAATTTTGTTAAAACGTAGATCAAATAAATTTGTGTGCAGGGATTAACAGAAGTGAGAGTAATTAAAAGGAAAAATCTGAGTGGAGGTGTTATTTGCATCTCAGGGAATTTCCCAGAAGTGCAAAAATTCTGAAGTCCAGGAAAAGTCAGGGGACTGCAAAATGAAGAATTCATGTAAACCATGACTTATTGATAACAGATTTAAATATTCAGCAAGAACTTCATGCATGAAATATGGTCTAGAGTTACGAACTAATTAATACAGAAATGCCCAGAGTGTAGCAGATTCTTCATCGTTGGCATCCTTGGATTTGTTGGTCGTTGTTACTGGTCATTTTATTCTAGATTTCTGCAATTATTTCTCCTTTAATTTCAATTTTTTCTTTCCTGCAGATCATAGAAACCAATGTTGTGCTCAGAGTGAAAGAGTCAGAAGTAGGATTTGTGGAGAAACTCTTGCCGAAAGTTACTGAGGATTATAAGAAAATATCCAATCGAGACGTTTCTTTGAAGCTTGACACAGAATCCTTTTTACCTGCAGAAAATAGTGGTGGTGTCGAAGTTCTAGCCCAGCGAGGAAAAATCAAGGTTAACAATACGCTAGAGGCAAGACTAAGCCTTATCGCCGCACAACTTATTCCTCAAATTAGAGTTGCTCTATTTGGCCGCAATCCCAATCGTAAATTCAATGATTAAATTACTCATTTCATGGTGTACCGAATCCACCTCTTTTTCTGCTGGCTTCATTTTAATCTTTATCATACATTCCAGTTCATCTCTTAAGAATTCTTAATTATTATTTTCCTTAGTGCAGAAATCCATGCTCTGTCAAAGAGGAGGATTTGCCCATCTAGTATTTTTCTTTTATAGTAAGGGACTTATTATTCTTATTTCAAATTTCCTTCCATTTAGTTTTAGTGGCAAGTTGATTTTACATTCATAATATCAAATTTCAGTGCCCATTTTCATTTCATATCGAAGCGTCTTTTGGAATTTAAATGGTTAATATTTTCTACTAATACCAAGCATTGTTCTTCAGTTTTACCTTAATCATTTCTCGTCATTAAAAGGACTTTTTGCAATTGTATATACCTGTGCCAGATTTCCCTCCATTTAAGCATTTTTTTCTCTTCTGCAAGTAAATGAAACATCCGAAGTTCAACACCCTTTCATTTGCCAAGCTGTTTTCCCAATAACTTCCTGTACAGTTAAAATTTCGTCAGCTCTATTTTTTGCTGTTGTTATTTTTATCAGTAGTGTAAATACGTTCAAATAAACGTGAACCCACAAAGCTCCGAATCACTGTTGAATAATAATAATTAATGAGAAAATGCTTTCTCCTTACAATTGTGGATAATGTTTCTACTTTAACACAACACCATCCTTACACTCTACTTTCCCGTCTCTATAAAAAAAAAAGCCGAAATACCATCTAAGAATAACAGGAAAAAAAAATATTAATCATCAAGAATGCTTGCCACTTTTCAATAATGTTTGCCCCTTCTCTCACTCTTTCCCCTCCCCTCTCTCTCTCTCTTTAATTTTCTACGTATAAGGAAAAAAAGCCCGAAAAAATCCCTTTTTTCAAGAATGAAGCTCATTTCAATGAACAAGTTACTATTTTATGGTGATTCTTTGTCCAAAGACCCAGTTGATTAAAGTAATACACCTATTCAGTAAAAACAACTTTCCTAGGAGAGATTTTTATGTACTTCTTACTTTTTTCTGTTCATCACCCAACCATTGAGCTTTTAACCGTTTTCTTTTTTTTGCAAGTACATAATATGTGTTCGAAACTTCTTTTTGTTCCATTTTTCTGTACATTCATTTTACTTTTCTGTAAATTTGTCTCGTGAAATACCTTTCAACGTACTTTTTCGCGTAGGTATTTGTCAAGATATGACTCATTTCAAGTAGATCATTATTGTTCTGTTTGTTTCATCTATTCCCACATTGAAAAGCTTACTCTTTGACGCTTTGTTAAGATTTCACAGCACTTGATACTATTTGCTGATACTGATCAAGTAAGCTTTTGAAAATCTGGAAACTAAACGGAGAAAGTTTGATCATGTAAATTGATATCCAAAGTGAAAGAAAAGAAACCCATCCAAGCTGATTACTGACTTCAGTTATAATGTTTTCCCAGCCAATAATTTTAACCAGGCTGAGTGAGGTGTGACTATCCTGCTTATGTCTTGGAAGTATTTGCATTAAATTAAATTGGTAGGTAATGAGTATTAATAATGAATTGTGATCAGATAGCTCCATTATCGTTGAAGTACTTTTGATGCGAGGTCGTCCCAAATGGTCAAAGGTGGTTAAGAAGTATGTATCCCCTCTCTTTTATAAGTATAGGCGTTTGTTAGGAGGGAAGAAGACCTTCTGATTTTAATGGAGGTATCATTTCCATCCAGAAGAATGAAGCTCCAAACAGCTCTTAAACTAAGTGTCTCATCACAGCACAATACAGTTAATCTTACCATCCCTTCTCATCTATTGGTTTTTTGGGTGGCAAATGATACCTCATTGTTTTTTAAGTATATACTAATTATTGTTGTTGAAAGTTTTTTTTATCATAAGTTAATTTCAAAGAATTTATTCTTTTGAATTGTTTTAAATTTAAACTGTGAAATTTACTGTAATTCACCTGTGTATCAAAAACTTATTAAATCTTGATAGAATATCTCTTCCTCATTGTTATTTCTTTAGTAGCCTCCGAACAGCTAATGTGTTGAAACTGAAGCATTTTGCGACATTTTCAATCCGCAACTTTCTTCTCCTTTGTTTCAAGACATTTTAAAGAAAGTGAAGAGGAAAAATATTATTTTAATCAGTTTTTGAGGTGCTTGGTGTTTACTGCCAGGCCCAAGAAGAGGATACTTGTAAGTAATTAGTAAATAACTTATCTTTTGTTGTTTTGAAAAAACTATGAAACCAAAGGTTCATATCATGACCTTTAAAAATTTAAGTTCTCTTCCAACATAAATAAATAACTAACTACCTCTTCTTGGTAAGAAATCCATTCTATTGGAGTGCTATTCTGCCGTGCTAAGGAAAAACGCCGTATGAGCATTCGAATGTTGCCAAATTCCCTCTCAGAAAAGATTTATTTTTGAAGAAAGTTAAGAATATTCTCCCTCGCAATTTTCAGACTTTTTATTTGGAATTACTGGTAAAATCCTCCAAAAAATCGGGAATATTTATTAATTTTCCTGGAATCGTGTTTTAACAAAGGAAATGTGGCAACGCCCGATGGCTCATACGGCGTTCTTCCTTAGCACGGCAGTATTATGCAACTGGCACTCACATTCCTCTATGTACCTAACACTAGGAAAAATGGTGGGCCTAACAGACTCTACTCCTGCCTCTTATGGTTTCGCTAATAGATAAATGGTTTAACTTTTCGAATTCCAGTGCCAACAAACTTAAATTACAGGAAAAATTCTGGATCATTCGTATAATTCCATACTTTCGGTGCTTCTTTTAACATTCTTGCTTTTTATTCTGACTTCATGGATCTGCAGACATCCTGGAAACTATACTGACAGTGCAACTAGAAAATCATGGATCTCAATTTTTTAGGTTGCAATCCTGTTGGCAAGTTTAATCATTTTATTTGGGAAACGGAATTGTTTCAGTTAGTGAAAGTTTCCGTGTGTTTAATTCAACTTTCAAGCAATATTTCCCAAAAGTTTCAGGTAGAAACTTTGGGTTTTTTAGTTTTTTCATATTTATTTGAGGAGAAAGAAAAAGTAATAAATAAACAAAAAGAGCAGAGGCTTTGAACACTGCAAGGAAGGTGTTTATCTGGTTTCATCATCACCACACAGCAGTTCCCTGTGGCTGCAACACATCTTTTTTTTGTGTGTGTGAATTAATAGCCCCAATCAAAATGTTTGAGTAGTACAGTAATGCCCTGATTATTTGACGATTTGTGGCGAGGGCTGCATTGGATATAAAAATTGTCAGATAACAGAAACCACCAAGAAAAGACTGATGAAATGGACCGAGTTTATCAGAAGGGAACCAACCCACATTTTCGGAAAATTGAGCTAAGGATGTTTTTGAGTACCACTAGCCATATGTTTTCTCCTGCCAAAAACTGAAAGCCGAAAAACAGAAATTAGTTTGCGAAAAGAGGGGTTATAGTTTATTTTCTACATTGAGACTTATTCAGGAATAAAACTTCGCACCTCTTTTTCTTGGTTTCAACTCAGTGTAGGTTGGTTCCTTTCTGTTGAATTTGGTCCAAATATCATTCCAGGCTCTGTTTTTGACTAAAACGCACAGGCTCAGCCAACTTTCTATTGTAATTGTAAAAATAGTCGTTTAACCGTAGAAAAAATAGAATAAACACTTATACATTCAATGGGTCGGTTGCGCTGATCACAAAATCGTATTTTGATAATTTATTCTTGTAGATCAGCTGAAAATAATAAGATCCATCCCAAGCGCAACTTTCTACGTTGAGTATTAACCGAGATATCGCACCTTGAAAAACTCGATTTATGACATCAACCGCGGAAGCACATAGCATGTTGTGCAAATCTCGGTTGATGACGTCATAAAACAAGTTTTTCAAGGCGCGGTATCTTGATTAATATTCAATGTGGAAAGTTGCTGTTTGGACACCTCTCTTATTTTTAGCTGATCTACAAGAATCACATCAAAACCCAATTCTGTTACCAGCGCAACTGGCCCATTCTTGCCCAATGAACCGGTTTTTGTTGTGTCTGGTAACTCATTCTTGACCAAAAATTCAAAACTGAAGTGTCGATTAACAGGGGTATTACTGTGCCTATTTCAAGGTAAGTTGCTTGAAATGCAGATGTGAAGACAAAAAGGTCAAGAAGATAGGTTAAACACGGCAGACAGTAAAAAATAGGAAAAAGACTCTTTAAAATGCACAGTAGTTTTACTTGGATGTTTCAGTCAAAAGGATTACTTAAAATTAAAACAAGTTGAGCATAATTAAAAGACAGGCATGAATCTAAAATCAATTGTAGGTGAATTGAGCAAAAACTTTAAATATGTACTTAAAATTAAACACTTTTAATAAAATAAGCTAAGAGCAACAATCACAGGGATTAAACAGAAAAATGCGGATAGTGACTGATTCTACATTCACATATGAACGTTGATTTCCACATGGGTCCTAAAAATTAATAATTCTTAAGAACAAAAAATGTCAATAAAAATATCCTTGGAGACGATAATTGTGAAAAAAATGAAAAATTTCAGCACGGGTAAAGGAGTAGTCCTGTTTTTGGACGAGTAAACCTTTTTCAGTTGCTTATGCAGTTATTGTAATTATTGCCTATGCAAACAAATGAAAAAGGTCTAGGATTGCCTCCTTCTGTCAAATTTAAAATCATGTAAAAAGAAAAGCGATAAAATAAAGGAATAAACAAATACCAGGACAGGAATTGTGAGAATTTTTTGGCAATCTGCCACTCGTAATGTAACTGCAAAGCGTCAGTCCATGTAAGAAAGATAATAATACATCTTAAGTACAGTTTTAAGTAAGTCTTTCCTGTTCTGGAGTGAGTTATGCAAACTGTTGAAGAAAATCTGATACATTAGAGTGCTCAGTATCTTTTAAGAGAGGAACGAGGATACCGGTGGGTTTCAAACCATTTCGAGTTCGACAAATAGAGCAGTTGCATAGGCCCCTGCAAACTGGACAACTCCAATCCTATGAACAAACAAATACCAAGATAAATAAGTGAGACAAATGAAAGAGAAATTAGTGAAAACTAAACGAATCTCACCATGCGCATTATTTCTCATTTTTATTTATGTATTCATTTTTTTTAGCTGTCTATCAAACTACTTGGAGCATGCAAAGACATCCAACCCAAGTAGCAGTGATCGCAATAAATACCGATTTTATCGGATGAATATCGCGATTATGTCGGTGGCAATTTATCGCAATATTATCAAATGAAAAATTGCGATTTATGGCGATTAAATCGCTATGCATTGCAATTTTTTGTTCGATAAAATCGCGATCAATTTTCGTCGATAAAATCGAGATTAAATCTCTATATATCGCGATTATTCCGTTGAAAAATGCTACTTGGGAATGGGGAAATAATGTGATTCGGTATATTATCGATGCTCCTCTAGTTCAGCTATGTATGATCGAGTAATCATGATGAAAACAGTTTCAATATTTGGCCCGCTAAATGGTAGGGAAGCCCAAATTGGCAGTTACATCCTTCATCAAGTTCAAGATTTAACCATGCTTCAAGTAATTAGCACTCTCCAAAAATGGCTACAAAGAGCTCTGCTCTTGAATAAGAAGAGGATGTTTCATTTTTCAATGCTTCTATTATTTCCACATTCAACCTGGATTTTTCGGTGCTTTCATTTCACGCTACTCATTTGACTGTACTGATATTAATTCTGATCGAATCTGTGAGTACTATTTTGACTAACTAATTTAACTGGTTAACTACACATACTGCAAAGAAATATTGGACAAACGATTACAATGGAGGACTTACCGGATCAAGTAAACAGTCTGCTACAAGTTCACCGTATCTATTTTTCAAACAAGGCCCACAAAATTGACCTCGAACTCCATTGCAATCTTGAGATCTACAGATGGTTTTTGTGTCAAGTGTCTTTTGTCTAGAGTGAGAGAAAAATTTAATTATTAAACTGAATGCAAAGAATGGTGAGAATTTCTTTCCTTTCTAAGAAAGTGACAGGTAGGCAATGCATTTTAATTGAAAATCCATTTTATAGAATTCTCATGACCTATTTCTCTGAATAGTTTCAGATCCATAAAAAAAGGACTCTAATTTTTCATGGTGTTCCTTGATTCAAGAGAGGAGGATCTTGAAACAAAATTAAAATAGATTTTTCAACTTTTTTGAAAACATCTGCAGTCTACTGTTCCATCCTTTGCTGGAGAAATAAAATACACAGTTATCACAAGCAGCACGAGGTCTCAGAACAGGGTACCTATCTTAAATGCCAAAATGGACACTTAACTTGACATTTCTTCTAAAATACATTATTACCCAATCCAGATTATAAAAGTGATTCAGAACATGTATTCAAAATTCCAAGTCTCTGCTGTGTTTATAACAGTCATGATTAACTTATTCCCTTTTTTTCCACTTTCATTTCCCTCATACAAAGATTGGCGCTTGTGATATGTACTTTGGCTGGAGGGTGACAAACACTCTCTTGTCTATTTTCGCTCATTGACTAATTAGCATGCTTAAGAAGTAACTGTTGAGCTTATGAAGGAAAACATAGCACAGACATTTTCTTTTCACTGACTTCTTCCATGTAGACATTCATTTATTTATTTATCACGCACCCAAGTAAAAGAAAAAGAGTAATGCATTTAAACAGCAGACCTCTGAGTTGTAGAGATTTCCACTGCAGACCAAAAAAGTAATCCTTTTTAGTAGACCTACTGTTCACGAATCCTTGCTATTTTTGAAGGGGCTTTTTCTTACCATTTTAATTACACAGGTCAGCCTTAGATACACTCAATTTATGCTGCGAGAAAAATTATGACGATTACATGAAAACTTAATTCAGTTAGGTAGTACACCTTTTGTATGCATTAGCATTTGGGTACATTAGGTATTAAATTTGGATTTTAGTATGCAATTTCATCGGTATCGTTTTGAGTTTTCAAGTTCGAAGAACTTTAGCCCTGACTTGATTTAAATTTTACTCTTACTTTTTTTGACAGTTTGTCAGGCAAAAAAATTAGTGCGGTATCAGCTGATTCATTCTTTTGAAACTATTCATTACCTACTGGAACGCAATATGACCTGATGATGAGGATGGATTTTTCAAATATTAAAATTTCCTATGGCGGATATTTCAATGGGAAAATTCTTCAAGTGAATAAAAAGACAAGTAAGTAGCTTGAAGAAGCATGAAGTGAACAAAAGTGTCAACGTGCATTACTGCAGCTTATGAAGTGTCTCACCTTGCGGGGACATTTCAGGGGATTCCATTTATTATTAAAAATATTATGAAAAAATTTTCAAATTTTTTTTTAAAATTTATTGACCAACTAATTGCAAATAAAGAGGAGACTTCTCTTGCAAGGTATTTTTATATATATATATATATATATATATATATATATATATATATATATATATATATATGAAGTCGCTTTACAACGCACTCTGGCATTCTACGACACCCAAACGCCACATATGCCTGTCTTCCCAGAGGTTCTCGGGCAACTGACACCGCAACATCTCTTCGTCAACGCCCTGCCGCCAACCCTTTACGGGACGTCCTTGTCGCCTCTTCCCAGGTAATTTGATTATTTGAAGTTAAAATTACAACCTACCGGCATTGATGACAGGTGCTCCCTTGGTCAGAAGAGTATTTCTTTTTAGAGCTGTGGGCAATTTTTGACAGCATTTCATCAGTGATTTCTTCAGGTGAAAGAATGATTCGACAGTTATCAGATTCTCTTCTTCTCACTATCCGTCTCTGAAAAAAAAACATGCTTGAATTTATAAAGGAACGCAAATATTTTTGTAAATAATAGGAAAAGACGAAATTTTCTTAGAATTTAATATGATCTTTTTGCAAACTTCTGAGAGTAATAAGCTTTGAACATTGTACTCTCTACATGCCTATGTAGAGAAAAGTGGAGCTTTTCAGCACTTATACATGCATTTTGTGGCAGAAATTTTGAAACAGAGCATGGGTGATCAAGCAGAGGTAAAAAAAGAGAAGCGTCACAACTTAATGTATTCTGCTTAAAAAAAAGAAAAATAAGAAAAAAAGGGAAATTCAAAACACAAGGCAAAATAATAAAATACACTGACCACACAAAATTTCATAATATTCTGGTGCAAGGAAAATCTACACAAAAATTTTACTTTTCCGTTAGTCTAACAGCCTCATATTATTAATGGCTTAAGTATTCATTGTTTATTTTCTTCGATCTAAGTGGTGTTGATTAATGCTATATTATCAATGAAATTTCCCAAAAAGGCCTTCATTCCCACCATTTAATTTCTGCCTTGATAGCTGAAACTAAATTGCAGTGAGTGTAATCAAAGCTCTAACATAATAAAACACAAATAATTATAATCTTCTGATGCTTGGGAAAATCCATGCTGGAGCAAAGCATTTACGTATATCCCAACTTCATAACTTTTGGACAACATTACATGTTCTTGGTATCGAAAAATAGCTGAGATCTAATACTTAGCGAAAAGATCGTCCTAATAGCATTGGTAACTTTCAACTGTAGTATGAGCATTTTAACCTTTTCTGCTCTAACAACTGACCTGCAAAAATATCACTGAACAAAAGAGGAGATTAAAAAGAAAGGAAAACTGCGTACCTTTTTAGGTTTGAATTCCAACTCAGTGTAGTAATCCTCATCAAGCTCTTCGAGACTGTAATCTGGATCAACCTCTACACTGCTGCTCAAGTTTTCATCATTCTCATTTATTCTGTACCAAATATGGACACAAAGGCAATTAGAGACTGATATGGATATTTAGGAAAGGATGACATGACTACATTTTACAAGCAGAGATTAGTAGCTATCATGGTTTCTAGTGTTTGTACATCAATTTAAAGGGATTAATTTTTAACTAAGGGAATCATGCATGACTAAGAGAGTCTGCCACCTTTTAACTGGACTGCAGTGGGTAGAATGTCATTTCCTTGACCAGAGGTGATTACTGCGACTCTTAATGGTTGTACTATTTTGCTCGATTTGAGACACTTATTATGCATATACTAGAAGGACCAGGGGCCCTAGAATGGGTCAAAAATAATACTTGTCATAGAGATTTTGACTAATATACACTGCTGACCAAGATTTTGGCCCTACTAGCAACAGCTGTTAAATTTTTTTTGAAAAACTCTTCAAAAAACTGTTAAAATTCATGAAGAAGGAAACCCTTTTTTGGATTTCTTTTAGGTAAAATTTACGCGAGGCAAAATTTCAGTAAAATCAGTGTTGAAAAACAAGGTTTTTCAAAATAATTTTTCAAGTAAAATTTAGGTATGTAAATAAAACTAAACTATTACTTAAAATTGAAAAACTGGTATAATATTTTTAAGAATTTTCTAAGAGGTTTTTCTACAATTATTGTACTTTTTGACGTCTTATAAATAACACATTAATAATATCCCAAAACGGATTTCCCTCTTCATAAATTTTAACAGTTTGAAGGAGAGTTTTTTAAATAAATTGTATAAGTTTTTTAAGAGATTTTGCACAGTCCCTGCTTCTGAGGGATGGCTCCAGCCTCCCTAACTTTCATAAATTGTACTTAAATTATGTCTCTTCTCTTCTATTACAAGGTTGGAGAGGACATAAAAATAAATATTCTTGGCGAAAATGTTCTGAAAAACAAAATAAAATGATACTCACAACTCTGAATACTTCACTTTCCTAACTGTGGATCGTTTTGAACGACGCACAGGGACAAAACACGGAGGAGTAGAAGTTTTTCTGGCTCGTACTTTGAATTTCTTTGCTTCAGTCGATTCAGATACGTTTTCCTTTAGTAGCTGTTCAGATCTCACAATATTGGCTACTTCTTTCCCAGCCTTTGATAGGTCAAAAGACTGCAGACCATTTTGTTTCATGTAATCATCAAACTGAAATATGAAAGGAGAGTTTACATCATTTTCAGTAAAAAAGTTAAAATTTAAGAGAAAAGTTCAAGTCAGTACCTACCAAGCAAATTATACCAATTGAAAGGACAACCAGATTTACTTACTTCATTCGAGAGGATTCGACCCAGGTTCTTGGCATGGTCGAAGTTGCATGCAATTATTGCATCGATTAAGTATTAAAGAAAAATCTTAACATTTTAGTAAAAAACAGGACACAAGTCTGAGCATACCTAGGCCTAAAACATTATTCAAAATAAATAAAAATAGCAAATTTCAAAACGATGAAAGCAGGATTCTTCCTTTCTATAAAATGTAAAATTTTATCACAAAAAGGTCCAACTTTCATTTCTCAAATTTTGAAACTTTTCTGGCCAAGAATAATCCAGTAGGCTCATGCACAGGGGCTGCAAAGGAACAAACATAGCAGGCAAAAATGGAACTTTTCAATAGTCCATGGAATTCACAGAGGGATGCAAGAGACATTTCACTGTCAAATCCTGATGTTCATCTTCTCTTCACTGAGGTCAGAGCAAGACCAATCCACACAGACCAGTCATTGCGCATCTTTTTGAAATTCATTTCCCCGCCCGGCCCTAACTCGGCAGCACTCAATGCTACGTCACAATGGGTGCTCCCATAAGAGATACTTTGCAGGCACTCGATACTACATCACTGCGCAGTAGAGTTCCAAAATTCGTCCTCGGGAATGACTGACCTGTGTGGATTGGTTTTGGGTCAGAGACCAACTATAATTTTCAGTATGATGCTGATTTTGGGAGAATTCAGACCCTCCTGTTTCCTGCCTTAAACTTTGTCCTCCTCTCTCACCGTTCACTCTGCCGTCAGAATGTTTTTAGAGAGAGTGCAGGTACTTCAGATTTGACAAAAGTGGTTTGTTAATGTGTTCTCAACCCAGTTACAAAATTATAACAGTTGTGTTAATAATACGTGATTAATTGTCATTTAATTGAGAAATTTAAATTCACTGATTGATACTAGAAGAATGCAGAGCATTCAAACAAGTGGCTTACAGATTTTTGTCTCTCTGCAATATTCTTCAATCTCAGTTTCTCGTAGTCGCTCAGTTCAGCAGCCATTTCAAATTCAGAAAGAAACCACACTAGGTAAAAAACACACTTATCACGAGAAAATTTATAATATCAATTGAAGTAATGAACACGTTGGATTGGAGATGAGAATGAGATAACAAGAGTATAAACAAAAAGAAGAAAGAATGCAAACAGCATGTAAACCCAAAAAGCGCGGTAAATAGCATTGATAACAGATGATAACAACACCGGAACTACGTCATTAAAAGTACTTTTTGACCCAATATACGTCACTTTCTTTCGTTAGGAGAACGTGGCTTTGAATGTACAGGGTGCGATAAAAGTGCCGGGACGGCACAACACTATGCATTAGTTACTTACCTCTAGTGATGTGTCTGATGAAAATCAAGATTAAAGCCCCCCTTTTTAAAAGGCTTCTCATTACATTTCTCCTCGGATTTCCCCACGATATCATCAATCAAGGTTTCGAAAAAAGTGTCTTTACTCAGTGCAGGGCTTATGCCATATCCTGTATGAGGATGTGTGGTCTGATTTCACAAAGCGGTCCGGTGTAGATGGCACGGTGGGGGGCGTAGTGAGGGGAGGAGGGGTTGGGGGTGACGGACCGCTCGGTAGCCCCCTCGTTCGCTGATGATTCATGTTTGTGTGTTGTGGTGGTATTCTGTGTGTGTGCAGCCAATTGACTTTATTTCAAAAGGAAAGAAACTTTGAAAAGTTAAGCTTTGGTTGTCGACTGCAGAATCGCTGCTTTGCTCGAGGGATTTAGTGTGAAATTAACAGTGTTACTAAATATTCGTAGAGTGTTTAATGTAGTTTGCTTATTGCCCCTGAATCCCTTCAAAATACTGCAGTGGATGGAAGTATATTCTTCATGGCTGAGGAACTTCTACTTAGGTACTTACATCAGGACATGTCAAACAAGTAAGTATTCCAAAGAAACCTTGCCAAGTTTTTGGCAACATCTATCCTTTTACTTGAGCTACGGTGGAACTAGCTTCAAGCTATTAGGTTGCTTTTTAGACGGTATCTGTTAGTGTATGTCTTAGATCTTCAGCAGGTACAAGTGACACACAACGACTGTCCTGCTTGGAAAGTGTAAGTAGACTGATTGACTGATCAATCAGGAACAATATTTTACCCGCATGTACCAAATTTGACTAACTTTCTAGGAATTGATACGAAGTTATTCAAACTACAGGACGCTCAGATGAATCTGAAATTTTTACGTCCAATTACTAATTTATGTCAAACAAAATCTCTCATTTTGCATTTGATAAATATTGCCCAATCATATTTTTAGCATCTCTTATTGACTTGACTTTAATGACGGTTGTATATCATAGACCCGATTGTGCTACCTGCAGAAGGCTGCTTACCTTATTAAGATGGTTTTTTGGGTTAGTTCAGTATTCTGAAATCTTTCATTCTCCACATGCAAGTACTGTGTAGGTGTACCGTCAGAAGTTAAACAGTTGCCATGTCTGTAAATAGAAACATACAAATATTTAAGGAGAACATCCTTGTGAAGGCACAAACTACCAGAATTGGACTTGTCCCTCTTCGTAGAATTGTACAAAGGTGATTCTAATGTCACCCTTCAATCTTGATGGTCTTAAAATTGGTATGTGTGAGTTCTGTCAATAAATCTTGTCACTTTTATCTACCTTCAGAGCCTTTAAAAGTATCATATCTTGAAGAATAAGAACTGAACAATCGCTAACAGAGGGTGTGTCGATTTTTTTTCCACCCGCTTATTCAAGGAGAAAGTGAAACCAATTTTCTAGAACTGAATGCCTCCTAATATATAGGTGTCCACTTTCGAAGTCAGCAACAATAGTGAACTTGATTCCAAGATCGGTCAACAATGATACAAAGTCCTGCTAAGATTAAAGAGTTGATAAAGAGCTGATGGCATTAATAAAGAAATAACTGAACTCTGAAATTAAAACAGTTCTCCTTATGATGAAATGCTGGATTGTTCTGTGAAATGAAACCCATGTAAGAGATCCGTAAAAGGCTGAAAGATTAAGTCCTTTGTGTGGCTCCATTATGGAGCCATGCCAAATTTGCCACTTGGCCCACACTGCTGAAATACCAAGTGCATTGTTCATTTTATCCAATATCTGTGTCCAGTTATCAGCAGAATCATGAAAAGCTACTTGTCATTCCTTTCGCATCAATGAGATCGTACAGATACACTACATATTTCTTGTTTGTTTCAGAGACTGGGCTTGCTCCTCATCATTAAGAGATTCAGAATCTCCACATTTGGAATATGCTCTCTCCGGATGATTTTTTTAAGTAGACCTGTTGTTGCATAGAAGTCCGTTCATTCTGAATCTCAAAATTGGATTGCATGTAAGTCCTCTTGAGTCCATCCTTGCTTATTAGCTAATGAAGAATCCGTAGTGTATAACTGTAAAGAAAATTACTTGTCTGCCTCAAAAGTTTCAAGAGCTGTTTGTCTCTTTCCAATTTAGGGAAATGAACATCTCAGTAAAACAACTTCCTTGTATCATTGTTACAACTAACTCAATTTGTTTTCAAAATTGTTTTACATGAAGGTTGGTCCAACCTTCTATCATAAATGCACTTTATGTGCATGAAGTCAGAAAATTAGAAGGGAGCGGTGAAGGTGAATGGTCAGATTGAGGGTGCAACGTCAAAAACATGTACCTCGAGTTCTGTGTTTAAGATTTCTGTCCTGACTAATTTTTTTTTTTGAAAAAAATACAATTAAACATTTTGCACACCACCTAAAAAATATTCTTGCCTTAGCAAAAAATAAATCATGTAGAATTTGATGCAGTCAATCAAGAAAAGTCATCCTTCAAAAGAGTAAAATGTGACACAGGGGTGCAGAAACCTCTGGACCACGCAGCCACTGCTGCTGTCGCTTAAGTAGTGGTCTTGTAAAATGAGTGAACCCCCACGATAAAAACAGGAATAGCAGGAAACCTATGTGAGAATTGGAAATATTGAGGGAACCCTTTCAGACCTAATCCAAGTTGTTGTGTTTTCATGGCTTTTTAGCCATAAATAAGTCCTATCATGGGGGTCAATTTTTTTTTCCTCTTGTCTTTGAAGGAAGAAGGATCATGAAGTTAGAATAAAAACGGGGGACAGCTTACAACTTCCAACCCTGATGTGACAGAAAAGCTTCAGCGTTGCTAACTGGTATAGACAGTTTTCTAGTTTCTCCATGGGTAGAACTGGGGACTTTTTGTGTGTGTGAGTGTGTGTGTGTGGGGGGGGGGGAGGCAGAAGGACACCTCATCAAGAAAAGGTTTGGAGGACTGATGAAATGAATGACAAATAAGTAACGCACTTACCTACTCAGAAAAACCCCTTACATTTTGGGGGAGGTGGGGGGGCATATGCATCTTCACTTAGTGAGGTATTGTTTTCTTTGCATTTTTCAAGTAGATTCCATGGGCAGAGGGACCTTAGCACACAGAGGAAAAATTTTCAGTTCAGCGATATGTGTCAAGTCGAGTCAAAAAATTGTATTTCGAGCTTTTTACATAAAAATCTCCACAGTTTCTCCTTTCCCTTTTTTTTCTTGAAAGTTTGAATATTAAATTGAGTGGATCAGAAAATGCACACCTCAAGATTTTTTGGAATTCTGCCATTTTACCAAAAAATTAGATCCTATTTAGTAACATTTGGTTTTTCTTTTCCCCCGAGTGCTCAATGAAAACACCCTTATGCGTTCTATCTTTGTCCCTGTTGTTCCGCTGAGCATTTGGATGACATTACACCCAAATCCTTTGTAGCTTGAAATCTTTTTTCAATATCATAATAAAATTTTTTTCTGTTTTAGATGAACCTGGCTGATGGATCTATGTTCAGTTCAAAAGGAATCCCCGCTCAATTCAAAAGGATCTCTAGCAGTGTAGTTTACTCTAGCATATATTTCAATTAAAGTTTCCCTGATTGAACGGAAAATATGTGATTCCAGTTGACTGTTGTTTGGACGGACTTAGTCTTACCATCTATCAAAAAAACAGTCAAGTATTGTGAATTAGATTACTGCCTTTGACCAACTGAATCGTCTGTCAGTCAGTGCTCATGACGACTGTACTTTGGTTAAGAATTGTCTGGAATAAAACGAAATCCCAATTGCTCATGGTTGCCAGATGAAGAAATGAAGTTGATCTGAAGTTCAGTTGTATGTTTAGTACTTTTCAATGGATTTTAAAATGCAATGCACTTTTGATGACAAGCGTTCTCCAATTTGCCAAGAGGCTCCAGTAAGTTTGCAGATGATTGATTTAGACTTAGAAAATTCACTTCATAACTTTAACAAACTTTTTCCGCCAGATGTTGACGAGCTACTAAGTGATAAGAATCTATCTGACGTTTCTAAGGATGTTGAAGGTACGAATCAGGACAGTGTTAATCAAAGACAATCGGAAAGTGAAATGTTTTCCTCCAGAAATGGATGCAGTGCAAAGGATTTTAAATGGGATGACGAAAAAATAAAGGAGTTATCTGAAATAAGAAGCCAACACCATGATACATCATCGGAAACCCAGCCCTGCCAAGGCCTGGAAAATTTAGCTTTCTCTTCAAGTGTGGAGCCTCAGCACAGCATAAATGGAAACACTGATTACAGGCCAAAAGTAACAAATGACAAAAGAGCGGATGGAATCGATACAAGCTGCAGTGCCAGTTCTAATACAAAGAAACTCATGAACTCAGTGTCCATGAATTCAACAGATTCTGGCATAAATGAAGAAATTACTTATTCCAGAATCAAAGATAGCTCTCTGCAACCGTCTTATCTTCGAAAGCAAAATGCATCGGAGGATTTCAAAAGTAGTGAGTCTTCATCTGAGGCTAGTTCATCACTTTCGTTAACTGAGTATTTTGCTGAGGATGATTCTCTTCTACAGTCGCTCTTGCATAATAGCCATGTTTGGAGTTTTATGAAAAGTAGCCAAATCAAAAGGCTCTCCATGCCGCGCAAGTCAAATTTACAGCCCCACACGGTTAAACGATCAAGATCTGTTTCGGAGATTGACAACTTCGTTTATCATTCAATGGGCTCTCTGGATTCTGCGCAGAGTGCACAAAGAGGAGATACTAATAGGACTCAGGATGGCTCTCAGTCTTTCACTGGACATGAGCAAAAGCAATCTGCTGACAAGCTCTCAACTAACGACTCTTTGAAACGCACTAAGACTACATCCTCTAACCGATGTCATTCACTCTCCAGGTGAGTGTGCTCACACAGTTACCTTTTCTGCTAGGTTGTATTTAGTGTAAGTTTCCACTATTACTTGGATAAAAATTGCTGTGAGGGTCATTCCGTGGGAGAAGGGAATGTTTATTTAGGTAATGCAAATTTTTTTTTTTTTTATTCAAAATTACGCTGTTCAAAAAAATCGGAAAAATAAACCCTGTCAAATATCCAAGAGCATAAATTATACAAAATGTTAGACAGTGAATTCCATACATTTTGATGTGGACAGCTAAAAAAAATAAAGAAAATGTTTTTTCCTGGAATATTTGTCACTGGAAAAATGATCTGACATTAGGCTATTTTAAAAATTTTGAAAATCACTGGAAATAGTCGAATTTTGTCAAATGTACTAAGCTTATGGTTAATTTTTATTAATTAATAATAAACTTTTTGAAGAAATCTCCAAGTTTTGGCAGTCTCTTGAAAATTTTAAAATTGTACTCAAGCCACTGTAGCAAAAAGAATAATTAACTTTTGAAATTGAAAATTTTAAAATTGTACTCAAGCCACTGTAGCAAAAAGAATAATTAACTTTTGAAAATTTCGAGTGTGTGATGGCAAAGCTCATAGAGGAGAGTTCCCTCATAAGTTTTATTAGATCTCCATTTTCTGAGAGCGGATCAAGTTTTACCACTCTTTACTGAAATTGGAAACCCATTTCTCTCTGGCGTATCTGTAGCAGACCTATTGTTGTTCTAAAGTTTTTAAAATGAAAAAAAGGAATCAGCAAAAAATTACTCCCATCTGCTTGCTTCCTCCTAAGGTATTAAACTTCATTCGGTCAATCACAGTCTTNGGGGGGGGGGGGGGGGATCCAGACCTTCTAGGTTCCTCCCTTGGCTACGCCACTAGATATTGACTATGTAAGTTGGCAATCACATATTCACATAACCCTGTTAGCAACGTCGCAGACTTCCTGTCATACATTGTTTTTCAAACGCAATTCTTCAAAACTGCCGTGATTTTTCTTCTATGTGCGAAGAAAATTCTGCGAAAACTTCCAGGAATGATGTCAATATGTTCTCCTTTAAAAAAATATCATACAGGCGGAGATTTTCAGCCACCGCAAACGAGATAATGTGATTGCGGACTTACGCCGTCGATATGGTACATCGACGGGTGTAAGTCGGCAATCACCTAACTCGTTTGCGGTGTCTGAAAATCTCCATCCCCATGTTATTTTTTTAAAGAAGAACAAATTAACATCATTCCTTGAAGTTTTCGCAGAATTTTCTTCGCAAAGAGAAGAAAAATGACGGCAGTTTTGAAGAATTGCGTTCGAAAAACAAAGTATGACAGGAAGTCTGCGACATTGCAAACCGAGTTATATGATTGCCGACTTATTACACCGTCGACATATCATGAGTGGCGTGGCGTGAATTGCGATGTATCGATTGTTGTGACATTTAAACCCATGAAAAAAGATCGATTATTAGGGTGTTCGCAGCGAACACCTTAGTAATCGATTCTTTACCATAGCTTCAAATGGCGAGATATCGATAGTCGATTATTCACGCCACGCCACTGCATATCATCCGTCTAGTAGAGCTCACCCCAGAGCCGACGACCCTATCAACTGATGGACTAATTCGAGTTCTCGCTTCTCTGTTTCAGTGTGGACTGCAACGAAGACATCGATTGGCATTGGCTGGACGACCTGCTCAGGGTGGAAAAGCAGGGCTCCCGGGCTTCGGGGCCCGCGGCGGCGACAGAGACCTGCTTCCTGCACGAGCCCGGGGCCGGGGGTGGCCCGGCGACCCCTTCGGCGCCCCCGGCACCTGCGGGACCCTCGAGGACCCGGCGCCCGAAGGCGACGTGGCTCCGGGAGTCGATGCGCCGGGTGCGGCACTTCCGGCTCGGCGAACCGGAGTCTCCGGCGAGGGTGGTCGACGAGCGAAACGAGCCCCTCTTCCCGTGCGAGATCCTCGAGCGCTCCACGTCGGCCCCGGTGGAGCGGCCGCGGCAGTACGGGCGCCGCCACTCGGCAGCTGCCGCTTCGCCGTCGTCGTCGCGCTTCGGCGAGGACGTCGTTGTGTCCCGCCCACGCGCGGAGCTGCTCCCGACCACGCCGGAGCACCTGCCCGTCACGCCGACCGCCCCGCCCGTGCCGCTCTGCGAGGAGTCCACCAGCACCGCGGGCTTTTCCTCCCCGGAAGCCTCCGACTCGGAGACTCAGCCGCCCAACCCCCCGGATCACCCCGCTGACCCCGTGTCAGTCATCAGGTAAGGACTCCACTTTAGTTCTGTTGCTTGACCATAGATCTAGAAAGTACAAACACTGGGTTCGATAGTAATCTAGGTCCAAAAGATCTCTTAAAATGGGGGCAACTATAGCGGGAGAGGTCCAGGCAGATCCAGACACTTCAAAGGGGGGGGGGGCTGTCTAGGGGGTTTCCCCCAGAAATTTTTTGAAATTTTAAAGCATGTAACATTCGGTTTTAGTCAATTTCGCCGTGAACGATTACCAAATGGACTGCGTTAAACAGAAAGGAACCAAGCCACATCAGCTATTGCCAAATTTAGCTGGGCAATTTATTTTTATACATGAAAATGGTCGTGCGGATTTTTGTGCAAATTTCAGTGAATATTTTCCGTAATACAAAGCAAATTCCTTAAAATTTTCAAAGGAATCCGCACAAACGTTCTCTCGTAAAAAATTAAATTGCCCAGTTAAATTTGGAATAGCTGATGTGGCTTGGTTCCTCTCTCTTAAACGCGGTCCAAATATAAGCGTTGTTTCTTCTTCTTCCCTGCATTTCTTCATCCTTTCCTTCTTCCCTTTTTTTCTTCCTCATTTTTTCTGGCGAAGGAGGGGGACAATGTTCCATTCTGACCGAGAAATTGATGTGCCTTTTTGACCTGATTGATCAATATTTACAGGGTTGCCACTGTTAGGCAATTTCGGTAAAACCGGGAAACGCGACCATCCGCTCAAGCTCTCTGTTAAAATCAGTTGTTGAAACGAGTGAACGTTTCAAATTGTCTCGAGCAACTATTGCGGCTCTCAGGTCGCTCACATTGCCTACCCAGGTGTTTGAAGGCGAAATGGTTGAAATGAGGCTAGTGCGCGCTTTGGTAAGGGGTGCATTTCCAGACAAGGCGCGAATTTACGCATTATAATTCGTGCTTTTTTATGAAAATTTTACGCGGAACACGATTTGTGCAACGACAATTGAGGTGGTAGATGCTGTAAAAAAACCCCTCGAAAAACCCTTGTCGTGATTTACGCGATTGAACGTTGGAATATCGTTTCCGTCAACATGTTTCGCCGTATGTTGGACTGTTTTCCCCATCTAACTTTCAGTTGTATGAAAGGTATTGACGGTTGCGACCCTCATTTGAACCGGTTTCTATTAGACGGGCGTAAGTCCAAAAACTCATAAGCTCTAGCGTCCTGCGTGATCAATGAAAGCCAGGTCTCATCAGTTTTTGGACTTACGCCCGTTTAACAGAAACCGGTTCATTTGAGGGGCTTGGAGGACAAGGCGCATAAGTGCAGTTTTTGAAAAAATTGAGGTAAGCATGAACTCAACTAAAACTAGTTCGAAAGTATATTGTGTGGAAAATTCACCACTAAATTCCAACTTTAAAGCATCATAAAGTTCGTTTAAACTTCCTTTCTGCCAAGATAAGGCTCCATGTAATTTTTAAAATCTAAACACGTATTTCTTGAAATAGCAAAAACTGTACATTATGTGCCTTGTTCTTCAAGCCCTTCATTTGAGAGTCATTTTAAGGTTTAAAGAGATAATCAAAGCTACCGGATGAAGTGCCCCCTCTGCATGAAGCGAAATAAGTCATAGCGAATAGTTTTGTTTTTTCAGTTAATTTATCTCGTTTCGATCTTGACGTGACATAATTTCTTTCTGTTAAACTCTTTCTAATTCGCAAGTGAATGAGAAAACGCGCAACTGCCGGTGTTTTGTACCGAAATGTTGAGTGCTTCTTGTCAATTTGGACGCTGCTTGGAGTGGCGCCCGTTCCCGGATGGTGATGGTCCCGCGTCTGTGCTAAGCACCAAATGAACCCATTCGAGAACACTATCCTGCTAATTAAAAACCGTTTAACTGCATCGGGAGCCCTGTGTATTCACGATGTTTTTGCGGCATAAAACTGCCGTGCCAAGGAAGAACGCCGTATTAGCCCTCAGACGTTGCCAAGTTTCCTCTGATAAAAACCGAATTTACTGGAAAAATTGTGAACATTTTCCCCCCAAATTTTCAGACGATTTTGCACGCAGTTGAATCTAGTATATCTGAAAATTTCAAGGAAAAATGTGCATGAATTTCGTCAAAAATACATGTTTTATCGGGGGAAATTTGGCAACTCTCGAATGTTCATACGGCTTTTTTCCTTAGCACGGCATCTTTCGAGACTTCCAACGTGGATAGCCAGATATCTTAAGCTTAATGACGTCTAATTGAAGGCCTAAGTGCCCCCATAGACCTCGAACGAGTAGGTTTTCGGAACACTTTCAGTACCTATCTAATGGGTTGTGACGATTCTGAATTCACTCTCATATCTTTATCTCGACAATTCCTTGAGTTTTTCTCCGATATTTGAAATCGAGTAGTAGTCAACACGCGCTCGCCTCGGTACCTTGTGGTGGATCTCATCCGAATTGTTTTCCTTATTTTTTTTTCAATTATTTTTTCTCAATTTTTTCCGACTTTCGTTTCAAGTGGATTTCAGGTCACCGAAAAATATCCTCCGCCGTAATTTATTTCGGGTTTTGTGATTTTTTAGCCGTTTTTTCAAATTTTAATGCGACTCTTTGTGAGACTCCTCGGACTTTCGAATAGTCCAGCCTCTGTGTCCGTGATAGTGTTGTGGCCAGTCGTGTCGGACAGAAGAACTTTCAGCGAGGGGTCAGGGTCAGCCTCCTTGGAATTGCTCGGTGCTCCTCAGGGTTCGCGGAAAATTTCCCGGAGCACCTCGAAAAATTCCTACCCGTCCGCTGAAATCGTTTTCTTACTCTCAGTCTCGGGTTTACGCCTAAGTAATCATGTTTCGATCTTATCGCAGGTTAGTAGGCCTTAAAAAAAGTCCTCTCTCTATACGCTTTTTTATACCCTCCCCCTTTTTTTCTAGACTGTTACAACAATTTTTTTTTTTTTTTTTTTTAAATAATTTTTCAGCGTAATATTTTGTTGAACCCTCCTAGCTACAGGAAAGTACGAATAAAAGTAAGCCTTTTAAAATGTGCTAGATGTATCAACCGTTGACCGAAGGTTATTCCGAGACATCTCAGCACTGTAAAAGTGCCCTAATGACCTAATCTGCCGTGCTAAGGAAAAACGCCGTATGAACATTCGAGAGTTGCCAAATTTCCTTCCATTAAATGCTTGTTTGTGAAGGAAGTTATGAATATTTTTTCTTGAAATTTTCAGGGACTTTAAGTGAAATTGCGAACAAAATTTTATGAAAAATTGGAAGGAAAATGTTGACAAGTTTACCAGGAAATTCGTGTTTTATGAAAGAAAATTTGGTAACACCAGAAGGGTAATACGGCATTTTTCCTTTGCACGGCAGTAATGTACTCAGGCTTTTCTCACTTTCGTGCTCTGGTGGTACTTGCGTGGAAGTGGAGTGGCCAGTGCATCGGAATATCAACCACTTAGTTCGATAATGGATGTTGCATCTCCGTGTGGAAGAGCCGACAAAATTCGGCCGCTGAACACAAGTCTGAAGGCCGATTTTGGCGAAAAATGCGAGTTTTGTGGGTTGCGGTCGAATGCCGAAAAATCTGCATTTTTCGCCTAACACGCCCTTCAGACCCTCGTTTAGGCCACTATTAGGCTTGGAAAGCCACCGCAAATGACCAATTATGATGCATTTCGTAAAACGGCCCTTATTCAACGAGCAATTTTTTGCATTTTTTCAGTAATTTTATTGCAAAGGGTTTAAGTTACATAATCCTAGCAACATTTGAATGCCTTTGGTTCGTTTTTGCAACACGCAATCCAGTTGGATCGCATTTAGCAGCGCGGGTACAGTGTTGGAAAAATGTTGCTTCTCCACAATCATCTACAAAATTTCCCGTAGCAGCAAATGTTTTTTGCTTCCCACCAAATAATTGGTAATTTTGAAGGGAAAAAAGAGTGTAAACTTTAAATACTGTACATATATCGAGTATTTTTAAAAGATAAGAAGTTGCACAATTTTGAAAATACTGTAATCGCGCCGGTTCGTTTTTGCATCACGCAATCCCTGTTGGTTGCCTTGCGGCGCTCTCTCGTAAAACGGCTGAGGTTGAGCTCTGAGACGAGAGTCGGAGCTGAACTAACGCTCGAGGCAATAATCGAGACGAAACGTGCACACTCGAGGCTTAACCGCGGATTTAACGAAAGCGCTGGTCTTACATTGTAACCGAGAGTGAAGCACCGAAGCCTTGCAAGGAATATTTAAAGAGGGATTTATTTTCAGCTCCGTATCATATAATAATCTCGAGACGACGACTATATATAGCGCAAGTCGGACTCTAATACGCTTTTATTGGCCACTTATGGGACCCGAGCACGCATCACCATACGAAAATATCGTGGTCGGTTCAGGTGTTTTCTCAACGCGACAATTTCAAGATCCAATGAGCTCCACAGCATTGTTCCAGCGTGGCAAGCCCTCAGCAAATGGGGACGAGCGAGCTTCCGCCTCGAGCACGAAACCGCGTATCTCTTTAGGGTTTCTATCGATTCGTGGACGATCTACTCTCGATATTCTACCATTTGAAGCCGAGGTAATAAATCGATTGTAAAGGTGTTCGTTGCTAACGCCATGATAATCGATACTTTTCTTTGGATTCAAATGGCATGTACCTCCAACCTCCATCTATGCGTATCGGTCGATGCGTGAATAAGTTACGCTCGATATTCTACCAAGCCGAGGTAATCGATTGCAAAGGTGTCGTTGCTAACGCCATGACAATCGATACTTTTACATAGGTTTAAACGGTATGTATCAGTATCGACGTGTATCTCCACAGGGTTTCCAATCAACTCTCGATATTCTACCATTTGAAGCTGACGGAATGAATCGATTATAAGGGTGTTATTTGCTAACGCCATGATAATCGATAATTTTCTTTAGGTTTAAATGGCATGTATCTCCATCTACGCGTATCTGTATAGGGTTTCTGTTGATGCGTGAATAATCGACTCTCGATATTTTACCATTTGAAGCTGAGGTAATGAATCGATTGTAAAGGTGTTCGTCGTAAACGCCAT